AAAGTATCTGTATGCAATACAACTCTTTTCTATGCATTAAAGATCTATTTTTGATGTATTGGGGTCACTGATAGTTACTAATCTGTCTTTTTGACTTGATTTTATTTCCAGACTGATGATTTGCAAGATCATATTATCATTTGTGGATTTGGACGTGTTGGACAGGTGTTTATATAGTTGCATCCTTTAATTTGAAAAATTAATCTAAAAATGTTAATCTGATGAACCTGCTCTCAAATTATTAATAATGAACACATATTTGTAACAATGGAAAATTTTTTTCTCTTTTTTACTTGGGGTGTTCTCAGATCATAGCTCAGCTTCTTTCAGAACGCCTAATTCCATTTGTTGCTCTTGATGTGAGGAGGTAACCTGACAATTTGTTTGAAGCAATTATTTGGATTTTTTTTATGGTCAGCAATGATTATCATTCATAATAGTTAACTCCTCCTTAAATTAGGGTATAATCCTTCCTTGTGTATACTGACTTAATTCCTCCAAGATACTTGCCCATGGCTCACTCATGAATTTGTTTTGATTATCTGTTTTATTCAATGTATTGATATAACATTAAATGTCCACTTACACTATGTGTATGTGCATGATTATGAGCTAGAGAGATTGATGTACGTATATGGGAAAGTTGGCTCCTAGGTGTGGAACCTTAGGTCTTACTCTTTGAAATGCTTTTATCAAGAAGAAAAACTAGATGGCAGATACTTGCCCACGTTCCAAATGTCATGTGCCATGGAAATAACACCAACCTTTTGTACTTTTATAAAGCCCTATTTCCTTGCACATTTGTTCTTCGTCAATGCAAAAAAGTCACTTGCCTACTCCTATGTAATTGACATTTTTGTTGAAGAAGCTAAAACATGCATGAAGATAGGCTGACCTATTTTGGAAATGGTCATAAATTTGGTTGTACTTTCATAATCTCTACCACTGGCAGACATAAAAATGTAGCAGATATTTCAAGCCCCTCAATACATCATGGTAAGATACTAAAAGTTTTGCTCTCAGTGATAGGGTGGCTATGGGGCGCACACTGGACATTCCTGTTTATTTCGGAGATGCTGGTAGTCGAGAGGTAAAGCAAAATACTTTGAAATAAGCTAACTTGTAGATTAATATTTGACATTCTTTATACTGGGTGCTAGGTGCTTCATAAAGTTGGTGCTGAAAGAGCGTGTGCCGCAGCAATAACCTTGGATACACCTGGTGCCAATTATAGAACTGTTTGGGCTCTGACCAAGTATTTCCCTAATGTGAAGACTTTTGTCCGTGCTCATGATGTTGACAATGGCCTTAATTTAGAAAAGGCTGGGGCTACAGCTGTAATATTCTGATACCTTCGTACTAAATTTTCCTCCTGTAGTTTTTTTCTTCTTCTGTTGTTTCCCTATAATTCTCTTCTTGATTGTTGAGCACAGGTTGTGCCAGAGACCTTGGAACCAAGTCTGCAGCTGGCAGCGGCTGTTCTTGCACAGGTATGATGGATGATTGTGTTGGCATCCTGAACACCCTGTTTCCATTATGCTTTCCTTTTCAATAGAGGAACAGCTTTAAAATTGTTCCTTAACAAGAGATGATAATTTGGATGTGCAACTCTTGCATTGGCCACTTGTTAATATTATCAAGTCTGGAGAGTTTTATTTGTTGTTACTGTAATAAATTGTGCAGCTTTCTTCTGTTATTCATACTCATATTGATATCTTAAAACATCTAAGCCTTTACTTTTCTCATATCTTTATGTAGGCTAAACTGCCCACATCAGAGATTGCAGCAACAATTAATGAATTTAGGTCCCGCCATCTTGCGGAGCTAACAGAGGTACTCCCCACTTCCTCTTTTTGGTACCAGAAAATTTTAAATCACCAGGCATTAAACATTGAACCATATAGCCTTTGTTCTCTGTTGCATTCAAATCTGAAATGTGAAGGTATATTTATCATAATTGGTGTGTATTTTCACAGCTGTGCCAAGCTAGCGGAAGTTCTCTTGGTTATGGATTTTCTCGAGTCACGGGTAAAACCAAAACTCAACAGTCAGATTCTTCAGATGAAAACCAGGTTACTGAAGGCACCTTGGCAATATGAAAGATTTCTGTTGTTAACCAGGTAACAGGGTAAAGGGAAAAAAAAACAGAAAAAAAGAAAGGGAAAAGAAACTGTATAGAAGACAACATGCCACCATTGTTATAAGTCGTACAAAGATAGAACAAAAAGGGGGAGAACGAAAGGCAATATCGGACTTTTCACTGACAACAATTTCTTCAAGTGGTTGATAAATTTTTGATAAACCTTTCTTAGCAAATTTGTCTAAATGGAAATCATTATTGTTGTTACCAATGGTTACAGGAACGGAGCCAAAGGAATGTTATTGAAAATTTCCAGCATCAATTGCACACATTTTCATTGATTGCAGTTTTAATGTCGGATTTGGTGTTCATTATTTATTTTTTGGTTTTACAAATAAGGATATAGTTTTAAGGCTGGAAGACAGCTTTTTTATTGAAACACCGAGGAATTGATCTATTCAAGGCTGGCCCATTGAATATATCGTTTGCCAATCTAAGACTTAAATGGTTTGGGGTCAGCCCATGGTCAGAGCTTTTATTTTTCGGCCGACCATATTTAAAGCTTAATAAAAACAAAAAAGAAAAGTTCTCGGATTTTAAATATATCGTCTTGGAGGTGAAGCGCACTTTTTTCGAAATACTAAAAAATCGTATCTTTTTCGAAAGCTAAATACACAGGAAAAGTGAACACTGAACTGAGTAGCGCCATCGCCACCGTTCTAAATTATAGAACCGCTTGTCAAAGCAAAGCGAGAATCCCAGAAGCAGCTCTCTTTTCCCTCTTCTGTTTACATTTTACTTAACCCCTAATTCCCGACACAACGTTTAGCTTACTGCAGCGCCGTTTCAGGACTCGTAACACTAATATGGCGTCCATGATATTCACATCTCCTTCGTCCTACGTCCCTGCCTGCCTTCTCCCTTTTACTCGTTTCAGCAACCGGGGTAGTTTCCCCTCGCCGGTTTGTAGAACCTCTCCATTTTGGTTCATTCACGCCTACCTTTCCTCGAACCCTCTTCCTCCGCTCTCCTCCTTGTTCTTCCCGGCTCATCACTGGTACGAAATTTTTTAAGAAAGTTTTGGATTTCTAGTATTATCAATTTAAAAAGGGTTTTTTTTTTTATTTGTTCTTTTAGGCTATATATCTGTTACTCGTGCATTTCGTCAAGCAATTGGAGTGCATTATAAGGGATTTTAATATTTAACGACGTTAATTTCTTACATAATCTATGGATAATTAGGGAAATTTTTGGTTTGTTCTTGTACAGCTGCAATGGCTACTGGGCTGTCTGCTAAGGTGATTGATGGGAAATCAGTGGCAAAGCAAATAAGAGAAGAAATAAGTGATCAAGTATCAAAAATGAAGGATGCAATTGGACTTATTCCTGGGTTAGCAGTTATACTAGTTGGGGATAGGAAGGATTCTGCTACTTACGTGCGGAACAAGAAAAAAGCTTGTGAATCTGTAGGGATTAATTCTTTTGAAGTACATTTACCTGATGATGCTTCTGAGCAAGAAGTTCTCAAGTTTATCTCCAACTTCACTGACGATCCTTTAGTTCATGGCATCCTTGTGCAATTGCCTCCACCTTCTATATGGTTCTAATCTAATCATAAAAAAATACGGTTTTCTCCTCTTTATTTGAATCACTACATGTAGCGTATGGGGCCTGAATGCTTGGAACTTATGATTCCCTAGACAAATTAAGCAGCTTTATTGCAATCTGCATTACGTATTATATCTTGCTTTCAAATAGCTAGTGCAATATTTTAAGCTAACGTATGATGTTGCTGCCAATCTGAGTTTTGCCAAAATGTTGCTACATGGTTAAAACCCATTGACAGAATTTAATCTTTAGGGATTTCCAAATGAGCTGAAATTGTAAAGCCAAATGCTGTCTAATGATAAGAGAGGGGTTTGGGGGTTTGACTGAGAAGACTATGATAATGTATCTGCCCTGCTCTTTACCACTCATAAAATTCCTTACCGTAGAACCTCTGCTAGATTTTGGACTTCACATATTTTGCTTTCCTTCTCTTGCTTTGTCATTGCATGTGATACATGAAATGGCTCTTAATAGTGTTTCATTGGATTTCTACCTGCACATGAACGAGCAGAACATTTTAAATGCTGTTATGATTGAGAAAGATGTGGATGGCTTCCATCCGTCGAACATCGGTCGTCTTGCCATGTGAGGTAGAGAACCCATGTTTGTTCCATGTACTCCTAAAGGATGCATAGAGCTATTGCATAGATATGATGTTGACATTAAAGGAAAGAGGGCTGTTGTCATTGGCCGGAGCAATATTGTTGGAATTTCAGCTGCTTTATTACTGCAAGTAATGGCTTATCTCCTAATAATTTGTATTACCTCAAGAAATATAATTTTACATCTCTTTTCCCCCTCTAACAGTGTGTTGATGTTGGCAGAGGGAAGATGCTAATGTAAGTATTGTCCATTCTAGGACCAAGAATCCTGAGGAAATCACAAGACAAGCAGATATCATAATATCTGCTGTGGGGCAACCAAATATGGTGAGAGGTAGCCGGATAAAGCCTGGTGCTGTTATTATTGATGTCAGAATAAATCCAGTTGAGGTAAGTGAAAATTTTCCTTCTTTTCTTTCGTTCTTTTGTTTTCCATCTACATGTTTCCTTACCTGTTCTGTTGTAACTTGGTTAGTGAGACTTGAGTTGGTTTTTCCCCTCAGTTAGCTGACAAGTTTTTTATTATTCATGTGAAAGGATGCAAGTAGTCCTCAAGGATATCGGTTAGTTGGGGATGTTTGTTATGAGGAGGCCTGCAAGATTGCTGCAGCTGTTACTCCAGTGCTGGGGAGAGTAGGTCCTATGACTATAGCAATGCTTCTCTCTAACACACTCAGTTCAGCAAAGAAGGCATACAACTTCAAGTGAGAATTTTAAATATGTCCAAGGGCATTTTTCTTCTGAGAAGAATCCATTTTACTCAAGTTGCGCTTGTGGCAACTGACTCTTCTATGTTGCCAGTTGGAGCCACCTTTTTCGCAGCCCAATTCCGGCACTATACATCCTCATCTGATCCCTACAGCTAATAAATTTCAAACAATTTTTATTCTAGTGGCAGTTCTGTTTTTCCATAACATAATACATTATTTATTCAGATGTAGATTTGAGGTTCAGAGAATTAGGATCGCAATGCTCATATGAAGCTAATTCGCAAGTAGCAATGTTGAATAGATAGGTTGCACTGGAACCTTGCCTGTGAACATTTAGTCTACCATTGGATGATATTTTGAGTTGTTACTTTGGGCCTACAAACCTTATAAGCTCTTTCGATGCAGAAGTACCATTTTTTTTTTTTTTTGATATTTATGTACTACTCTTTAGCTAGACAATGGGATTGGATTCTTGACATTATCGAAGACATAACAAGGCAAGCTGAGATGTGGGAGACCAAAAGATTGGAAGAATACTAGTTGCCCCAATTGCCTCCATTTTTAATCCATCTCCTCAAAACGATTGTATCTCTCAAAGCATCTCCCAGAAAACTACTTTTTGATGCCAATAATTTGGATCCCTAGCAAAGCACCTCATCAAGAAATCTTTTCCAGCTTTTGACATATCTTGGGGCTTATTTGGTGAATCCCTTGACAATGCAATCTTCACCGTCAAGTGACCATCGTGGTTCCAAGTGCATCCTAGCGACCATGTGCCCAAAGAAGCAGTGATTTTCCCATCCTCGATAAATTCTGATTCGCAACCAAAATAATATTTATTAAGTTTGAGATTTAAATCTCAGCAACTATAATTTCCTTTTCCATTTTCAAAATATGACATCTCTTATAAAACTGGATTTTATTAATTGCAATCAGAAAAAAGATACAACAGTGTCCCAAAGAAAAGTACACTGGAAAATTTTGATATGAGAATTCATTCTCAAAACAAAGACCAGTCATGACAAATCTTCTTTAGAAAGATCAACTCGAGCTTCAAAATGATCAATTCCAGTTCTATTCTGCAGTTTGGTACTCCTAAGAATTGAAACCTGAAACAAAAAACAAATTAATATATAGAGATTAGTAAATCTTTGAATTCTATCTAATGGCTCTCAAAGCATTGCCAGAAATAAATGGAGCTGGAGCTTGATAACAAGACATAGATGATGCAAGTATCTTAAGCTCAGCTTGTAATCTGCAATATGAATACATCATCTATTTCAAAAGCCAAATAATTGAAAGATTTTTTTCTTCTTTATTTGGGTCACAGTTTGAATACATTTGAAACACATCATATTTTTATATTTCCAACTCCTGAGCAATTTATCAAATATTTGCCCCTTATTTCGCTTCAATGGATATATGTATATAGAATGAAGGGATCTTGCAAGATTAACTTGGCAATTATCATACCTTGGGCCGTTCCATAGCACTACCAAAATATCCTATGCCGAAAGATAAGGAAGAATAAGCAGCTGCTATCTCTACAGCTTTCAGCTTAGGAGGATTTCCTGGAGCCTAAACCAATAAATTGACAAACAAAAACTAGATAAATAAATGTTATAAAGAAAAGAACTATTGCAGTTTAACCAGGAGCTCACCCTGATAGGAGCATCAGCTTGCACAAGTAAAGTCCCAGCACTTTTATCGGTATCATTTTGACTGCTGCTGCCTTGAACAACAGAGCGAAGAACTTTCATGCAAGCAGAGGCAGGACCTGCCTGTGAACTATGCATGAAAATAACTTTGTTAGTGTCAGATTATGGGAAATAGATGGACACAAATCCTTAGCAAAATAACATAATTGTTGCAATGAAATCTAATGAATGTTTCAAATTTAGCAAAGGCAGCCAAAGGTATTTGCTTGTCTCTCTTTGTTTTTCTTTTTAACTGACCTTATATCTTGTAATTGGCATGTAATAAGATAGTTGTCTGAATTTAACATAAATTAAGTTATAGAAAAGATGATAAATCTTCAAATTTAAGCTCAATAATTTAAATCGAAGAAATTCAACTTCTACGTGCTTCATCACTTCTCATTCTCACCAAGCATAGACCTTTACCAATGCCAACACCCAAGTCCAGATCCAAGTTGACAACTAATATTTCGAGATTTTATGATTCTACTACTTTCCTTGATAATGGAAGGGGGTACAAGCAGAGACAACCTAACTCAACAAAGTCCATTTAGGACAGCTGAAACTTTCTTCATGTAAAGCAAACAAATTTCTGAAATGATCTTACAGTGATGATGAGACACAGCACTCCCGAGCTGCAAATCCTTTCATTAGGTATTCTCCTGCACCAGTAACACAACTACCAACTATGAATGGAGCCCCAAAGGGTCCTTTTACGGAGGCCCAACAGCCTGAACCATACATTGCTGCTAATCCCACTCGACCAGAGACCTGCCATAACTTAGTGAGGAAAATATCTCATAAATTATACAGCCACCAAGAAGAATGACTTCAGAAATAACATTTCAACAAGCAATTATCACCTTGAGTGCAATACCACCACTAGAGGCCCCTGATGCTACATGTCCTTCAGTGTCAACACAAATAACTCCCACAGTGTCCATGACACTGTCCTCTTCTGATGGGCAGAGCATACATGATTGACGAGCCCTATTCTCCTCCAAAGTATCACAATTTTGAGCTTGCGACTCTGACATACAGATGCACCATTTCCGTCAAACAATCTTGTCCAAGCTTATTGATATGACATATCCCCAATACTAGTGCGGAAAAACTTAAAAGATAAATAATCAAATATTAAAGCATGCAGAAGAGGCTTAAAGAAATATCCAACAATTAAATAAGCAATCAAATGTCAGTGAAATCAATACAACTCACACCACCCAATTATAGAGATGCAGTCTTCATTGCTGATAGACAATCATGAATGCAACGTGATACAGATGACAAGATGGTTCAGACACCAAGTAATAAACTAACTCATTCAAGAAACACAAGTTTGAGATCTCTGAATTGATTGAAATGAAATTCTTTAAAGATACAAATGGGTGCAACAACAATAACAAAGTACAGAACGTTTCAGGGTCAATTCTATAGCTAGTAAGATATTGGATTATAGTCAGATGAAAAATGTATTATTGGTTTTGAAATGGAAAAAAGAAATCATTTTTAATATCTGATACTGATCAAATACCTTGTATTGATGCAGTCTGTTTTGCAGTACAAGAATTTCCATCAGAAGAAATATCAATCTCAGCTTTGGCACTGAGAAGCAGTGCTTTGTAATGTTTCCATTGCGCTTTTGCCTTTGGTGTTACCAACCGCTATTTTGAAATAGAAACAAGAAAATTTTACTTAAGGAATGAATGTTCTGTTGGAAAATTTACATTAAATAAGATGAACTATTAGCATAATGGAAAATGAATTCTCTTCTTTTGAAAAAGGAAAATAGCCACAACAATGCAGGAAAACCAAAACCTGATCGGCCTCTATCATTGTTTTGGGCAAGGCAACGCCTTTAGACTTAGCCCATATGCGTGCACCTTCACCAACCAAGAACCTTGGAGAAACAAATAAAAGGCCAAAATTAAACAATAGCAACAAAAATAAAAATAAAAATTAGACAAAAAAGTGGTAATATTCAATAGTAGCAAATACAAGCAAGGAAAAGCAGTTGTTATTACATGGGAGGCATTCGACCCAACAAAGAAGACCCTTTCATTTGCTCCTTCACCAACAATGCAGCAATCTGAATAGCATTTGGAACACCTGGTCTAAAACAAACATAATAGACACTCAGTAACTGCAAGAAAGTATAAGATTTGGTCCAAGGAATATAAAATTTACCAGGCACAGCTCCAACAGCCCCAAAAGCTCCAGACTGACCATCCATAAGACTTGCATCACATTCCACACTACCATCTTCAGTTAAATTGGAGCCTCTGCCAGCATTGGTGCTTGGATCATCCTTTTAACAAAAAAAAAAAAAACCCTTTTTTTAAAAATTAAAATGGACCCTACCCAAAGGCCAACATATTATTAGGGGAAAAAAAAAAGAGAGAAATGGGCTTTTACCTCGAGCACTTGAATAGCAGCTGCAGCAGCATCTACACATCCACCAGGCCCTTCACGGAGAATGGACGCAGCAGCCAAGCAAGCGCGTTTCATAGCCGACCGTAAAGCTTTTTCATTGGAAGGGGCGTGGTATCCAGCGCCAACGTGGACGGCCACAAAAAATCTGGGCTTTTGGGGTTCTGCCTCGCCACCCATTCCTATCTCCATTGACTTGGGATTGAGAGAGAGAGAAAGAGAGGTGTGGGTGTCGGTGTCAATGTCAGCTTACTGGGAAAAACTGTAAGAAGCTTAATTTGGGCGACGACCAAAGTCCAAAAGTCTTATTAGTTGTTAAAGGAGGGCTATGATAATCACTTTTGAGTTTTAAAAGACGTTGAGGGCTATCTTCCGCTGCAGCTAGTTTTAGAAGAAACCGACAGATAATATCATATGAAAATATACCAAAAAAAAAAAAAAAACGATACCGTCTAAAATTTTTACAAAAATGATAATATATGAGTTTGACTTTGTGTTTGATATTATATACGAGTTTTGAGGTTGCTTCTTTGTTTTTGTTTGTCTTTTTACATGGTTTCTAAAAGCTATAAATTGCTGCAACTTTAATATAGTGATGCCAAAAGTGAACTTGATTATAGTAAAAGAGTCATGATACAATAATTCCTGCAGGTTCGCAACAGGCAAATTTTAACCATTTTGACAATTACTCATATAAAATTACATACTTGAGCCACAGCATGGGCTTGGCACTTATTCTTCTCATAAAATGCGAGATACAAATGGTATATCAAGAGGAAAAATTCTATTGTTCAAGGGTTGTTCAGGAATAAGGTTTTGCATTGCTCCTCTGTATCTTCAGGACTTGTAACTGCAAGAAGAAGAATAATATTGTTGGTAAGTCTGAAGCATTATTGGAACAAATGTTTGGGAAAATTTTGCTTTGTCAATGGAAATTAGATCATTGCATTCTGATTACAACTGAGAATTTAAAATGTGCCTGTAAATAATTTGAATTTGGAATACACAACTGACCTGTATGTCCCACTGTTCTCTCTGATTCAAAAATTTCATGATCGTTCCCTCCCTGATCATAAAACACCCAGGCAAGACCATTAGTCACATGAAAGTATGGAAAAGATAGTGGACAAAAAGGTATAGACTGGAAGAAAGCCAACGAGCAAGGGATAATGACAACAAAATTATGTATCATGCAGGGTGGAGAACCAACTTGTGTAAATTTTTCCTAAAGAATCAACTTGAGAGTGATTAATCGGGAAAAACAAAGCAGCAGGATGGCTAAAAGAGAAGAATCATATCAGAACCAACCTTGTAGGTTTTGTCACCAAAGAAGTGAATCTCTTGAAATTCTTCAAGGTATCTCAAGCAATATGTTTTGTCCCAACCCTGGGGGAAAACCTATTACAAGCAAAATGAAGCAATAATTAATTCAATGAATCCGTATTTCTTGTATTTAAACTGTTCAATTACAAATCATAAGCATTACTCACATCAAAGCTTATTTGTCCTCCAATCGAAAATGTCAAGTTAAGGTGAGCAAACTTTTCTTGAAGCACAGAAACCATTTTTGGGCGTATATTGTGAACCTGAAACCCAAGTGTTTATATTTATGTAAGCACACACCTATTAAATCTACGCTATAAAAGTACAAACTCCATATCTTTTGGACAGCAGAAACCAAAGGTATTTTTACCTTGTCATACTTTTCAAATTCATCCCTTTCTTCTTGGCTGCAGTTTCGCCCAATTGGAGATACATTGAGCATCCCACTACGGAATTCTATGAATGTCCCCCTAAACAAAAAATAAAATTGATAAAGGGCTGGTCTTATTCAGATCAACTGATAGAGGAATAAATAGAGTTCAATTAGACTTAAAAAATGAACTCCATTCTTCCATTGTTCTCACCTTTTTATTGGGATATCCAAGTCAGCAATATAATGCAGCGTGAAGTTTATAAATTCCTGCACAAACATTTGCATTCTATGAACAAAGGCTTGACAGCATAGACCAATAAATTCTCAGCGCATGCAGAATTTCTGCTTATCATTCAACCACCATTTATAAAATATGTGCCAGTTAGCCATCCCACTTCTTTTAATTGTGACAAAGAAGAGTATAAAAATCAAAGAGATTCTCAAAATCATTGTTAATCAGACATCCAGGCAGACCTCACAAGCTCTAATCAGAAATTGCTAATGAATGTCAATGGAGTCCTAACAACACTATATATCGAGCTTCTTCTTTATGCAATATTTTTTAGATGTGCAACAGAATAGGATCACATCTAAGAAGGAAAAATCTAACCTTCAGTTTTTCTTCTCCAAGAAATGACTTCAAACTCTGGAAAAAGGAAAAAGAGACCCTTTAAAGAAATGCAGATCAACTTAATGGAACTGAGAAAAAAAAGGTAAAAAACTTTATCATTAGTTCTTAAATTTACAAGATAGGGCAAGCACATATTATCCCCCAGGTGTAGGGAAAAATTGTCTTGCATAATAGCTACGTTATATAAAAGTTAAAACCAGAACTTAGACACCTAGAATATGCATGCTATAAGGCATGAACATACCTGGGTGCCAATGAGTTTTCCATCTTTATAAGCAACAAGCCCATTTTCAGAAAATACATAATCATAGTCATTAATAACTGCATAGAAAACATAAACTATGGTTAATAAACATAGGTATAAGTATTTCATAGAAATTAAACGAGAATTATAGAAAGAGATATACTTGGCTGCAAATTCTTCTATAATAGTTATAAAGAAACATTAAAAAAAAAAGATTTCATATTAACAAGTATAATGTCAAGAGCAAGTTGAAGCAAACCTGATACCCCAAGCTGCTCAGATATCTTACTAAGGTCAGATCCGCCCACTACTCCAACAGTAACAACCTACAATTGAAAATAAAAAGAACATGTTCTCTTAAAAATGGCACTTTTTAAAAATAGTAAACAGGAGAACCAAAAGGGTCATCATAAAAATCATTTCTTTATTCCAAATAAAATCATATACCTTCCTCAGTTCCATAATGAACTCCAACATTTTGGGAGTAGCCAACTGTATACAATTTAAGTGAATGATAAATTCAAAAAAAAAAAAGAAAAAGAAAGAAAGAAAACAAATCTCAAAATTCCACTCAAATTCAACAACCCATAAATCATATCACTAAATACCTTTCTTGGAGCTGTAAGAGTGCCATCAACATCAAATAAAGCAATTAAACCAGGTTTCCTGATTGCCATTGAAGTTTATATATTTTGCTTCTGCAATCAAAATTACAATGCTTTAAGTAAAATTGAAAACAGAGAAAGAAAAAAGCTGCAGTCTTTTGATAAGAAGTGGAAATTTAAAGCCAGAGAAAAGGTGGAGGTTAACTGAAAAACTTCTGACCTTTGAATTTTGTTGGAATTTGAAAGAATGAGTTGAGAAAGTGTAATAAAAAGGACACGGAATTTAAAGTAGATCTGACCTTTAATGGCGGAAACCAGGGGGAGTTCCCGGGGATTAACAATTTGTTGAAGGGTTTGCTTGAGATCGGGGGTTTCTTCAGATCTGGACTGTAGATTAGATTACAGCCTGCCAAATAGTACTAGAGTAGTTTCTTGATGGTTTCTACTTCCGTCTTAGATTCATTAGAACACAAATCAGGATCGTCCACGTGTTACTTCATCCAATCTGATGGTTAATATGGGTTAGTAAATGGGCATTGTCAAAGCCCATGGTTTAGGGTTTGTGAGGGCTATTGGTGAGCAAGAGTTTGGAAAGTGAATATGCACTTGCTTTCCTCAGTATCTTTGTTTTCATTTTAAAGGAAATTTCTCACCATCACTTTGATCCATCAAGGGACCCTTTGGCAACTTCCTCCATTTCAGCAACCCGTCTGCCCTTGTCATAGTCACGCGGTGCGTTTACGGTCCCGGAACGCGATGGACATCAAGACTAGCCCGATCCAGAAAGCAAAAGTATTATAATCTTAGGCCTTAATATATTTTGGATTTTTTCAAGTCCAATGTTTCAGATTTGGTCATACAGACTGTGATAATATATTAAATAATTAAAGGATCAAAATTTATCAAGAACTGCAAATTACTATTTAATAATGGGGAGAGGGTTTGTTTCATATAACCTTTTTTTTTTTTTTTACTCTGTAGTGTTTGATTGGCCAGCTTGTTGCTTTCTTGCTTATCAAAGTGGGACCTTGTTTGCACACAAGAAAATGAAGCAGCAACATTTTGATGCTCGCCCTTTTGCTTGAACAGAACAGACAACTTGACCATATTTCATAAATATTTCGACATACATGGGCATTAAGTTTTGCAAAGACAGTAACAGGATTATACTTGATGAAAAAGAGAGAACGTGAACAAAGTCCCCATGTACTAGTTTCACCTCTCTGATGAGATTTCATTGTTTTTCTCAATCAAAACGGAGCAGGTTCACCCTCAACGAAAAATAGGCCAGAAGGACTACCGTTCTGCAAGAGTGCTAACTTAACAGGAGTCACAGCACCTTCTTCAACAGTTAACTTACCAGTGTTGAAATTTATATCTGTTTTGACAGAACCAGGGCAAACACAGTTGATGCAGAAGTCTGGGTACATCTTGGCCAAAATCCTTGTGTAGGCATTCATGGCTCCTTTCGAGACTGAATACGCAGAAAGAAAGTTGGCCAACCTTTACTTTCTAATGAACCCTCCTTTCTCTAGTGTATCAGCATCCCTAAAAACTCCTTTGAGCTGTTCACTCGGTAAATACTGAGACAAAATCAGAAGAAACTTTGTGGTCAAACTTCATAAGTATGGTTTAGTTAATCCAGACATGCAGTTCTTATTCTCAAGCTGGAATGACAGATCAGTATTTTAACCAGGATGGCAGGAATTATTCCTTTTTAAGTGTTTGTGTCAACATAGTACCTTTAACTTGCCCATGCTAGAGGAAACATTAACAATCCTTGGAGAGTCAGATAACTGGAGTAAGGGAACAAGCGCTTCAGCTGTTCTTTTAGCGCCATAGTAGTTTATTTTCAGGCATTTTTCTCCTACCTCTTAAGTCTCAGTCAGCACTCTACTCCAAACGGTTAGCACATCTTCCTGCATTTGTAAGAGAAACTTAAGTAGTAATGGATTCTGAAGACAATAACACAATTCCAAACCTATAAGTAAAACGCCTAGCATCAATTCAATTTTTTGTAAAGGAGACCGTAGCAGCTTCAGAATAGAGAAAAGAGTCGTTAAGTGCTAAGATTTGCGGCTTTTAAAAATTACCTCAGTACCAGAAAATTTTGCAGCTTTTAAAGCTTCATTGTTCACTTCACTTCCCCCTATACCGGCATTATTCACCTGCAAAAGGTCAAACATTCCAGTCACATATTACAATAAATTCGAGTATTAATTTTCCTTATTGCAAATTCCAGAACCTGTCTTCATAAACATGACATAGCACAAAAAAACCAGGTAACTAGATGCATGACATATGTTGATACCAAGGTATCAAGCTTCCCAAATTTGTTTTTCACAAAATCTGCCAGATGAGTGATGCTAGCAGGGTCTGCCACATCAAGCTGGTGAAAAACTAGATGGTCTGAGAGACCAGAGTCTTGCAGCTTTTCAAGAGCCTCAAGACCCATTTTCTCATCTCTAGCGGTTAAAACCACCATGACCCCTTTTGAGGCCAACTGCCTACATGTTTCCAGTCCAATCCCCTTGTTTGCCCCAGTGACAACCGCATACCTGACAGGAAAAGAATCCAAAAAGCACCAAAAAAAAAGGAGTAAATGTTAAATCTTTGGACCTAGAGATGACTGATACAAAATCGCCATGAAAGAAAAGGCTACCTTTGAAGGGACTCCGCCATGACAAGATGGAATTGCTTAGTGGGAATGGAACAAAGAGCTGCTAGCTAGTGGGGTGCCTGAGACTTTATTTAAGGTGGTATTGGGTCTGCGTATCTTTAATTACTCCACCGTATGAAATTGGGGACTACCAAAAGAACGGCGACGAAAACTTCATGTTTCATTGTTTCTTGGGCTTTTGCTTCGGCCGTTTGATTGAAAGGGATGCTTTAGAATTTATTTAAGGTGGTATTGGCTTATCGGGTCTCCCCTTCGGTTTCTTTAATCACTCCGCTCTATGAAATTATGGAACCACATGGCAACTTCTTGTTTCTTGTCCGTTTGATTCACAGTTGGCCTGGAGATACTAATATTTCATTAGACTTCTACCTTTTACTCCTTCAAAACACAAAAAAGTATCATTAAATGTTGAAGCAAACCGAATTATATTAAATGATCAATGGACCATTGCAGCAACAAAGTAAATTTAGTTGTCTTTTCTGTATTATTAAGAGCTGTAATTTGGAATTGCAGAACATACATAGGAGAAACAAGAACATTTTGGTCATTGACCAAGTTGTAATGGACCATTAATCATTTCCTTCAAAAATTTAAAACTTCTTGGCGATTGAACAATAGGCCTGAAGACCCACCAATGGGTAGCAAGGCCACTCTCACTGCATACTCTGCCCCTTCTGCAGCAGTTAAGTAGCCAGCATTGCCAGTGATATCCGTTTTGACAAACCCTGGGGCAACACAATTGACGCAGAAACTGGGGTAGTTCTTGGCTAGTATCCTAGTGTAGGCATTCACAGCTGCTTTTGAGACAGAATAAGCAGTTGCTCCAACATAAGTTGGCCACCCTTTGGTTGTCATCGTTCCATCTTTAAAATCTTTAAGAAACTGGTTCAAAACTTCTTCCACTCTCTCTTCTGTGAGGGTTTCAACATCACTTAACACTCCTTTTGCCCATTCATTGGACATAACCTGAAGCAACAAGAAAAAAAAATGAAAAAATTTCCTCAAAAATAAAAACTTGTTGCCTATGTATATAATCTAGAATTCATATTCGTTTTGGAAATAAATAGATGAAATTGTTCATAAATATTTGGAGCTACAACAATTAGCAATTGTTGTAACATTGTATCTCATACGTTTAGCACTAAAACTTTACCTTCAATAATCCGAGATAAGAGGTAATGTTCACAATCCTTGCTGAATCAGATAGCTGGAGGAAGGGAGCAAGTGCTTCAACCATTCCTTTCATACCATAATAATTCGTTTTCAGGCAGTCTTCTGCCAGCTCATGGGTTTGTGTCGTAATAATCTCATCCCAGACTTGCTCCCCAACTGGCTGCATCCAGACAAGATTTTACTTTGTTAGTAATTCCATTGAGTCACTAGAGGCGTAAATAAATCAGTTATAAACAACTTTATTATGTGATTTGTGAACGTTGAAATATTATCTGTGATCATTTATTAGACTTAATAAATAAATGTAAATGAATAGAAACCGAATTTGTTTATAAATTGTTCGTCGAATGTTTTGTTTATTTATACTCCAAGGAAAAACAAACCGAACAAGAAAGAATTTTGTTATATTTTTTATATGTTCGATTGATTAATGAATCTGAAATATTATTCATGATTTTTTTGTTAAACTTGATAAATGAAGATAAATGAATAGGATAAAAAATTATTGGATCAAATATTCTGTTCGTTTACAACTATATGAGTAAGCAGATAGTTAAATTTCCAAAAAAAAAAAAAATGCATGCAATGAAGTTCTGTTTCATTAGAAAGAAAAATTAGAGCAAATTCTGGGGTATTAATTGGTATCCAATGCCAGTAATTTGAAGCTAATTCGATGGGGAAAACATTCCCATGAATTTGGAATATAAACTCTAATCGCTTGATCTTTTTTCATCAGTCTTAAACAAGATTAGTACTTCAATTTACAGAAATATCAATTGACTCTTCTTAACCGTATGACTGACTAATCATGCTAACATATACTTCCACTTTGATATGAATTTAAACTCCTAAAAACAGCTCAAAACAAAGGTGTGGCAGTGATACAGATGGAATCCAAGACTTACCCAATCTCCAAAACGTTCAACAGCTCTAGCGAAACTGTCATAGTTCATAATGACTCCAGCAATCGCTGCATTATTGACCTGCACGAGATTCCGTCATTCTCTGATTGCTTTTTTTTTTTTGGCTTTGTTAAACCCATATTAAAAAAAAAAAAAAGACAGTTTATACCAAGATATCAAGTTTTCCGAATTGGGTCCTGATGAAAGCTGCAAGTGAAGCAATACTAACAGGGTCTGTCACATCAAGCTGGAGGAAAACCACATGATCAGAAAGACCAGACTCCTTCAGCTTCTCAAAAGCTTCAAGACCTCTGTTCTCATCTCTAGCAGCCAACACCACTGTTACTCCTTTCGAAGCCAGCTGCCTACATATTTCCAGCCCAATTCCCTTGTTTGACCCAGTAACCACAGCATACCTGAAAGAAAGAAAAAAAAAGAAAAAGGAATAAGCAATATGGTAAAGATGTGTAAAGAATGAAGCACTTAAATCACAGGGTTACCTCTTTGTTTCGAGAAAGTCGCATGTTTGTGCCATTCTTCTTATTCTTCTGTCTCGGTGGATTCTGATGAATAAGAGAGTGACAAAATAAACAAGCCTAACTTGGGAAATAAGCAAAAGACTAACCGATGAGACTGACACAAAATATTTGGTGAAGGCTGCGGAGACCTGGTCAAGGCTGCAAATTTTGACGCTTTTTAGTACTGATGATGAAAGAAGACAGAAAAATGAGGAAAGGAAAAAAATTCACAGGTAAATTTTAAATTAAATTCCCATTACTCCAGTCTTTCTTTACAACTGTTGACAGTTGAACCAAAGTTTTGAAGATTTTTTCTTTCTGCAAATTGTGCCTAATCTTTCATTATTATATAGGTGCCACGGGGTGGAAAACAGAAAAGGGTGGTGTTGAGCCAATGTTTTAAATTTTCCGGGAAAGTGATATCAGGGTTTTGTATAGAACCAGTTAGACTGAGACTGAAATTGACAAAATAGATTAATTGAAAGCGTCGATAGCGGTGAGTACAAGGAATTCATCTGAGTTAAATCCAAATGAAAGTATTCAGTTGCCACTTGCCAGCCCCTTTACCCTCCTTGACAAAAACAGAAGCAATAGATTACCCTGCATTTCCACATTTGAAATGAAGATCATTTGTCTTTACCAATACAGTTGATATCTTATGAATCTCGACGAGACGAAAAGATACTCCAATTTATTTTACATGTATGTTTCATCAGTATACAGTTCACATTAGTAAATGCAAAGAATGGAAGGGTTCTCAGTTGCAGTACTCAAAATGAAAGCTCGCATTAGATAGAAAGAAAGTTGATTCACTGAATGGAGAAGGTATTATTATCTAGTGAACAGAAACCATAAAAAAAAAAAAGAAAGGAGATTTTGGACTCAGTGGAAGCCATATATTATTATGACAATGCCAGTTTTCTTGATAAGCTTAATTAAAAAACGAAAAGAAGAGACATTACAGATAACAATTAGCTGAAAATGAAGAATTGAATGATTTTGAACGTCTCTTGATAAATAATGTAAACTAATAGTAAAAGAACCAAGTGAACAGGATTGTTTCCCTTTTGGAGCGCGGTCCACGTAGAAGTAGCTTCCAATGTGAAAGCCTACTTCTCATGAACAAGTGGGCTGTAAACTGGATACCACATATGTCGAAACACGTATTCCACCGTCTCATCCTGCCACCCATTGATTGAAAAGCATAAGAAAATATATTTCTAAGGGAGGGGGACACCAAGCAAGAGGCTTCCCAAAATAACCCTTTTGAACGGTGATTATTTGAACTACTAAATAAACACCCTGCTGACCAAGTCCGGTAAGTTTGCAATTTTACCATAGAAAACTGGTAGAAGTTTACAAGGGATCAAAAGAAGTAAGGTGAGAGAATTTTCATACTTTTGACATATGCGACAGTTCTCTAGGACCCACGTCACCATGCCCTTCAGCCAATTCCTCTGCAACAGCAGCTCGCACAACAGATGCCCCAACCTCAGCTGTGATATGTCGATTACCGCATGGTGCACAAGCAGAATGAACTTGATTCAGGAGCAAAAAATTGGATATAGAAAATGAAATGGAAAAAGTGGGACCCCAAAAACCTTACATCCTCCTAATTATCTCCAATGGTCAAAGAATGTTTCTTACAGGCAATATATTTGGATCATTTCTAACGTAGATCCCAGTGTAATAAATACCTGTCTACTTTAAGTAAACTAAAATCTAGATCATTGTGACAGGCAAATGATATGTTGATATCATACCCAGCTAAACCATAAAAACTGGGTGTCCATTGAAATCTTGAGTAAATGAACAAAAAACAGAACAAATAATTTTCACCACTTTGAACAATTAAGGAGAAGTCACCAGTGAAAGTAGAGAATATTACCTATCGATAGATGGATACAAGATGCCCTTTTGGATTTCTTCATCGGTCATATAAGATGCAAGGCTGCAAGGATAGCATCACATATGAAATTGTGGACTACCAAAAGAACGGCAACGATAACTTCATGTTTCATTATTTCTTGGGCTTTTGCTTGGGCCGTTTGATTCAAAGGGATGCTTTAGATTTTATTTTAAGGTGGTGTTGGCTTATTGGGTCTCCCCTTAGGTTTTCTTTAATTACTCCGCTCTATGAAATTATGGAACCACATGGCAACTTCATGTTTCTTGTCCTTTTGCTTCAGCCGTTTGATTCACAGTTGGCCTGGAGATACTAATATTTCATTAGACTTCTACCTTTTATTCCTTAAAAACCCAAATCTAAGTATCATTAAATGTTCAAGCAAACCGAATTCTATTAAATGATCAATGGACCAATGCAGCAACAAAGTAAATTTTGTTGTCTTTTCTGTATTATTAAGAGCTGTAATTTGGAATTGCAGAACCTACATAGGAGAAATAGGAACATTTCGGTCATTGACCAAGTTGTAATGGATCATTAATCATTTCCTTCAAAAATTTAAAACTTCTTGGCGATCTAATAATAGGCCTGAAGAACCACCAATGGGTAGCAAGGCCACTCTCACTGCATACTCTGCCCCTTCTGCAGCAGTTAAGTAGCCAGCATTGCCAGTGATATCCGTTTTGACAAACCCTGGGGCAACACAATTGACGCAGAAACTGGGGTAGTTCTTGGCTAGTATCCTAGTGTAGGCATTCACAGCTGCTTTTGAGATAGAATAAGCAGTTGGTCCCAAATAAGTTGGCCACCCTTTGGTTGTCATCGTTCCATCTTTAAAATCTTTAAGAAACTGGCTCAAAACTTCTTCCACTCACTCTTCTGTGAGGTTTCAACATCACTTAACACTCCTTTGGCCCATTCATTGGACATAAGCTGAAGCAACAAGAAAAAAAATGAAAAAATCTGCTCAAAAATAAAAACTTGTTGCATATGCATATAGTCTACAATTCATATTTGTTTTGGAAGTAAATAGAGGAAATTGTTCATAAATGTTTGGAGCTAAAACAATTAGCAATTGTTGTAACATTGTATCACCAAGGTTCTGCACTAAAACTTTACCTTCAATAATCCGAGATAAGAGGTAATGTTCACAATCCTTGCTGAATCAGATAGCTGGAGGAAGGGAGCAAGTGCTTCAACCATTCCTTTCATACCATAATAGTTCGTTTTCAGGCAGTCTTCTGCCAGCTCATGGGTTTGCTTCGTAATAATCTCGTTCCAGACTTGCTCCCCAACTGGCTGCATCCAGACAAGATTTTACTTTGTTAGTAATTCCATTGAGTCACTAGGGGCGTAAATAAATCAGACATAAACAACTTTACCATGTGATTTGTGAACATTGAAATATTATCTTAGATCATTTATTAGATTTAATAAATAAATGTAAATGAATAAAAACCAAATCTGTTTATAAATTTTTCATCGAATATTTTGTTCATTTATACTTTAAGTGAAAACAAATCGAACAAGACAGAATTTTGTTATATTTGTGATATATTCGTTTGATTAATGAATCTAAAATATTATTCATTATTGTTTGTTAAACTTGATAAATAAAGATAAATTAATAGGATCAAAAATTATTAGATTAAACATTCTGTTCGTTTACACCTATATGAGTAAGCAGATAGTTAAATTTTCAAAAAAAAAAAATGCATGCAATAAAGTTCTGCTTCATTAGAAAGAAAAATAAGAGCAAATTCTGGGGTATTAATTGGTATCTAATGCCAGTAACTTGAAGCTAATGCGATTGGAAAAACATTCCCATGAATTTGTAATATAAATTCTAATTGCTTGATCTTTTTTCATCAGTCTTTAACAAGTTTAGTACTTCAATTTACAGAAATATCATTTGACTCATCTTGACCGTATGACCAATCATGCTAACATATACTTCCACTATGATATGAATTTAAACTCCAAACAACGGCTCAAAACAAAGGTGTGGCAGTGATACAGATGGAATCCAAGACTTACCCAATCTCCAAAACGTTCAACAGCTCTAGCGAAACATTGATGGTTCGTAATGACTCCAGTAATTGCGGCATTATTGACCTGCACGAGATTCCTTCATTCTCATTGTTATAATTGCTTTTTTTTTTTTGGCTTTGTTAAACCCATATATATATATATATATATTTTAAAAAGGACAATTTATACCAAGATATCAAGTTTTCCAAATTGCGTCCTGATGATTGTGACAGGCAAATGATACATTGGTAGCATACCCAGCTAAACCATAAAAACTGGGTGTCCATTGAAATTATGAGTAAATAACAAAGAACAGAACAAATAATTTTCACCACTTTGAACAGCTAAGGAGAAGTCACCAGTGAAAGTAGAGAATATTACCTATCGATAGATGGATACAAGATGCCCTTTTGGATTTCTTCGTCGGTCATATAAAATGCAAGGCTGCAAGGATGGCATCTCATTGACACCCTCCGGAATAAGAAAGAATGTTTTAATCATAGTAAAAAAGCTCATTTCAATGAATATATGCACAAGCAGAAATGATTAGGGGAGTGATTTAATCAATTAGCATTTCAATAAAGAATGCACAATAACATGGGGGAACACAAGCCCACACCAACCTATTATTCTTTTTAAGCCCCTAATTTTGAATCACTAAGAAACTAAAGTCCCCGTGCAGTCTGCTTTAAACATCAACTAGAATTAGAATCCTGCTAAAGTTCTATAACAGCCAGCTGGGTATTGCAAATAGTAAATAAATAGGTAGTTTTCCAAGCATTATTCACGGTGAATTCTGGACTTCAAGATTTATCAAGAGTGCAAAAGAGAGAACAAAAACAGAAACAACTATATAACCAGATACATAACATTCAGCAGCAGCTTGCAACATTCCATTAGTTATAAAACGAGCACCTGAGAGTGAAGCTCCCAAACCAATCCTGGATTAAAAGCAACAATAGCTAAATCAAAGTTAAGATCTAAGTATGGTCAAGAAAAAAACAACAATGAACAAGTATATAGCACCAACCCCGGGAACAGGTACATGTTATTTGCTTGATTTACGTGGCCCACTTTGCCATTACCTGTCAGCAAGCAAATGATTAATTAAGATGTAATACCCACAAATGAAAAAAACCAGAATTTGCGTCACAAGCTCCCTTATCAAGGAAAGCAGCACCAAATTCTTGTAAATGTATTATGCAAAATCTTTCAAACAAGATGAACTTCAATTAGTACGGAAGATAACAAGATTGACATTTTCAAAAGGGCTTCCACTGGCGAAGACTATGTTTTCTCCAGCATGCTTAAAAGCATCAGCAGCAGTGCATTCAGCTGTCCAACGGGAATGCAAACAGAATGTCAAGACTGTGGAAAAACTAAAAAATAAAACTATGTGGAAAACTAAAACTGAATGTATATTGAAAAACTGCTCATATAGAATTATACAATAATCTTAAGTTTATATACAACTAAATAGGGGTTAAACTAGGAAACTAAATCTTTCAAAAAACTGATCTTATAATTGAGAGGTTGTCTATCCTAATTTTTTTATCCTTAATTCTAGGGATATAAATATTTAATTCTAGATATACAAATAGAATTACATAAATTACAACCAGCTGTTAATAAATATTTTCCCATACTCCCCCTCAAGCTGGTGAATAGGTATTTTCCATTCCCAGCTTGGAGATAATTTCTTAAAATGTTGCACCGCTGAGACCTTTTAGTCAATACATCTGCAAGTTGACCCTTGGTTGATACATAAGGTGTACAAATCAGCCTCCTGTCTAGTTTCTCCTTTATGAAATGCCGATCTACTTCAATGTGTTTTGTTCTATTATGTTGCACAAGGTTATGTGCAATGCTTATTGCAGACTTGATATCACAGAAGAGTCTCATTGGTCCATCCCATTTAATCTTCAAGTCTTCTAAGATAATCTTTAACCATAGTAGTTCACAAATTCCTCGAGCCATTGCTTTGAATTTTGCTTCAGCACTTGATCTTGCCACCACATTCTGTTTTTTACCCCTCCAAGTCACAACATTACTACCTAAAAAATTGCAGTAGCCTGAAGTAGATATTCTATTAGTTACTGAACCTGCATAATCAACATCTGTACATGCTTCTAGAACTAGCTCTGAATTTCTTTTGAATAAGATACCTCTCCCAAGATTAGCCTTCAAATAGTACAATATACAATGGATAACCTGTGCACTTCTTTAGGATTATGCATAAATTGACTTACCACACTCACAGCATATACTATATTAAGTTTAGTATGTGAGAGATAAATGAGTATTTCAACTAATCTTTGGTACATCTCTTTATCTACAGCAATATCTTCATTAGCTTCTCCAATTTTATGATTAGGATCTATAGGGATATTTGCAGGTTTACATGCGAGCTTCCCAGTTTCCTTCAAAAGATCCATCACGTATTTCTATTGTGAGATGAAAATACCATACCGTGAGTGAGCTACTTCAATTCCTATGAAGTACTTTAATCTCCCTAGCTTTTTATCTCAAATTCTCTTGCCAAACACTATTTTAGAGATTCTCTCTCTTTTTCATCATCTCCAGTTACAATTATATTATCAACATACACTAATAAAACTGTGACTCTCCCTGAATTAGAGTGCTTGATAAACAATGTGTGATCTCCTTGACTCTGTTTATATCCCATTGCTAGCATCACTTTGGCAAATCTCTCGAACCAAGCGCTAAGAGACTGTTTAAGGCCATGTAAAGCCTTTTTTAGCTTTCATACTTTGTTTCCTTCTAGATGACCTCTAAATCTTGGTGGAACCTTCATATATATTTTTTCTTCTAAATCACCATGTAGCAAAGTATTCTTTACATCAAATTGTTGAAACTGTCAATTGTAATTTACAGCCAATGATAACAAAATTCTAACTGTATTCATCTTGGCAACTGGAACAAAGGTTTCCTGATAATCCACTCCATAGGTTTGAGTGTAGCCCTTAGTTACTAACTTGGCTTTATACCTTTCAACAGTACCATCCACTTTGTATTTTACAATGAAAACTCATTTACACCTTACAGGATTTTTTCTTTTAGGCAACTCTACCATTTCCCATGTCTTATTTTTCTCTAAGGCCTCCATTTTTATTTTCATGGCTTGCCTTCATTTCTTACTAGATAATACCTTGGATAATGTAGCTGAAATAAAAATAGTATTTAAACTCACAAGAAAATTTTCGTGGGATAGTGAGAATTTTTCAAATGACACAAAATTAAAGATTGAGTATAGTGGATGCTTTGTACATTCTCTGGTTCCTTTCCTAATGACAATAGACAGATCATAATCACTAGTTATAGTTTTAGGAGATTCATGCTTATTTTGAGAAACAAAGTTTAAAACTGTAATTACCTCATTTTTAGAGTTAGGATCAGGTTCTTGGACTGATATTGGTTCAGGATCTGAAACTTTTCTTCTTGAGTACACCTATAATTCCTTCATATAATCAAAAATAATATTATCTTTTGTCACATTTTTTGTATTTGGAATGGGTTTAGACTCAAATTCAATGTTTGACTTGGGCTTAGCAGAAATAGGTTTCGACTCAGAAGAATTAATTGGTGAAAATGTTGAAGAAGGCGACAAAGACAAATCAAGCAAAAAGAAGTCTTTATCCTTATCTTCCATGAATGAAGTCTCCCTTTGAAGATAAGGTTAAGTAAAAAATGATTTATTTTCAAAAGTGACATCTACAGACACAGAAAATTTTTTGGTAAGAGGATGATATCTTATACCCTTTCTGAGTTGAAGAATACCCCACAAAGATACATTTAATCGCTCTTGGATCCAACTTTCCCTTGTTATGACTGTGAATATGAACAAATGATGTACAACCAAGTATCCTAAGTGTGAGGTTGTTTGTGGTATTAAGGTTGGGATAGAATTATGACAGTAGTTTCATAGGAGTTTTAAATCTCAAAACCCTTGAAGGTAACCTATTTATAATGTATGTGACAGTGAGAACAGCTTCCTCCAATAAGATTTGGGTACATTTGCTTGAAAAAGAAAGGCTCGGGTTGTGGCTAATAAATGGGTATTTTTCCTCTCTGCTACTCCATTCTGTTGTGGAATATTAACACAAGATGACTCATGAATAATCCCCTCCTTTTTGAAAATAGGTGGATAGACTCTGGTTAAAATAGTCTCTTGCATTATCAGATCTAAATCTCTTGATTCTCACTCCAAATTGATTTTGGATCATGTTTTGGAAGCTTAAAAATATACTATTCACATCTGATTTGGATTTAAGTAAAAAAATCCAAAAAACTCTGGTACAATCATTTATGAATGAAACAAACCATCTTGCATCAGAAATATTAGAAATTATAGAGGGACCCAAAATGTCTCTATGAATCAAGTAAAAATAGTAAAACTTCTTTTGTTACTAATTGAAAAAGACACACGTTTGTGTTTTGCAAGTTCACAAACATCACAATAAAAATCTTAAATATTTAATCCTTTGAACAAAGAGGGAAACATGTTTTTCAAAGTTCCAAAAGAAGGATATCCAAGACGAAAATGATAAAGCCAGATTTTGTCTTTATTGAAAAATTTTTCAAAAAAAAATGACAAAGGTAAACTATTCTTGATATTACTTGTGTTATTTGATGTCTCAAGATAGTATAGTCCATCATTCTCCTTAGCAAGTGCAATCCTCTTCCCCGAACTTTGGTCATAAAATTCACAATAAAATGGATAAAAGGTAACTTTGCAATTCATATCTTTGATAAGTTTTTGTATAGATATCAGATTAGTAGACAATCCAGGAACATGAAGAACATTTTTCAAAACAAATGAGAGATTACCTTGAACATCTCTTAATCCTGCCACTGTAGTAAGTGAACCATTTGCAATAATAATTTTCTTATTACTAGGACACAGGGTATATGTACTAAACTTCTGTGAGGAATGTGTCATATGGTTTGTGGCCCCTGAATCAATGACCCAAAAACTCGTAATAAGCTTAACTGAGACATTTAATCTATGAAAACCAGAAGCTTTACCTGAACTACAGACCTTACCCAAGAAACATACCATAGTAGGCTTTTCAAGAGTTTTCAATAAGGTTCTCATCTTTTCAATCTCTTCTCTATCGAACTCTCCTTGTTTCCGAGATATCTATAGTATTCTGATGATTTTCCCAGTTGACGCTTCTTTAAATTGGGTGATAGTGATATCTTTCTTTGAACTGAAACAAGTTTTAAGATATAACTAAAAATGACTCTTAGCAATGAAAGCTAAAGAAGGGAAAAATAGAATAACTATGAAGGCCTAAAATAGAAGTCAACAATGAAGGCCGAAAATTTTGCTTCCCAAAAAGAGCTTAAAGCTCTGATACCATGTAAAAAAACTAAAAAATAAAACTGTGCGAAAAAGTAAAACTGAATGTATATTGAAAAACTGCTCATATAGAATTATACAAAAACCTTAAGTTTATATACAACTAAATAGAAGTTAAACTAAGAAACTAAATCTTCCAAAAAAACTGATCGAATTGTCTATCCTAATTTCTAGGGATACAAATACTTAATTCTAGATATACAAATATAACTACATAAATTACAAGATTACAACCAGTTATAAATAAATGTTTTTCTACAAAGACAAAATATCTAGTTTCATAAGGAAAATCCAAATGCAGGACAGGGCAGAAAAAACAGACCATTCATGGTGGGATTTGACATCGCAAAAATAGCAGGTTTACTTGAATCAGATTCATGCAAGGCCTTGAGCACCTGTTTTTGTGCCAATGCAGTACTGAGGAACACAACACAATGCAGAATGCAAGCAGTAATTAAAATTAGAAAACAAGCATAAACTCCCTTCAACGACAAAACAAAGGTGTTATGAACAATATATATAATAGAGATAAATAGAAAAGTATGAATTTCAACCTCTTCATTGAACACACCACCAACTTCAGACAAACCAAGAAGCACATCAGGCTTGACATTTTTAACCTGAATAAAATTTTACTTCTGCAATCAAAATTACAATGCTTTAAGTAAAATTGAAAACAGAGAAAGAAAAAAGCTGCAGTCTTTTGATAAGAAGTGGAAATTTAAAGCCAGAGAAAAGGTGGAGATTAACTGAAAAACTTCTGACCTTTGAATTTTGGTGGAATTTTAAAGAATGAGTTGAGAAAGTGTAATAAAAAGGACACGGAATTTAAAGTAGATCCGGCCTTTAATGGCGGAAACCAGGGGGAGTTCCCGGGGATTAATAATTTGTTGAAGGGGTTGCTTGAGTTCGGGAGTTTCTTCAGATCTGAACTGTACATTAGATTACAGTCTGCCAAATACAACTAGTGTAGTTTCCTTGTGGTGTTTCTACTTCTATGTAGATTCATTGGAACACAAATCAGGATCGTCTACGTGTTACTTCATCCAATCCGATGGTTAATATGGGTTAGTAAATGGGCTTTGTCAAAGCCCAGGGTCTAGGGTTTGTGAGGGCTATTGTCGGTGAACAAGAGTTTGGAAAGTGCACTTGCTTTTCTTAGTATCTTTTGTCTTCATATTAAAGGAGATTTCTCACCATCACTTTCGTCTATCAAGGGACCATTTGGCAACTTCCTCCAAGTTATCAATCCGTCTCTCCTTATCATAGTCAGGCGGTGCGTGTACGGTCCCGGAACGCGATTGCCATCAGGCTTATACGGAGACGTACTCTTAGCCCGATCCAGAAAGCAAAAGTATTATTATCTTGGGCCTTATATGTTTTAGAAGTTTTCAAGTCCAATGTTCAGATTTGGTCATATTTTCTATGATAATCTATTAAATAATTAAAGGATCAAAATTTATTAGGAACTCCAATTATTGTTTTGAATCGTGAGAACGAAAATAATAAATTTGAAAGAACTTATCTTTTTATGAAATTCAATCTAATTTAATTTTGAATTAATCGAAATTTAAAATGGTTATCGAATATGAAAGTTTAAACAAAAAAATAAATAAATAAATAATGGGGAGAGGGTTTGTTTCATATAGCTTTTTTTTTTTTTTTTTTTTACTCTATGGTGTTTGATTGGCTAGCTTGTTGCTTTCTATCAAAGTGGGACCTTGTTTGCGCACAAGAAAACGGAAGCAGCAACTTTCGCTGCTTGACCTTTTGCATGAGACAGACATTAACGTAGCTAAATTTATAGCTTTTCAAATCAGAACAGAACAAACAACTTGACCATATTTCATAAATATTTCGACATACATGGGCGTTAAGTTTTGCAAAGAAAAATTACAGCAACAGGATTTTTAAAAGCATTCTTATTATACTTAATGAAAAAGAGAGACTGTGAACAAAGTCCCCACGTACTAGTTTCACCTCTCTGATGAGTTTTCATTGTTATTCTCAATCAAAACGGTGCAGGTTCACCCTCAACGAAAAATAGGCCAGAAGGACCACCGTTCTGCAAGAGTGCTAACTTAACAGGAGTCACAGCACCTTCTTCAACAGTTAACTTACCAGTATTGAAATTTATATCTGTTTTGACAAAACCAGGGCAAACACAGTTGATGCAGAAGTCTGGGTACATCTTGGCCAAAATCCTTGTGTAGGCATTCATGGCTGCTTTTGAGACTGAATACGCAGAAAGAACAGTTGGCCAACCTTTACTTTCTAATGAATCCTCCTTCAAATCCTTTAGAAACTCAGTGACTAACTCATCAACTTTCTCTAGTGTATCAGCATCCCTAAATACTCCTTTGAACTGTTCACTCGGTATATACTGAGACAAAATCAGAAGAAACTTTGTGGTCAAACTTCATGAGTGTGGTTTAGTTAATCCAGACATGCAGTTCTTATTCTCAAGCTGGAATGACAGATCAATATTTTTACCAGGATGGCAGGAATTATTCCTTTTTAAGTGTTTGTGTCAACATAGTACCTTTAACTTGCCCATGCCAGAGGAAACATTAACAATCCTTGGAGAGTCAGATAACTGGAGTAAGGGAACAAGCGCTTCAACTGTTCTTTTAGCGCCATAATAGTTTGTTTTCAGGCATTTTTCTCCTACCTCGTAAGTTTCAGTCAGCACTTTACTCCAAACGGTTAGCACATCTTCCTGCATTTGTAAGAGAAACTTAATTATTAATGGATTCTGAAGACATAATAACACAATTCCAAACCTACAAGTAAAACACCTAGCATCAATTCAATTTTTTTTCATAAAGGAGATCGTAGCAGCTTGGGAATAGAGGAAAGAATTGTAAGTGCTAGGATTTGCAGCTTTTAAAAATTACCTCAGTACCAGAAATGTTTGCAGCTTTTAAAGCTTCATTGTTCACTTCACTTCCCCCTATGCCAGCATTATTCACCTGCAAAAGGTCAAACATTCCAGTCACATATTGCAATAAATTCGAGTATTAATTTTCCTTATTGCAAATTCCAGAACCTGTCTTCATAAACATGATATAGCACAAAAAGAGCAGGTGACTAGATGCATGACATATGTTGATACCAAGATATCAAGCTTCCCAAATTTGTTTTTCACAAAATCTGCCAGATGAGTGATGCTAGCAGGGTCTGCCACATCAAGCTGGTGAAAAACTAGATGGTCTGAGAGACCAGAGTCTTGCAGCTTTTCAAGAGCCTCAAGACCCCTTTTCTCATCTCTAGCAGTTAAAACCACCATGACCCCTTTTGAGGCCAACTGCCTACATATTTCCAGTCCAATCCCCTTGTTTGCCCCAGTGACAACCGCATACCTGACAGGAAAAGAATCCAAAAAGCACCCAAAAAAAAAGGAGTAAATGTAAAATGTTTGCAACTAGAGGTCACTGAAACAAAATCGCCATGAAAGAAAAGGCTACCTTTGAAGGGACTCCGCCATGACAAGAGGGAATTCCTTAGTGGGAATGGAACAATGAGCTGCTAGCTAGTTGGGTGCCTCAGACTTTGTTTAAGGTGGTATTGGTTCCACGTGTCTTTAATTCTCCACCATAAGAAATTGTGGACCCCCAAAAGAACGGCAATGGCAACTTCATGTTTCATTGTTTCTTGGGCTTTTGGGCGTTTGATTCAAAGGGATGATTTAGAATTTATTAAACGTGGTGTTGGCTTATTGGGTCTCCCCTTCGGTGTCTTTAATTACTCCGCTCTATGAAATTATGGAACCACATGGCAACCTCATGTTTCTTGTCCTTTTGCTTCAGCCGTTTGATTCACAGTTGGCCTGGAGATACTAATATTTCATTAGACTCCTACCTTTTACTTCTTCAAAACACAAATCAAAGTATCATTAAATGTTCAAGCAAACCGAATTCTATTAAATGATCAATGGACCAATGCAGCAACAAAGTAAACTTAGTTGTCTTTTCTGTATTATTAGGAGCTGCAATTTGGAATTGCAGAACATACATAAGAGAAACAAGAATGTGAAAAAACGAAAAAAATAAAATTGTGTAAAAAATTAAGAGAAAAAATTGAATATATATTGAAAAATTACTCATTAAAAATTATACAAGCATCTTATGTTTATATGCAACTAATTAGGAGTTAAACCAAGAAATTAAATCTTTTTAAAAATCAATCCTTGTGAAAAAACTAAAGAATAAATTTGTGTAAAAAATTAAGAGAAAAAACTTAATGTAAATTAAAAAGTTACTTATTAAAAATTATACAAGCAGTTTAGTCTTATATACAACTAACTAAGAGTTAAACTAGAAAACTAAATCTTCCTAAAAATTGATCTTATAGTTTAAGGATTATCTATCATAATTTTTTATCTTTAATTCTAGGAATGCAAGTACTTAATTCTAGAGATACAAATATAAATATACATATTACAATATTACAATCAGCTATAAATAAGTGTTTTCTCACATTCTCCTCAAGCTGGTGAATAAGTGTTTTTCATTCTTAGCTTGGCAATAATTTTTTGAAATGTTGCACTACTGAAACATTTAGTCAACACATCTGTAAGTTGACCCTTGGTTGATACATAAGGTGTACAAATCAACCCACTGCCTAATTTTTCCTCTATGAAATGTTAGTCTACTTCAATGTGTTTTGTTCTATCATGTTGCACAGGATTGTGTGCAATGCTTATTTCAGACTTGTTATCACAATAGAGTCTCATTGGTTCATCCCACTTGATCTTCAACTCTTCTAGGATAATCTTTAATCATAGTAGTTCACAAATTTCTTGAGTCATTGCTCTGAACTCTACTTCAACACTTGATCTTGTCACCACATTCTGTTATTTACTCTTTCAAGTCACAAGATTACTACCTAAGAAAGTGCAGTAGTCTGAGATGAATTTTTTATCAGTTACTGAACCTATATAATTAGCATCTGTATATGCTTCTATAACTAGCTTTGAATTTCTTTTGAATAAGATATCTCTCCCAAGATTGGCTTTCAAATAGTGCAATACATGGTAAACACTCTGTAGGTGCACTTCTTTAAGACTATGAATAAATTAACTTACTACATTTACAACATATGTTACATCAAGTCTAGTATGTGAGAGATAAATGAGTCTTCTAACTAATCTTTGGTACATCTCTTTATCTATAGTAGCATCTTCATTAGCTTTTTTAATTTTATGATTAGGATCTATAAAGGTATTTACAAGTTTACATGCGAGCTTTCTAGTTTCTTTCAAAAGATCTATCATATATTTCTGTTGTGAGATGAAAATATCATGTTATAAGTAAGCTACTTTAATTCTTTAAAAATACTACAATCTTTCTAGCTTTTTTATCTCAAATTCTCTAGCCAAGTACTATTCTAGAGATTTTTTTTTTCATTATCTTCAGTTACAATTATATCATCAACATACACTAATAGAATTGTAACTCTCCTTGAATTAGAGTGTTTGATAAACAATGAGTGATCTCATTGGCTCTGTTTATATCTCATTGCTAGCATCACTTTGGTAAATCTTTCGAATCAAGTCCTAGGAGATTGTTTAAGGTCATATAAAGCTTTTTTTAGCTTGCATGCTTTGTTTGCTTTTGATGACCTTCAAATCCCAATGAAATTTTCATATATATTTCTTCTCCCAAATCACCGTGTAGAAAAACATTATTTACATCAAATTGTTGAAGTTGCCAATTGTAATTTGTAGCTAATGATAACAAAATTCTAACTGTATTCATCTTGGCAATTGGAGCAAAAGTTTCTTAGTAATCCACTCAATAGGTTTGAGTATAGCCCTTAGTCACTAACCTAGCCTTATACCTTTTAACAGTACCATCCGTCTTATATTTTATAGTGAAAACCCATTTACACCCTATTAAAATTTTTTTCATTAGGCAACTCTACCAGTTCCCATGTCTTATTTTTCTCTAAGGCTTTCATTTTTATTTTTATGGCTTACCTTTATTTCTCACTAGATAATACCTTGGATAATGTAGTTAGAATAAGAAAAATATTTAGGCTCACAAGAAAAAATTTATGGGATGGTGAAAATTTTTCAAATGACCCAAAATTAGAGATTGGGTATAATGGATACTTAGTACATTCTCTAGTTCATTTCCTAATGGTAATAGGTAAATCATAATTACTAATTATAGTTTTAAGAGATTTATTCTCATTTTGAGAAACAAAGTCAAATACTATAGTTACCTCATTTCCAGAGTTAGGATCAGATTCTTGGCTGGCACTAATTCATGATCTGAAACTTTTTTTCTTGAGTACACCTGTAATTACTTCTTAGAATTAAGAATAATATTATCGTTTGTCACATCTTTTGTGTTTGAAATAGATTCAGACTCAAATTTAGTGTTTGACTTTGCTCAACAGAAATAAGTTTCAACTCAGAAGAATTAATGGGTGAAAATGTTAAAAAAGAGAATAAATCAAGCAAAAAGAAATCTTTATTCTTATTTTTCATGAATGAAGTCTCCCCCTGAAAATAAGGTTGAGTAAAAAATGATTTACTTTCTCCCAAAGTGACATCTACAAGCACATAAAATTTTTTTAGTTGGAGAATGATAACACTTATACCTTTCTGAGTTGATGAATATCCCACAAAAATGCATTTAATTCCTCTAGGATCCAACTTCCCTCTATTATGATTGTGAACATGAGCAAATGATGTACAACTAAATATCTTAGGTGTAAGGTTATTTGTGGTATTAAAGTCAGGATAGAATTGTGAGAGTAGTTTGATAGGAGTTTTAAATCTCCAAACCTTTGAAGGTAACCTATTTATAATATGTGTGGCAGTAAGAATAGCTTCACTCCAGTCAGATTTGGGTATGTTTGTTTGAAAAAGTAAAGCTCGAGTTATAGCTAGTAAATGACTATTTTTCTCTCTGTCACTCCATTCTACTGTGGAGTATTAACACAAGATAACTCATGGATAATCCCTTCATTTTGGAAATAGGTAGATAAACTCTAGTTGAAATAGTCTTTTATGTTATCATATCTAAATCTCTTGATTTTCACACCAAATTGATTCTGGATCATGTTTTGGAAGCTAAAAAATATACTATTCACATCTGATTTGAATTTAAGTAAAATTATCTAAAAGACTCTAATACAATTAACTATGAAAGAAGCAAATCACCTTGCACCCGAATATTAAGAATTGCATAGGAACCCCATATGTCATTGTGAATCAAGTAAAAATGAGTAAAATTTCTTTTATTGCTAACTGAAAAAGACACACATCTATGCTTTGCAAGTTCACAAACATCACAATGAAAATTTTTAGCATTTAATCCTTTGAACAAAGAAGGAAACATATTTTTCGAAGTTTCAAAAGAATGATGTCTAAGATGAAAATAATAAATCCAGATTTTATCTTTATTGAGAGATTTTTCAAAAAAAAAAATGACAAAGATAAACTATTCTTGATATTACTTATGTTGTTTGATGTCTCAAGATAGTATAGTCCATCATTTTCCTTAGCAAGTTCAATTCTCTTTCTTGAACTTTGGTCTTGAAAATTACAATAAGAGGGATAAAAAATTACTTTGCATTTCATATCTTTGATAAGTTTTTATATAGATATCAGATTGTAGACAATCGAGGAACATGAAGAACATTTTTAAGAACAAACGAGAGATTAATTTGAACATCTCCTAATCCTACTATTGTAATAAGTGAATCATCTGCAACAATAATTTTCTTATTATTAGGACACATAATATATGTACTAAATTTCTGTGAGGAATGTGTCATATGGTTTATGGCTCTTGAGTCCATGATTCAAGAACTCGTAATAGGCTTAACTGAGATATTTAATCCATGAAAATCATAAGCTTTACCTTAACTAAAGACTTTACCCAAAGAACATATCCCAATTGGTTTTCTAAGAGTTTTCAATAGGTTTCTCAGACATTTGTAGTATTCAGCTGATTTTTTCAATTGACACTTCCTCAAATTAGGTGGTAATGATATCTTTCTTTAAACTGAAATAAGTCTTAAAATATAATCATAAATAACTTTTAGCAATGAAGGCTAAAAAAGAAAAAAATAAAATGGCTATGAAGGTCTTAATAGGGTTCGACAATGAAAGCCTAAAATAAAAGTCAGCAATGAAAACTAAAAATTTTGCTTCCCAAAAAGAGCCTAAAGTTCTAATATCATGTGAAAAAATAAAAAAATAAAATTGTGTGAAAAACTAAAAGAAAAAACTAAATGTATATTAAAAAACTACTCATTAAAAATTATACAAGTAGCTTAAGTTTATATACACTAACTAAGGGTTAAACTAATAAACTAAATCTTCCTAAAAATTGATATTTATGAAAAAACTAAGAAATAAAACTATGTGAAAAAATAAGAGAAAAAACTGAATGTATATTGAAAAACTGCTCATTAAAAATTATACAAGCATCTTAGGTTTATATACAACTAACTAGAGGTTAAACTAGAAAATTAAGTCTTCTTAAAAATTGATCCTATAATTGAGGAATTATCTATCTTAATTTTTTATTTTTAATTCTAGAGATACAAATACTTAATTTTAGAGATATAAATATAAATATACAAATTACAAGATTACAACTAATTGTAAATAAATGTTTTTTCACAAAGAATATTTCGGTCATTGACCAAGTTGTAATGGATCATTAATCATTTCCTTCAAAAATTTAAAACTTCTTGGCGATCGAATAATAGGCCTGAAAACCCACCAATGGGTAGCAAGGCCACTCTCACTGCAAACTCTGTCCCTTTTGCAGCAGTTAAGTAGCCAGCATTGCTAGTGATATCCGTTTTGACAAACCCTGGGGCAACACAATTGACGCAGAAACTGGGGTAGTTCTTGGCTAGTATCCTGGTGTAGGCATTCACAGCTGCTTTTGAGACAGAATAAGCAGTTGTTCCAACATAAGTTGGCCACTCTTTGGTTGTCATCGTTCCATCTTTAAAATCTTTAATAAACTGGCTCAAAACTTCTTCCACTCTAACTTCTGTGAGGGTTTCAACATCACTTAACACTCCTTTGGCCCATTCATTGGATATAAGCTGAAGCAACAAGAACAAAAAAATGAAAAAATCTGCTCAAAAATGAAAACTTTTTGCATATACATATAATCTAGAATTCATATTCGTTTTGGAAGAAAATAGAGGAAATTGTTCATAAATGTTTGGAGCTAAAACAATTAGCAATTGTTGTAACATTGTATCACCAAGGTTCTGCACTAGAGCTTTACCTTCTATAATCCGAGATAAGAGGTAATGTTCACAATCCTTGCTGAATCAGATAGCTGGAGGAAGGGAGCAAGTGCTTCAACCATTCCTTTCATACCATAATAGTTCGTTTTCAGGCAGTCTTCCGCCAGCTCATAGGTTTGTTTCCAAATAATCTCATTCCAGACTTGCTCCCCAACTGGCTGCATCCACAAGATTTTACTTTGTTAGTAATTCCATTGAGTCACTAGGGGCGTAAATAAATCAGACATAAACAATTTGACTCTATGATTTGTGAATATTGAAATATTATCTGTGATCATTTATTAAATTTAATAAATAAATGTAAATAAATAAAAATTGAATCTATTTATAAATTGTTCATCAAATGTTTTGTTCATTTACACTTCAAGTGAAAACAAATCAAACAAAAAAAAATTTTGTTATATTTGTAATATGTTTGTTTGATTAATGAATTTGAAATGTTATTCATGATTTTTTTTGTTAAACTTGATAAACAAAGATAAATGAATAAGATCCAAAATTGTTGGATCAAAATATTCTGTTTATTTACACTTATATAAGTAAGCAGATAGTTAAATTTTCAAAAAAAAAAAAAATGCATGCAATGAAGTTCTGTTTCATTAGAAAGAAAAATTAGAGCAAATTCTGGGGTATTAATTGGTATCTAATGCCAGTAATTTGAAGCTAATTCGATAGGGAAAACATTCCCATGAATTGGAATATAAACTCTAATCGCTTGATCTTTTTTCATCAGTCTTAAACAAGATTAGTACTTCAATTTACAGAAATATCATTTGACTCTTCTTGACCGTGTGACTGACTAATCACGCTAACATATACTTCCACTTTGATATGAATTTAAACTCCAAAAAACAGCTCAAAACAAAGGTGTGGCAGTGATACAGATGGAATCCAAGACTTATCCAATCTTCAAAACGTTCAACAGCTCTAGCGAAACTATCATAGTTCATAATGACTCCAGTAATCGCTGCATTATTGATCTGCACGAGATTCCATCATTCTCATTATTATTGTTTTTTTTTTTTTTTTGATTTTGTTCAACCCATATTTAAAAAAAAAAAAGACAATTTATAACAAGATATCAAGTTTTCCGAATTGTGTCCTGATGAAAGCTGCAAGTGAAGCAATACTAACAGGGTCTGTCACATCAAGCTTGTGGAAAACCACCTGATCAGAAAGACCAGACTCCTTCAGCTGCTCAAAAGCTTCAAGGCCTCTGTTCTCATCTCTAGCAGTCAACACCACTGTGACTCCTTTCGAAGCCAACTGCCTACATATTTCCAACCCAATTCCCTTGTTTGACCCAGTAACCACAGCATACCCGAAAGAATGAAAAAAGAAAAAAAGAAAAAGGAATAAGAAATATAGTAAAGATGTGTAAAGAATGCAGCATTTGACTCAGAGGGTTACGTCTTTGTTTTGGAGAAAGTCGCATGCTTGCTTCGAAGAGCCATTAATTTCGTATCGATTATATATTAAAATTGATAACGGGATAAAAAAGTTGATATTATTATTTTTTTTATAAAATATTTTTTGTGAGATAAAATTGTAAAGTTAAAAGAGAGTTCAAACAGATAATATTTTATAAGGATGAATCATGATAATTAGATTGATTCATAACGTTAAATGAGTTCATGTATGTGTTTTGGAGCCAAGCAAGCCTAAAAATTAAGTCTTACTTATGACAAGTGATATCAAATAACTTTGAAAGTACTAGAGATGTGTCACTAAGGGACGTGAGTCCTCATTAAAGTGGAAGAGAATGTCACGCTCTTAAAAAAGAGCTATGAATCTCACATCGATTGTATACTAAATTTGATAATCTTATGTGAGGTCTTTCTAATGTAACAAAATCGTAAGCCTAAAAGAGGTCGAAACGGATAATATTTTATAAGAATGTGAATCTTAATAGTTAAATCGAAGAATTATGAATCTCATATTGACTAGAATTGATCATAGGATAAAAAAATTCACAACACTTTATGAGATCCTTTTTGTGAAATAAAATCGTGAGCTTAAAAAAAATCGAAGTGAATAATATTTCACAAGAATATAAATCTTAATAGTTAAATTGAAGAGCCATAAATCTTATATTAATTATATATTAAAATTGATTATAAGATAAAGAGGTTCACAACTTATAAAATCTCTTTGTGAGATAAAATTATGAGTTCAAAAAAAATCAAAATAAATAATATTTTATAAAAATATGAATCATAATAATTAGATTAATATGAGATATTAAATAATTTTGTATTCAAATTTTAAAGTGGCGCGAGCTTAAAGGTTAAGTATCGTGATGTGAGACTTACGCCATACCTTTTATTCTTTTGTCTCGCTGGATTCTGATGAATGAGTGACAAAGTAAGCAAGCCTGAATTGGGAACTAAGCAGAAGACTAACCGATGAGAATATTTGGTGATGGCCGAGGAGAACTGGTCAAGGCTGCAAAATTTGACTTTTTTTAGTACTGATGATGAAAGGAAAGGGAAAAATGAGAAAAGGAAAATAATTCACAGTTCAATTTTAAATTAAATTCCCATTATTACTACTGTTGACAGTGGAACCAAAGTTTTGAAAATATTCTTCTTTCTGCAAATTGTGCCCTATCTTTTGTTTATACGAAGGTAGAGTACTAAAACCATGGAGCGGAAAACAGAAAGAGTGGCGTTGAGCCAATATTTTAAATTTTCTGGGAAAGTGCTATCAGGGTTTTGTATAGAACCTGTTAGATTGAGACTGAAATTGACAAAATAGATTCACTGAAAGTGTCAATGGCGGCGAGTACAAGGAATTCATCTGAGTTAAAATCCAAAGGAAAGTATTCAGTTGCCACTTGCCAACCCTTTACCCTCCTTGACAAAAATAGAAGCCACAGATTACCCTGCATTTCTCCATTTGAAATGGAGATCTTTTGTCTTTACCAATACAGTTGGTATCTTATGAATCTCGACGAGACGAAAAGATACTCCAATTTGTTTTACATGTATGTTTCATCGGTATACAGGTCACATTAGTAAATGCAAAGAATGGAAGGGTTCTCAGTTGCAGTACTCAAAATGAAAGCTCGCATTAAATAGAGAGAAAGTTGATTCACTGATTGGAGAAGGTATTATTATCTAGTGAACAGAAACCATGAAAAAAAAAAAGAAACTAGATTTTTGGACTCGGTGGAAGCCAAATATTATTATGATAATGCCAGTTTTCTTGATAAGCCGAATTAAAAGCCGAAAAGAAGAGATATTACAGATAATAATTAGCTGAAAATGAAGATTTGAATGTTTTGAACGTCTCCTGATAAATAATGTAAATTAATAGTAAAAGAACCAGGTGAACAGGATTGTTTCCCTTTTGGGGCGCAGTCACCGTAGAAGGTACTTCCAATGTGAGTAGCCTACGTTCTCATGAACAAGTGGGCTGTAAACAGGGTACCCACATATTTCAAACACGTATTCCACCGTCCCTCCTGCCACCACATTGATTGAAAACATAAGAAAACATATTCTAAGGAGAGGGAACACCAGCAATAAGGCTTCCCAAAAGTTACCTTTTGAACGGTGACATTCTCACTACTAAAATAAACACCCGCTGACCAAGTCAGTAAATTTGCAATTTTACCATAGAAAGCTGGCAGAAGTTTACAAGGGTTCCAAAGAAGTAAGGTGAGAGAATTTTCATACTTTTGACATATGCGCCAGTTCTTTGGGACCCACGTCACCATGCCCTTCAGCCAATTCCTCTGCAACAGCAGCTCGCACAACAGATGCCCCAACCTCAGCTGTGATATGTCGAATACTGCATGGTGCACAAGCAGAATGAACTTGATTCAGGAGAAAAAAATTAGATATAGAAAGTGTAATGGACAAAGTTGGACCCCAAAAACCATACATCCTCCTAAAATCTCCAATGATCAAAGAATGTGTCTTACAAGCAATATATTTGGATCATGTCTAACCTAGATCCCAGTGTAATAAATACCTGTCTACTTTAAGTAAACTAAAATCTAAATCATTGTGACAGGCAAATGATATATTGATAGCATACACAGCTAAACCATAAAAACTGGGTGTCCATTGAAATCTTGAGTGAATGAACCAAGAACAGAACAAATAATTTTCACCACTTTGAACAATTAAGGAGAAGTCACCAGTGAAAGTAGAGAATATTACCTATCGATAGATGGATACAAGATGCCCTTTTGGATTTCTTCGTCGGTCATATAAGATGCAAGGCTGCAAGGATAGCATCACATTGACACCCTCCGGAATAAGAAAGAATGTTTTAATCATAGTAAAAAAGCTCATTTCAATGAATATATGCACAAGCAGAAATGATTAGGGGACTGATTTAATCAATTAGCATTTCAATAAAGAATGCACAATAACATGGGGGAACACAAGCCCACACCAACCTATTATTCTTTTTAAGCCCCTAATTTTGCATCACTAAGAAACTAAAGTCCCCGTGCAGTCTGCCTTAAACGTCAACTAGAATTAGAATCCTGCAAAAGTTCTATAACAGCCAGCAGGGTATTACAAATAGTAAATAAATAGGGTAGTTTTCCAAGCATTATTCACTGTGAATTCTGGACTTCAAGATTTATCAAGAGTGCAAAAGAGAGAACAAAAACAGAAACAACTATATAATCATATACATACCATTCAGCAGCAGCTTGCAACATTCCATCAGTTATAAAACGAGCACCTGAGATCGAAGCTCCCAAACCAATCCTGGATTAAAAGCAACAATAGCTAAATCAAAGTTAAGATCTAAGTATGGTCAAGAAAAAAACAACAATGAACAAGTATATAACACCAACCCTGGGAACAGGTACATGTTATTTGCTTGATTTACGTGGCCCACTTTGCCATTACCTGTCAGCAAGCAAATGATTAATTAAGATGTAATACCCAAAAATGAAAAAATTTGAGTCACAAGCTCCCTTATCAAGGAAAGCAGCACCAAATTCTTGTAAATGCATTATGCAAAATCTTTCAAACAAGATGAACTTCAATTAGTATGGAAGATACCGAGATTGACATTTTCAAAAGGGCTTCCACTGGCGAAGACTATGTTTTCTCCAGCATGCTTAAAAGCATCCGCAGCAGTGCATTCAGCTGTCCAATGGGAATGCAAACAGAATGTCAAGACAAAATATCTAGTTTCATAAAGAAAATCCAAATGCAGGACAGGGCAGAAAAAACAAACCATTCATGGTGGGATTTGACATCGCAAAAATAGCAGGTTTACTTGAATCAGATTCATGCAAGGCCTTGAGCACCTGTTTTTGTGCCAACGCAGTAGTAAGGAACACAACACAATGCAGAATGCAAGCAGTAATTAAAATTAGAAAACAAGCATAAACACCCTTCAACAACAAAACAAAGGTGTTATGAACAATACATATAATAGAGATAAATAGAAAAGTATGAATTTCAACCTCTTCACTGAACACACCACCAACTCCAGACAAACCAAGAAGCACATCAGGCTTGACCTTTTTAACCTGAATAAAATCTGGTTCACATTAATTAGGTTCTTCTATATGTAAAGAACATCTATAACTTATAGAAGACTATACTATAAAAGTGAAGCATAACATCAAACTTCTAGTCATAATAGACAACAAATTCTGCACTGACTGCTTTTGTTCTTTGCACAAAATTTCTTATAACACCAGCCTGGCACTTTTACATGCTGCCTCAAGCGCTGGCATTGAACTTACCACTTCAAGTAGAGAAGCCCCCTCTCTAAGTCCCACTATCTGTCCTGGATCTTTAGCAAATGGTGCTGCTGCTGGATCAAGATTCTTCCTCTCTTTAGTGACAAGACCCTTAACCAACAACCAACAATAGAAAAGTAACTGTTTACCACCATGTGGAGGATGAAATTAAAATTACCAGATGGTCAATTGACATATAGCTAAAATCAGAGCATTTAGATTCCCAGAGTCAAACCATTTCTTATAAGCAATAAGAAATTAAAAAAAAAAAAAAAACTTAGATCATTTTTCTAGTGAACCTTTTTCATATGTTCTGTTCATGCAAGCCTCATCTTTATTACACAAGAGAATGGGCATGTTACGTATCTAAAAGAACAGAAAAGGCTTTGCACAAATAGGATGAAGAGTACTACAGCAGTGAAAGTATAAAACCATACATCTTTATCAAGTAGGAAAAAGTTGCGTGCAGCTGTTTCGGCTTTTCCTGTCATCCTTGCAACAGCTTGCACAGCCATGCTAAGAACACCAAGCCCTGCACTGGAAGACAGACAGAAAGCTGGACATGAGATATAAAGCCAAGAGGGAACATACACAGAAACAGCAGAAAATTATGGTGAAAGACTGAAAGCCAAACCCTTATCTATAAGTTAGTCAAGTACCTTCCAGCTCCCACCACGACTATCTTTTGGTTTGGAAAGTCAGCCAATGATCGACCTTGTGCTCTTACAGTTCCTAACAATCCAGCAAGTGCAACTCCAGCAGTTCCCTAAGAGACATTAAGCACAACTTTCTAATAATGGTGGCATTCATGGTGATTTTAGAGCAATCTGCATTACACTAGACACTAATCCAGTCCATAAAAGTAGAAAGTTGTTGCACCAAGAGCTCACCTGTATGTCATCATTAAACATGCAAAACCTTTTACGATAGCGTTCCAGAGTTTCAAAGGCCCATTTCATTTGAAAATCCTCAAACTGAATGGTGTAACCATCAAATTAACAACACGATATAAACCAAGCACAACACAAAATTCTCACTTGTGAAATAAATAAACCTGTACAATAGCCTTAGGCCAACGTGTGAAAACTGCTTCCATGAACTCATCAACAATTGATAGATATTCTTCCCCTTCTAACCTAGGTTGTCTTAATCCTAAATCTGTCAAGCCAAAAGAACATGTCAAAAAAATCCTAACCTGTCAGAAAACAAAGTCACAGCAATCATATCATATGGTCCACTCTGCAAAGATAACAACTTCATAAGAACAAAGTAATTGCGTACACATTTTACTCACAAAGCCGGTCTTCAAGCAGCCTTTGATTGTTAGTACCAACATCTAGCATAACCGGGAGTATCTGTCAGAGACAGATATTGATTGAATAATTAAAGTTATAACACATGAAAAGAGTCACCATAGTAAGAAAAAATTGAAATTTAAAATACAGTACAAACATGGAAACAAACTTTCAAAGCAAGATATAAAGCAAATAGTTCATAAATGCTGTCTGCTTAGCCACAAATATAGTTTACATGCGTATAAGAGAGAAATATAACCGATGGCTAAATATGCCAACTACAGTAAACACAAACAAAGGTATGAAAATGGTTGTCAAATGGTTGATACACACGCATGGTTCACCTAAACGGCGCTAAGTACCAATAAGGATGTATAAGCTAAGTTATACACAGTAAACATGCACATGCATGCAAATATACAAGAGGAAGGAGGAAGAAAGAAAAGAAGAGAGAGTATACATACTCTTTGTGGGTTGATACCAGCAGCAGCAACATACATATCAAGTTTTCCAATTGGTATTCCAATCCCCTGAACTCCAAGGTCACCAAGGCCAAGAATACGACTGCCATCAGTCAGGACTATCATATCAACCTGTGAAACAGAGGGAAATTGAACATAGTATTAGAACTGCAGTAAATAATAACAGATAACATGCTTTCCTAGAGGGAAAAGGAACAAAAGGAATATGGCACCCAATCTCTGACACTCAAACACCCACAACTTACCTGTTGAGCTGGCCAATTATATATCATAGACATCATCTCTCCTTTATCCTTTGCACTAAAATACATTCCACGTGGGCGTCTAAACAGCCCAGAGTAATTTTGACATACTAGTCCAACAGTCGGGGTGTAAATTGTTGGAGCAAAATCTTTGATGTTGTCAATAAGGACCTGGAGCAAAAAGCAAAGCAGAAAAACTTCAACCAATATAAGAACTTAAAATTTTGTATAAATACAACAAATTTTAAGGAGCAACAAACTTACTCTGTAGTATAGTGTTTCATTCCTGTCATGCAATCTATTTAAGATCCTCCATTTTGCCAATGCAGCAATACTATCTGGTTGACCCTTAGTATTTTTCTCCAGTGATCGATATGATTCCACTACCAATTAAAACCCGGGTCAAAATTAAGGCTATTTTTAAAAATAAGGACAAGATCAACAAGGTGGGAACAATCTCCTAAAAAGTAAAACATAAGAAAATGAATTTAGATAAATAAATATTAACTAACTAAACCCAGAACAGATATTATCCTATCATATAGTAAACTTATTGGAAACATTAACACACCAATAGCACCCGGCCCTTCTGACTCAAATCATAGACTTATCTATTGATAACAGCCTCCAAATCTTCACCCATATCAAAAACTTCCAAAATTCGCTATATCAAAGTATTTTCTGCAAATATTAAACATGTCAGAAGGATAGGTATCAAGCTTACTGAAACGAGCATATTGCTGCTCAAATGATATCACGCGTGGCGGAAGGAGACCACGGAGCCCAAGTCGATCTCTTTCTGTCAAAGGAAAGCCAGTATCCTGCACTTACATAAAAAAAGAAACAATAAGAAAACAAAAGGCAAAGTTTGCATAAGCAGATATTTCATCAGAAAATAACGAATTTCAAGCTCAAACTCTTCAACAATATTTCACTAACACCATTTAAAAAAAAAAATTAACCAACTTTCAAATTCTCCATGAAGTACTTCTGGGAAGAAGAAAAAATTACTTTAAAGTGTAAACATAACAAGTTCATCAGAGACCATGGTAAAACCCATTGCTAAACCGACATAAGTTAATCATCAAATTACTAAACTAACCTTATTGAACCAAGGATCATGAAGAATATCAGCACCACGCTTGTGAACAATACAAGGACCAGGAATCGCCGACGAGAACAACCGCCTCGATCGGCTAAGTCTCGACGCTGCAAATCGCGCCTGACTCCACATTATTCCGTACCTAGATTTCAAGATCCGAAGCCACTACTAAAGGAAATAGGATTCAAGAACACGACTCAAAAAAATCACTTTCTTAGTGATTGTCCTGTCCAAACACGTCGCCGCAATTTATAGCGTGTGTTTGGTTCAATTTATAGTAAAATTTTTATAATTTTTTATGTTCTTTATTCTTTATTGACGATTTTCTTTTTGTCTACGGTCGTGTGCGTATGTCTGAAAGTGGAAAACAGTTGTTGTTGGAGAGACTCTGAACAAAGGAGAGTGTTTTATTACAGCTGCCCCGGATGTGCGGGCAGAGAGAGAATGTGATTGGATACGAGTTGCAAGGATGAAGAGGTGGGTGGAGTGCCCGGGAAGAGACGGGCAACGAGGGCATACTTGGGAAGATACAACATGGGGAGATGTGGGGCCGATGTTTGGACGGTTCTGACTAAAGGGATGACAAATTCAAGTGGTTTCTGGAGCGACTGAAGTTGGGAAGCTTCGCCTTTCGATCTTTGCCACGTGGAAGATCGGTTAGGGGCGCCCACTACCTTTTATGGCATCAAACGACGTAGTAGTTGTCTATCTGAGACTCGCTCACTTGACCAAAGACTTTGAACCATTCTTCATTTCTGCATTATTGGTTCTTATTCCTTGCGCCAAATGAAAAAGGAAAAATATCCTAAGCAGTTATGCTGGAATAATGCTGAAATCAGTCTAAAAATTCTGTATTACTATATATTTTATGCACCATATCTCGTTCAAATCCTGCTGAACAATTCCAATTCCAATCAAATGGAATTTGATTCGTAAGGCATGAATGTTATCAAAGAAAGCTATCCACGTAGTCTTCTCTATAGAAAACTTTTAATCTCAAGCTGCGGCCAACGGAAAAAGACTTCACTTTTCATTTTTTGTTGGCTCATATGCCAACCAGACAGAATTTGAGTCTGCGGTGGGGAACCTTTGGGTCAGAAACTTTAGCCCACCTCCCCTGCTACAGTCCACGACGAAGTGACCCGTCCCTTTATGCCAATGGTACCTTTTGATGAAAAACTTTAGCCCTCTTTACCTTAATTCATCTATGACTATTGACTTCAGCTTCAAAATGCAGTAAAACATCAATCAGGGAACAATGGAGACATACAAATAGCACCCGATTTACCTCTCCAATAACAAAAATATAGAACTTACAAATGCAGCTTTAAGATTTGTCAAGAACACAGTAAAAGCAACAGTCACAACTTATTGATCACATAGAAAGGTAAACCAGTCAAAAGACACTCAAATACAGGTCATAGGAAATGTTACCAAATCCACTGCATAAACAATTATTACATGTTTGCTAAACTGCCACCCTCTGGCTGGTTCGAACTGCCATCAGTACTCTATCAACAGCTGCTGGCAGACTTAATAATCTTTGTTTCCAAAGTTCTTGCACCAGAGCTGCGAAGGAATCGGACGTACAGGTTGATGAGGCCGTTGCTGCAAAAAAAAATTATTTTAGCCAAAAATATCATGGTAATATAAGCTAGCTGATAAATGAAAGATGAACAACTTTTGAAGAAGTCATCCAAAAATTAATATAGTCACAGCAGCTCGTGGGTATATATACATCTAGTTTCTACCATTGAGTAACTTGGAATTAGAAATGCAGCAATTTGTCTCCGTTATGTCAGTTTGATCAGCTGAGACTGGAGCCACTTAAGGAGATAAGCAGTGCATATAAAGCAAAAGGAATATGGACATTTGACTTCAATAATTTGATGAAGTAAAAATGTAACAGTTTGTGAATGACAAATTTGACCACCTTGGAAGGCATACAGACAGTTGACCTTCTAACAATGGTATATGGTAGTACAAGATTAGAGAGTAAATGTCATTGAGGAAGTTAACTTGTGGTTATCAGACAAGAATATGAAGCTGCAATTTACATAATTGTGTAAAACTGGGAAACATTAGGCATATTGGTATTCAACCAGGAATAAAAGCCCGTCTACCATCTACTAGATGCTAGACTTTTGCAAAGCATTGATGGGTTATAACGAAACTGAGAGCAAATTTAATGAACATCAAAACTTGGTTTCAAGAATAAAATTCTAAAAACGATGGTCTAAGGACAATGAAATACACCTTGCTAACATTCAACTAAATGTCTTAATGATCAAGTCAATAGCTGATAGCCAAATGGAAAGGGATTATTACATTTGACCTTCATATCCACTTCTATCCTTTAAACTTAATACTTTTTGTTTATATCTAAAATTTCGATCTTCAACCAACATTTCTACAAGCACAAACAAAAACCAAACCAAACCATCTCACCTTACTAATCCCTTCTATCTAATTCAAATGAACTACATATCTTATAAAGGTAAGAACCCACCAGAACTAATAAAATGGAATAAAATGTGCATTAGGATCGATCAAATCCATAATAGACATCTTAGCACGAACATTTTATAAAGGTTCGAATCGTTTAGATCTTCAAAATGGTTAAACCTAGAATCGACAATTCATATAATTAGGCTAATGGGCGTTCTAAATAGCAATTTAAACAGTAACAAAGTGAGAAAAGAGGGGGTTTAGAAACCTCGAGCTCGGCGGATTTCATGGCGATGGGGATGCAGATGAGGAAAACGCCGAACATGGCAATGGCAGTGTTGCGACGCCAGTGCTTGGGCCGGCAGTATGGGCCTCCCGTCATGCTCCACACCTTAGTCCTGAAATCCTCTGCTCCATGCCCATGTCCATGCTCTCCTCCTCCGCCCATATTTTCCTAATTAACTAGACCGTTCGATTGACTCTCTTACAACTCTGAACACCAAAGTAATTAAATCAGATGAGAACTGAATAGAAAAACCCTATTGGAGTTTATTAGATTGAAATTTTGAGGATTAAGGGCGAGGAGGGGAAGGATTGTTTGGAGATTCAAGAACCTGAGAGAAATCACAAAACAAGAACGACGATCAGCTGAGGCTCCTTGTGTTCGCAAATGGAGACACTGACCGAAGGAAGGACTTTGGCATTGCTTTGTGGCTATTCTGGTTTATCGAATGAGCCCAAGGTTGGAAACCCCATTTCTCGAGGATTTACAGACCTCTTAAAGGGCCTGATTTTTCTTGGGCTTTTCTTCATACTAAATTGTAATGAAAAATGATAATAGTTTTTGGCAATCAAATTTGGATCTAATTAGCTTTTTAAGATCGAAATTTTCTTTCGTTTGTTATCCATATTTATATATATATATATAACAAAACCAAACAAAACAAAAAGAAGACTGATAGAATCACACTCAAAAATTCAATAGGATAATGCTCTATTCATATAATTACTTTTAATAAATGACATAAATATATAATTATTTAAAAAAATAACATCTAATAAATCTAACATAACTGTCAGCAACTACAACATCTTTGTGTGTCTTGTTATGATCTATTGTTATGACCTATCATTTTCTTTATCCTCAAAATTACGATCTCCTTGGTAAAAAAAAAAAATTAAAAAAAAATTCTCATCCCAGGCTGGTGACCGTCGGTCAGTGGAATTTTTAAACCCCTATTTCCCAATCATTTGACTTCATGAGAATTTAGAAATCTGAGGAGTAAGGCTCATTATGTTTAGAATATGACATGCCAAAAATTAATGTCTTTGTTAAAACAATTGAATTAATGAACTTGTAGAAAAAGCAAAGTATATTTTCGGAACACCAAGAAGAAAAAAGGTAAATATTTCTATTTACTGAAAAGAAAAGAAGTCTCTGAAAGTTTGATCATATGAAGCTTAACTCTGCATTTCACATAATTGAAACTTTCTACTCCCTTGTCAGCATCATGGCATCTCAACTACTTTCTGGGGACGCTTGGGATTTCTCCATGAGTAACTCAATTTTCTAGATGAGCAGACAATAAAGCATTAATATGATCATCAAACAAAAAAAAAAAAAAAAAAACCCCAATTAGTCATCAAAACACTGCAAATATGGAGCATAAGTGCTACAGTAACTCCAAATAGATGAAATGCTGAAAGAGATCAACCTCAAGGGCAACAGCAATTCATTTCTGGGTTGACTACGTATTCTCGGAACAAAGTATGCCTTCAACTCTTTTATCAGAACAATAAGGAGAAGTGAGATGGTGCAAACCTTTACTGATTTATTGACTTCATCAAGTTTTTGCATAAACAACTCTCCAGGCACCACTGTTCTACGCTCCACAGAAGAATGATGTGGTGAAGCTGTCATCTGAATCAATGTGCAACAGTAATTAGTAAAACATTAATCAGGCCGGGGAAAAAACTATAAAATACTAATAAAAACAGCATGCAAAAAGGTGTTAAGAGTTAGATATTTGTTTTTCATGCAGGAAAACATAATTTAAAAGCATTTTTGTTTTTGCTTTTAGGAGACCCTCTTTAAACTGTATATACACTGCGTGTTCATACCTTCAAAAAATTTTCAATAATTATAGCTAGCTAAGTGTTCAACATGTGAACAGAATCTTCTTTTGTACTCCTACTTAAATATGACAAAAATTAACAATATTCCCATAATGAAACACTAATGCCCTCCTTTCTCATATAGGAAGAGAATCTAAAATAAAGCTATTCCACATATGATCTTACATGCTTGATGGCAGAGTTGTAGATTTATAGGTTCAACTTTGCACCAAGTGCAAACTAACTAAATTGGAATGTGCTCCATCATAAATTGAACTGACTTAAATAGGAAGAAATATGGTAGGCCTGTCCAAGCACAATATCCAGTATTTCTCATGCTTACCAGTGAAATGGCGGTGAATAGGTGCAAGTTTTTGAGAGTTCAAGGGGTTAATTACCTTCCAACTTTTCGCTGGAGATTTTAGGATAGGTTGCCCTCCTGTCAGTGATGTCATTCGAGACATAGTTTCCAGTTCACCAGTGACAGTAGAAAGTTTCCAACATTTACCAACATCCTGTATAGCCTTTGCAGCTTCTCTTACAATGACCTACAGGAAATGTGAAATTCACTTATGATTTTCATTCTCCATGAGGATGCCTTGTATAGGCAACAGCAATTAAGCAAATAATTTAATCATTGTTCACTGCAAATAAATTTCATTATTTTTCAAAGATTACAAGCAAAAATCTTAAAGGAAAATAAGATAACATAAGAAATCACTTTCATTACCTTTCTCAGAATTGCAGGGTTTGCAACCCCTTGAACCTGTAGCTCATCAACACGTGCAGCTTTTCCATGAGCTATGCTTTCAGTTCTAAAGGTATGGATACCATAATTTGATTGCAACCAGCCTGTAAAACAAACATATATAATCCTTCTGAAGGAACCATCTGCATCTGCATTGGAAAGTTTATTTGCCCAATTGCAGACAAAAAGAACTATGAATCAAAATAAGATTACTTCAATAATCACAACACAAAAGAGATCTGTGACATAACGAACGACCAAAGGATTGAATATTCAATGAATCATTGACAAAATGGCACTCAAGTTTTGTTAATCAAACCAGTTGATCCAAAGCCGCACTTAAAGCAATAGTAAGTGTGAAAAAAGGGATTATAAAGTCACATTATTGTTCTTTATACCCTTGCTGCGCAAACGATAATACACATGTAACCATATACAAAATTATCCACAACATAGAGAAAGAAAAGCAATTAGACAAGAAACAACTGGCAAGGCCTGAACTAGTACCTTGTTCAATTATAATATCAATCACCTTGGAAAGAGGTACATGCTTCTCAATTGTTATTATGCCCCAAAAGGGCATGAAAGAAGGCCTCAAAACCTTCAAATAAGAAGGGAAAAGGATAAACCCAAAATAAGCGTCTTTCTTTCTCATAGATAACCACCATAAAATTATTGTAGTTCAGGCCCTATGTGTCTGTGTTCAAGCACTATATTCATACCTTGTAAACTATTTCACTAGGTGTAACATACAGCTTGCGTGATGAAATATCTTTCTGAAGAATGTATCTTCTAATAGGCAGGTAGAGCAACATGATGACGCCAACACCCCACGCCAAAACCAACAACAACGATATAGAAACCCATATAATGGTGTCATACCGAAGATTGCTTCTTACAAGTTCTTCAAAGGAAGCTGTGTACAAAATCTGTTCAGAACTATCTAACTGGAAATCATCTTCCAGTTCTTCAGGATCAGCATGTAGCTGATCCTTTAACGACCGAAGTTCTGATAGACCATCTGCATGACACATCAACATTCTCTTCTGCGCTCAAAACTAATAACAGACAAAAAAAATAAAACACTAAAACTAAGCCTATAACTCAAAATTGGTTTATTGACAACAATCAGTAATACATGAAAATTTCAGAACAGTTTGAGGAAATAACATGCCTTTCAGAACAATAAATTAAAAAAGTTACCTTAATATTTGCAAAATAGAGAAAGAAATGTGCACTTCATTATATCATCAATTTCAAATATGTTGCTAGCAAACTCAAATTCTTTTACATTTTTTTTTTGGCTGAAACTAGCTAGCACTTGCTTTTCCACAAATTTTCTCGGGAACCAAACAGCGGGTATACATTATCGAGAAACTATCAAAAGAAACGGGCAAGCAGATGAAGCGAGAAATGGTAGAGAAAGAGGCCTGTTTAACCCAGGAAAATGTTTTTGCAAACTCGAATGTGAAGAAATAACTTGGAATTCAACGAACTAATTGTTAGGGTTTTGAAATGAAATTTCTGTTTAGTGGGTTTAATACAGGGAAAGAAACAATCAGTCTGTGATTTGATGATGATCATCATAGGGCAAACCCCGAAACGGCACCAATTATCCAATCAGCATGTGAGTGAGAGCGTCAGAGAAATGATTTGGTGTGGTTAGTCATACGTTGTCTGCTACGTGGCTGATGAAGTGGATTTGGTTTCCAAGTGGCAGTGGACCCACCAACTATTTATCCCCAAAAAGAACAAATCTCGGTCCGCCAGCTTTCCGTGCCTTACACACGTGCCACACGTACGACTCAACTTCATTATAATTAATTTTATCTTGATGATTTTTTTTTAATCAAAGCTAACAAAATACAACATTCCTTAGAACATTTCATTAATATATTTAAAATAAAATTTTCAATAAAACATGAATTATGATGAGTATATTCTAATTATAGCAAAAAATATATATATGAAGTGCATTTAAATACAATTAAACTTTGTTAATTGTTTTATGAATTTAAAAATAATTTGCAATTCATTGATAATATAGACTCTTTTGACACACATTTAAACACAATTAATATTTGTTAATTGTTGTAATGCATTTAGAAAAAAATTATTATTTATAAGTTTTTCATGATAGTTTGAATTCATTTTATCTAGGAATGTAAGGAAATAACTTATGACAAAGATTATTATTAAGGGTATAGTTTGTATAAAGAGTCTTAAAAATTCATGAACCTATCATTTGTAAGTCACCATAGATTTCAATTAATTTAAACAAAAATAATATTACCTTAAATAGTTTAAACTATTAAAATTAATATATTTTTAGTATTATAAAAGAAAAAATTAACTGAGTTGGTATCACTAGTCAGCTCAATTAAAGAATTAAAAAAAATGAGTAGAACATTGTGTAAAGCAAATGTAAGATCATGATGTTTAATGAAAAGAAATGAACAGATAATCTGAGTTTAAAGATGGTTGAAAATGAAGAATTTTGCTCTGAGTCAATCAATTTAATTTTATATTTTTAAGCTCATGAAGCAAAAATATTTTAAAATACAAGGTTTGCACGAGCATCAAAATGAGAAGGAGATGTTTATTTAATGGATTTGATTAATTTTAAATTAAATTATTTAAAAGTAAATTAATCGAATCAAATTTATTAATTTTAAAAATTAATTAATTTAATTTAATTTGATTGATTTGATTTTTTTATTAATTAAATAATAAATATATTTAAATAAAATTATATTTTTAACTTTTTTTTTATATTTTAAATAAATTAAATAATATAATAAATAAAATATTTAATTATCAAGATATTATATAAAAATTTTACAGATTTATCAAATAAAATGATTCATTTTATATATTTTTTATTTTATATTTGAATTTTTTTATAATTCAATTAAAATTTTAATTATTTTAATTTTTAAATAAATTAATTAAAAATTAAAAATTTTTAAAAATTATTTTTATTAATTAATCAAAATTAATTTAATAATAGATCAATTATAATAATTAAATTGATTAGATTGATTAATTTTGTAAAAATTGAATTAGAAACACCACTACGCATGATTATCAGCTGGTATAAGATTGCTCTCGGACTCCTGAAAATATTCACATCTACTGTATAAATTTGTTCAATTATGAACAGCATAAAAGGGAAGAGACCATGAATCCTGCAGATAATGATTATAATGAGACTTAAGATCCCTGGGCTTCATTCTTTCCAGTTATATGGAGCATGCTCGACAATCAAGTAATCATCTCTGATATCTTTCACAACTCGAATCTCATCATCAAGATAGACGGTCTCAAACCTATATAAAATCTTGATATCAATAAGGCTAAAAACCCATTTCTGCTTTAACTTAGATGAAGCAATGAAACTTTAACTCACCAACCCTGCCCAAACGGTGGAAGCGGAATCTCCCAGTTTGATCCCCTTAGAACCGCACTCGTAAATCTAAAAATTGGAATAAAATTTTACTGAATACTTAAAAAAGAAGAGCAACAAAGCTTAGTTTCAGTTAAAGAATTACTTGAAATTCACTCTCTGAGATGAAGCAATCTCAATGGCGGATCGGACGAAGAAAACTCCATCAGGCGGAAACGTTATGACGTTATTCAGAGTCTTCTTATCGACGTCTATGACCTGCAAGACGTCGCCAGCTTGAGTACCAAACAGGTAAGCTTTCTCTATGATGAAGAGTTGCTCTTTCTCCGTTGTCCATAGAAGCCGCCACGTGGCGGAGAGGGAATCGCCAGTAGTCACAGTGTTGCGGCCTAGATTGGCCATAGCGTCGATCGCTTTGACGATTGCATCGCGTTTTTCAGGGTCTTTTTGGGTTTTGAGGCCTCGATCTTGGTCTGAGATGAGATTGAGAAGGTCTTGCTTGGCTGATTGTGATTGGGTGGTGATGGACGAGCAGGTGATTTTAGGGATGCTGCGAATGTGTTGGAGTTTCGAAGGATTCGAGTTTGGGATAGGATGCGGTCGTCCTTTAATTTCGGTGGCGAGACGAGGAGGAGATAATAGAGTCAGAACGGCGGTGGTCATGGTGGTACGGTGAGAAAAATCGGGAAATTGCCAGATTAAAAAAATAAAAAATAAATTGGCGGTTCAGGTGGGACTTTGGGGATAAACCGTCAATTTTATATTTATTTTTTTAATACGTAAATCTAAACCTCAAAGCCACGTCGTTTCACACATACGCCGACGACAGAGACCGACCCTTTTAAAATCCAGTAACGGTTGCTTCCTGAGTTTTCCTTTGCCAAAATTCAAGGCCTCAAAACCTCTCACCTTTCCTTCGCTTTCATTCCAAATACAACTCATCAGCTTTGAATCCTATTTGTGTCTCATTTATCGTGAAAATTCAAGAACCCAACTAATCCCAGGAAAACCAAAACTGTACTCGGAAGGAATCAATTTCTTGCCTTTTTTAACGATGATCCTCCACGTTTTAGCTTCTCCACGAGCAATGGCAGCACGTGTTCTATCGGGAATCTTTTCTTCGTCAAACACTTCCATATTAATCCCTCCTTTCCTTGTCCAATTTTGCACTTGGGACTTTACTTTCGATAGTCAATTTAACCTTGATGACAATGGCTGATGCTATGAAGCTCCAACAAGCATTGCAGGAAAGCAGTGTACTTGACACCCCAAAACTGAAATTGGTGTTGAAATTGAGGTATATAATCCTATATTAGTCGATAAGCTGAAATGGGTTTTGATGAATTTGCTTAATTGGTTCATTAATTAATGGTTTCAATTATGTTATTGTTTTAGTTGAGTGAATTTTCGTATCCAAACATGTAAAATTTGTTAATTCGTTGTATATGGGCTTCAAGGCTATGAACATAATTGTAGTAATTGTTCGAGGTTCTAATGTAGCCCCTGATTAATATTCACTTTTTTTGCTTAATGTTTTAGACCATAATGGAAAAATCTGGTACTTGAATAAGGAAATTAAACAATCTGGTATTTGTATTTATCAAATCATCTGAAAATTATTATTGCATACTACTGTTGCTAACTAATTTCGGAGATTATATACTTCTTTGAAACTAAGGAAAATTTGAAGGTTGTTCCTCCCATTTTAGGATACGTTTTGAATTAGATGATTTAACATGCCTGGATTTGTTTTGCATTTTGCTCTTAAACTGGTAAAACAGTTGGCAGAAATCGGTGGGGCATAATTAATTGTGATGATGAGTGAGTCACTTTACATTATGTGTTTATGCATCTGTGTAGTAGTTGAAGCAAATGCTTGTATCCTTGTAATACGTTTAACTGATGGTTTTTGCATTTCTGATGGTGATAATGACACTAGCTTTCTTGGTTTGGATGATTCTAGTTTCAGAATGATTGTGATGAGAGTTCTCAATACTGGGACACTTTTTCTCTTGATCACTAGCTTGTAGATTGTTATGACGGTCTTTGCTTCAGCTTAATCTGCTTTTATTGATTGAAGTCTTGGAGATCAAAATGGCATCAATAAGTGAGTGTTCAAAACTTAACTGTTTATTTCTATGTAGATCATAACATGATCATGCAGAAAATTAAGCCTATGTTTTCTGTATTTTTGTTATCAGTAGCTATCTTATGCTGCTTATGCCAAAAAGCAGAAAGTTATCAGAAGGAGTAGGGTCCAAAAGCATGAAGGACCCAAAGGACTGACTGATCTATCCTATCAAGAGCCCCTGGAAAGTCTGGTGTAAAAAAAAAACTGTTCAAGGCCTTTGATTTCTCTTTTAAATCTGATAAGCCTCCTGCTTGACTTCTGCATCAGTGGTCTGTTGTGATCAAGTATCCTTGTGTATTATGATTTCTTATAATCTATTGTTGAAGTGTTCTGTAGGTTGATAATCTTTCTTTGCCTGGCTGGATAATCTGTCTTGTCTATTTTGTAAAGGCTGTAAACTGGGTCATCCACTTTTGCCAGACTTGTAGACACTCTACTCAACTTGCCTTGCAAAAACAAAGATGGCAGTTGTTTCGGTGGTCCATTGGTTTTTACTGTATATCAATATCTCCTTGAATGCTTCTATCATCTTAGCAAACATGGTAAGTAATCTGTTTTTCTTTTATTTGTTTGTTCTTATCAGTGTCCCCATATATAAAAATTTAAAATAAAGCATTTAATAGAAGAAACAGCAAAAGAAAATATAACGAGAGTTATTCATTCCATTTCAGGTACATTTCAGATTTCCAATCATAAAACACGTGGCTTTAAAAGTACTTTACTCTTCCTGAGAATTTCCCTTTTAAATACCCCATTCTCATCGAAAACCTAGGTCTGAGGTGTTTCTCCCACAGAAGAAATAGGGGGGATTCTTCTAAGCACTCTTGACATATTATCATTTTTCCCTATGGCTGACAAAAATTCATTAATGCGAGTTCCTGAGCACTGGACGTTGGTTGTTAAGGAGCAGGAGGATGGATCTAGCCTTTCGGTAATTGAACATTTAATTTATCGCTTTATGATCTATATGATTTTAGCACCAGAGGTTTGATGGTTTGATACATATCAGCCTACTTTGATCAAGTTTTTGGCCTGCATTAATTTGCTGAATGCTTAATAATGTTTTGGTTTTAGTGATGGATTGATTCAGTCGATCTGATTTTGGCGGTATAGATTTTATTACCTAATCTGTTAAGTCATATGGTTTTATTTGAGGTATGCATATGTCACACCTTCATATGGAATATCAAGAATGCGGATTTTCTTGTGAGTTTACTAGGTATGAACCTTAGTTTTCTGTTTTGACAAAACTGACAGAAAAGTGATATGGTGGTTTATAAAGTTGACTCCTTTATAAGTTTATCAATGCCCTTGATGGGATTTGAAAATCAAAGTCCCTTTCTAAATGTAAATAAGATGCTAGAAAATGATTTTAACTGTCTAGCTGGCGTGCAATATTCTTTTGAAAGTGGCAGTCAATCCACTATTGGTAGATCAATATATATCCTTAGTCTTTAGGTAGGGGTCTAAACTCAAATTTCTGAATCTTGAAGGTAAGTGATCTGTGATTGTGCAGAGAGCAGGATCTAGGATACTTGCAATTTGCTACCATCATGATGAAATTAGATATCCATCGGAATGACTGATCTGATTGGCCAAAGAGTGTACCCTATACTAATGATGACTGTGTTTGCCCCTTTTGTTGCGGTTGCTTGACCTCTGCTACTAATGTTAAAGTTTCTGGACAGTTCATGCAGGATACTTTCTGCAGACCACCACTGCATGAACCCTTGAGCATCCTCACTTCAGCCTTTTTTTTTCCCTGTTATATTTAACTTCTTCCATTTAATATGGCATTTCTTAACATCATCTGTATCTCTTCCAGACTGGCACACCCTCTTAAATAAATAGATGACTATTAAGAGGTTCAGAAGCAAGAATGTTTGTGTAGCCAATTATTGCAATTTTAGAGGGTTGGAATAAATGAAGCTAGAGCTTCAAAAAAGGTACCTCTCACAGGAAAATTAATTCAGTCTCTCTTCCTTGAACAGTTAAAAAAATGCTTTTATTGGACGGTAGAACCTTTACTAACAAATGCTATGTGCAAGCTTCTACAGATTATCCTAATGTTTCTAGATTTGAATATGCAATGCTGCTCCTTTTTCTTTGACTATTTAGATTGTTTGTTTTGTTCCTAGTAAAATCTGCAGTAAGGGTTTTCTTTTTTCTTTTTTTTTGAAGAATATTAGCTAATTGACAAGAACAACTATTTGCCTTTAAGATTATTGTTCTTGCTTGTCATGAAATGTTCTTCTCTTTCACTATTTCATTTTCTTGGCTTAAAGACCCATGACTATCAAAACAGTTGCAGGAATACAAGATTGATTGTTATAAAATGGAACCTAGATGAAAGCTAGACTGTAGATTTTATTGACTGGTGGTTTTAAACGGTTGGCTATTGCAGTACTACACATGCTTAGCGAGTGGGCAAAAGTTCTACAGCTATGAAGATCTCATGCGATATGTGAACTATGCAAAGGCTGCTAAGCTTTCCATCTACTCACCTGTGAGTTTGAACTTATTTTGCTCTATGGTGTTATTAATAATTTTATTTATCCATGATTACCATATACTTAAGGGTTGAACATGAATTGTAGAGCCCCAACAAAAGTGGATGCAACATATTTTATGAGACAATAATATTTAGTGACTAAAAGATCATTCAGGCCTTGATTGCTGGATTTCCTTCTGTTTTGATTTAATATTTGCCATTACTTTCATGTTCCCGTTTTAGATTTGATTTAAGATTTTTATTATTTTTCCTCTAACCTCCATAGTCCATAACCCTTACCCAATGTTTTCCTAATTTCCTTTTGTATCTTCTCAAACCCACAGTCATTACGGGTGCCAATTTGTGTAGATAACTAAATTTGTTCCTTTTATGCTATAGTAATTGAAGTTTATTTTTATTTGAATTTGTTTTCTTTTACATCAATCCTCTTTTGCAGGATTTCAGTCCCATCAAACAAAAGGCAAAAGCTAGCAGGCCTGATTTCGATCGGAGTAAGTTCTAAAGTTGATTCTTCTAAGTTCTTACTAATCTAATGTGCCCTTCAAAACAGTCCCTTTTCAGCTTTTCATTTTCTTTCTGATCAAGGCTCTCCGTGCTATTAAATTATACCATAACGAATTCATGGTTGGTTCTACGGTCCTCCTGCATAATGTTGATATCTATTTTTTCAGAGAGTTGTGTTCAAAATGATTATACTGTACTGTTTGGGTGGCCAAGGCCAATGATTTGATTTTATGTTATCTTTGGCATATTACTGATGCAGTTGATATAAGCTCGGACTCAGAAGATTCAGCATCCAAATTGCCTAGTGTTGCTTCGAATGAGGTGATGGAAGTGGCTAGTCCAGCACATTCTGTCAAGCAGTCTTTAACAGGGAAAATGAAGTTTGAGAACCGGGCTTCAAACGGGGAATGCAGTTCTAGCGGGGTTAAGGCCAAGAAACAGAAGATGTAAAGCAGTAGAAGATAGAGCTGAAAATGATCACCAAGTTTCTTCATATTGGCATAATTTTCAAATCTTGTGTTAATCAGGATGAATAAACGAAAGAAAATAAAGAAGACAAACTTCAAGTCTGGATTGATTCCTTGATACTTAAAGGCTGATCAAATTGAAATAAATTACATCGTTAGTTCCTGATTTTTAGTAAAATTTTTATTATTTTTTTTATTTACGACATTTTGAGTTTTTTCCATTCATTGATATTTTCCTAATGTATAAACAAAACTTGTTCGTTCATATTTTGACATGCTTTGACAAATGAATGGATTTGAAGCAAATTCCAAAAAAAAAAAAAAAAAAGGTTGCGAAATAAAATGAAATATTACAAAAGAATCGCAAACTAGTAGCACGATTTACTCCATAAATTGAAATCAAATTCAATATCATGATTCTGACCAAAGCAAGCTGAATCCATTGGTACAAGTTCCTCTTTTATTTATTTATTTATTTTGGAAGTATATATAACTGTGCTCTTAAAATGTAAATAAATAAAAATTATAAAATCTAAAATAACAAAAAATAAAATCTTAAATTTTATCCATTTATTTATATAAATTCTTATATTTTTATTGCATTCAAATAAATTATTAATTTAATTTAATTTTAAATAAATAATTTAATCTTTAAGTTATATTAAAATAAATAAATAATTTTTAATTTATACTTAAATAAATTTTTAATATAAATCATTATTTCATTTGAAATAAAAATTTATTTGAATATAAATAAAAAGATAAAAATTTATTTAAATATAATAAAAATATAAAGATTTATTTAGAAATGTAAAATAATTTAGAAATGCTTTTAATACTTTAGCCGAATATAGGCCATTTTGATTTTTCCTTTCTTAATTTATGCTTTAAATACGAAACAAAGTGGAAAATTACACGAAAAAATAAAAAACGACATTTGTATTGACTCTTGACCTTTAGATCATACAAACAAATTTGTATTGACTCTTGACCTATAGATCATACAAACAAATTGTAAATAGAATAATCAGACTGCAATCGTTCACTCACTCCGAGACAAAAGACACAGAAATGGCAAAGCCTTTCTCTAAAACTACACTTCCTGCTTCTCAGGAACCGCAAACGTTCTCTTCTTCTTCTGCTGCTGTTGCTCCGGCTACCTCGACAAAATCCGGGGATAGATCTCCGCCGTACGCCACTGAAGTTCTCCATTTCTTTAAAAATGTTGGAATTTCCGATCCCAACGTGGAAAATTACAGCTCAAAAGACTTCTACTCCAATCTCTTGTGTAACCATCTCAAGACCGACTCTGTCCGACGTGGCCACGTTACCTGCTTCGCCACCGTCAAACCCCCTATCGCCGTAAGTCTTTCGAACCTAATCTCATTTTATCAGAATTATTTATACGAATTATTCTCTTATTTTTTTGGGTCTGTTTTACAGAATTATTTTGGTGGGTTACATGGAGGGGCAGTTGCAGCAATAGCTGAAAGAGTTGCAATTGCCACAGCGAGGACAGTGGTGGGTGAGGATAAGGAGATTTTCCTCGGTGAATTGGGCATGTCTTATCTCTCTGCTGCTCCCAAAAATGTGAGCTCTTTTTGGGTTTTCGATTTCTAATATCTGATATTCGTTTATCCCAATCATAGTTTTAATTTAGAAACAAGAGAGAGAAGAATTTGATGTTTGAATGGTGCATTGAAGAACAATGGGGAGCTATTCAATTTTCAGATGTTATCTTACTGTTGATTGGAGTTTGTTCAAGTTTTGACCCTTTTCTCCATTTTGGTTATAGTCCTGTTTAGCCCCTTTTATGGAATCATAGGGAGCCTAAGTAGTTTTTCATGTTATTTGTTGCAACTTGCAACTGAAGATATGGACTTTGCTCAAACTCCACCATATGTTCTCGAATGCTAGGATTGTTATTTTTTCTGAAAACACCTTAAGGATGTCTTCTGATAGAACATCTAATACTGGAAAGTGGCCTGCAGTGCTGAGCATATATCTACTGGGTAACAATGGTAGCATCCTCACTTTTCTCTAATGAATTGTTTATTGGAGCAATAGACAGTGTCTCAGTGCCTTTTGGAGCATACTTCTGGATTCACCCTGAATACAAGGCATATGTGGGTTGCTTTTGATAAATTGCATTGCTTGACCTTCCATTGCATCTTATATGAAGATTATGCATCAGAAAATGACAAGCTTTCTATCAATCTTGATCATGTAGTCTTGTTCTTTTGCTTGCTTGGTTGATTCTTTGCCATTTAATGCATGTATACGATTATATGTGTTTTCAACGTGCAGGCAGAACTGATTGTTGAGGGATCTGTAGTGAGAAGTGGAAGGAACATAACCGTAGTTGCAATTGAATTCAAAATGAAGAAAACTGGGAAACTGGTCTACACTAGCCGTGCTACCTTCTATAATTCTCCCATTTCCAAGTTATGAGGTTTCCAATACTTGTGGGCGGTGGCTCTGATAATACTTATGTCTCGAGCCTATATAATAAATTCCTTAATAATTCTGGTTTTGTGTGTGTGTGTGTGTGTGTGTGTGTGTTGGTATTGTGAAATGAATATTCCTATGCGATTATTATATATCAATTATCAAGAGAAAATGGTTTTACTTCCCAATTCTGTTACCCCCTTTTTTCTTGATAAAATGATATAGTAGACTAGTAGGAAAATAGATCCTAGGGTTCTAGGAGATCACTCCTGTGCTTATTTCACGTTATTCATCAATTGTTGTCCATCAGCTCTGACCATGGTTGAAGAAACTGCATCAAAGCCTCACTTCAGTAGCATTATACAAGTCTGAGCCAAAATATTTAAAACGTGAACCCAGAGAAATATTTAAAACAGGAACATGAGAGTTTAGTTTAATTGATTTATGTAACCACTTATAATAAGTGATATCTAGAATTCAAATCATAGCATTTGCGGTTGCTCCTTTCTTTTATTCTAAAGTTACAATGTCTTTTGTAAATAAATAAACAAAGTGCACATTTTATTTACTAGTCCTACATTCTCAGAGGTTTGAGCTTTTGGTCTATACCTTTTTAATTAGTGATTTTGTTCACTGGTCAAGACAAGATTAGTGGCTGTTTACACTAATTGTCATCTGCGTTAGTTAAAAACCATCAAATACAAAAAATTGCATGGTCATGGTGCTGCTGAAGCTTGTTCCCACATCCGCACGACGTTTCTAATCCCCACTTTCTGGCGAATAGGTAATCTTTCTTTCGACTGAGCCTTGTACAACAATATGCGTCTAGAAGCCTGCTAGCACATCGGCAGAACAGGTCTCCATGAATTGTGAGCGACGAAAGGAGTGAAAGTGGGATTGGATGACATTCCTTCAATGACGTCGTTTCTCTTGCAAGTTGATGTTGGAGTATAATCCTATCCTAATAGTAAAAATTTGTCGTACAATGGTGAATGAAATAAATTCTAGGAACTAAAGTAGTCCAAGTAAAATGATTATTAGAAAAATCAGTAGTTCTAATATGGGTAAAGAAAGAAATTTTACCCCATTATTCAAACCCTGGGAAAGAAGTTAGAAAAGTTTGAGCCAAAATTTACAAGCCTTTTAACTGTCCAAGTTCAATGAAGCAAATTAGGTTGCCTAACTATTACAAGAACCTGACTCCCTACGGCGCATGATTTTCTTTTCCCATTTTTTCTGATGCATCAATCACAATTGTTCATACATGCCTAAGATGGAAAAACAATGGGGGAAATTGTACGATGAAAAATTAACAAATTTGAGCAATGTTTATTCCAAATTTGCTTTGAAAATTTTTAAAACATTTATTTACAAGATAAACTATTCTACTAGTATCTTACAATTACTTTTAATTACCAGTCTTCTATAAATCTTTGACACCAAACATCTCATGTTTGCCAGGTTGTTACTGTTGTGTGCCACAAATTTTTACTAAAAAGCTTCCAGGCAGAACCGCTGAAAAAAAAAAAACAATTGACCCATCCTACTGTAGCAAAATACTAATCAAAAGGCCATGATTTTCAACGTTTTTAACTATTGCCAGTATTCAGTTCTTTGTTTGTGGCTAAGATAATCGTGGGAAGAAACGTCAGTCCGATCAACCACCAGTTTGACTGAGGCATATATATAAAATTAACAGATTGAGGTCCAGGTTCATGCCAAAATATTAATCACAAAGTGGTGACGACAGGGTGGTGATGTAAGCGAGCATACGACGAACTCTGAGCTGTGCAAGGTCCAGGAATTCAGTTTAGTTTATCCAAACCCATAGTTGAAGTTGACAAGCGGGTCAGCGTTTAGTCTTCGTAGTGTTGTAACTGTTCCCAGTTGCCATTTGCTTTGCCAAACCCAATCACCTGTTTCAGTGCTTCTTCCAATGTCTTCTTTTTTTAATTCCCTTGCTTAGATTTTTTCGATCCTTTCCCTTGCCTGTTTCCTTGGAAGCAGGCAGGTTCTTTCTCAGGTTTTTGAATTTGTATGTTTGTTTGTATTTGTCTGTTTGTTTGTTTTCTCTGTTTCAAGGTAGTTAGTTTTGAATCGCCATGTTATTTGTTTCAACTTTTGTCCCTTGTAAAAGACTATTAATCGTGTTTAACAACTCCAAATATCAAAATTCATATACTTTGACCTACTATTAAAACATTAATTCGAAATAATCAATTTTAATATCATTGAATTAATAGTTTTTTTTTAATCTTAACTAATATTTTTCATGTCCATGAATTATAATTACGAGGAGCATTCAGTCCAGGTAAATAAAAAAAAATTAACAAATAATTTGGACTTGACTCCACCTAACATTAGTGGCTTTATTTTTTTCTTTTTTCAGAAGGAGTAATTACCAGTAGCAGTACTTAGTTAAAAAAAAAAAAATAGAAAAGAAAAGTGCACACCGGGGTGGCTCGAGGGGGCGAGAGAAAGGCGTAGTGAGAAAGTTGAAAGACCTCAGGGCTTCCGGCCCTTGTTTTAGCACAACCGTGTTCCATCCATGATTCATGATCCGCCGGACGTCACGACCACGGCTTTGCCACTTGCCTCGTAACTGACAGCCGGATACCAGCTCCCCTAGTTGAACAGGAACAGGGACATGAAAAATCAGTGACAAATTTCAAATAAAACGGTCTTAAAAAATAACATGACATTCAATTTGTAATTAACAAAAGAAATAACTTCTCTGAAAGCATTAGGTAGTAGTAGTAGTAGTAATTACTTGCCATTGAGCTTTTGAACATGATTTTTTTTTTTTTTTAATAACAAGATTTCTTATGACTTTGCTTTTACAATTCTAAAGTTTATTAAAGAAGTGTTTCTGCTAGGCTAGCCTTTGCTTACCAATCTTTTCTTTTGCACATGGTGAACCAAATTTAATTAGAGTTTGATTCTAATACTACTTCTCTTACCACATTTATCTCAATAATTTATCTTCTATAATATATATAATAACACGGACGTAGACTTTTAAAATTATATATTATTTTTTATTATATTTTTAATTTTTCACTTGACATTTTATATTCTTTTAAAATATTTATCGAATTATTTATTCGAATATAATCCAATCTAGCAATCCCTCTCAAGTTAATTGAATATATGAGAGAAAGGTGAAGGAAGAGGTGAGATGTGTGTGAGAAGTTACAATTGTGAGAAATTACTTAAGTGTGAAATATGACGTTATCTTATCTTATGTATTTAAATTTTCTCTTTATTTAATATATGAGATAAAAAATAATGATTTGATTGAGATAATTAATAATCAACTCGAGGTGGGTAGTTATAAGTCATATTTAATGATTTTAAGTAAGTTAAAGATTAAGTATTTAATTTTGATAAAATGTTTATGAAATATTGGATGAACCCTTTTCTTAACAGGGGACGAGCCATTTTCTTGAATAATAATGACGTGATCACTAAGCGAATATTGTTTGAATGTGTTAGAGAGTTAATTATGTTTACCTTCATCAAATAACATAACTTGTTTATAATATTCTACAATAAAACATCAATCAATATACATTGAATGAGGAAGACAATGGGCGGAAATTTTAACCATTTTGTCCAACACTTTTCAAAATAATAGAAAAACGCAATAAGTGTATGATTCAAGGATTAAGGAATGGGGATTTGCGTGGCAGACAACAAGATTTGTCTTTTGACCATATTGAATTGGCTTAACTATTAAAAAAATTTTTTAATTAAAATTAAATAATTATAAATTTTTATCATTTATTACAATCAATTAAATTTTTAAATATTTATTTTTATCTAATTAAAACTTTAAATTTTTATTTTTATTTAATTGAATTATTGATTGGATAGTAATGATTAATTAATTTTATCTAATAAAAATTAAATTGATGAAAATTCATATTTAAAATTTCAATTAGTTATAATAAAATGATATAAATTTAAATAATTATTTTTTATACTTATACCATTAAATTTTTATTTTTTGCACTAACTGCGACGGTCGCTGGAAAGTCTATAGAAAATTACGCACGCAGCTCACGCCAAAATTGAATATCCCCAGCGAATTTAACTCTCCAATGGCACACGCTCCCATAACCACGCGCTTATTATTATACTTTATTATTCGGTCTAAAATTTACAAGTCTAAACTCTAAACTGAAGCAACCTCTCTCTTTCCGCCGCCTTTCTCATCAACTTCGTTTGAACACCTCCTATATAAATCTCCCCACGACTGGTGCTTCTCATCAGCCGTCGCCTTTTCAAATTATCATCGAAACCCAATCTCACTTGGCAACCTCGTTTGATTCTGCTTAATTTGTGCTTTTTCTTCTTTTTATCTTCATTATAATGGATCCCAAGTCTCGCACTCTGGAGATCACAATCTTGTCAGGAGAAGACCTGAGAATCGATAACAAATCGGTTAAAAAGAACGCTTTTGTCATCGTTTGGATCGACGATTTTAACTATAAGACGACGAAGATGGATGAAGAAGGAGGGAGCTACCCCTCATGGAACGATAAACTAGTGATGGACATGCCCATGCAGACACCCTTCATCACCCTCGAAGTAAAATGCAAGGCTTCAGGCGGGGATAGAACCGTAGGACTTGCAAGAATACCAGTGACGGATTTTATTGGAGGGTATTGCCCCGAGACTTGTTTACAGTTTTTGAGTTATCGGTTAAGGGATCCCAAGGGGCTGAAGAATGGAATCATTAATGTTTCTGTTAGAGTTAAAGAGCCCTTGCGTGCTTGTTCTTCCCAGGCTGCAGCTGCATCTGCAGGGCTGGGAATTCCCATTGACGGACGAAAAGATTTTGGTGTTGTTACTGGGATTCCAATTTGGAGCGGTTATGCATCGATCTAATTCTGGAGCGGTTATGCATCGATCTAATTCTTTGTTCACACGATTTTCAAGGAATTAAATTGAAGCAACAACGATGTACAAATTAAAAACATAACAATGTTTTCTTTTTTGTTCTAAAAGGAAAACTTGTTTTGCTGGAATCGTTCCTCTTTAATTAGAAATTCTATTCACATGGGATCAATTAGAACTGATTTCTCAATTTCCAGCTTGATGCGATTATGTTACAAACTTGTTTATTGTTGCTAATAACAATAATGTAGTGTAGCTAGAATCAAACTATATATATTTTTTTATATAAAGAGGTCGTATTCTGGAAAAAATAAAAGGCTTAATAATATTAAAATTTAAAAATATTAAATATTATTTATTAAAAATAATTATATAAAACAATTAAATTAAAAATTAAGCTACAAATTCATTATCAAACTATTTTAACGAAGTCGTAGATTTATTATTTCGCCTTGCTTCAAAAATGCAGTGTCAGGTTGCCAGCAACCACCCACCCATTTTCATCCATTCTTTTATATATATATATATATATATACAATAAATAATGCAACATTGCAACTTGTACGCAAAAGAAAACAACCGATAAAGAAATGAAATCCCTTTATAATTTGAAAAACAATAGTACACACTTCAAAGGTTAGAATCTGCGTTTTGGAAAAGGACAGACTCCAAGGCGGTGCTAACTTTTTTTAGAAAAATTCCCCCATTGTTTAATTAATTGAAATATAAAAAGGTTATTACTATATAAACTCGAAAATATAATAAATTTAATAATTGATTATATTTTGTATTAATAAATTAAATTATTGACATTTACATTTATAAAAATAAAATTATTTAATTTGATTATATTAAATTGATAGGATTTTTTTGGCTTTGCACAAGCTTTTGTTTTTTCTATCTATTCTTAAAAACCATAGGATTTTATTTATAGTCAAATAAATATTTCTTTGTACATACATGTTTCTCCAAGTATATATTTATTTGTATAACTATAATTATTTAAATATATATTTGTTTGAACAGATATAAGTTTTATACATAATTCTTAATAATTGTGTCACTATTAAAATTTAAATGTAATTTTTTAAGTAAAATTTGTGAAATTTTTTATTAAAAATAATTTAATAAAAAATTTAAATTAATGAATTGATAGAATTTAATGAAAAAATTAATAATGTATAAAAAATTAAAAATTTCATTTATAATTAAATTTGATCATACTTATTTATCTATAAAAATTTTATCAAAATATTTAATAAAAATACTTATCTCAAAACAAATCAAAATTTATTAAAATTTTTTTAGAATTTACATATAATTTACATAATAAAAACTTTTAATTATTTATTATTTATTTTCTTTTTTAATAAAAAATTTTATAAATTTCACTCAACAACCTTTATATAAATCTTTCCTTCACTGTCCCTCACCATCATATATAATTTATATGATTTATTATTTTGAAAACTTTTCAACAATAAAATCAAATATGCAGCTCAAGGGGCTGTTGAAAGTATTTTATTGTTGATTCAGATCTTGGAATGGAATGCACCGAAAAGAAAAGTAGCTCGTCAGTGGTCAGTGATCAACCAGCACTCACCATCTGTGGCTGAAAATCCGCCGACTGGAGGCCAACGGCCAAGACTTGGAATATCTTCCAAGTCGTCGGTGATTCATTTGTTTACTCTTTCGTAGTCTTATCACTTCTGAGCTTTTGGCCATATGTAGCAACAAAACAAAGATTTGTAAACATGCCTTTCATAATCCAGTTCCTGGCTCCAGTCAAAACATGTGATTTGAGGAGAAGGAATACTTTTCACGTTTAAACATGCCTTTAACAATCCAGTTCCAAATAGTATTCAAAAAGACGACACCTAATTCAACTTTAAAAAGTCAACTTTACTTGTCATCACTGGGGATGTTAGAACATTATTATTTCATATTTAATTTTTGTAATTTTATATTTATTATTAATTGATTTTAAATTAAATATTTAATATAATATTAAAATTAAGATTTTTGTGATACATTTTTAAATTTATCATGTAATAAAATTTTTTATTTTTATCCACACGTGATTTGATAGTGTGATGTTATTTTATATTTAATAAATATTTAATTTTTTATAATTTTATATTTAAATTAAATTATTTTATTTACCATCAATTGATTTTAAATTGAATATTTAATAGTAGATTTGAATTTTAAATTTATTAAAATAATTATATAAATTATTAAATTAAATTTTAGATTAATTGTATTTCTAATTTATAGTAATACTACTACCACTTAGGATAGTAATATCTAATATGGTCAAGAAACATAATTCAGGAATGACAGAAACATCCTATATCCTTCGATCTTCCTTCTCGTGAACTTCCTTTATATCTTGGGTCTTGAAGACTCAGTTTCGCAGAAACAATATCAGAGCATGTGAAACTTCCTCGGATCTTCAATGCCCTCGAAACAATAACACATTACATTATTGAAGATATAATGGAGACTTAGTCCCACAGCGTTGAAAACTGAAATTAATCACCATCTTATATAGTAAAGGCAATTGCACATGAACTGCAACTGGTGAAAAATAGCAGAGCGGGCTGATTCTTTTCTATCAATGTCACTTATTATCATCGACTAATTAAGAAACTTTCGTTCTATGATAGGGAACCTAAATATTTTTTTTCTTAGTCAAATGAGGCTATTAATATTTCCTGGACTGAATTATAACGTATAGTTCAATGAAAATGATATTCTTGCATGGCCGGCGACCGACCATGTGCCCTTTGATATTGTAAAAAAATTTTTCTTTCTTTTTAAATAAAAGCATTTTATGTTAAGGGTTTTTGCCTACTGACTTTCGGTTTGATGTGGTCGGCAACAATGAACTTTTGTAGCTTCACTTTAAAGCAGTTCATACCACAAAATTGCTAATGTTTAATTTCACGATTTCTTTTGAAGATAGGGAGATGGGATTTATGAAAATTGTTGATTAGGCTGAAATGTGAGTATTTAATTAGATAGAAACAATGATATTACATTTAGAAACATTTAGAAGTGTCAGTTGCACGGTTCAAATCATTTTAGGTTAAAAATTTTCAGACCATTTTTAGTTGATGGCATTAAAATTTGAAATTTGAATTATTCAAATTTAAATTATTTTAAGATTAAATTATTAAATTTTTTAAATCAAATCAATTTAATTTTAAAATCATTTAAGCTATATTTGGTAGTTGAAAAGTGGAATGATGGAAATGGGATGGAAATGTGATGGAAATGTGAAAGGAAACTGGATGTTAGATTTGCTTGGTAGGAAAGAAAATAGAAAAAAAAATTTATCCTTTTCCACATTCATTAATCAAAACAAATCATTTCAAATTGAAAACAAAAAAAAAAAAAAAAAGAGAAAAAATGAGAGAGTTGAATATGTATTACATATTTACAAAATTTTTCATTATATTTAAAATTTTCTTTTTTTTATCTTAATTTACAAAAAATTATAATGATAAAATCATGTAATTTTTACCATTTTTTCTTTCATTTTTCAACTCTATCAAATAGTGGATGCAAAAAAATTTTACATCTTCTTTTAACTTTTCTTTCCAACCAAGCAAACATTATATATATATATATATATATATATATATATATATTCCATGTTTCCACTTTTCTTCTCTTGTGATTTTCCGCCTTTTATTTTCTTTCTACGAACCATCCAAATCCATGAAAGTTAATGCTCATAATCTTTTCAGATCCAGCAAGATTGCATTTGTTATTGTTTTTCCAATCCAAACGGATTAAGTCAAAAAGGAAAAAATTTTTAGGCTTTTGGATTTATATATTAATAAAATTTTCTTCATATGTTGTTGACCTAATTTGGGTTATACTTTTTGGAACGCATTTAACATACTTCATATTTAGAAGTGTAAATGATACATTAGTATTTGTAAGTTACTCGAGTTCGAATCGGATAAAACTTAAATTTAGTTTGATTATTATCGAGTCGAGCTCGAGCTCGAGTAACTTCACTTATCAATCGAGTCGAATTCGAGTATTTTTATACCAAGTTCGAGTAGTTCACAAGCCTAATCGAGCTTTTATATTTAAAATTTTTTTATTATTTTAATTAATAAAATATCTCGAGTTCGAACTCGAACATAAATAATTGTACTCTTGTCGAATATAAGAATCAAGCTTATTTTAACATATTAATCAAATTTAATCGAATGAATTCGAGTAACTTGATTTCGATTACAAATCGAATTCGAGTTAAAAAAATAAAATTCGATCGAATTCGAATCGAATATTAAGCCTCGAGTTAAATGTCGAATTCGAGTTCGAACTTCTCACTGTATCGACTCGACTCAGCTCAATTACACCCATATTCATGCTTATATATTATATTACGTGCCATTATCAGCAAAAACCCAGTCATGCTGACCAAGTTCCTTTCAAGTTAAAAAATAGTTTTAATGAGAAAGCTTGGAAGATATTAATTCCTATCAATTAAGTTATTGTAGAATGTAGCACCATTGATTTGTACAGGAAAATAGCTTTTACTCCGTGAACAATGAACTAAATCAAAGTGATTCCTCAAACTCGGATGGAATTGAAGGAAAATTAGCTGGGAAAGCAGAAACTATAATCTGGGGATAAATGAAGGGATTGCAGGTGTTAAAATTTGATCTTATCTTCAAACTTGTTGGATGTTTTTTTTTTAAAATGACTTATGAACTAAATGAGAAAAGCAGAAACCATTTGGAAAAACCAGAAAAGCAACAACTGTTCTTAGCCGCCTCCAGGCATAGGATGCCATATAATTTTACATACAGGCAGGGAAAGAAGCGCTGCCAATTTACTCCAATTAGGTTTTCTATACTACTTCACTGCCACTTAGATCACTGGTCTTTAGAATGTTGAACTTGCAGAGAGGACAGGTTGCATTGAAGTACAACCACTTGTCTACACAGGCGCAATGGAAATGATGATGGCAAGCAAGTTTGCGCAATTCGCTCCCATCTTCGTAAGCAGAAAGGCAGATGCAGCATTCCTGTATATGATTGGAACATAAATTTCTGTCAAAATGGTGCATTTTCGTTCTTCGAAAGGCCAGCAGAACAAACATAAAGACGTAAGAATGGATGGCGACCGCTCTTATTTATACACATATGAAACAACTTTAAGAATCCCTGACTTTACCACTCCGTTTTATAGATTTTGTAAGAATGAGGGAAACTCAGCCTGCCAAAGAAAATAACATAGCTAGTGCTCAACTCGATATCAATTATGTACTGAGAAGTACGCATGTGGATTTAATTAAGGTATTTATGCGCTACCAGCATTTGATTCCATGTGTGATTGGAAATTCTAACCAGTCATACAAAACAGAAACTAGTTCTATTATCAATTGTAACTTCCTAAAAGTTTCAATGATTTTATAAAATCGCATACAGATATACAATAGTATTGGGTACTTACAGCATCCTCATGTGAAAGAATTCGTTCAGTAGGTGTATCAGCGTTACATTCAGTCATTATCCCCTCACGAGATTCTTGAATTTCACCATTTACTTTTTCAAAATCACGTACCCTGCGAAATTTGTACTTTGGCAATCTATCAATCTCTTCCTCTGTTGCTCCTTCCTGTTTTACAGATTGAAGGTGATCTAAAATAAGGCAGGATCATTCAAGAATGGAGACCAGAAGGAGACTGTATAACCTTACACAGAAAAAATGAATGATGCAGCATATATAACATAACCTAATCACATCACCACACATTCAACGGTCAAAAACATCTACGCAGCCAAAATAAAGCACATGCCCTTCATTTTCAGTAATACTTCGTTTCAATGGGGATTAATCTTAACATTACACAGATAAGCTTTTCCTAGTGGGAGTGGGAACAACAACAAAGCTTCCAGAGCCTTTCCATCACCCAAGAACAGGAAAATTAAAGAAGCAATGACCAACTTGTGCACAACTTAAGCAATGTTGTTTCTGAAATTTCAATTATTTATTCCCAGTACATTCTTTTCAACAGCATAAGTAAAAAAGCAGGTTAACCAAATTCATAATCCAAGGGGAAAAAACCCCAAGGCAAAATTTCAGGTAGTATAATATTGCCAACAAGGTCAAAGGTGTATCTCACTAAGGTAGCTTAGCTCATCAAACATCAAAGGGGACCCTCCAGATCATGGCCAATACAGTCCAAAAATACAGGTTTCCTTACTGGATGTGTAATCAGGAAACCAAGTCATTACAGAATTAATTAATCATTAAGCAAGATTGTGTTATTGGACATTGTGTTCCACTTTGACAAAACATAATAATAAAAAAGTAATCTTTGTCTCAACCATGATTAAAAAACTATTCTACCACAAACTGTTCCACCATGATTCAATATCCTAATGTAGTAATCTGCATAAAAAAATGTGAAACAATTTACCCGGTCTGTGAGAGCATATAAAATTGCTATGATGCAAGGAAGACAGCAGCAAACAGCAAGACCAATAAGGCACGCAACAGCTACACAGATTATTACAAACACTACATCGAATGCAAGGAAAGTAACACAAAGCCTGCCAATTAAGACCATATAAAAAGTTAGCAATAATTTGTAATAAAAATATAAAATTCATATGATATAGTGATAGTACCAGTAAAGCTGAGGTGAATGACGTGTCAATACTTGTCCATTAGCAGTTATCCAATAAAATCCAATGATCCACCAAAGAAATGAAAACACTGTATTTGCAGACTCCAAAGTTTTGGCAACACTGCCAAAAACATAAATATTTTGCTGAAGCTGAAGTAATCTTGATTCTATTCATAATTAATCTTAATTGACTAGCTACCTGGTTTCATTTGCACTATTCAGCTCCTCTGTTTCATAGTCCTCGGAATCCCCTGTTTCACTACCGGGCTGAGAATTCAGACCCAAATTCAAATCCTCACTATTCTGCAAATCTGAAACCCTCATTCGGTTTCTTCTTCTATATTCTACGACTACACAGGCAACGTGAAGTAAACAATGTAACCCGTATCCCGAAATCCAGAGCCTTAAAGGGACAATGGGCTTTTCCTCAAGGCTGAGTCCCAAAACGACAACCGCCATTACCACAAACGCCACATTCCAGAGAATGTCAAGGGCTATAATGGGCTTCAAATAGGCCCAATCGCTTTGACGCTCTTCGAGTTGCTCGGCCGCGGCTTCTCGCACACGAACCGATGGTTCACGCAGCATCAAGCGACGACTGCTGGCGCAGCGGAGTAGCCTAGCAGCCGCGCCACGTAAAGGTGGAGGTGGACGACGGAGGAGGCGCCTGCTACGGAGGAGGTGGTCGGTTATGGAATGGGTCAGGAAGGGTGATGTATCCACCGTTTCTGATGGAGGTGACGTCGCAGCTTGCATATTTGATGTGTTCATTTTTTAATAACAATAATAAAAAGACAATCTTCGTGGAAATTAAGATTGCTAGAAGAAAACCTGTTAGAAGTGTCGGTTTGAGATAGCAATTATTCTGTAATGATAAAAATGAGACTTTTAAAGCAAATGATTTGAAAGGAAACTAAATCAGGGCATGAAATTTGAGGAAAAAAGGGGTTAATTTAACTAGGTAAGAATTTGGATTTATGTACGTAAAATTTGGAACTTTGAATTCATATGATAAAAAGCAAGAAAGGCAATTACAAAGGACTAGAATAATTAAAGATTAGGGGGTATGGTTTCGAAGATGACTGACGTTGATGGCAACACCCTTTTTTTTTTTTTTAAATAAAATAAAAAAATTGAAAATTTGATAGATACCCATCGATGAAAAATTAAAGATTTTCTTAGTCGTGGGTGTTAAAAGGACGTGTGTCATGTCATGGCATCATTGCACTTTAATGGGAAAGCCCTGTTTCTACCAAATTATAACTTACAAATTTATCACTTGTTCTTGGGTTTCTCCATATAAAGAGTCAAAAAAAAGAAATCTTTGGCTGAAAGTTGAATGTTTCATGTAGATGATATTTTGAAAATTGATTTGAATTGTGAATTGGCGCTTGTAATGTTAAAAATTCCAAGAGAGAAAAATGGCCAAACGATTGTGAAAGCAGAGAAGAAAAAAAAGAAAGAAGCAGAAGAAGCCAACGAGATGAAGTTGGTATAGATGAAAATTATTCAACCAATGCAAACAAGCAAGACCAACGTATCCCTTGATACACAGGAGGAGCATCTGTTCTATTCCCATGGAAGTTCACTTCCCGCCAAGTAACTTCAAAATTCTTTGCTCCATGCAACTCAAAGAACCCACCTCGTCCCCTTTTCAGCAGGGACCAAGGTCCCACATTTCTTCCCAAAAAATGAACTACGATTTCTTTACATTTTCACTATTGTTCTTGCCAGTATTTTGAGTGCTTGTTCAGATTTTAACAGTCGTGGAATTTGGACAAGAAGTGCATGCAAAATTTTTTAAATTTGGCCTCCTATCCATATCGGTAGATAATTCCCTTGTAACAATGTATGCTAACTGGGCGTATATAGAAGATGCAAGGCAAGCAGGGTATTTGTTTCTTTGCAAAATCAGGATATGATTACTATGGAGAGGGTTTATGGAATTAAACCATCTCATGAGCTGTGTGCTTGTATGATTGACCTCTAGGGTTGCTCAGAAAAACTCGTTGAAGCTGCGACATTATTATTAAATCAAATGAACGTTAAACCAGATGCAACTGTATGGTAGGCCCTCCTTGTTGCATGTAGAGTACATAGCAACTTGGAATTGGAGGAAAGAGCAGCAAAGAGCCTCTTTGAAATGGAGCCCACGAATGCTGTGCCATATATCATGTGGTCTGATAAGTATTCTGAAGACAGAAAATGGGAAGAGGCTGCACTTATTCGAAGAATGATGAAATCGAGGTGAATTAGTAAAGAGCCTGGATGCAGTTGGGTTGAGATAAACAGTAATGTACAGCTTTATACAGTGGAAACAGTCCTAATTCCTCTGAAAATTTAGGCTCTTTGAACAATAAATGCTAATAAACTACTATATATGACACCCAAAGCACGGTTTTAATGAATCATCCTTTCCATTAGTTGAGGCAGATAACGCATCACATTGTAAACGAGAAAAAAAAAAATCCAAAACCTCTTCGCTAGCAGCCCTCTATCCTATCCACCTCAAAGCACCATCATAATATCCATTGTAGGGTACTCGGATGGATAGCCACCCGGTTATCCTTTTGGGGCTCGGTTTGTAACTATCAAGTTAAGGAACAAAGATGGTCAGCTCTGAACTAGCAGGAGGTGCGGCAGTAGCTTGTGTGAGGAGGCATCTAAGCAGCATCCAAGACCAATTTACAATATGCCTACAAATGCCATCTCATTTGATCTTATGTCCTTGCATGTTCTGGAATAAGTCGTTGTTGTAGTTCAGTAGATGCACCAGCCAGTTCTGCATAACCATTGACATGCAATTCCAGAAGACAACAAATTTTAAGAGAAAATATAATGTGAAAAGATTAATCTTAGCTTACCTTGAGCGGTGAAATTAAATAGAGGAGGTAGGGCTCGCCCGTTAGGCAAGCATGCATTGGGGTCTCTCAAATCATCAAAGAAGGGGTGTGCACATGCCTCCAGCTGAAAGCCACGTACATTAGATGCAACAGAAAGAACGCAGGTAAAACTTTCAGAACAGCATAAAACTTATATAATCCATTACAAAAACTTGGTGTACACATGCCAAATATCTCTATCAGCTACCATTTGAAATACAGTACAGAAACTACAACTTGATTATAAAGGCTGAGTGATAAATTACACAACTAAAGTTCCCTATAAAGATTCAACTCGATAGCACAAATGCATATTCAACTGAAAACAACAATAATATAATGCGAAATACTTACAGCAGTGCAACGTAGGTTTGGTGAATACTGAAGCAGCCTTGACACAAGATCCACTGCTTCAGGGGGCATTCGCTTGTGAAATATCTGAAAATTGTAACTTGAGTAAGATTTCCACTTTTATGTACAACTTATATATAAGGTAATTAGAAGATGATCCAATCAGCACACCTTATGCCAAGGATGAGCTTTGATCTGAGGGAATTTGAACTCAGTGTAGTTTGGATTCATGCATTTAATTTCTTCTCTGGTTGGTGTTCCCAGTATCTGATATGATAAAGCAAAAGTGAAAAGATGAAAAAACGCAGAAAAGGAAAAGTAAAAGATAAAACTAGAGTAACAAAAAGCCATAGATGCACACCTTAATAATTTCCACTAGCTGATCAACACCACTTTCACCAGGAAACAGTGGCTGTAAACAGTGTAATACCAACATGCTTTAGCACATACCATGAATGTAGTATTATAGCATGGAACAGAGTTTTTCAATAGATATAACATTTACATGCTACAAATGGATGCCTTGGACAAGAACTCAAAAGCAGGCAGATGGTAGATGGATGAAAGAATAGTTTTGCTAAATGTGCTTTAATGTAGAATTTCAGAATGTCAAAAGTCCTTTACATCCTACAACCAAATTACAAGGGCTCAAAAGGATGACTGCATCAGTGAGATGGTGCAGAAACAGATGAAAAAAACAAAATATAACAATTTTTAAATGCAGGAATACACATCATGAATGTTAATGCAATCAGCAGAACCCACAATCATCAAAAGATAGATAAAATGAGAATGTGAGCTATGAATGCTATTAAGGCATTACTAGAGCCATGCAAGCATTAGAGGGGTAACTAGAACATAAGTTGACATCAAAGCGACATCTAAAAGGAAATCTATATTTATAAACTCACCTGTCCAAGCAGAAGCTCAGCCATGACACAACCAACAGACCACATATCAATAGCAGTTGTATATTCAGTCGCCCCAAATATAAGTTCAGGAGCCCTATAATATCGTGAGCATATATATGATATGTTGGGTTCACCTGGCACCTAAAGATTGCAGAGTAATCCTCATAAGTTTTACAAACAAGAAAAAGATTTTGAAACTTCCCAAAAAATTGAACATACCAACATCTTTGCACTACCCAAATCACATATCTTCAGCCGGTGAGTGTGGGGATTGACCTGCAAATACATCAAAACATTAGCTCCAATATGCTTTGGCATTTGATAATACCAAAAATTATCAAAAGAATAACAAAAGCAATGAAATGTTAAAGCCAACAAAATTTCACAGACAAGATACATTACATCATGCGCATACACAAAGAAATCCTTAGACAAGCAGCATGACTGACCATTACACAGACAGTTTCACACATTATACTGTATTGAAGTTAATAACAAATTTGTCAAATTGAGGTTTTCGTAACATCCTCTAACAAGAGATTCAAGAATTTCTTAACATCAACATCTGGTTTATAATACAAATGCAAAAATGTCTTACCAGTAAATTTTGTGGCTTAATATCACGATGACATACACCAACCACATGATGCAAATAATTTAGAGCACGGCAAATCTAAAAAAAGAAAGCAATATAGCTTGTCACAATATGCACTGAGAATATAAACTCGAAAGGGTTGGATCAAAAATCAAACTAGTAGAATTTTGCAACCCACTACTGATTAACTAAAGCAAGGAAGGGTCAAGGATCACCTGGTATGCATACAGCTGCACATAAAGAATTGGCATATGCTGATTCATTCTGCTATAGTGTTTTGAAACTCGGTAAACTGTTTCGGGTACATACTCTAGAACAAGGTTAAGATAGAGCTCATCTTTGTCAGTGGTTGAAAAGAAACAGTGCTTCAGTTGGACCACGTTAGGATGGTCAAGTATACGCATAATCTGAAGTTCCCTATTCTTGTATCTTTTATCCTGCAGAACCTTCTTTATGGCAACAGATTCACCTCTCTCCAAGCACTTAGCCTACATCATAAACATAAAGTGTTACATAAAACTCGAAGAGACAAAGAATATTCTCAATAAATGAAAACACCAAGAGAAAAAGGTTACAGACAAGAAGATGGTGACATGTCAGTATATTCATACCTGAAAGACAACACCAAATGAACCTGTGCCAACCACGCGCTCTGCCATATATGAGATTGTCTGAAGCCCAAGAAAAAAATGCATTGTTAAGCATTAATTGCTGCTTAGAACAAATAGAATAATCAGATGAAATTAAATACCATGAATGTAAACCAAGATGATAACATGACAATGGCTTTAGCAAACTATTGAGCTGGGCTCATTTTTTAAATATCAACTCCAACAAACAGCCTCAACAGAAAATACTTGTTCCCACTCCATCAAGAAGGAAAAGGTAGCGGGGAATTTTCAAGAATAAGAAAAGGAATAACGCAACATTAGCTCACACATAGGCTGCAAAGCATAATTCACAATCCAGATGAGCAGTTAATCATGTGCAACAAAAAGTCAACCAAAAATCAAATCACCTGTTTAGGTTGCCCATTTTGACCACCAACAATAGTTGAAATTATTTGACCTGTTTCTGTTCCATTTCCATTAATAACTGTAGTCTCCACAACCTGTGGAATACAAGTTACAAAACGGTAATTTTAGAAATAATGAAGGAAGCTAGGTAAACTGTAGACAGTTTTAAATCATTTCAAAAATTCAAATAACATTATGCAGAGAGTTGGTCATAAGATATCTTGAAGAATCCCAAGCCATAGCCTGAGGAATAGATAGATTGGTTCCTCAGTGATTCAATTCCTTTCCTTCACCAAAGTTCAAGTTAAGCCATAAACATAGATAGAAAACAGTGATTACTTCAAACTATATCCAGAGACTCAGAATTTTTAAGCATGAAAAAGTGAATAACTTCTTAGATGGCATTCCAGCATACCTGGTTATCATTTTAAAACAAGATAGATATGAAGACGATTTAAGAGGAAAACATCAACATGCATGTATGGATAGGATTGGAAGAGTATAAGGCCACAAAATACCTTATCATCATGGTCGGCAGTTTTCGCATCTCTAATTCTCATTTCATTAATTTCATTAGGGAGCTGATCGACCCCTGATTTCTCTGTTCTATTAACAGAAGATACATTGGATGTGCCTGTTACAGATTCAAGTGAAGTAGAAGCCATATGCTGCTCTATACCAGTGGTATTCCTCTCCAATAAATTTGATTCCCCGGATACCTTACATTCTGATTCTTGATCTACCTTTGCCCTCTTGGTGCCAGGATCCCTACCCTGATGGGACAAGTATAATTTTCTCAAAAGAAATTGATACATAGAAACAAAGACTAAAAGAAAACAAGCATCCTCATAGTAACAGAGTACCCATTATATTGCTATCTTTATATACTAGCCTCAGTGTAAATCTCATATTTTGTTCTTTTCAACACAAAGGATTTTCTTATATACAGTAATAGTGACTTTCAACAATGAAGAAGCAATTGAGACTGCATAAATACCGCACAAGCACATGCAAGTAGCTCATTATGTTTATAAGTTCTAAATCAATAATCAGTTCAGCCTCCTCATTCAAACCGCTTTTGTGACTGGCATAAGATTATTTGGCTCATAATGTAATCTTAAAAGCATCCCAGATTAAGCTCGAGTTCAGGGAGGATAGAACAATAGACTAAAAACAAATGAGAAAAGACCAGTCTGAAAATTTAATGTGTCAAAGCTCAAAGTAAGTGGCATGCATCTATTTCATTGTAGTTTGATTGACAACTCTCCAGTAGGTGTAAAGTAAAAAAACCAAAGTAGAGGATCAAATGTAATTTTCCAAGTTCCTTTCTAGATTTAAGTCCATGATTACATACTGCAGTCAACATCACAAGGAACCAACAATTTAGGTAAGCAACATATCTGCCAGATTTAACCTCTATAATATAGCCCCTACCAAGGAAAAGAAGTTTGTTAAGGACATTACCCATTCTCAGGAAAAACCAATAGTGGTGATTTGACCCATCACCAACCTAACAACAATGCTCTACATAAAATCCAACCACTAAAACACCGCTTACCATCAACCACCAAGGTAAACATATAATCTAAAACTACAGCTTAACCTATGACAATTACATACATAATAGCACAAACAAGAAATTATGCTCACACAAAAAATAATTGAAATTAAGAGAGCCTCCAGGCTCAAACACAAAATCAAGGAAGAGATCCACCAACATTAATCAGTAAATGAATAGAAAAATTCAATGTCGAAACAAATATGCAACACAGAATTCGAAAAGTATGGCAAATAACCTTTTCTAAACGAAACAAAAGCAATGAAGGAAAAAGGAAATGACTTCAGCCAACAATGTCATTCCTCTCTTCCTCAAAATGTTCATCAACCAAAATGAAAACTTCAAAAACTATCCCAAAAAGCAAATTTTTCAATGAAAAGAAAACAATATAAGCACTTAAGAATCCAGCGATAAGTCGAAAGTAATTACGCAACGAGAACAACAAAAGAAAAAAAAATCTCATTTTGCCTAGAAAACAATTAATAACCCTGCTAAATCTAGTCATCAATAAAAAAAATCACAGAAATCAAGACATGAATCACAGAAATCACAAAAAACGCAGGAATATGAAAAAAAAAACATTTCAATGAACGAAGCTTCAAACAAACAGATTAACTCCAATTGAATCCATGAAAAGAGAACTTACGGGATCAGAAGAAATAGAAGAGCGTCCGGAAGCAATGCTCTTGAGACGACGCATAACATTCATGATTTTAGATTTCACCAAACCAAACCCTAATATCTTGGAATGGAAACAACGAATTTGGCCTTCACCACAGAGAGAAGAGAAGAGAGAAAAGCCGCTTCCTCTCTTCTTCTCCTCCGCCTTCGATTCTATTACCAGAATAACAGATAATGAGAAAAACCAACACTAACAAAAAAATTAATATAATCGGTAAGATATATATCCTAATACAGATTCAAAATTTTAAAAAAAAATCGCATAAATAAAAAAATTCTCAGATTCTCTCTTTCTTTTCTCTGCATACATCGAAGAAAACACAAAAAATATATATATAATAAAAGAAGAGAAAAGAAAACTTTCTCTCTCTATAATTTTTTTCTCTTCCATTAAAGCCACTAGATATCTTTTCCTGATTTGATTTTTCCTTGGTCAAAGATGGATCAAAGCCAATCATACGAGCCTCATCTTTTGTACTTCAGTCAAACGTGAAATTTGATCCGTCGATTCTCCATTATGAGAGATCGAAGACGGATCGGTATTCGAGAATATTTGGGCAATTGGCAAAAGCATTATTTTTTTATTGGACTAAAATATCCTTCACTGGCAAGAGGTATCTCTCACGGAATATACGGGGAAATTTGATGACGATTTTTTGACGGTTAATTTTTATCTTTACTTTTTTAATTGAGAATTTATTTTGAATAATAATTATTAAATCTATAAGGTTTTCATTTTCTTAATGAAGCCATATTTTGTTTAGTTCTCTGTGTGGATTATGGACCGCTATTTTTTTAATTATGATACTAAGGCTTGATTTATTTTATTAAGCGTGGATATAAACGCCAAATAGATTAGCCATAAATTATAGCTTTGGATCTTGTTTTATTCGAATCTTGTTTTGTTATAGCTTTGGAAATCTTCTTGCTTCTAATTTCCCAGCTTAAACATTAAAACAAATTCGGTTTTAAAAAACAAAGCGTGAATTCCACTACAAATTATACATCGTCCAAGCGGTCGGTCCCATAAACAGAAGTGCCAGCCATGATGCATATCACGTAAAAGATCTTAGAATCCCTTTTGAAAAAAAAAATAAATTGAATAGGGTTGATAATTATTGGAAAAAGATTTGATGTGATTCCATTTTTTAATGATATATAATATTATAAAATTTTAAATTTTAATCTGAATTTAAATTAATTTTTTAAATAAATTATATTTTATTTGTTTAATTTGATTCAATTTATTATTTTTATTATTTTTATTATTTAAATATTATTTTAATATAATTTTTAATACTTTTAAATATAAAATACTTATTTTATGTAATAAAATTTAAAAAATATATAATTTTATTCATCTTAATTTTTATTTAAAATTTAATTTAAATTTAATATATATTTAATATCTGAATTTTACCATGATTCTCAAATATTTTTATTTTTTTCGCACCCTAACAATGATGAATAACCCACCATCTTTTTCTGCACCTTTACACATTATTTCCTCTTCGTACTGAGGTTTTCGTCAGAAATATGGTTGGCCCAGGCAGCCCAAACTACATAATCTTAAACCTAAATGGGCCAACTGAACAATCCACTATCAAGGTTTTGTTGGGCTGAGATTGCTTCCTGAAAATGACCCATGGTTGTAGGTCCGTCGGTCCAGTTTAAGAAGAAATAAACGTTCACCAAATCCACTACCAAGGATGCTTTTTCTTGGTGACCAAATTGTACATTATATCATAAATATTTGCACAAATGTCTGGCTTTAAATAGTGAAGTAGATCTAAGGGTTTTTTTTTTTTTTTTTAATGTTAAGGACATGCATTGCTGCTGCACGTGAATTATTGTACGTTTGGATGAAAGGCAAAAAGTAGGCTTTTTGCACCCACCAAATGAATATGTTTGGCAAATCATATTAGAGAGAGCCCACCCCTCACATGTCATGTTATGATTTTTCAATGTAACCTTTAAAGAATGGCCATCGTTCTAAAACCTGCCCAGTAGTTGGCTGAAACTTCTCCATTTCAGAGTTTGATTGTGACTGCTTCAAATTAAGCTTAAACCCTTTTTTCCCTTCAATTAATAAGCTTTGGAGACCTTTCAACTCTCAAGTTTTTGGGCCTTAAAAACTTTTGCTAGATTTCCCTGTTCTTCATTCATGTTTTCTTTCTTTTCGGTCCTGTCAATGTGAAAAACCCATGTTCAATTAATTCCATTGATCCATGCTCCCAGTTCTTTTCTTGTTAATGATTGGCATGATTTTATCAAATATAGGTTATGATGATAAAGTTGTTATTAGCAATAAATACATTCTAATTAATTTATTATGTTTAATAATTAATACTTGCATAATTAGTATAATTCTAGCCTAAAAATTAGTATAGTAAGTCTGAGGTTTAAGTTAAAGTTCATTAATTGAAGCCCTTTTTTGTATATTACATATGTTTAATTATGAAACAAAATTTTAAAGCCATAGCTGCTCATGATAAAGAAAAGGCATTGTTAAGTATAAATGATATTTCTTTTCTTTTCTTTTTTTTTTTTTGTGGAATGTCTTCATGAAAAAATTTTCTCAGACGATTCAAACCAATAATAAAGGCTGACAACGAGATTAGAACCCCCCCCCCCCCAACTTCTAAGTCTCAAACCACCCACCCACCCAGGTTGATGCAGTTTTAAGTGAATGCTAGCTCTACCAAATGGTTTGAGGTCTTGTCAGAAAAAAAGGTGAGAGGATGACTAGACTATGTGCTTGAAGTTTGTAATATGTTCATATTTGGTCACTAGGGTTCGTGGGTTTCCAACAGTGAAAGACTTGTTTATTTGTGAAGGAGAAAAGAAACAGGAAAGAAATTCAGGTCTCACAATCTGGCTTGGTGAAATGGTGTCCTATTCATTTATTGCACCGAAGTGTTGCAATCTTAAGCTTCCTTCCAGCTTGGTATTTAATGCTACACCAACCTCTTTCATTTTTATTTCAAAGCTCAGAGGGATCTGGGCTGCAATCAAAGCATTAAATGTTTCATAAGTGTCAATTGTAGCAAACTGTTCATTCTTCGAAATTTGTCACTTCTCTAGCCTCTCTTTTTCGTTTTCTCCAGCTTCCAAGACAAAATACAAATATTACTCTTGGGTTTGTTGGTTTGGCAGAAAATTTTCCACTGCCTCTCGATTAAAAACTTTTATGTCTAAAAAAATGAAAATTTGATTCATTGGTACTTTTCCTTGCTTTTATAAATGATGTTAATTCTGGTGAAAAACAATAGAAGTTCAGATTCCCCTCTCAAGAATGCAAGGAAAAAAGGTAAAAACTGAAATGTTTTGATCAGTGTGAAGGTGAAACCAAGCAGCTGAAAATGTCGGTTAGTAGAGGCGCAGAAGTCAGTTCATGAACTGGGGCTAGAAGCCCTGGAAAAATCTTAAACACCCCTTTTTGAAAATTTCCCCTTATTAGCATGCATGATTAGGCAGAAGCATGATATTTCATGCCCTACCGGCCTACCCAATCTTAAATTAGGGTGAGTGAGGTTTATTCATTATATGATCAAAGCAGATAATATACTTTATAAAAAATTTACAAATCTTTTATCAAAAAAACACTTCCGACAATAAAATTTGAATTTAAATCTTATAAGTATTCTAAACTTTGCAAAATATAAAAATAACTGATATTTGGGAAGTTGGGCGGGTGTTCAATGATTGATATTTTATGATCATCTTATACTAATCTAGTAATAATCTACATCAAATCAAATGTAGATAACTTAGAATATTGAAATATAAAAAGAATACTACAATTGAAGCTTGTTGGCAAGCATTTAGAACATACAATGCCATTATTGATAAGTAATTGTAAGTTTTTGCCTTTCCAACTGATCAATAGTTGAATGCTCAAAAAAGCTCATTATTTAATGAGGAAAGATTTCTTTTGTCGAAAACAAAGACAAAAGGAAGAGCCCCCACACGTCAAAAGGAAAATTGAAACACTTACTACAATTCCATCACTCATTCAGTACTCCACACATACTACACTAATTGGAAATGAATATCAAATATTGCACTTAAGGGTTTGACGTATTTGATCGACAAGGCAAATATATCAATATTCCAAGTTGTTATTCTTGAGATGGTTTTGAAGGAAGGAGGATGGAACCCACAAGCATGTGATGGGAGTGGGGGAGGATAGGATAATTGGGAGCAATGACTAGGAAAGGAGATTGAGAAGTAGAAGGTCCAAAAGAGCTGCTGATCATATATAAGCCAACTGTATTCCCTCTTTCGGATAGCATTTCATTTTCTTGACTTTATTGCCTTCGTCCACACCTACCTGTGATGCTCACGTGTATCTTCGTGTATCTGCATGGGATGAGAACGAAGTTTTATTTCAGAAAGAGAAAAACCAAAAAAAAAAAAAGAGAAAGATATTACAAAAACTCACTTATGGTAGCAAAAAAATATCACATGTCATCTTCGCAAATAACAAATTACTACTGGTATTTTTAGGTCTCATTCATTGATTCACATTTATTGCTTGCTTTTATAAGAAAATGTTTAAATTTTTGTCCTGGCCAGGTGCTATATATATATATTTGTGGAGAGAATTTGGAATGAATAATTGCAATATGATTTTTAAAGATTTTTCAAGTCAAGCTGATTTTTGGGTTTCGACAGTTCTTAATTAAGAGCCGATTTCCTCATATTGATGCAGCTGCACCTATAAGGTTTGTTGCTTTAAAAGCAACAAATTTGCTCAAAAATAACTTTCAATATGATCATCTTTAATCCAATTCCAACAAGAAACCCAAAAATTAGCTTATTATATCTAGAAAGTATGGCCATAGCGTTTTAAAATAGAAAGGATTACAAGTTACAACATGCAATTGTAGTTTAGGGTTCAGTGAAGGCTAATTGACAGATTGATTTGGATATTCTATATTTGTAGTAGTATAAACATTTATACTATGCATGTAGAAATACGTATACACGTATAGGGTTTTGATAAATACTTGAAAGCTATACCACTTTCCATTTGTATAGTTATCTAGAGAATTAAGATCTCTTCATATTTTAATGGCTTCCAAAATTGGAAATATATTTTTGGTTTATTGGTATAAGTACATATCACCATTTATTGGAGGGGCATGATTTGAACCTCAACAGCTCTTTGTTATCTACTCCTTCCTGCACGTTATTATGCATGATTAATCTTTACTCAAGAACACATTGAAATTTCTTCTGAAAGGGAAATCGTATTTCGTTTTTAGGTTTGAAGAACAAGTCTATTTATGATTTTCCACAAATTTTTTTCTTCGAGAGAGCTGAAAACCTAATAGCCACCAGCAGCAGCCGGGGGCTTACAGTTCAAAATTCAAAAAATCAAATTAATACCATCTCCCAGAACAGTTAGAGTTAAACTCGTTTGTACCCTCTTCAAATTCTACTAATTCACCTGCCATTACTTCATCAAGACCATGAATACGAGCAATGCCGTCGCCCACTTGAAGTACGGTACCAGTATTTACAATCTTTACTTCTCTATTATATTGCTCAATACGTTCACGGATAATATTACTAATTTCGTCGGCTCTAATAGTTACCATGAGTATTTCCTAATTATTTTTTGGAAGAAAAAAATAATGCCTACAGTAAAGTAAAAGGTAAAAAAAAGGTCTTTATCGTCCACAATTTAGGGAAAAATAATAAAGATTATTTGGTTAGATAAATTTTGAATTGAATTATATTATTTTATTTTAAGTTAATGTTATGAATGATTTATAAATTATAATAAAATATTTAATATTATATCAAAACTTTAAAACTTTTTAATATGGTATATGAATTATAAATTTATTAATTAAAATTATACTCATTATTAATATAATTAATTTCAAAGATAACACGTAATGGACAAATAGACCTTCAAGTGCCAAATTAATCAATAAATTTATAATTTTTATATCACATTATAAATTTTTAAAATATAGGTATCATATTAAACATTTTATCATAATTTAAGGGTAGTTCATGACATTAATCATTTGATTTTCATTAATCAAATAAAATTTATTAATTTACAAATTAATTCAATCAATTTGATTAATTAAACCGAATAATAAAATATATTTAAATTAAATTATGTTTTAAAATTTAAATTTTTTATATTTAAAACAAATTAAATAAAATCATTAAACAAAATATTCAATACCAAAATATTAAATTAAAACTCTAATAACTTATAAAAAATGGACTATTTTATTTATTTTTTATTTTTTAAAATTTTATTATATTTAAATTAAAATTTAGGTTAATTTGATTTTTAAATTAAATTAACGATATTTTATTTTTAAAAAAATTAGTTTCAGCAATTAATCAAAATTAATTCGATGAACAATTAAATTAATTCAATTATTAACTAAATTAAATAAATTAGATTATTTAACTAAATTAAAATCCAATTTTGGACCATTGAAAGTTTTATTTATCTTAATTTTTGTTCTGTAAATTTTTAGTGTGGTAAAAAGGCAAAACTGGCCGGCTCTGGTTCTGCTAAGAGATCATTTGCATCAAGACGACCCAGAATCATGTCAACCCAAAACTTCAAAAACTCGCTTTCCTCACTACTAATGTAAAAGATTTATCACAGATCCTACTGTCCACATTGCATCAACAGATTCAGCATCAAAGCAAAAGCAAAGCAAAGCTGGCAAACAAACCAAACATTATCCCTCCCTTTGCATCATAATCCAAAAACGCTGTTACTGTCACATTCCTCGTCTCCCTTTTCCTGTCTTTAAAATAGTCTCCAGAAACGTGGTTTTGCTTCATTGGATTGTCCACGTAATCCCGGGGACGATGCCAAACACTAGGCATTAAATGAAAGCAACGCCTTCTCCCAACAGCTTCTGCTCCCTCATTTAATGCCCTTTTGCAACTTACAGACTATACCCCCCTCCCTCTCACCATCTCATACTAACTTCCAATCTAACTTGCACCGGTGGGGCGTTTATTTTACGTTCTCAGTCGCCAATCAAATGTGGTTTTGAAGTTTGAAGAAAGGGAAATACTTGGATAAATTGAAGTATAAAATCAATACATTAAATTAATAAGTTTCCTGAAGCCAAACCCTAAAGAAAAGTGACAACTCAATACAACATGTTCCATGACACTATGACAGGACCACGAAATCTTCTCGACAGAATTTGTAGTTGAAAAATTAAACCACCAGGAAAAATAGATTGGATTATTACAACAATAAGGCTCTGTTTTTGAAGATTTCTTGTTTTTGGGTTTTGAGTTTTGACTATCTCCCTCCCCACCACCCCACGATAAGCCTGCCAGGGGTCGACCTGAGTCAATACCCGAACCACCACCCTTGCCTAGTGCTGAAAAACAGTCTTTTTATTTTCCACCGAGTCGCTGCCTGACCCTCACCATGCAAGGAGTCTGCTCGCGCGGTTCGTTCTTGACTCCACACCCCCAACTCACTGAGTCACACACACACACACACACACTCCATCACAGATCACACAATACAAAGGCCAAAGCTCTCCTCAGTCTTCGCCACAACCAACCCTATAAATGACTAAAGTAATACACAACGGACTTCCATGTTAAAATTAAAAAAAAAAGGCTAGTACAAAATTAAAAAACTATAAAAGAAGCTGCCCTCAGTATCACGTGAGTTTTTGCCCTCAGCTTTCGCAATGAAGGGCAGCTTTGATCTTCTGGACGGTGCATGAAATCAGATTATTGACTGTCTCCACTGATTCCAACGTAAGCTTGGCCGTCGGTAAACTGTTCACCAATATTTGGAAAGCCACGGTGAGAAGGGACCCACCCACTCTGTGCGACTCGCCAGCACCGCCATTCACGTTAATATGTCCATTAGAGATGGGTCCACGAGAACCTGGACCATCTGGGACGATAGCAAAACCAGAGGGTAGTAGTGCCACGTAAGCAGAATCACCACCGTTCATTACCACGTGCATGGCTGGAATGTCAACGGGCGCGTACACAACAAGCGACCCCGCCGCGTCTATGCATGTCTCCTGCAATATCAGCATACTGCTCTGGTTTGCGTTCATTGCCTGCACCCCCCAAAGAAAAAAAATCCCAATGCGTGAGAAATAGTCAAAATCGGAAGTCGAAACTTTATTCATAATAATGAAGAAATGGAAAAAAAAAAAGAAAAAAGAAAAAGGGGTCAGAAAAGTGAGAAAGGCTACAAACGTCCTACAATTTTGACTTTTTAAATCTTACAAAACAAAACCAAACAAAACCTGTTTTCATGTCCTGCTATAACCTGTCTTCATTGATACTTCCAAATTCCAGACACCCATCTGACCCACTCTTCCTACAATGTCATTTCCGTCCCTAAATTATTACACCTTTTCTCGACCCAATTTTTTTTTAATTTTAAAATTTATATTGCTACTAAATACTTATTTCATTTTATAAGTGGAAAATGGAGAGAGAGAGTGTATATTTACGCTAGCACGGAGGAGGGAGACGCAGTTGCCATGATCTTGGCCTTTGGCGATGTGGGCCATCTCTTGCATGGGTCCACCATTCGACAAGATGTCCCACTCGCTCCTCAGTCGTTCATCACGTAGAAAATCAAACAGTCTTTGAGGCGACACTGGCAACCAAACTGAAGTAGCCGCGCTCAAAACGATGCCTGGTGGCTCACCAGGGTCATCAACGCTCTTCCGAGTCATAACCCTAACGTCTTCACCCACGTTCCCAGCATTCAGCTTGTTCCATTTATGAACCGTCGAGGCACACACTCCAGCACAGAAATTATCCGTCATCCGCTGGGCTAGCTTCAACATGCTTCGTCTCCCACTTGCAGTTATAGCTACAAAAAAAGAATAAATAAACATACCTTATATATCCATGTTTGTTTGTACATTTTAGAGTATACTATATGTTTTTCTTAGGGCATAATAATATTTATTTATTGGTTACCAGTATGGTCTCTAGTGTGAACCGCAGAGGACATGAGGATAGCAAGGCATTCGCATTGGCGTTGGAGGGTCGCCACCCAGCGTTGGGCACCAAAGCCCATGCCAGATCTCAGTAAAGGGCGGTAGAGTTGGTGAACTTGGCTCTCGTCATATTCTGCACATTCAACCCATATAACCTGCATTTTTTCACTATCATCATCAGAGGCCATTCCATGCAGAATTTTTTACTATTTTATATTACAAAACAATCATTGGTATAATAATGATTTCTCAAATTTCTCATATAAAAAATGTTTTACTTTTAGTTAGCTGAAAAAAGAATAGTAATAAAAAGGGATGATCAATTCATAGCTAGATTTAAAAAAAAAAATTGATTTAATCAATTTTCATTTAAAAAATAATTAAATTGATTAAAAATTTTTAAATAATCAATCATAACTAAACTAACCAAAATCAATTCAATTTGATTGATTTAGTTAAATAACTGAATTTTTTATTTTTTTATTATAAATAATTATTTAACTATAAATTTAATTTAATAAAATTCAAATTCAAATCTCATTCAAACTAAATTATTAAAAAATTTAATAATTTTAATCATATTTTACAAAAAAAATAAAAATATTTATCATAATTTTTTTAACTTTGTTCATTAAAAAGTAAATTTATTCGATCAATTAAAAATCGATCGAGTTAAATAATCTAAAAAATTAATTATAATCAAAATCAAATAAACAAAATCAAATCAACTAAATTCATTCAATTTTAATCGAATTTAATCTATTTAGATGAATTTTTCTCACCTCTAATAATAATGTTAAAACTTTTCTTCGCCATTACGATATTTGTATAATACTAATTATTGACAAATGATTTTGATTTTAGCAATAGAAAAATATAAGGCAAATCTTTAAAAATGAGTCAAAGAATGGGCTCAATGAAAGAAATGGAATCTCTTATTGTGACATTGTCCCTTGTGTTGAGGCATTAGAAGATAGAAGAAGGATTGAATAACAGAGAAGATAAACTTTTTAAAGATTTTGAAGGAAACATAGTGTACCGCGAGGTCTGACATCGAGATGTGTACTGATGTCGCCTCAAAGCTCAGACACTCAGATACAAACAAAAGAGCTAGTCCATGGCATTTTGACTAAGGGGTCCTCGGTAGAGTAGGAAAACAAGCACATAAGCCGGGGCTGGAACCAGGTCATACGCAGTTACATGCCTTAAAAAAAATGAAGCTAAATGCGAGAACCGAGGCAACATCAAAATAGGAATAGAAACATCAAATCAATAGTTCTTTTAATAAGAGACTCAGGATTCCAATTCATTTTTCGCTAGAGGATCTATATGAAATCAATGTGCTCAAGGCACAAAAAGTAAACAGTAATAGAGGCTTCCATTGATATATAATAATGGAAGTTAACCTCGATTTGCTGCTGTGAAGAGGTGTTATTTTATTGTGGTTAACCAAACCCAGTTGTTGAAACTTGAAATTTAAGATTATTTTGAAACTAGAAGAAGCATCCAAATCAATAAAATAAGATACTCCAAAGTGTGTAGGAAGGCTCAGATTCTTTGAGAAGGGAGTTAATGAATTCTTTTGGAAGCAAACCAGGCACTGACAATGTGGGGTTACACTGAGTAATCACTAGACAAAACAAAAATCCTACTTGCATGAGCTCCTAAGTTGGGCTTGGGAATGAAAATGTCCATGGATTTCCTAACCTGGTGTTCATGTTTTGCAAAATTAAACGCTTCGCAACTAAGCTACAATGTTGCAGTTATTTCAGCAAATTCATTAAAGACTCAAGGCAGGAAGAACAACCACTTGGAAAGACACAATAAATGTAAAAGAAACCAAGATGAAGTAAGATACAAGTCATACTAGTAAAGTAATTTGGAGTTATCCTACTAACTGAAATTACCTTGGAGTATCCATTGGGCATATCTTGCACAACACAGCCAGAAGGAAGCCTCCTGCAGTTCACAAAAGTTGGTGCACCAGGAGTTTCTCGGATGGTGTCAATAGACACATCGACCACCGCCCAAACCCCTTCTGCATGCTGCTTGCAGAACCTTAGGAAATTGACCTCACGAACTGGAACCAAAGGAGAAAGGACTTGGAGCTCAGCATGCATCTGAAAAAAAAAAAAAAAAAAAAAAAAATTGTTTACAAAGTTACAGTTAAGATCAGAAAAATTGAGGGAATACAGTGGCGCGAGAGATATAAGCATTAATTATCGCAGGAAATTTTAATTACCAGCTGAAGTGCACCATTTCTGGTTCCTCCCATGCCACTAGATATCACATCAGTGGTTGATGTCGCTAGGCATCATACAAGGAAACCATCTCCCGCCCACACGATTCCTGGAAAAAGAAGGGAAAAAAAAGATTGTACGATAGTTCAAATGGCACAAACCTCTAGAAAAGAAGAGAAGGAAGGACTAAATTTCCTAAGCATATAACATCACCAGAGCAGTCTCTAGTCTCTACTGTTACTAAGAATTGGGCACCCAAAAAAAAAAAAAAGGAAGTTGCTAAAGAAATTTGCAAATCTACAAATCTTAGTGAGAAAATGCTTGGAAAAAAGACTTCAAAAGTCAAAACCCATAAATTCAAGTGAAACTGACTAATTGGATATACGTATAGTTGGCTCACCGAGTCCATCAAAGTTTCAACAAGGGCCAAACTGTTGATAATCACCACCCCAGTCTCTCTAGAAGCTTCAGTGACAAAACCACTTGGTTTCATGCCAATGCCAGAAGTGAATGTCCTCACGTACTCATCTTGGTTTAATATTTCTCTTCCACCTTCCAAGCTCCTAATCCAAAGTGGTTCATCAGTCTGTGCCATCTTAACCAATTCATCCATTGCAGCCAAAGCAAGCTCCAAAAACATCGATCTTTCCACCGATCTATCAAGTCCAGTTACTCCAGTTGTTGGTCTGTTAGGAGGAATCACTGGCAAAGCACTTGCTATCCCATCTCCAAAATCATGCCCCAAAGGCAATGTTGTAGCCACGGTGCTTAAACCTCCATAACCATTGCTACCAACTCCAAGTTCTAAACTTGAGTTTGGCATTGATGCAACTAGTGCTGAAACTGGACGCCCCAAAAACTTGCCAGCAAGTGCACAAACTCGATCTAACTCATCCTTTAAACGGGCGTTCTCGATCCTAAGATGTTGCTCTTCGAGAGATATATCACCAATAATTGCTGGACCCCCACAGTTAGTGCAAATTGGGTTCCTCATAGCATCCCTAATAGACATATTCTCAGCTCGAAGCTTATCATTCTCCTGCCTCAGCAAATTGTTCTCATGGCGTTCCAATTGGGTCTGAAAAAAATGATCATGTTTTAATATTACCGTCCAATCCAGCCCCAGAAGGAACACGAGAAGAGGGAAATTATTTATGACCCCAGGAAAAAGAATTGGTTTGGTTCTTGCATATATACCTTCATTTGGGTACGGCGGTTTTGAAACCAAAACTTGACCTGTCTGGTTTCTAAGCAAAGCCTTTTGCTAAGCTCCAATCTCTGTTTCTCATCGGGATGAGGGCACTCCTTGAAGAGACTAAACGAAACCAAGAAAAGAAAAGAACTTGTTAAGGCGATGTTCCATAGGAAACACTTAAACCAACTGAAGAAGAAAAAGTTAGGAACTTTGTTCTGAAACATGAAATCATACGTTTCAAGCTCTTGGATTTGCTGAGGAGTGTGTCGGTGGTATCTCTTTTTCCTCGGAGGGTTGTCGGCTGCGTCTTGATCATCACCTGAAGCTCCATCCATGTTATCACTTCCAGATCTGCTCTCATGTTCCTCTTCTCGGCTTCTTCTCCCAACACTTCCCTCAAAATTCTCACCCATTCTAGTCCCATCTCCATGGTTATCTATATTCGGTTGCTGCTGCGAACATGACAAAAATAACCCAGATCAGTTCCAAGAGCAAAACAAAGAAGGCTAACGGTAATTAAAGAGAGTGTTGTTATCATTACAAGAGCAAGCGAGAGGCCCGGAGAGTTGAACATGCTCTTAGGAAGAGAAGGAGAGACAAGGCGAGGCTGAGCAATAGCACCGGTGGGCATGTCGTTGCTGTAGGTGATGTCTGTGCCTATTCTTGCACCCCCAAGGCCTCCACCAGAGCTGTTATCAAGAAAGCCCCCAAAACTCATCAAAGAAAGTCTCTTTTTCCTTTAATCTTTCTTTATTGTTCTTATTTATATCAAGCACTCGACTTTGATTTTGGTTTCTTTTTCTCTGCAAATTTACAACCACACTCTCTAACTACACTCCCATATGACTGATTTGCTTCGTTTCCAAGCCATGACTCGGCTTTGACCATGAAATTAGTAAATTATTAACTCTTAAGGAATAGAACCCAAATTGCAGACTTACATATACATAAAAAAAAAAAAAAAGAGAAAAAAATCTATGAAACTGTGTTCCACAAAGACAGGTTTCAAAAAATAAATATTTGAACAAGACCAACCAAATTAAACAAAAGAAAAGAAAGCAAAGAGAGAGGATAGAGGAGACTAAAGGATAAAACAAACTGCAAATGTCTCCAACTCCCTCTCTACAAAGATGTGATTTTTAATGGAGAGAAAGAAAGAGAAAGAGGGCAAGCATAACCCTTTATGTTTCCAGCTTAGCTCCTCGTTCTCTATCTCTCTCTCTCCGTATCTGCTTTTTATGGAAAAAAAAAAAAAAAAAAAAACCCTTTCTTTTGGTTTTAGGTATGAAATAGAGGAGGCCTTAAAATCAGTTGGCTCGGCGTTTCAAAGAGAGTAAATGGGAACCCTAGTTTTGGCAAGAGAGTGTTGTGTTGTATCTCGTTCTCTGCATGCTTGAACTACTAAAAACCCTTTTCAAGAGAGATGATCTTCTGCCCAGACAACAAAATATAAGAAGGAAAAGAACGAGAGCCTTTTAAAAGATTTTCACAGAAGAAAAGGGAAAAAAAAAAGTGAAGATAAAACGCACTATGTGGACTCTTCGAAGCCTTACATAAACATACCACCAAAAAAAGACGGTTGACTCGCTCTCTCTGTCTCTATCTCTCTTTTTCTTTTTCTCTTCAAAAGTCTGTGATCGACAGTGAAAAAATTTTCTACTTTTTTCTCCTTTTAACCTGAACACAGTAAGTTAAAACACAAAAAAAAAACAAAAATCTCTAACTCGTTTTTTTTAACATGGGCATGGGACAGAGTTTCAGATTTGCTTCCCCCTTTTTTTTCTCTCTCCACAGAAATTTCAATGCATTGGGATCTGTAAAAACACAAATTTATGGACAAAACCAAACAAATTATGGATTTTTTTGCTTTAGCCATTGATTCTGCCCTCACAAACATAAAAGGAAATGGGCCAGGCCCCAAAAAGTTTCTAAATTTTCTATTATAGTTTTTCTTTAATTTATAATGATCTTAGGGAATTGAATTTAGCTTTTGAAATAGTAACTTGAGATTTGATTTGAGTGAAAGAAATCTGATAAGGAATAGAAATCAAAGTTTAAAGATCTCCATGTTTTTACCATCAGCCTCCTCTTATTGTACCATTATTGATCAAATAGTCCACCCTTTTTTCCCTTACATCTTATTTATTTATTATGAAAGAATAATATTTATTCACTCAAATTAATGCTATTATTAAAATAAATGCTTGCACAATAAAAAATAAACAAATATGAGTTATTTTGCAATGGAAAATTATATGAGTAGTAATTATAATTATTAATTTATTTTTATACTTAAACATATATATAGTACTAAATGTTAAGTGAATTGAAGAAATTTAGATTGGTACGTAATTCATAAATTTCACTTTTGGAATTGGACTGACTATCATGGAAAATCTCTCTTCCTTATTTCTTGAGCTTCATTGAGAGCAGAGGCATATCAATTATTGATGTTTTAGGCCTTGCTTAGTATTTTGTTGGGGTTGAAAAATGTATGTTTAAAAGTGTAGATAGAGATGTTAATAAGTAGGGTACGAGAAAAATAAAATATTTTTTAGATGTATATGATTCAGATCGTATTATATTTGGTTTGGTTTGTTCAAATATTATACAATAACATGAAAATTTAAAATTTGATCTGAATTTTAATCTAAATTGAATCTTTATCTAATTTAAATCGAATCGAATTAAATTTTATCAGTTAAATTTGATTTATTAGGTTTAATTTTAAATTTTAAATTTGTATATATTATTTAATATAAAATATTAATATATTTAGTATATTTTGATATAAAATTATTAATTTTATTTTACAAAAATTTTAAAAATATATAATTTTATATATATTTAAATTTAAAATATTATATATATTTATATATTTATATATAAAATATTTATATATAAATTTAAAATATTAATATATATATTTTGATATAAAATTTATATATATTTTAAATTTTTTAAAAAATATATAATTTGATTTGATTCTTTTTTTTATTATTTTTTACCTTTCGATTCGAAACTAATATATATATATATATATATATTTAATATCCAAACCTGATTCGAACCGAATAAAAAAAATCAATTTGAATCAAACCAAACATTACAATTTTAAAGCAATTTTTATTTTCTCAATTTTTTCCAACCCTAATATTCTCCATCCCATCATTAGATTTTTATATTATATTTATCTCCGTATGTATACCAATAAGTATTTCAAATCTATTTCTATTCCCATCTCTATCATTATGTATTTAATAAATATAAATAATTTTCATACTCATAACTTAAAAAAAAATTATTTTTAAAATTTTTTTATTTTTATATTGTATATTTAAGTAATTTTTTATAAATATATATATTAATATATAATTTTTTAATAAAATATATATTAATTCTAATTAATCTAAAATAATAATTTATATTATTTAATAAAAATTTTATTTACTTAACATATATAAATATATATATATATAGAATATAGATATGAAATAAGTATTATATTATCTGTTTTTATTTTGTATTAATAAAAATTTAAAATCATATATATTTTTATCGTTATTTTCATATTTATAATATAAAATTTATTTTTATCTTCATTTAAATAAAAAATCAAATTTTTTATTAAATATGAATGACATCCCAAAGTGTAAGCGAGGAGGGAAGAAAATTAAAGGACGGACAAAAGAGCTTGCTGGGCAGGCTGCTGATTGACCTAAATGCTTCTTACATAGTTGTTGCACCTGCACCCTTTACGTGACTTGGTAATGAAGCAGACATGCTGTGTTTTACCGACAAACATAGACATCATTAGTCATTACCCTGCCTTGAGATTCTCTTTCATCTTAGTCCCTCCTAGACAGTCTCAAAGGACCGGCACACAACTCACAAAACCGTATCAATTAACTTGAATTTTGGTACGATATTTGATTCAATGTTTGATATATACTTTCACCTAAAAACATAATTCGATACATTCAAATCAAAATTTATTTTATTTTTTATAAATTTCACTCTCGAGTTGCAAGGAAAAAATGTAAATATAATTACTTTAGTATTAATTTGATAAGAAAGTTAAAAATGTATTAATGTAAAACATAATAACAATTTTAAAAATTTTAATTATCAATAAATGATTGATTCAATCGGTTATAATCATTATCTTCGATGAAAAACTCTTGAATTCGAGTTTTGTTGATAATCATTTGTTAAGATTATCTTAAATGTACGATCTGTAATCATTTATTTTAGACAATCAAATACATCACATCATATTTTGTCTGAAAAATTAAATAATTTATTTATCTCAAAATTTTTTTTAAAAAAAAATTAATTATAAAATACATCATTTAATAGACGAAAAGTTTGCTTATTGACTTTTCAAATGAATCCAAAGTCTATCGTTTATATTTTTTTATTATAAAAAATGTGGAACTCGTTTATTTGTTGGAAAACGTTTATAGAAGGTGAGGAATCTATAACATCTTTAAGTTTGAACGGTAACATTCTTGTCTTATATCGGCAAAAGAACAGAAAACTTGTTGCTGTGAATAGGATTGCAATGCATGAAATGTAAACTATGGAAGTACTTGACATCACGAGCCAAAATTGAATCCCATAAAAAGCAACAAGTTCTTGGTTTCAAACTGTTGACGAAAAGCAAATCCAACGGAAAAAAGGATTAAATAAAGGCAATGCAAGGGCAGATGAGAATGGACCGGAGGTGGCTAGGGGGGTGGGGGATAGTGTTACCATCGGTGGACAGACGCACAACCCACATGACCTTTCACTCTCATTTTGTTGTAGCATCTTGATTTTCTTGTCCATTGAGTCCTTGAGCTACGGACCAATTCCAGGACTCAAGGTAGTAGTATTAGAGGGAGCAGAGTCAGAGACAGAGAAAGCTATTGTTTCTCACAGTTAGGCCAAGGCCCACACAGCACCCCCCCCCCCCCTCTTCCTCTTCCCCCCCTTCCATCTTCTTTGGCCGTTGCATTAATGCTACTCCTATTTTTTCCCAGCCTATCATCTTCCAGTTTACATTAAAAGCTTTTGATCTTTTTAGTACCCTCTTTCTTTCCACGTAAGAAAAAGGTCTGTCAAAAGAAGGTAACAATTGGCTTGCTTCCCCTTCCCCCCAACCGCATTTATCCTCAGCTGAAAAAATGCCCTTCAATGTTGAAAATTTCATAACCTTTCAAAAGCTTTCTAGAAAGGTATCCTGTCTCTTACCTTCCTGAAAATTTGTCACCACTCTGTCTAAATATTTTGTATACTTGAGATCGTTAAAATTTAAACTTTGAGATATAAGAGATCAATGTTTTATCAATAGATAACATTGACTGTTGGCACCATTACCGTATTTTCATACACAAATTGCTACATATACGCGTATTCTTTCAATCTTTGAGATTTACGTCCCTCTCATTTTGGAGTTCAACTAGACTAACGTAAGCCTAGCTTACAAAACTTTGACCCCTTTTATTTTTTTCCTTTGGGAGGTTAGGGAAAGGGAAACGAGGGATTGGGGCGGGGGGGAGGGGGGACAAGTCTAGAACTTACGCTACGTAGAAGTAGAAGATGGGACATAAAGTTGGATAATTGTGGAAGCAAGCTACACTTATTGCTCCAAAAAGCTGCAGGTGCAACCTGATGAAGACTGGCTCCCAAGCGTAACTGCGGATGGAGTTATGGCAATGGCAGCTGAAATGAAAATTTGTGAGTTTACAGCAGGAACTGATCCGTCAACCAAGTTTCTTTGAAGCCACAATGACAAGAAAGCTCAAACGCAATATAGGTAGTTAAAAGACACGAGCTTCCAATTAATGGATACTAGGATAAATATTTTAACTTGTCAAGAAATTCGTAATCTGCAGTTCTGATTCTGAATTATTATTTATTTATTTGCCAGGGAGTGGGGAGGCATTAACCATTTAATCTAATGATGGGCGTTAGTATTAGCATTCGCATTTAATTTCATCCTATTTTTCGGTCCCACTCTTAAACCCACACCCCCATTTTCTTCGACTGGGAGCAGTTTCATGTGGGAGCTATTGGCCTTTTCAACTCACATTGGACTTTCTTTCGCAATGACTAGGTTGCAAATGGAAAAACCGATTCTTTTGAACCAATGAAGATCAAATCTGACTTCAAATTTTTTGTACTTGAAAATTTTGGCCAAGCCCTTTCTTTCTACTTTTCTTTATTACTAGCGTATTTCGAGGAGGAAGACAGGTATCCAACCAATTCATTCAACCAACCTATAGCCCCTTCCTGGGAAAATCTTAAATGCTTCATATATGCCAATTGCATAAAATTTATGGTACATTTTTTTTATCAAATAAAACTGACTGATATATTGTTTCATCATTAAATTCCTTCTCTCCATCTCCACAGAACAGCACACAACAAATGGAACAAAATTATTATTACTGCTTAAACATTTAAAGGAGTCCAAACGCTGGAACGTGAATGATAAACAATCTTTGATGGACCTAGAAAATGACTTTGGATGATGCGTGCTTTTGGTGAAACATGAACAGAAACGCGTGTTTCTGATATCATAATCACAATTATAAACTATCATTCAGACACCCCATTTGATGGGGGTATTTATTTAAAGAAACCAAGAATGCTTACCCAGAACAATAAATTCTTTTCTTCAAGCCACGCCAAGAGAACATAAGCCGTGTCGCATCATTGTTCAATGTCCCAAAATCTGGCATGTTCTTTTTGACCAGGGGAACAGAGGGATAAAGCACTAATTTACAAATTTCAGTTCATGAACACTTAGTGGACTGAAACGCTACACTTTCGTGATTTGTGATAGGATAATGCTAGTTTTGCTCTCAAAAACTCAAAACCCATCTCTTGTTCCTGCATCCCAACCACCCGTGGGATAACTGGTTAGAAAGGCAGAGCAATAAAAAGTATACGGGCTATGGACCACTCTAATGTGTTTACTAACATAAAGCTGCAGTCTTTTGATTCTTATACTTTTCTAAATCTACAGTTTCTTGATATAAATTTACCAAATAAGGAACAAGAAGCAATATTGCAACTGTTTGACGCATGGAGAAGACAACTTGGCTTCAAATAATAATAAAAAAGAAATGACAAGGAAAAATACCTACATCAGAAAGAAGAAAGCGTTTCTCAATGGGATGCTGAAGTTAGCTGCCAAAAGGTTTTGGTTGCAACCAGAATTTTCTCTCTCCCATGTGATTCAGGTTCCTTGTCATTTATGGTAGCTGTCCACCTTACAGCATGAGCTATGCGAGCCACTTTGTCTATTACTTCAGGAGAATCTCGAATCACAACTGTTCCTTCTGGACGCAACATCCGATCCATCTCCACCATTAGGTCCACAAGGTTACACCTGCAGGAAGGAACATTAGTGTTGATGATAAAAGGTACTTGACTCAGAAGACAAACCATGCAAAGAGTAAACTAACAGAATGATCCATTCAGTAAACATTGCATGAATCCATTCAATAATGAAAATAAGGATAGTTTAAGCACAGAAAAGTAATGTGCATGCAATAATCTAATGACGATGCAACTAAATGTTTCAAGTAGCTGGCGAATTTCTTGCATTACCAAAGCAATAGGAGGAGAAACTGGCGTTGCTTACACAGGCAAAGAAAATTCAAGAAAAGCCAAGGACAGAGAATTGAAGGATGAAGTCAAAGGTTTTATCTACCTGCTCTTCCTTGAACCTGGAAGCTTTATTAGTGATTCAATGCCAGCTACATGGATGAGATCGTAAGTACGGGGGTACGTTGAGAAAGGCTCACACCTGCAAACAGCAATCATGAACATCAGTTAATCAGAAACAGTCTCCCTATAAGACCGCTGTATATCACATCATCACCAGTAAAAGAAAGAGGAATCCAGAAGACAAGCATCCAGGACAAAGATTTGAGGATAAGAATTAAACATGGATCTAGTTTGAAAGTTAGACACTCCTGCACATAATCATTGCTCCAGCCAAACAATCACTCATCTAACTGAATTACGTAAATCCCATGCTATATGCTAGCACAGTTTTCCATGGGAGATTCAATAAACATGGAATAACCAATACAAGGTTTGCTTTGAGCAGAAAGGAATTAACATGATATTTCCGTGGGGAAGTTTGTCATAGAAATCAGAAGACTAGGCACTATAGTATACTCTTGTTTATCAAACGGGCAACAAATTGTTAGTAAACCATTAGCTCCCTGAGTAGGTCCAATCACCAAAATGGAGGGAGAGCACTTCACCCTTCACATGTAGTCCCATTCAAACAGGTGTAAACATACTTTCACAACTCACAATTGTTAGCATCTTCAGCAAACAAGGGTAGAAATGCTACAGTAACTCACCAATCGTGGTATACTCCAATAAGGCCTCTGTCATAAACAACATCAAGAGTTAGTGGCTTCCGAGCAGGAATAACATTCATCACCCATACTGGATCAGATGTGAGTGCTGCTGCAAAACCTCCAAAAAATGCATTCATGTCCATGACATTGCGTATTGCTGGACTCCCAAGCTTAACGTTCAAAGTATTCTTATAATAGGCAACCCTCCTTGCCCATCGCCTAGTGTCTGCCTCGAACAAATCAATCCCGTTTTTCATGACCAAGACCCTTGAAGGAGCCCTTATTAGCCTGTCTGGCCACTTAGGAATTGTCCCAATAGCATATTCTCCATTCACAGAAGATGCTGCAGTCACGCATCTTTTTAATTTAAAGTACCTATTAACAAAAAAGAAAAGAAAGTCAGAACAACACAATGTTTCTGTTCCAGAAACAACAAATAAACCAATAGTACAAGTTAGAAATGACAACCAGGAACTATCAAACGTGCAGCTAAATTAGGTGGAAATTCATTTTGTATTCTGGTTGAAAATTTCTTAGAAAAGAAAAAGGACAAACCCTGTCAGAATTCTAAATTCTTCGAAACTAAGCATTTCCATGATAATTACCATGCATTACTTGGGTTATTTGATTCATCACATAATTCAAGCCCAAATTCATTTTGGTTTGGTAGACATGAATCTCCATCAGGCTTTTTCCAAATGACTGTGTTTCCATCCACAGCAATCAACTCATAACACACTGCTCTTGCCACAGCCTGGAGGTCTGCCCACTCCTTATCTTGCTTAGGCCACTGTACGGGGGGTCCAGAGATGACCAAATATCCACCCGGGCGAAGTAAACGGTCCACTTCAATGAAATAAGTTGCATCTGCAAAAGCCATATTTCTTCACGTTAAAACCGAATAAAAGAGGTAGATATAAAATAAGAATATATCAAAAGCACTCCACAAAAACCCACTATAAGCTGTAAAAGGGATCAGGCATCGAGAGCAGTGGATGAAGTCAAATGCAAACGCAGGAAATGGGAGTCTGCGAGTGCCAAGCATCAGAACAAAGGCCGGTATTCCTCTTTCCAATGCAAATTGTATTTGTGCTTTGTGCGAATCTCTTGGAGCAAATGAGAGTGTCAAAATGCCTTCCGACAACAATGAACCCCCAAAACTTGCAACCTGCAAAAATATTAATAAGCATGATATTCAAACAGTACAAAATATAGTACAAGCATAGCAAGATACTACCATTATACCAAATATCAACTTACCCCACACCCCAAATCAAGGGCAGTCCTAAGAGTTTCACCACTTATGGGAATGTACTGTCCGAGTTTCTCGATATATGGTGCAGCTCCATCAGGGAACATTGTTCCACCACCAGGGAAAATAAAGTAAGGGCCTTGCTCTTGCATCCATCCTTGGTGACCTTTCCTATCAGCAATTTTGTTGTGTGGCATATTGGAATGCCATATCTAACCATTACACAATTAAAACTCTTTTTAAGTAACACTAATAATTTATTTCCATTTCTTATGGCAACAACAAGGTGCAATTTTATAGCAAATGTTCTGTTTAATAATCTCTAATGAAAAAACCCCACAATTTCTTAACAATTAAAAAATTTTACCTTGTGCAAGCTTTCAGGCCACTGAACAGGAATTTTATAGCCAAGAGGAGGAGGGATCAAGCAAAGTGGCATTTCATCAGGCAAAGGACAATGCCTTTCTCTATAAAAATTCATATCCCTGCTCAGCTGGCTGTTAAGCCTGGGGTCCTCACATGGCATATGATCAACGGAATCGGCAGGGCACGCTTCAATGGGCTGGTGGTGGTGGCCCAGTTCCACCAGAGCCACCAGTCGATGCCGTTGCCTCGGATCCGACGTTGAAAGCAACAGGGCTTGCCTACCAGAGGCAGCCAAGGAATCACCAAGAGGGCTGAATACTAACAGGAGGAATAAGAGTACGAGGCCAAAGAATATGGCAGATATAATGTCCAACAGCTTCCATTGTCGCGGGTTTCGTTTGGATGCGGGTAGATTTAAGAGGCCCATGTTTTTGGATCTTCGATGTGATTACCTCAATCCTTCATCTCAGGTTTTAGCTGCGCAGCCAAATTTGGTTCAGGGGTTTGGTGGAAAATGGACGTTGGAACGAAGGGTTGTTATCAGATTGGAGAGTGGAATGGGTTTAGCTTTGTCGCAGGGAAGGGAGAGCTTGGAACTGAGAAAAGTGTTAGAACTGAGTCTGAGAGCCCTCGAGGAGGATTAGATACTTTGGAAACGGTGGTGAAAGGGATGGAAGTACGAGGCTACCGGGCAACAAGATACTTGCCAATTAATAAGTAGGGATTTTTGTAGTGGACAAATATAAATCAAGTGGGGCTTCAAGAGTGTGCAAAATTAATAGTAAAATACACTTTCCGTGTGGATGTCATAGCTTTGGAGTTCACTATCTAAACTGACCAAGGAAAGTATCATCGTCTCAGTTGGCAGCTAGATATCCAGACAGATCTCCATACTAACGCACTCAATGATGATCCAGAGTAACCAAGCAATGGGCGCCAGAAGATGCTAGTCAGTTTCACTTCCATCTAGGAGGAGCCTTTTATTTTCCCTGGTGTCTGTTGATGCAGGTGCAAAAATTTTTAGATGAAACGGAAACTTCAATTAATATTTTATTTAATTTAATATAGCAACAAAACAAAAGGCATGCATCTGATGTGAACAGTGCAAAACATGAAATTATAAAAGTTCTCTCACTTTAATAAAGATGATAAACAAATGAAAAAAAAGAACAAAAGCCTTTTCATTTGTCATTTCACATGAGAGAACTTAATTTTATTTGTCATTCACATGAGGTTTTAACGACATGTATCATTCACATCACAATTTCCATTAAAAATTTCTTATATTAATATAAATCATTAATATTTAATTTTTATTTGTATAAATTAAAATATTTAATCTTAAATTAAACAACCAGCTCAACGATTAAATCCAAATCGAGCATTTAACCAATCCTTGGCCTAACAGAATTAGCCATAAAACAGCTGGGCTTATCAACAGTGAATGCAATGCAACGTAAATATTAGCAAATAACGTAACCCTTCAGAGAATCTTAAGATCCTGGATTCAATCAGATTGCATATCCAGTTTGTATAGAAGTGTTAGTAAAATCGAATAAAAGAACAGGGACCATGAGCAGAAAATTTTATAAAAAATGTAAAGAAAAACAAATAATTGAAACTCATGAGAGAAATTTTAAGTATATACAAAACAGTGTATCCCGAATCCTCAAAATCCAATCCACCACCATGGATAGCCAATCTTCCTTTAACGTCTTACAATATGCTTCAACACATCAGGAAGCCTGGCCCAGAAATATAAGGAACCTTATCAAGAACATCTTGGTCATGCATTGCTTCAGTCCAAAATTCAGAGTTTCCTGGAAGCCCTAAGATTGTAGTCATGCTTGAGAAGATTTGCTCTCAGCAACATTGCCCTAACATCCCGATCAAATTCATTACCAGTCTGCAAAACCCGCTGGAAAGTTGCATTTCTTTGATCTGCATGTCGGGCATAAAGAATTTTGTTGTGCGAATCTATCCGAGCCTGCAGAGACATTATAATCTTCATTAGCAAAGATACATTCAGACCAAAACCCACTTATGACCTTTTTTTCATGAATCCAATTGTCTGCATTTGAAATGGCTAAGTTCACCACAGAGAATTAAATGCAAGAACAAGGATTACTTTCCCCCTCTAACTATCCTCAACGTTTGAAAAGCTTCAGGTAGAGAAATTAGGTAATTCACTTTATTTGACTCCACTATCAGATAGATCGCATTCAAAAGGTCAATAACCATTTTTACTCTAAATAGTAAAATTGTACTCACTGGTCGCTGAAGAGATAGATTAAGTAACAAATCAAATTGGGAGAAAAACTGCACACAGAAACATGTGTCCATTCACTGGCAAAAACATATGAAAGCAATACACCAGTGCAAAACAATACCTGTATCTGGTTGTCAGTAATCAAGGCTTCAAGTTCTTTCTCTAGTCCTGCAACACTTGTTTTAAAGGCATCAGCCATCATTCGCAGATCAACAGACACAAATGGATGGGTATACTGGATAAGGGCTTTGCTCCGGATTTGATCATACAGGGTTGCAACATGGTCATGTAAATGGAAGTCAAGCATCAGGTTTGATTTGAGGTTTCCAAGATATTCCAAACAGGAAGCATAATGGCTGCAATAAAAAAGAAGCTAGAGTTAATATCTAAACTACCAGACCAAAATAAGTGCTTCTTGTCAATTGTGAAAGATCACACATAAGGACTCGCTGAAACCTTGAGTCACAAGCTAAAAGGTTGGATATTATACTATTAATCAAAGAAAATTTAATTCACATCAATTAAAGAACTTGTATAAATGCATGTTATTGCTCATAGTTATTATTACCAAAAAGAATGACAGCACAAAACATATGTTCCATCTTCCCTCCTTACACTATTTCCTCTAATTCTTTGCATCAATTAGGAAGCCAAAACAAAAACCAAAGAAGTAAAACAAGATCCTTTAATGTCCAAAAATTATTTCTTTTTGATTATAGGCTGGCAACAAAAAGAAGATAAAATACCTTGAATAAAAATCATTAATAAGCTCCCTTACTTCAGGTACCAACTCCAAAAAATTCCGGAAGTTGATATTGTCTATAACTTTGTTCTGCAAAGTAAAAGCATTTAATGACTAAGAAATCTATCAAACAACCTTGAGACATGGCTGGAAAATAAAGGAGGGGGAAGGGAAAAATATAGAGAGAAAATTTATGCCTTCAGCTCAGTTCGATCAAAGCTTGCAAGTGCACAAAGCCCACCATAAGTAGCAACATCTTGGGGAGCAATCACCTCACTGTATGAATTTCCCGATTCTGGACCCACTTCCAAAAACTGCATCCATACAAAAAGCAATCAATCCCGCAATGAAAGGGAAATTGCTAAAATAAAATTAATCCCAAAATCCCCCCTGTTACAATTCATAAAAGTAAAACAATAATCAATGAAAGCTAACTGATGAAAGGAAACCCTTAATCTTAACAAATAGTGCAAGCAAACTTTAATTTATTCAAACCAACAAACTTTTAGGGATTTCTCCAGATAAAGACAGCCCTCAAGGCACGTAAACATTATACTGCATTACCATCAAAAAGAAAACTATAATACCAATTTTCTTTTGAGTATATCAAAGAATCTGTCATAAGTTTTCTATCATAATATACCATACAAACCCAGACCATAAGAAGATTTCAGGCTTCCTTTTAGGAATGCAGTGTGATTAGCCATGCCCAAAATATAGGTTGTTTGAGCTTGTTTCATAAAAACTTATAGGGCTCAAACTCAAGTTACATCTGTTTCAAGCTTATAGGAAAAGATTTGAAACCAGATTGTGTGGTTTGAATAGCTTTTGAACTCGAGTGCTAGACAATGACCTGGTAAGGGACTAGATGTGGAACAATATCGATTATATGTGAATAACCACCCATTTTCAGAGGCGCATGCCCGTTTTAAAGCCAATTAAATCATAAGTAATTACTGTTAGCTTCTATACATTTCAGCCATATCAAATTCAACACATCTGGCCAATAAAAGATTGCGTGTGATATAATATAAAAGCAAGCAGAAATAAAGGCAAAAATCAGCAACATCCGAATTAGCTGTGATAACCATTTATAAGCAGACAAACCTTACGAGCAGCAAGCTTGTATTTCTTAGCCTCCAAATGAGCTAATCCAGCGGCACAACGTAGCTTAGAAACGGTGAGGGGGTCAAGTGCCTCGGGTGTTTGCTCAGCCTTACTAACATAGCTTGTCACGTGAGTAAATTGACCCATCTCAATGCTCACAAGAATTGCACTCAAACACATCTGAATAATATGTTTTGACGTGGTACAATAATCGCGAGTTCGAACATAGCTCTTAAAAGAATCCCCCAATGCACCGTGAGCATAGTAAAAATCTCCAAAATCATTGTATCCCATTCGTATACTTTCTTTAATCAAATTCGTCTGAAAATAAATAAATAAATAAATAAAACCCTAAACAGTTTTCACAAAAGAATTTAAGTAAAAAAAATTGATTTACCCTATAAGCATTAAGTTCGTTTTCGAGCTTTTCTTTCCTCTGCTCAGCTTTTCGATCAACCATAGTGCACCACGTGGCATCCATCGAATAGTTGGGACCCAATCGACCGTCGATCTTCTGGACCACTTCACGGAAAAGCTGCGTATTCTCTCCCTTTTTGATTTCGTCGTAAGCCATCCTTAGGGCTTCCAATTGCATCCCGGGATTGTCACAATGGTCGGCGATAAACAAGAGCCGCATGATCTTGGTACGGCCCGTGTAAAGCCCAGCGTACGCCTCGATGTCCAGCGGTTCGCCGCTTATGATAGGCCGGTTCTTCTGGGTCGTAGTCGATGTTGATGACGAAGGCGATTCGTCGACGCCGCCGAAGCCGTTGGCGTACATATCCTCCATCATTGGATTTGAGATGTCGTATTCGCCATCCATTGTGAAGAAAAAAGAGAATTAAAAATGGATGGAGATGGGAATTTTAGGGATTTTAGAGTTAGGGTTTGTATGTTAGGGAAGTCCTCAAGCGTTTCACAGTTGGAGTGATAAGTTGCTGAAGAAAGGAATGGGCCGCACGTGACTTCTTGTAAGCGTTTGGTTGCCGACCTAACGTCGTCGTTTAAATATTTTATTTAAAATTTACTATTTGCTTGTTTTTATTTTTTATTTTCAATTTTCTATTAAAAAGACAAAAAAATAAAATACCAACCAAATAAAGTTTAATTTTTTATTTAAAAAAACAATAATTCAAAGCTAACTGATTTTTAACTACAGCGAAATGAAATCCCCCCCCCCAAAAAGAAAGTAAATTTTGATGACTAAAATTTTATTTTTTCACAACCTAAAATGTTAAATTAAGATTATATTGGGATTTAATCATAAAAATTTTAAATTCTAATTGAAAATTTATAATTTTTTTTCCTTTAAACAATCTTTGACTGAATTTTATGTATGTTCATATCTTTATGCTCATTTTACCATAACATATAGAATTAAGAAAATTGCAAGTTAAAAATTTATATATAATCTTTTATCATATAGTTATTTTCTTTCCTTCTTTTATTCTTTTACAAACAAATAGAATAAATATAATTTACTAATTAGTATCAAATAAAACAGAGTACATCAGTTCTATCACAGTTAAAAAAAAAAAAAAAACTATTGGACTTCTACTAAAATTCGGTGTCAATTATAAAAAAAGATATAGGTAAAAATATTATTGAACTAAAATTCAATGATCATTTAAATTTTTATTTTTTTAATCAATTAAAAATTTAAACATTTATTTTTATCAATTACGTTTTTATTAGAAAATAAATAGTTAATTATTTTTGTCTAATTAAATGTTTAATTGAGCAAAAATAAATATATAAACATTGAATTAAGTGAAAATAGATATTTATGGGTTTAATTGATATGGAGTGAAATATTTAATACTTAATTGATTGTAATAAAATATTAAAAATTTAAATAATTATTAAATTTTTATTTGAAGATTTTTTTTACTCTTACCAAAAATGTATTAAAACCTGCAGCATAGGACAGCTTACTAGTTATAAATATTTGTATCCCTTCCAAAAGTATTGAGTTAAAATATCTTTTTTACTAAATTAAAAAGAGTTTATATTTGATACATTATTAGTATATAAATTTTATATATTATCAGTAAATCAAATAATAATAATTCATAAATAAATAAATATAAATCATTAAAATAAATATACACAAATTAAAATAATTTACTCGTTAATGAGATATTATCATCAGATTCATCTTATTAATGAGTTGTTATAATTTAATTCACTTATAGTTTATAAAATCTTACGGTATATTAAATATAAAATCATTAAAAAAAAACTACATTATATAATAGACTAGATATCTATGATTAAATTTACTTGTTCAACCTTTGTAGACGTAACACTTGGAGCATACTAATTTAATCTCATATACTTTTTATTCTTTTCAGTTTTTGGAGTGATGATAAAAGTAAATTTGAATAAATTTTGATCGATTTTATTTAGACAATTAAAAAATAAAAACAATGATTTCTGCATGTTTTTAATATGCGCAATTGAGTGAAACAAAATAAAAATGTTCAAACAAATTTGATTTTTAATTAATCAAAATGTTATTATTTATTAATCAAAATGTTATTATTTATTATCTCATGCAAATTGCAAGTACTCGATTAATCAAAATGTTGTGTAAATCATCACGGGCTGGTCTTCTTCAATCAACAGAACAACAGACACAGTAATCACTGAATTATGAGTAAGCTAACCAATATGTCAAATTTGAGTTACAATTCACGGTGATCAGGGATAGAAAAAGCTGTGCCATTTTATATAATTAACATGAAAGAAAGAACTAGAAATGAGATTCTAATCCATATAAAATCCCCTGCAGCCATTGTTAGAAATTTGCTCTGATGATGGGCTTGAACTAAGGTACATAATCTTTTCTCCTTTTGCAATCTGTAATCAATCTTATTTATTGCTGTTCGAATTCGATATTCTCAATCTTAGAGTCAATTTCAGAAACACTGAACTAACAATTCATCGGTTATTTTCATGTAGCTTTGACTTCGCAATGGAATTTAAGCAAGTCTGATAGTGTTTTTGTTTATTCCTGGTCTTCCTATCAGTGGGGTACATTTCTATTTCAGGTTAATCGGGAAAAGTAATAAAGCAAGGAAAAAAAAAAAAGAAGGAAAAAACATAGAGGATTATATGTGACTAGACATTGATTTCTCCACCAATATTCCATTGATTTTGATTCTTAGTCAAAGATTCTCAGCACTTCTGCTTCTCTGAGATTTCAATATGTAGTCCATCTGGGAACATCAGGCCGGGCTTTCGTACAATGTTCCCTCCTTTGGTCACTGACCACCTGACAATTTCAGCTACTCAGAAATTTCTACGAAGTTGAGACGTTCACGTTCTTTAATTCAAATAGTATTTCATTTTTTGTTCTTTTAAGGGTTTGATAATATTAGGTACCGATATTTGGTGACCATATGATGGATGAGAATTGCCAGTTGAAGCTTTGCAAAGTCAGCTCCAACACAGAGCCTTATACCTCCACCGAAGGCCATGAAAGTCTTGGACCCTGCATGCAACTCTTGTCCCTGCATACGCTTTTGATTTTATTAATTTCGAATCATAAAAGATATGATATATATTCAAGAGCTATTAACTTATATCTAAAAGTTACCTCCCATCGCCATGGATTGAATTGAAGAGGGTTCTCGTACTTGTCAGTACTCAGATGAACAGCTGCTGGGACGACCATCACCATCCAGCCTGCTGGAATCGTGTATCCTGCAGAAGCAACGGTTCCCTTTAGCCTACTAGGGGATGCTTGTGACTTACCAAGTACTTGGCAATTTATACTTGCCCTTCATTTCAACATCTTTCACCACTTTCCTGAGAATTCCTGGCACAATATTTGCTAGCCTAACTGTTTCATTGATAACCTACAACATAGATGATTAAGATATATACAAATGTAACTGAAAGCAGCATTTTTAAGGTGGTTTTGGAACCATAAAACCATTTATACCATATGTGTAAACGTCATTGATTTATATTCCTGCCATGTTAGCCCAGACTCGTCGTTATCTCTGGCTTTGAGAATAGCCTCATGTTCTTTCTGGAAACAGATATCAGATTATGGTGAGTATACAACGACTCTGTTAGCAAGAACAAGACAAAGAGCCGAATTTGAAAGAAAAAAATGTTGAAACCGTTAATTCTTCTAGGACATCAGGATGATCAGCAATGAACTTAATTGCTAATGTGGAAGCTGCAGAAGTAGTCTCATGAGAAGCAAATAGAAGCACAAAGATCAAGTTTATAGCGATTTGCTCGTTTAAGAATGTGTCTTCACGCTCCACTTCCTTGAGTAACTGATCCAAGAAATCTTTATAAGGAGTCTTCGATGCTTTCCTCTTTTCAAATGTATCTTTAATCACTTCGCATGCATTTTTGCGACCCTGAATCCAATTCAAAGTTAAAGTTTTCAGGAGATCTCCTTAGGTTTATATTCGGCAAACAATTGATTTAGAGTAAATCTGTCAAATCAAATACAATTTGATTACATGACACAGAAATGAAAAAAAAAAAAACCTATAAAAGCAATTAGATTTAAAATTAATAAAAATAATGTATGAATTTGAAAAAAATAAAAAAATATTTTTCGCATTTGATGTATCAATACAAATTATGAAAACACAAATTTTATATTATACATATGTTTGATAAAAAAAAATACAATTAGAAAATATAAATTATCATATTTCGAGTTGAGAAAGTAAAACTTTCCTAAACTTTCTAATTTCAAATCATCTTATAAAGAAGGTAGTTATATTTTCTTAATTTTTGTAACACCTGCAAACATGCATGATAAGCAGTTCCTGGAATGTTCAAAGGAAACGAGATGAGACCATCCATGAAGGCTTGAAAATTATCTCTCAGTTTCCCTTTAGGAGCCATTTCTTCATCATAACCAATGAGTATCTTTGCAAAATATTCGAATATCATCTGCAATAAGTCAAGAAAATGGTTAAATGGAGGAACAATTTATAGATTATACCAAGAAAAGCACGACATATATATTTATTGCAAACCTTTGAAGACCCTTCTTTCACTTCAATATTGCCAAAGCTAGCCCAGGAATCAAGATGTTTGCGGGTTGCCTCGTCCATTCCAGGAAGCAGTGTGGCCTTCAAGTTTTCAGGGCTAACAAGGCGAAGAATTAAGTTCTTGAGGTACTTGTGAAAATTTCCATGGTGGACAAGCATGCATTCGCGGCCCAAAATTTTCATGAAACTCTCAGTATACAAGATTAAGAAAGATCTGTTTTCTTGTTGGAAGATGTCGTAATTGATTTCAGGATCAGTCGATGCAATAATATTCTTGCCAACTATGTTAGTTCGAAACACCGGACCATATCTGAAAAGTAAATTATAAACCAAAAAGATGGTTAAAAAAAAACTTTTTAAAAGTGACCCTGCAAATCAATTGAGTTAAATAACGGACCTTTGCATTCTCTTGGTAAAGAAAGGTGGGATGTCAAACAGAGAATTGGACGAGAAGAAGTCAAGTGTCTCCCCGATGATGGGTAATCCCATTGAGCCGGTAGGTAGTTTCCCATGGTTCTTAGGGTTTGACCAAGTGTACCACCAGTGGCTAATTCTAACAATAAGCAAAGCTACAAGGAAAATAACAGCCCCCCACATTCTAATTTTTGCTTTGCTATCTGTGATGAATTCTTATATCAGCAGTAGTGATGATATGAAGCTGAAGGTTAAGGATATGCAATTACAGAATGATAAGGCCAAAAGAGGAAAGCTGAAGGTGCAACAAGAAGCTGAGCTGCTGAAAATGGAAATGAAGTTGAAGAAATGAAGAAGCTGAGACGAGAGTTAAGCCAACAGGTGAATTGGAGCTGAAGTTAGTGGCCGGAATGGGAGCTGATTATGTGAATGCAGACAAAGATGGTGGTGCAACCAATTGTGCTGATTTGGCAGCTGGATATTAGTAAGTTTGCGTGGAATCTTTGTATTGGAAGCAGCTTGTCATTCAATTTACAATTTTAGCCAAATTTTTAGCAAGTCTGTTAGGGGAATTATAGCCCATGTTGAACATATATAACACCAATGCTGTTACACTATCTGATTTCGCTCTGAATCTGATGAGAAGAAAAAGTTAAATTTAATGGGCTGTTTTTCTGTGGAAAATATGGCTTCTCCATCGGCTCGGATAAGATCCCTTTCGATTATTTTACGTTCAAACAACAGTGGCCAGTTAGTTATAAAGTAAAATATTTATGGATCTTTTTAAAAATTAAAAAATAATAAAAAAATCACATGAACATCATTTTCATCCATAAATAAATTCGTCAAAATAAAAATTGATTCTTAATTGAATGATTATTTAATTACATATACGACGAAGGATGTAAATTTTCTTTTACGGTGGCAAAAAAAAAAAGAAAACCAATTATGGAGCAATCGTAAATTTCTCTTGCTTCGTACGTGCACTGAAGAAAAGTAGGACTTACAATTTCAATTATTTTCAAATTTTTCATCAATCTCTTTCAAGCAAAGCTCGGAACGTGTCAGAATGACAATGTTGTACTGAATATATATTTGTTTTGTACGAACTCTGATTTAATTTTATGAATAATCCTTTTCAAACAAAAAAAAAATTCAACAAATTATTAATAATTTTTATATAGAAGATAATATAAATATATAAAATTTTCATTAATATATAATATTCGTATTATTTTCTAGTGGTATTTAAAATTATTAAATTTATTTGGATTGAGTTAGTTGTAGTTAAGATAATAGAGGATTAATTTACAGATTTTATCATTAAAATTAGATTTTATAATTTAGAATAAATATAATACTATGATATAAAAAATATAAAAATTATTAAGGTGGTATTATTTTAAAATTTTAAAAAAATTAAATAAAAATTTAAAATATATTTTATATTTTAATATCAAAATTAATTATAGTATATAATTTTTTATAAAAATATTAATTATAAATATTTTATATAGTCAAATTTACATAAAATAATAAGATAATTAAGATGATAAAGGTTGATTAAGAACTACAATTTCACTAAATCAATCATTTATCTACAAATCAACAAACAAAATTATAAATAATCCGCCATTAAAAACCATTAATCCTAAACAATTTATAGCACACGTGGCCAGGCAGCATCGCGTTGGAGCTGACATCCCTATAATTACAGCCTAACCTAGGACTAGCAAACAAAGTAGACAGCTGTCCTTATTAAATGTTGAAGTGGATAAGATCCCCTTCTCGTCAAACCGCCTGAATCTGAAACAGCAATCCTGATTCGTGTCCAAACAATTTAGGCATCTTCGTACAAATTTCCCCTCTTTATTTGCTTACATCTGTTACAATGCATTTTCACGAGTACCAAATGCAGCTTCATATTTCTTGGTTTTCTGCAATTCGTTCTCAGATTTCTCCATTGCCAAACAAATGGAGTTGCAACTTCAAGCAGTGGTAAATTCGGTCAAACTATATAAAAATTGAGGAAGTCAAATTACAGAGTAAAATTTTCTTTAGATGAGATGTGATTCACGTGACAACTTTTCAAGGTTCCGAAAATTTTTTTTATTTGATTTTGGAAAGAAAAAAATTTTAATCTTATGAGAAATAATTTGTCTAGAAACTCATAATCTTTTATAAAATAAAATAAAATTGGATGATAGCTGATCAATGTAGGTTTTCACGTTCTAGAAATTGAAAAGGTTTAAACTCTTTTTTTTATGTTTAATAAAAAATAAACGAGTTTAATTTATTATTCAGAATTAAAAGATAAAATTAAGAAAATATAATTATTTATAAAAAAAGGAAAAAGGTTCGGCAAGTTTGGTGTTTACCTTCCATTTTATACGCCATCGATCTGTTCCAATTATCTCCAATAACGAACCGTTTCTCTCTTTTTCCTTCACTTTCCGTCTCTAGGGTTTTCCTCTGTTTGTGAGATTTCGATTTCATGCTTTTTGTTTTTTAAAATTTTTCCCTCTCAGCAAAAAGGTGAGAATCCTTACTTTCTTCTTTGCTTTTCACATTTTCCCCCTCCACAAGTTTTCTTGCCTTCAAAAACTCTTTATCCTTTTCCCTTTTCCACTCTTTTTTTTTTTTTTTTAGTTTTATTTTCTGAATTCGTTGAAAATTGATTGAATCCTGGTGCATTCTTATTTTTATTTTCTGAATTCATAAAAAGTTGTCAATTTCCATTTTTTAATTTATTTTTATGTTATTGCTTGTAATTGCAATTAAACCCAATGATTGGATTATTCGGTACTAATTATTATTATGATTAGAATTGGGTGTTTTGAATAGGTTTTATTTATCAGTGAATTGTAAATTACTGATTGAAATTTCGTGGTCATAAAAGAAAATGTGATCGAACCCATACAAAATTCTGTTTGTTTTACGGGAATTACTCCCTTATCTTTTGTCGGATTAAAGTTTGATAACAGTGTCATAGTTGGATTTGTCTTATATGTAATTCGATGAGCTCAATTGCTCAAAAAATTCTCTCTTTTCCTTCTGTAATTCTTTTTTGGATCATGGGTGTTCCTTTGGCACGATGAAACGTATAAAATTGGTTTTGGTTGCTAGATACATTTCTGGCATTATTAATTTAAGCCCTGTTTTTCTTTTCACTTTAGCTTGTTGGAAAGAAAATAGGGTAGAATTTGTTTTTGGATGCAACAGCTAAACATACTTTTGTAGGATTATACCTGAAAATTCAACTTGCATGAATAAGAAGCATGATTTTAATCACATAAGATTTTGTCTTTGCTATTTTTTTTTACAGCAAAATTTGATTAGTTGAGAAGACAGTATTAAACATGGGTAATATATGGAGCCGGAAGATTTTATTTTACTTACTAGGTAAGCTCTAAGATTGTGTTTTCTGCTGTTCTAAAGCAGGACTTGGAGTTCAGGGCTGCATAGCTGCGTGACGCCTTAGTAGGAACTTAAAAGGACAAAAAAAATGAAAAATGGTGTGGATTTCTTAGATTTCCTCTATGATGACTTATCCATTAAGATTCTTACTTCTTTAGAGGATCCATCTGATCTTGTTCGCTTCAGTGCTGTCTCACGCTTCTGGCGACATTTTGGTGAGCTAGAATACTTTTATATATTCTTCTCTTTTAATATTAAAATTTCTTTGTAGTTGTTAAATTGCTATAAAAGCTTATGAGATGAAGACTGAATTTGAATTTCTTTGTCATGTTGGGAAAGTTCTAATAGAACATAGCATCTTCTGGAATTAATAAGTGGATAATATTCTCACTGTGCAGTTTGGCTATTGTGATTTCAGTTTAGCTTTGTCATTTGATCCTCTGTTTTCCATGCCCTGCTTCTTGTTCCATATTTATCTATTAAAAAAAAAAAAACTTGTGTGTTTTGAAGTAAATGGTTTTCAATAAAAATGATAGGTTATAATCCTCTCTTTTACTTTTTTCTTTCTTTTGGGAACTTTGGGAAAATAGCTCTAATTTATGAAGGTTACATAGTGATTCTTTGACTGGCAGGATAGTTATGGTTTAAACTAAAATGTATTCAGGCCCATCCCCTTTTCCAATGGGAAAAAATGCAGAAACGTAAAGAGACCAATCATGCTTAGAAGAAAGGAACAAAATGAAGTTACTAGGTCCACCTCAAAAGCCTAGGAAAATGGTAGACATGTAAGAAACAGAAATATTTCAAGGTATTTTATTGACTTGTGGAACAGTTGACACCAATGAAACACATTATTTGATCTTTTATAGTTCATTTTCTTCTGGAACTCCACTGGCTCTGCTTGTTTTTAGGTTTATGTCTCTTACATTATACACAATGTGTTTGCTTCTGTATGATTCTCAGATAGTCAACATTTTATTTTTTATATATCATTATAATTTCAGACTCTAACCCCTATGCTTCTTTTAATGAGTTATGATACAACCACTTATCCACCAAATGTTGATTCAGTTGTTTTCCCTAATCATGTGTACTAAATTCAATGCGGATAAGTTTTGTTAATTCAATTGAAATGCACCAAATTTTTCTTTCAGATATTTCCTTTGATGCGATTACCCATATTGTTCATGTTTTTCTTTTCATGCCAAAAGAATTTGATAGATTAACCATCTTAATATTTTTTCTAAGTATTCCTTTTTCATCATTTCTGCATCTCTATTTTGACCACCATTGATCTTAATAAAACTGCTTTATTTGAAATCTGGTCTTTTATTCTTCTGGTGTGGATTTGGTATGCGACCCTCTTTAATATTCAAGTTTTGTGAACTGAAGCACAAACTTGAGGACCATTCTAAGAACTTGCTTCAGCATATACTAACTTCAGGGGAAAAAAGAGAGGAATCCACCTAAGCATCACTTAGAAGCAGAAATAAAGGAGACACTTGTGACATTTGTAGTTATTTGTAATAGTGTCATAATTCATATGTTCAAGATGATATCAATTTTGCATCACTGGTATTTGGTTGTTATCCTTAACAATTTGCAGTCCTTGCTGATGTATTAGTTTTCAATGGTTTGCAGTGATTACAAATGGTCTATGTAAGCATCTGTGTCTGAGAATGTTTCCTCAATTATCTAGAGTTAATCATGTCAATGAGCTAGGTGGCATTGCAAAGGGGAATGCTGAAGCTGGATCTAGTAATTTTGTGGAATGGGAAGCTTTGGAGAGGGAGCATAGAGTTTATGCCTTTTTAGCTAGAGGCTGTTTGTCATTTGATGTCAGGGAGTGCATCTTAGAAGCAATCATCGCTTCTAGCACTGATAATTATCCAGAGGAAAGCATAGATAACACTTTAGAACCAAGAGATAGGGTGGGGCGAAGAGCTTCATACTGGTCGAGTAAGGGGCAAAGTAACCCTGCAGTGCCTGAAACATTGACATATAAATTGGTTGCAGATTTGTGTGTTATTACTGAAATCAATGTAAGACCTTTCCTAGGTAATTGTTTCGATTTTCTGGTAACTTGGTTTTCCATCTTTCATCTATCTGATTTTATTTTAGCTTGAATTTTTTCTTATAAGATTTGTTTTTGATCCAGCTTACTTCCAGTATGGTTACCCTATATATTCAGCAAAATCTGTGAGATTTCGCATGGGTCATGTCAAGTCCTCCATGGACAATCTTGTGGATGAGTCATGCCAGGATTCTGGTAATCACAAGTTTGTATGGACTTACACCTCGCAAGAGTTTCCAATGGCTCAGGTGGGTTCAGTTAGCTGGGTTCATTTTGCTTATATCTTTTTTAATTGGCTCTCTATTTTGGTTATTCTACAAGCATTAATTGCCTATACTGAATAGATACCAATACGATACAAAAATGGCTCTTAACAGTATCATTTTTGTATTCATTTGTTTCCATGTTCCAGAATGCATTTTCTGTGAAGTTAATTCCATTTTCATTCTTATAGTTTTGTAAGAACTCATACGGGTGCACTGATAACCTTAGCCTTTTACATAAACAGGAAAACCGTTTGCAGAATTTCAAGCTTCCAGAACCTATTCTTTGCATTGGTGGAATATTACAGATTGAGCTGTTAGGTAGGGTCCAGAGACAGGAAATGGATGGCTTATTCTACATATGGTAATGTCAAATGCACTCTTTTCTACCTAAGATGATACTGGTATATAGCAGTAGGGTTATGAGTATAGATTTGCCTAGTGCACTAGCTATCATACTGAAGTGATTAGATTTCATCTAGGTGAAACATAAATTTCAATTATAATATTAGCATCCAGGTATCTCTAAGGTTTTCTGGCCATTTTGCTTTGTCCTCGTTTTAATGCAATTTGTCGGCATCATTGCAGTGTGTCTCATGTCCAAGTTGTGGGACGCCCATTGTCTCCTGCTTTTGGTATTCGGATACTTGAACCGTCCAAAAAATTCGTGTTGGAGGCCAGCCCTGTATCCACTTTGCAGATGCGTGTGAGAGACTTGGAGAAGATTGTGAATTTACTGCGGGGAAATGTAGTTGACGTGGAACATGGATTCGGATGGGATATAGATGATGAAGAATCAGATGAGGAAGACGTTGACATAATATAGAATAAATTTCTGCTGTTTATTCTATCCCCATTGAACCAAGTAACAGGTCGCATGGAAGCCAAGTTTTCTTAAACACTAGGACTCCCTCGGGCAATTGGGCTCCTTCGGCTTTATTTGCTCCTTCGGAGTGACGTGTAACCTTGTTCCGGATTAGTTATTCTGATGTAACATGCTAGTGTCATCAATCTTTATAAGCTTTATCTAAGTACTGTCATCTGTGTTGATATATATATAAGCTCGACAGCAGAAAGATGATTAGTATAAATCTTATCGACTTGAGATATAACCACATTTAACCATCGTAAACTCTTAGCACCGCCCTGATATTGTGATATTGCCTACCGGTTATACGGCAAACATCTTCGTTCTTAACTTGATATATATAAAAATATAAAAATATATATCCTCCCAATCGCTGAATACAAAAAAAATGAATGCATGAACTAACTGATCGTTCAATAATTCACCTAGATGAGCATACCTCACTTAGTCAATGGGAAAATTTCCAACCGGATTCAGAACATTCGATATTGTTTTCCGGTAAGATGATCATAAACTTACCCTAAGTTTCCCCTGTAAGGGTGTTACTAAATTGGCATGTGTTAACCCAACTGGTCAAATTTGTCACAAAAACAGAGTAGGCTATAATATAAACCATCTAAATTCATCAATGCTAACAAATGACAGCAATATATCTTAGTATTATTTTGCTGAGCGCCTGAAAGAAATGCAACAACAGTGGTGCTGAATTCACCCCAGGTTTACAAATTTTTCAAAGCTTATACCAATATGAACTTAAAGCAAACGTTCGATTATATTATTTTAATGATACTTAAGCTAGTTTAGCAAAACGGGCTTCCCACTTCATTGTGTCTTGGACTTGGGTGGTGATGGAAGTAACTGCAACACAGAACAGAATCTTGTCAGCCTCCAAAGTCGGTTATCTTTCATAAATTTACATGCTAGCTTGTATAATTTCTCTACTTCATTTAACTTTAACTCTCCCTCCAAAAACTAGTGGTTCACTGAATCACTGCTAACATCCAACTGTCCAGTGAACAAAAAAGATAAGTCCAATCTAAAGATTAAAAGCATAGAATCGAGTACCTGATAACAGGAGATGACAGATGAAACAAATCCAAAGGCTCCTGTTACACGAGGAGTGACTTTCTTAGGTGCCAATTGAAGAAGCCCAACCGCAACCACTATATCCATTGCTGCTTTAACAAGAGCTAGAGTCCTCTCATTTGATTTTTGGAGCTTAGCACGGAATTCCTCATTCTGCATTTATAGAAGCTCAATAAAGTTGGGAAATACAGGAATAATAACCCTAGAAGGGAAAGACTGACTTTAAGGTCACAAAAAAAAAACACATATTGAACATACCTTGTACTTATCACCATTCTTAAGATCCTTTTCCAACTTTTTCATTGATACAGATAGCCTTCCAACCTCCCCAAGCTGATAAAAAGATGGTACATGTCACGAAAAAGTGGATATAGCTAATGAAATATCTAAACTTAAAAAAGGTTATAGGTAGAGACTGATTCTCAAATAATGAAGAACAACAAACCTCAACCAAGGTGGAACAGATTGAGGAACCCATCCAGCAGAAAAGGGATATTCGTCCAATTAGCTCAGCTCGTTCTTTGTTCTGTAAATGGTTTTCTTCCAGTTAACATTTGTAAACCAAGACAAACAAATTATACAAAATACCAAAATGAAGTGTACTGCATACCTTATAGATGCCTGTTCTGCCAAGCCAGACAATTTGATCAAGAAATAAGAAAGTTGACAACAGTGCATTTTTTGACTGAAACAAGCATTAAAATTAACCCACAAAGGGGCATCAAATTAACTAAGTTGAGAGGATAGAGAAATTTCAAAGAAAATTGGAAGTTTATCACACCTTTCCCAGAAGAACAAGTGGAAGGGGAGTTCCTTGAGGAACTGGGCTAATAAGACCATGCAAATCATTGACAAACTGCAAATTCACAGAGAAAAACAAGAATCAAGCTATAATAATAATAATAATAATAATAATAATAATAATAAAATGTAAGTATTTGTTTCCTGCTATTAGAGATGAGTTAATTTAACTCTCATTCTTTTTAGAAACCGAAAATGAAAGAAATTCTTTTTCCCAAGCATTAAGTACTAATTCAGAGTGCACTGACTTCACCCACTAAAAAAAGGAAGAGAGAAAATACTATCTAATAAATGAATAAAGTTCCTGGGATTGTGCATCCTTGTACAACATAAAACAACTTGTCATTTTTAGTATTTGACATAGTGAGATAACCTTAAAAAGACGGAAAACTTTCCGAGCCAAACTGGTTGATTTGTCAACATTTTGGGCTGTGCCAGGTTGCCCGTCACTTAAGAATTTCGAACCATATTGTATAGCCCTGCATATCTTATCCCTTGCTTCAGCCTTATTCAAATACAAAACTATAAGAGCAAGTTCTGCTCTAGTTGCATCCAGCGTACTCATCTTTTATCCACAAGCAACACCTGATAAGTCATGAAAATTACATTTTCACAAGAGCTTAGGGTCAAATGCGATATCAGCCACTCTAAGCAAGCTACAAAAAAGGAAGAGTTTCCACGGTCAAACAAAGACACAGTACCCATCAAAACTTGAAGCCATCAACTATGTGTGAGCTCATTCACACACACATTCTTTATCAGTTCTTTTATTGAGGAAAGGCTATATGATATATTTACAGCATAAAACTATGGGCATGTGTGTGAGTATGTGTAAACCTCATCATGACCTTCATAAGGTGTAAGCAGAAAGTATGTAGTTGCTTAAACAACCAAGCTCTAACTAAATGGCATGAACATACAAAATAAACGTGCAATCCCTCAATGGCACAAAAGTTCTAACTAACAACTTAAACTCAAACTAAAATATCCAAAAACAAACTTAAATTTTGTTTGAACTCTATAAAATGTAAAGTACCGCAAAGCATCAAACTCTTCTAACAAATTTACCATTGTTTGATGACCATTTGCTTGCAAAAGAAAATATAAGGAAGTTTTAGCTTGAATAAATAATATGCAAAATCATAATTAGCTGAGTCTAGTACCTATGGTTTAGCTTACTTCTAGAATTCTATCCATAGAATCCATACAATAACAAGATACCCATATTTCCACTTCCCCACTTTCGTTCCTCCACTTTCTTATCAACCAAGCAGACCATACAACCATGACAAAAAAAAGGTATAATTCACAAATGAATCAAATCGTCAAAAACCCAAATCATCCAGATTGAAAAACCCTCAAAAAGTAACAAATCAAGCAATCAACATGAACTCAATTTAAACAAAAATACCCAAAAACAAACATTTCATACAAGTATAAACTATAGTCATAACAACAGCACCAACATATAGTCAAGATAAAAGCAAATATTTTTCTTCTTACAGCTCCAAAGACATACGAAACAATCAAACAACTAGGGTTTTGGTCAATTCAATAAGTACCCACATACTAGGAAAGAAAAAGAAAGAGACTAGTACCGAAGAAAGTGCCCGCTGATTTGGCCTCCAAATCCACAAAGTTTGCACCCCTTTCTTTAATAAAAATTCGTTCTTTTTTCCTTTTTTTTTTAAGAGGGTCAGATTAGAGTTTCTGGGTCACAGGCTTTCGCAGCGCCAGCTCGAATCTGTCGTTTTTTCGTTTCTCTATCTCTACTAGTGATTAAGGCTTGTTTGGTCCTCTCCTTTCCAAAACAAACAAACAAAAACAAAAACCCCTCCTTTAAATATTGGTTTTTTTTTTTTTTGCAGAATCGCAGACCGGATTTTTCTGCCTTCTAATTTTGAGTTTTTATTTTAACCGTGGATTATGATCCATGGGATCCACTAGTAAAATCCGGGAATCTTGACCGTTGGCTGAGATTTTGACAGTTGTGATGGTGTGAGGAAAAAGTACCTTAGAAAAAACTTTACACTCGAACGAGATTTTGGCAAAATGGACACCAATTAGAACACGCATTTGAAGAATGATAAAGGGTAAATTTCACTTAAGTCCTTGAGTTTTGATCATAATTCATGTCAACTCTATTAGTTTTGAAATTGGACATTTTGTCTCCAAAAAATCGAATTAAATCAAAACCTATTTTGATTGAGAAAAAAATAATAATTTGAGTTCTTTTTTTTTTCTCAAAAACCTCGCATGAAATTGTGATAGTTTGATAACTTTAAATCCATTTTGATTGAGAAAAAAACAATAATTTAAGTTTTTTTCTTTTCAAAAACCTCATATGAAATTGTGATGATTTGATAATTTTAAATATAGTACGATAATACGATATAAATATAATATAAAAAATAAATATAAAAATAATATAATTTAAAATTTTAATGATAATTTATATTTTTTAATAAAATTAAAAATATATATTTTATATTTTTATATTAATATAAATTATAATATATAATTTTTATATAAAATATGATATAAATTTTAAAATTTTTTGTAATATTAATCCACAAATCGATAAATAAACTCCACCCTGAATAAAATTTGATTGTGATATGCAATTGTTGTTTAGTTTCAGTTATTGGTCTAGCATCTTGTTGCTACTTGTTGGAGGAATTCCTTTTGCACCACTCAACAAAATAAAAAATCCCTTCTATATTCCGAGAAATATTACTTCTATTCACATTAAAAATAATCTTTCAGTCGGTTTTCACGCGGCATTTAAGGGTGATTTGTGGAAATTTTGGAGATTTTTTTTTTTTTGGGGGGGGGGGGGGGGAGGGTTTTGCATTTGTTTGGAAAAGAAGTAAAAAACGAAGGGTCATAAAGAAAGAAGGTTGTAGTTGTAGTTATGGGTTGCTGTCATCTCCCACATATGCAAGTGGGTTTCCGTTGGCAGTTCGGCATACCATGTCGAAGCACATTCATATGATTTTGATGGCTTTCAACGTTTTTGGTACTTTAATTGCTCTTATAACAAACCATAACTTCAGTTATGTCATGCTATTCTTACAATCTTCTTCAAAGTCTTTGCTCTTTTTCTTAGGAGATTGGATTGCGGTCTAATAGAAAATTTTCTAGCATTAAATGTTCAACGGAGTCAGAGGATCACCGATTTCCAGGTGAAATCCCCCATAGTCTCAAGCATGTTTAACCAAACTGGGCAAAATCCTGCAAATCTGTTAACATTTTTTCAGCTTCAATCCCTACACAGAGAGACCACGGATGACAAGGTATTTTGGTCATGAAAAAGTGGAAAGTAAGAGCTGTCTCAAAAACAAGAAACTCGGATGGAACCAAGTCGTAAAAAGCTTGCCTTGAGTTATAAGCAACAGTAGGGGAGTCTAAAAATAATGCATTATAAACCACAAAATATACGTGGACCATACGCGACTGTCCGATTAATGATATCATAAGTATGCCATTCCACCAAGGTCATGAAAAGGAGATTTTTACATATCCTTCCTAATTATAGGATCTCCAGAACAACAAAAAAGAAAGAAGAATCTAAAACTCTCACAAAAACATCAAGAAATTTATGATCTATGATTGCAAAGATCCGAGAGATAGATGAGACAGAAACTCAGGAATATTACAGTTATCTTATGATAAATATAAAACATTGATAGCATCGATTAGGAGCGCTTGAGCGCCTTGGTTTCATATCAGTAACTACTTTGTTTCATACAGACAATGAAACATAGGTCATGCAAGGAAGAGGGAGGGGAAGAAGAGGGAACCTAAAAGGAAAATTTCATTATACAAAAGGAAAGAGTTTCATTTCTTCCCCTACTTCCGGCTGCACAAACTTCTAAACTTTCCTCTTTCCAACCTCTCAAGGAGCTTCTTGGCACCAGGGATTTCCATCTCTGAAAGCTTCTTGAGATACCCAATTGCTCCATATGAGATCATAAGCTTCTTGCATTTCTTACTTGATGAGAGAGATGCAAGGCAGGAAACTGCATACTTTTTTGCAGTATTTTGGGGACTTGGATCAAGCAATTGGACCAGATACGGCACACTTTTATCATCCTTTTTGACTTCTCTGCAATTCTGAGAGACAGTTACCAAGCTTGAAAGGCCTTGAGCAGCTACCTCTCTAGCACTGTTTGATTTAGCCTCAAGCATTCTGATAAGAAGAGCGATGCACCCAGCTTCACCCACCAGCTTTTTCATTTCTCTTGAACTGCAGACTCGACAGAGAGCTGATGCAGCAGCTTGTTGTGCACCCAGCGATCCAGATTTAAGCACATGAACTAATCGAGGGAGGAAACCAAGTGATGTCAGAACTTCCATGGAAACTGAGCCAACCAAATTCCTCAAGGCTCCAACTGCAGATTCTTGGGGCAAAGGACCATCAAGGTATAACAATAGTCTTCTAATTCCACCTTCTGATATAACAGACCTTCTCAGATTCCCATTGCTGGCTGTGAGATTCTGCAAGCACTCCGCAGCATATTCTTTGGAACCCAACAAAATTCCACGATCAAGGAGATTGATCATGACCTTTATAATTCCTTCCTCTGCTAGTATTTGTCGAACCTCGGGGACGGCTGATATATTTTTTAACGTACTAGCAGCGGCAGCCTGTGAAACAGAATCTCCAGTCTTGCAGATTTCGATTAATGGTCGAACCCCACCATGCCCAACAATTGCTCGGGCTGTTTGTGCAGTCATTGATAATCTCTGCAGCGAAATTGTTGCTTTCTCTTTACCAACTATGCTGCCAGATTCAAGAAGCCTTATGAGAGGTGGCAATACACCATCCGAAACAAGCCAGCTCTCACAACTCCCAGATTCTGCAAGTGAGCAGATAACAGTCGCAGCCTTTTCCCGGATATGAGGAGAAGTTGCGGTTAACAACTGGACTAAAGCAGCAACGTTGCTCCGTCCCATAACCGACAATACACTCTTTTCATCTTCCTTCATGACCTCAACAAGGCTGTCCAGAGCTTTGTGCTTTGCTTCCAAGTGCCCAATCTGAAGCCTTGCAAGCAATTCCTTTAGATGGCCATGTGTAGCAGTCTCTGATTCTGATGAAGAGCCAACAAAAGATAAAGACAAAGTGGCTTCACCAAGTACACCAGTCTTGATCAGAAGTCCACAATCCCGTAAATTCAAATCCAATTTCCCTGATAATGAATCAAGATCACTCTGCATCTTAAGCTTCCCCTCATACTTCTCCTTTAGACATAATTCTGCCAATTCAATTGCTTCCTTCAATGTCTTTGACACAGCCTGCAATTGCTCCCCACAAAGAGCATTTTTGGAAAAGAAAGGGTGGCTGGACAAGTCTGATAAGCGTGAAGGGATCTGCTCCAATTTGGAAATTATCATCTTCCACCTTCCAGGGAACCCCTTCACCCCCCTTGCCTTATCAAGTGCCATGGGAACAAGCTCTTGTGCATGCGATAACCAGTCGTCAGCGGACTGACTCTCAGCCAAAACCCCATTTCCTGTGCCTTCTCCCATGATTCAGATATGAATTTTGATCAAAATGATCACTAAATCTGTAGGAAGTGAAATTCATGGAAACCCAAACCTTGAGTAATGAGCCAGATGAGAGGAAAGGATAATTAATACGGAAGAAAGGATATTTTGATACAAAATAGAAGGCAGTGGAGCAGTTGCAATCATCAAACATTTAAATTATAGATTAATAATACAATTAAACAAAAAAAATATAGTCCAGCACCAAAGAGTTTCGAGAATCACACAATGCTTGTTTACTGAAAACAATACTTGACCAACAAAATTTAAGTACCTAAAGATGCCCACACAAGTCCTTTCGTTGCTTTATCAAGTGATCATTAAATTAAATGCCAACTAAAAACTTATGATCTCAAAAAAAAAAAAAAACATGTAATCATCAAGATGTTTTAAAAACCTTTAAAATACAGTTGATGAAAATGAAGGAAGTTAACCACTAAAAAATTGCAGTCTAATCAAGAAGCTGCCAATGAATATTTGTTGAAAGTACCAGAATACCCTTTTGAAACCAAGTGAAACAGCACTGTACAGGACTGTAATTTGAGAGGTATATTGGTAAGTGGCTGGAAAAATGAAAAAGATGAAAAACAACGTTACTTTTAACCATGAAAATCGTGGGATCAGATTTCGGTAGAATTTTGACTTCATCTAAAGGCAAAGGTCAAGAATTTTCCGAGCGATGAAAGCAAAAATTGGATTCTCAGCTGCATTACCAATTATAACCCCATAAATAGTGTTAGCTGGTAATGGCATGATTGGTATAAGCCAGAGAAGAAACTAAACTTCCTTTGAAGAGAAGACAGGTTGTAGGAGTCCCTATCCAAAGCTGCGTATTTTGAGTGTATTTAAATTCTCCAAGGTGAAGCAACTCCACTAACAACGTATGCTAAGGAAATTCAAAGCACTAAATTCCAAAAGAAATACCTCAAATTGCTTTGACTTTCCTTGAAATTCACAGCTCTGTACCATTTCACCAGTATCTTCTGTGTGAGGCTAAGAGCACAAGAAAAGAACAGTAAGAAAACATTCAAGTCCAATCAAAACGATCAATTTCAGAGATATGAGAACCAAGATGAAAGAAAGCAAAAAAGAAAGAAAGATGAATAATTGCATCAGAAAAAGATAAAAGAACAAAAATGAAAACCACTTTTGTACCTTTTATCAGGGTAGTGATCAGAGAAAGCAAGCTAAAACAACTTCAAAGACCATTGGACTAACCTTTAAGATTCAGGTACTTCAAAAACTTGTCCCTTTTTTCTCAAGAAAACAATCCATTGTGGCTTAATCCTCAAACTTCTCTTTCTCTTTCTCTCAGAATTCCAACCCAGAATATGCTTCAAAGAATCAGCAACAAACCACAGCTTTCAAAAAGAAAAAATAAAAACTCTTTTCTTTGCTCTAAATTGGAACCCTTCAAGGCAGTGATACTTCCAAAATCAGCAATCAACTTTCTTTCTAAGAACCAAAAAAACCCAGAACCCTTTTTTGTTTCCTAGACCATGAAGACAAGCACCACTAAAGTTTTAAAGTATTCGAGCTTTAACAACACCAGAAACAAACAAACAAAAAATAAAAACACGATAGCAACGATCAGAATCAGATTCAAAAATCAAACCTGTAGGCAAAACGCAAGTAGTACTGTTTTTTTTAACTCTTGCCAGCTGCTAGTGGGGTTTCTAGAGAGAGAGAGAGACAGGAGCGTTTAAATGTCGAACAACTTTGGCGATTGTAGAGTTGTGATTCTGGTTTTGGACAGAGGGTTTGACCGTTGGGATTGGATGAAACGTTGAATATTGTTTTCCTTTGTCGATTTCTTACGTTACTGAAGGCCGACGTGGAGGTTTTGTGCCACGGATGATGTAGGGACGGTTAGGACTGTTTGTTAAAAAAAAGTAATCATTTAGTTGACATTGAAGGCACGTGTAGAGTGGGGTTGGGTTTTTGGATAAAATTTCGAAGCTGCCATTTACTTTTGTATTAGTAGTACGACGAAGTTATTAATACAATAATTATTCATCAATGGAAAATGGTTGAGTTTGCAAGGTCGAATATTAAAGATTAAGTTTGAGTTTTGCTGTCAATCATTTTGAGATAATTTATGCAGGGTTGAAAATGAATTGATCAACCTCTCTTCCTCAAAAAATAAAAATGGACAGATTTTTTTTTTTTTCAGTTTCTTTCAGCAAAAAAAGGAGAAAGAAACTACTGGTTCTCAACTTTCATTGAGGGATGGATATGAAAATATGACACATTTCACAGCATCGAGGGATATATAGGAATTAATCTCTGCTCAACCAAATGTCGCTATCTTTGTCCATAATGGAGCAAGAATTTTATTTATCATATGTAAAACCTGTCATGGAAAAGTTAAGCCACCATGCATCTTCTAACAATGTCATTGAAGATTTCGATAATTGTGGGCTCCAAATTTTTTATTAGGTTAGGTTTTCTACAGCAATTGCATTATATAGTACCTTTATTTGGTTGCTTTTTATCAAGTTGTTTCACGTGATAAGCTTTGTTTTAGAGTACTAATCATCAAATCTTGTACTTTGCCATCAGATTTCTTCGATGCATTGACATCCAAATCATGGAGAGGGTAAAATAAAATAAAAGAATATTATAATTGGTAAGTAGTTCTATTATTTCCCTTTTATTTTTAAACTATTGTAAATAATAATGTCGATAGAATTGCCATTCCCTTAATTACTTTGAATCTCACCTTATTGAAATATTCAAGAAAATTATAATTAATCCATACTCAACTTAATAGAAACATAAGATTTCGATAATCATGTTCTAATAAAATAATATGTTTGCTGTCCATGAAATTGGTTAAACTAATTAAAAATTAAATATTTCGTTTATAAAATTTATATTTGATTTTCTGTTAATAATTTTTTTGTGACGATTTATAAATTTGATATAAATCTTCAAAATTTTTTGGTATGCTGTAAACTATGAATGCAATAGTTTCCTCTCATTTAAAATTTTAAGTACAAAAAAAGAAAGAAATAGTATGTTTGCTTTTTCATGAAATGAAATGGTTATATGGCTCCATCTTAGTAATGATCTCTTCATCCTTCCATCTCATACAAAAAAAATTCTACCTGATAACTACAAACCAAATACGACGTCAGTTCCATTACGAAACTTAATCATTGATAACCTTATTTTTTACATTACCAAGCCGTTTTTTAGCTGGGGGATTAACCACGATTAAGATTGACAGAGACATGTTTGTCGTGAAATGAAAAAATGACCTTCACGCCAAAGCCCCAAGTGGCAGCGAGAACACAACACTCTGTTAATTTGTCCTTTGTGTTGTTTGTTTAATGTTCATCCTTTGCTTCAAATTGTTTCTTCTTTGCTATAGCCTAGCCTGGCCCAGGTCTACAAAATTTACTACTGCGCTTAGAACTTATATAATTATTACAGGCGTGTAGTTTTTAATCTGTAAAGTTTTGCATGCATGCCGGTGACTACAACTAGCATTTTTGTCCTGCATGCAACTAGCTAGTGATGATTAATTATTATGAATGTTGTTGAGCCCACATCAGGACCACTCAGTTCCCTCCCTCTTTACTCTTGGTGTGTACCAATACCAAGCAATCAAAACACTATAATGGTAACTCGGATTAATTAAGTAATTAATTGACGCGTTGTATTCACTGAAATATATATGCATAGCATTATGCAAGATGAGCTCAAATGAAACTCACGGGACTAAACGTCGCTTTCCCATGTACCTGGAAATGGGTATTAGCCAGCAAGCTCACGTCTCTCATGACCATATATACCAAGTTACTTCACATCCAGCATAAATTTTTTGTTTGTTTTTGTTAAGAAAATGGGATTCAATCTCATGTTTTGGACTAAATAAAAGCTATATGCTTGATCTTTTATTTCAAATAGATCTTAACTATTTAATAAAAAAGAGGTTGAATTATTTTAGGTGAGTGTTGAAAATCAAGTAGAGAAAGAAAAAAAGTTAAGAAAAACAAAGAGAAAAAGAAAAAGAAAAAATTGGTTGAATGAAAGTCGATTCATGATCTGATTGAGTTGAAACATTGTCAAGAGTTTTATAATTTAGAGTTTTATATTCTGAACGGTGAAGATTGGGTTTAAAGCTCTCTAAGAATAAATCTAAGGTGTATTTATTGAGTCACTTATTTGATGAGATTTTTTTAATTATTTTTTTAGTTGTTGATTAGCTTTAATTTTAGCTAAAGAAAAATTTTGTATACTTATTATTTGATAGTGAATATTTTTTTGGTAATTCGTGATTTTTTTTCCTCTACACTAAAGGACTTTCCATGTAAATTTTGGTGTGTTTTATTATTATTATTTTATTATTATTAATTATTATCTATTATTTTTATATTATTGTGATTATTACTTCAAACGTAACAATTCTTGCATACTCCCCTATTCAATATGTGTAGTGTATCATTTTGATTATATCAGATGAACTTTATTAACTATTCTGTGTAAAAACATAGATAGAGAAGTTTCGTTGCAAACTGGATTTATTCCAAGATATCTACATGCTTGTGATTGCCTTTTGGACTAGCTGTAGATAGGTACAGTGCCATTTGACTCCAGGGCTTCTCTTGGCTTAACCTCTGGTCTCCTTATGCCAAACCGTAAACCTCTCTCTTTGTCCAGACGTAGTCTATACAATGCAAAGCTTTAAGGAACTTAACTTCTATATCAATCAAAACAGCAACAAGCTTCATACTAAATGGTATATCACAAGCTATGTAATTAAGATTAACCAACTGGTTCATATGCCCTTAATTGTTTCTATTGTAGGTGGACCCACTAAAAGTTGGAGGAACCACCACAGAAGAAGAAACCTTAACCCTCTTACTCCTTGAACCATGTTCATGATCAGCAGTAGTGATTCTTGGACTAATCTCTGGGCTATCCATCCACCCCATCATCTGGTCTGCAAACCCTTGATCACCAAAACTCACTTCTCCAATATCAGATCCATCTGAATCGAACCCATGTTGCTGAAAGCCAATCCATTCATTGCTACAATCTGAAACACTGGAGCTGTCCCAATTGGAGGAGGAGGGTGGTTCATCTGCGACATGGGGCACAATGATGCTTGGTTGCACCACTTTTTCAATATTCTTCATATCGACTTGGTTCCGGTATTGGTAGTTTCTGAAGTGGAATATGCTGGCAAAAGTGAAGTGGTCACTTACTCTACTTTTTGTCGACTTGTATTCGGTTGTCCTAGCCATGATACTTTGTAGGTTCTTGCTCAATTTAGCTTTCAAGGAAGAAAAGCTAAGTCCATGCCGCTCATCAGATTGGGACACAAACTCTCCATTAGAAGGAGAAGAACCTGACTGGTTCGAACGATGATTAACCGATGCAAAATTGGTTCTAGCATTTTCTCCACGTAGAGCACGAGCTGCTTCATCATAAGCTCTAGCAGCTTCTTCAGGAGTATCATAAGTCCCTAGCCACAGTCTCACACGCTGTGACGAGTCCTTGATTTCTGCCACCCATCGTCCCGAGGGTCTTTGCCTGACTCCAACAAACCTTCGAACCATCGGTTTGGTTGGCTGAGGCATGGTGTTGTCGGTGGTGGTGGTGACAGTAGAGGTCTTGGCGGTTTCAGATCCTGCCATTAACACCAAAAGCTGAGGAATTAGCCTTCTTTGATTCAGTGAAGCCCAGTTAATTAATTGCAATGTCACATGGATTGTAGTAGCCTGCCACCATACATATATATATTTATATCGGCTGGCTCCAAAGTGATGATGTCAACGTAAAGGTAATATACCCATCTCTATTATTAGCTTGTTTGTTCTTTTCCCATTAAATTTTTTTAATCTTCAACTGTCTGCCTGACGTGCTTGCAATTAGCCTTTGGCTTCCATTAAAGATACCCAAGTTCAACCTGTCAAAATACCATCAACAGAATAATCAATCAAATTTAAGTGCTTGGTGATTGAAAATTACAGAGGGAAGGTGACAAAAAGGAAGACGGTCAGATTTTGGAAGCTTGTAAATGAAGAACGGATGAGGAACGTTGGATACATGAATTTTAAAAGTTTAGTTTAATTAATATTGACGTGGGAGGTTACCATTGGCATTTAGCATTTGTTAATAGGATGATTTGTGGGGTTCCCTTCGCTTTGCTCCGTACCGTGTCCTTTGTGTTGGTTGTATTTTCCTATTTCCTACCCGAATTGCCCACGGCTTAATTTTAATTAGAACAGAATTATGACATTTGTGTTTGCTTAACCATTAATCTTTGTCTTAATCAGTGGGCAAAAAAAAAAAAAAAATCCTCTAAGATCCATGAATGAATGGTAAAATTGATTTTAATAAGATCTAAAATAATAATAAAATTATTATAATTATGATTGAAAAAAATTTTAATAACAAATTTATTTTAAATTTAAATTTATCTAATGATACAATAAACTTATCTATTACACCGCATCAAATATGCAATAAAATCAAAACCCAACCTTAATCTGTGGTAGGATTCCCCTAAACCCCATTCCTCAAAGGAAGTAATCGATTTTGCATGTCGGACACGCATATGACACGTGGCAATTTCTCGTGTGCCTCCCTTCTCTTTCGGTCAATGGACTTAATCTATAATTTTTTTAAAATTACAGTTTAATAATAAAAGAAAATATTATAAATATTGAAATTTAATTTTAAATTTGTATAATTATTTTTTAAGAAATTATCATAAAAATTAATTAAATTAAATTTCCAATTCGTTAATTTGCAAACTTCAAACTTCGCTGGGAGATAGATGTTAACAATAATTCAGTAATTGGCCTTACGTTCTTTTCTTTGTTGGATCTCTATATTTAATTCAAGAAATTTTTTTATTAAAAGAAGAAGAGATGGGAATGGTTGGGTTTGGTGGATACAAGAAAACCTAACTACATGATTAAGTAAGATTTGAGAAGTGTCTTAATTTTTTTTTGATAATTAATATTATAAGAATTTTAATTAATAAAATTAAAAATCTAAAACTTTATAATTATTTGATACATTGATTTTTATTAAATTAATTTTTTAAATATATAAAAAAACACGTATCACCATCTTAGTCATATTTGTAAAATTAAAAAAATTTTATTATAAGTATATTTGATAAAATTTTTTTTATCTTGTTTGAAGCTGTTATGTATTTTTGTCTAGGTTTATTCTTTTTATCTTCATTGCTGCTTTTGGATAAGGCCTAGTGTAAGGTCCAATGATTAGGATTCTTTATTTATAGGGTATGGCTTAAGGGTGTCGTATAACCATTTCCATTCTCCACTGATGAATCAATATTTAGGACTAGAAGTATAAATGGTACATTAGTATTCATAAGTTATTTGGATTCGATTCAAATAAAATTTGAATTCGGTTCGATTATTATCGAATATTATTATTGAGTTGAGCTCAAATTCAAGTAGCTCGACTCATCGATCGAGCTGAGTTCAAGTATTCTTATACCTGACTCGAATAACTCACGAGTCTAATCGAACTTTTATATTTAAATATTTTTTTATTATTTTAATTTATAAAATATATCAAGTTCGAGCTCAAACACAAATAATCGAACTCTTGTTGAGTATACGAATCGAGTTTATTTTTATATATTAATCGAGCTTAATTGAACGAGCTTGAGTAGTTCGATTTCGATCACGAATAGAACTCGAGCTAAGCAAATAAAATTCGATCGAGTTCGAATCGAGTATTAAGCCACGAGTTGAGAATAAACTCGAACTCTCACTGTTTCACTCGATTCGACTCGATTCGACTCGATTACACCCTATTCATGACTCAACAATATTCGAGTTTCTATAATCTTCGATTCATCAACCTAATAATCTTTGCGTTTGATTTGCAGATCATGTTCAGCCTTCACATTATTTAACTTCAACATTATATAACGAATCACAATGATTCCCAATTTGGGTTTTCTCCGATTACAATTAGCACTGGCAAAGAGCCAGATGATTGATTCCCTTTGCTTGAGTGGGTATCAACCCAATAATAGCTCAACCAGAGTCATTGCCTTTGGGTGGAATAAGGAGCTTTTGGGTAATGGGTTTCAAACAGCATCGAGCACCTTAAGTTGGTCAAATGAAGTTCAGGCCCATATTTTTGTGGCTAAAGAAGCAACTGTGTGCTCTATAGCAGATGTGCAAAACAGAGACAGACAAAGCTAATCACCATGAAGAGCAGAGTTTTGCGGAGACAGCAACTATGAGGCGGCTAACCTCAAATTAAGTTTTAGAACACTGTCCATGCAACTCTATTTAGCATTACATAGGAGTCTAGCTGTCTAGGACACTATTGTAAAGACAATTATGCACTGGTGACTGTAGTGTAGAACTCATTTCCATATCATCAAGACAGACATTAAATGCATGCGCTGTGTATTTCGCAAGTCTAGGCATTCAACTCATCCTTGCAAATGCTAAAGTCGATCTCACCATATAGAAAAAACAGAACCAAGTAAGTAGGACTAAAGGCAATAGAATAACTCCTAGTACTATGCGGTTTATAGCAGTGTTTGTGCCTGCAGAAATATCTTGCGAGTGCATCTCAAGCATATCCAACATGGGGAAAAAAAATAATTATGCAGCTTAGATTCCAACTCTTCTAAATTATCATATTCATGGCACAGGCATATTTATCTACGGTGAATATTCCTAAAATTACCCCTCCAATCTCTGTCTATATGCTATACAGATATTCACTCAGCTATAACAACTAAACCTAAAAACCAGAGCAGAATGAATCAAACTGTTGGCCAGTAAGAGCAACTAGTTTCCTTATTACTAATCAATTCAGAGCGGTAATGATACAAGCTGTACAAACCAATCTTCTCCTACCATCAAATTAACAATTTCACATCTTTTACGGAGCAGAGACCTTATATATGTGTGTGTGTGTGTGTGTGAAAGCTCGCAACTATATCATATACTGAACGCTATGTGTGAAGCAAAATGAGATTATTATCACCAACCAACTAGAGTTCAGATTACAACTTATACCATATAGATAGAGAGTAAAGATGACCTGGGAAACCCCATCAAAATACTTGTAAATCACAATTTGAAGGATCAATAATACAAAGGGTTCAATTATAACAGTCACTCAAAACACTCAACTCACCCAAAGCAAGAAACCAGGTCATGAATCAGAAGAACAATCCACAGCAGTGGCAACAGGCACCGAATCAGTGGCACAGGCACCGAATTAGAAGAACACTCCACAGCAGTGGCAACAGGCACCTGAGTATCCTTATAGAGGCAAACATAGGGCGCATCGCAACCGATGTAATGCCCAGCCCACCTCGCTTCATATATGTAGCTTGCATCCCAAACTGAAGCATACAAAAACATCGGTTTCTCAGGAAATGCCTCAACTTCCTTCCTTTCTGCTCTCCTCACCACCTTCCCATCAATCACCCACTCTATCGAATCCGGATTCCACTTGATCTTGTATTCATGGAACCCATCAGAGCAATCAAAACCCAGATCATGAATCTGCTCTCTGTTCCCAGTTCCTACATCACAATTTATACACAGCCTTAGGAACATAGTAAATCCTTATATATAGTGCTTAAAAGAGGGTAACTTTTTCTAAATGCAAGGATCTATCGAATTCAAGAAAGGTACTTTACACAGAAACAAAGTGTTACTATTTTGAAAGTAAGGGGAAAGGCTGAGTCTTGAAACTTAAACCTGTAGTGTAGTAATTGGTTTGGACAATAGTTTTGTCTTTGCCAAGGAACTCGAAGTCGATCTCGTCTTGGGATTTGTCTCCTTCGAGGGAGGAAAGGTAGATGTTGAAGTTGAGACCACTGGTGTTGCCTTTGGGGCATTGGATGAGCGAACTGAAAGTGCCATAGAGGAAGCGAGTGGTGGAACGCCACCTGGCGCCTCCACGGTGATCAAAGGTGAGTGCTATGGAGTTGGAGAGAGGGCAGTGGGTGCAGGCCTCCGGGGTGTAGTCTATTGCAATTTCTTTGATGGGTTGGGTTTGGTGGAGAAGAGCTGGATCTGCCATTGTCAAGTTTGCCAGCAAAGGAAACGGAGAATTGTTGGTGGGTCAACTCTTGAGTGGCAAAGTTCAATCGAGTTTTGGAATATATCCCCTCCCAAAAGAAAAAGGAAGATGCATGTATCCGAATATTTTATATATTTTCTGTTTTATATATCCGAATATTTTATTTATTTTATATATTCGAGTTGTTTGTTTGTGACTGAATTTAAATGTTGCAGGACCAAGTCACGGGGTTAAGGAAACACCCCTGCATTTGATTGAATACTTCAGTGTTCATTTCTGCTATTCGGTTTCAAATAACAATATCCCCGCTACCCACCATTTATTTGATGTTCTTGTAAAAGATTTCTTGTCTGTTTATGCTAGAAGTTACTATAAACTGTTTTTCCCCCTTTTCTATGCTAAAAATTCTGCTTAGACTCAAATATAATCATTTTTATCAGACTGGCAGTGGTGTAAAATTCCAACATTTCATCGATGAAAGTGAAAAATCATCCATAGGTTTGGTAGTTTTGAACTTTAGTGGAACAAATGTAGGGGGTCTAGAAAAATATTGAAACTTTGGTTTGTGGAAGTTATGAACTCTACTTTTGGGTTTTGCCTGTGTGCTATGAAATTGCTCGGAAGGACTTAATTTGATAATGGTTGATAAACCTTAATTTATGGCTATCTTACAGTGGCAGCGTCGAGTGATGATCCTATCCAAGAAGGGGTTCTCACTCAAGGAAAGGCAACTCAGATAACAAGGATTCGTCCTATAGGTGGTGGTTGCCTCAATCATGCAAATCGCTATGACGCCGATGCTGGTTCCTTCTTTGTTAAAACAAACAGGTGTGCCATGCAAAGTTCAAAACTGTTGATGTATTAGGCATTTATAATTCAGCTGCGTTATATTATTTTGCTTAACGAATTCTTGTTTGCCAAAGGAATAAAAGTGTTCATGTTGTTGAAAACACTGGATCAGGAGTATTGGTCCATCAATGTTCGAGGCAGAGGCTATTGGTTTAGATGCCATGTACGAAACTGGAACAATTCATGTGCCTAAGCCCTTTTAAGGTAATAATCGAAGTTTACTCTGTTGCTGAACATTTTGTTTATTAAATTTCTCAAGTGTTAAGGCTAGTCTTGTACTTGGAAACACTGTAACTGTACTTTGTTATGCATCACAGGTTGGACCCTTACGAAACAGCAGATCATACATCATTATGGAATTTATTGAATTTGGTGCATCTCGAAGCAATCAGGTGAGCCAGTTTTTTTTTTTAGATATCTGTAACAGTAATTTGCCTCTGATCTCCTAACCGTTCATGCTACTCGTTTACCAGGTGATGCCCAAACAACCAGGCTTTGTCAAAAGGAGACATCTTTATCAGTTGTATCATTACTTAAATCACTACAATCTCTTTGGCTCTGGTTAACCCTCTTCTGCAATGTCAATAGTAGATGATTATCTGAGAATGCTGAAAGTATAGAGACGTGATACTGAAATTGCTTGTACACATTAATTGTATATGCCCTTGCCCAGTACAAGCGTCATGCCTTCACGGGGCAACCATTTCTTTTTTAACTTTTTTTCAAACTCGTAATTTTTTTTTTACCTTTCTTTCAAACTCTCTCGGCAAGTTAGCTGACTGTGCGGCATAAGTATTAGACAAAGTTGACATTGGCATATTAGACGGTAATTTTTTGCCCATCTCCTGTACAGTAATTAGGCTTAAGTTCTATGTGCCACGTGTGTTGTGAATTTGATAATTTAGTTCCCATCTTTCAAGCAAGAGTTGGATAAATCTTTTTAATGGCAACGACCAAATTGGCAGGAATGATATCAACATAGTAGAATCCAATGTAAAATATTACTATTACTTTCTTCACGAGCTCGTTAAATCTGTTACGTATTATTATGTTCATTCCCAAGTGCCATAATTTTTTTTTTTATTTATCATTCAAATAAAGAATAATAAATATTGAATTCCACCAGGCGAAAATAAATGGCACCAACCTTTTTGCCACATCTTCTGCCTAAAAGGTGGAGGTGTGAAGAAAATTTAAAAAACCCAAAACCGATTCAAAATTGTAACGTGTAAATTAATTCAGATCAATTTTTTTATTCAATTTATGTTAAATTTGAATATTAAGTATATTTATTAAATTCAAATTAAATTTTGAATTAAAAAATTAAATCAAACTTAATATTTATTTTTATATATTTTAAATTTTTATAAAATAAAATAATTATTTTTTTATAAAATCTATTTAAATATATTAAAATTTATATATTACAATAATATATAAAAAACATAAAAATAAAATTTAAAAATCGATAAATCAAATAAAATAAAATTCGTAAAATTTAATTCGATTTAAATTATATAAAAAATTAATTAAATTCAAATTAAATTTTAAAAATTTTTAATATTATATAATATTTAAAAAAAGGAAATCGAGTCCAAACCCTAATCAACCCTATCTAAAAGAACCCCCTTCACTATCTTCCACTGTCAATTTTAGTTGGTTAAATATACATATTTGATTTCTCAATCACTACAAGCTCATTTGCAGTGATAACCTACGAAAATAATACGTGAAAAAGGTTTTGATCGTGTCGTGGGCACGTGCACGTCTTGTCCAATGAAAAAATAAAAAGTTCCTAAACATTTCGGAAAAACTCCTGAGAAATCCCCGAGAGCCAGGGGATACAATTTCTCTGCTGTGCTACTACTTCCAATCCTCGGAATCCCCAAACTGCTGTCTCCCACTCCAATAAATAAGAAAAGAACAGCTAGGAACACGGTTTGTAGAGAAAACCAAAAAGGGCATGGACTGTATGGCTATGACGGAGGCACAGCAGCAGCCACCGCCGCCGGCGGCAGTACAATTAACAGAGCTAGTTTTCTTACTAGAGCAAGCAAACCAGATGGCAAAACAACTCCCTGCCACATCAGACCCAACCTACCTCTTCCAAATCTATTCCTCACTTCATCAAGCCCATCATTCTCTCTCCTCTTTCCTCTCCGCTACCCAAACTCAATTTCATGTTCCTCCTCCTCCTCCTCCTCCTCAGCCTCCTCTACCACCAGTTGCCGCAGAGAACTCTCTGTCCTCCGCCACCGGCGCCGCCAATGAGGATGGCAGCGAACCCATGCAAGTGGGTGATGAGAATGAAGCTGAAGCCGAGGAGAATTCAAAGACATCAATTGATAAGGTTGAGGAGAAGATGAGGGAATGCTTTATCAAGAATAAGAGGGCAAAGAGGCAGCTTTCGCCATCGTCTGCTGTGGTGGCGGAGGAGAGGAGGATTTGTGAAGACAGATTCGTAGGTGGAATAATGGGTTTTGATCCTCTGGGGGAAAAGTTGCGGGCTTTGGATCTTGTCTACCAGTTTCATGGTTGAACTATAGACAGGGCTGAAACAAAACAGGCTACAGAGGTATTTAATGGAGCTCACTGCCTTTTAATTTATTCATTTTTCCATCTTTCTTTTTACTGTGTGTGAATAGCAAGAAAGGAAGAGTAGGGAGGATGAAGAATGTAAACCAATTTGTAATCTCACATTCAAGAGGCAATTAGAAACACCATGAACGAGAATTTTTTTTCTCAACTTGTTCAGGCCTGATTCCCTTGACCAAATATAATAACATGGAATGAGCAGTTTCTCAGTGATGTTCTTTCAAAAAATTAAGCGTGGTTTAGTGGTTGCTTGTAAATGTTATAAACAAATCAATGGAGTCTCTGTCTCCAGAACCTATTTAATTGTAGTTATGGTCATTATGACAGCAGCTATGCTTTATATTAGGATTTCAAACACTACTCAACTCAATTAAGCATCAAACCCGACCGAGTTGTTAACTAAGAACAGTTCATTTCTCACACTTATAATGTTATGAAACCTCAGTGTTCCTAAATTATTGTTGATTTCTACCGATGTCGCAGAAATTATAACATTTACTAAGCAGGAGGGAAGCAGAATATATTATATGCGTTTCGTCAAATTCAGGATCAGAAAATCCTGAACAAGTGAGCATAGCGGTATTCCCTGAGAAGAAAAACAATTCAATATGAAATTGTTGTAGCAGCAGAGATTTACAGGAAATCCATCATCTAAACCATATCACAGTAGTCATAAATAAACTCTTTAATCAATTGTATTTTCCAATGCTATCAAGAAAGAGCATCAACCAGCAATAAAACACAAATAGCTTATTTGAACTAGTAGCTGTAAAACCAAACCTGCATTTATCATACCAAAAGCTAGCTGTCATGCAAACAAAAATACTACTCCTTGGCTTCTAAAAAGTTTACCTGAATGTTGCTTTACATATTGTCCTAGCATTGATGTCACCAATCAAGCTGCCACTGCAGGCATTATTGCACCAAAAACTAAGCATTCAAAGGAGAAAAGGGAGGTAAGGAAGCAGCAAACCTTCAAGGTTAAAAACAAACAAGGTTATATACCTGGACATGAAAGTGACTGATCTACCAGAAACCATCAAAATCATCATAATGGAATAGTGGACTTGTTCCTTTTCCTGTGGTAAACAACTCATCAGATTCCCTCCCTCTTTCAGCCCCAAAATTATCATGTACCTCCTGATCCTGTGGTGGAGGCAGTTGCAATGGCTCTGGTAGCACAGATTGTTGTTTTTCTAGCAAAGAACCATCAAATAGTGTTGGGCAATGTAATAAACTTTCCAACCAAGAATCTCCAATGTTCAAAAGATCAATTTCTGCCTTCAGAAATTGTTCCGAATTCCCTGTCTGATGAAAACCAACCAGCCCTTCATTATTTATGACCCTGTCACCAGTCCGATTACATTCAGGATAAGCAGAATCTAGCTGTTCAATGCACTGAGTCTTTAGCTCAAATTTAGTCGTTGGTGCATCATAATGATTTGAATCCACATGCTTAAGCAGATATGCAGAATCAGGGGAAGGAATAGTCAAGCAACCATTAAGATTCTCCTGAATTAGGCCATTGATAGCTGGTTGGTCTGCTATCCTCATGGACTGCATATCTGAAAATTGATGAAACCCTTCTTGTAGACCGAATGGAGACAAAACATGATGAGATGCAACATTTACGAAAGTGGAACTGCTGTTCATGGTCTTCTGAATTGCATCTTGTTCCTGTTTCAAGGAGAGACGATATTTCTGCAAAATTAACACTAAACAAATTTTATTGCCAGATCACCATGAGGTCACTTAAAAATCTTAAAACATGCAAAGATGGGTTGGAGGAAAAATAGGGTAACACATCACCTAATATTTCTATATCCAGTTCATTCTGCAGATTTAAATTAAATTTTGTGTCGAGTCACTATAAGAAAGAATATGATTCCTGGATCATAGTTTAACGTAATTGAATGATCAAACTTCAGATTGTTTACTTTCAGTAAATTGGAACATATTTGTAAATCCAATCCGCTCCCTTCCCCACCTGGCTCTTCCCACACATAACTAGACCTTAAGTGGATTTGGAGAAAGACTACGCTACCCTAGGGTTCCATTAAAGGGACTTAAAACAAAGCTAAAACAAAGTGAGCCAGACAACACATCACCTAATATTTCTATATCCAGTTCATTCTGCAGATTTAAATTAAATTTTGTGTCGAGTCACTATAAGAAAGAATATGATTCCTGGATCATAGTTTAACGTAATTGAATGATCAAACTTCAGATTGTTTACTTTCAGTAAATTGGAACATATTTGTAAATCCAATCCGCTCCCTTCCCCACCTGGCTCTTCCCACACATAACTAGACCTTAAGTGGATTTGGAGAAAGACTACGCTACCCTAGGGTTCCATTAAAGGGACTTAAAACAAAGCTAAAACAAAGTGAGCCAGACAACAAAGGCATTACTATAGTTTACCCTCTCTAATGGAAAGGACAAAAAAGAGGAAAACAAAACCAGTAAATAACATTATATTGCAGAGAACAAACCTGTAAATGGCTTGAAACATGTTCTTTCTTTAGTCCAGGAACATTCATATGCTGAAGTATTTTCTTTGGATGAGCTCCTAATAAGAAAGGAGATTAGAATAGAGACCAACTGCCATTATAATCAATCATACAATACAGAATCAAATTCCATTTTAGAATTCAAGCCTAGAAACTTACCATCAATACCAAGTACTTTCATAGCTTGCAAGAATCTATTATGTAGCTCATTAGTCCAAATTAGCTTTGGCTTCTTTGGAGCTGTGGAATCATCATTATCGTCCTCATCATTTAGCATTTCATCTGATCTTTTTCTTTTTACTTTTTGGAGATTCTGCCTCCCTTCACTTATAAGTGGTTGAGATTCTACATTCACACCTGATGCATTCTCCAGAGATGATTCCTCCTCAATACCACTTATCTCTTCCACAGCTAGTAAGTTTTCTCTTCCCTTAATGAATGCAAACTGCCATAGGTTTTTAAGATCATCCATGGTGATTGGTTTGACAAGGTATAACATAGCACCTTTAAAGAGGCAACCTAGCATGGCATTCCCATTGTAATCAACAGACATGACTACATATGAGATTAGCAAGCACCCACAAATAAATGACATCAGGAAAAGAATTAAGTGCTTGAAAAATATTTTATGCTAATAGAAATTATCAAAAAAACAATACAGGAGAAAACTGCTTACGAACAACAGGAAGCTTAGACATTTTCTTTATTGTCTCAAGTAGCTCATATTTATCCATATCAGGCAGGCAGCCTTCTGCTAGAACAAGGTCAATTTTGTATTCCCCATCTCGAATGATGCAAAATGCATCAGTTGCTCGTTTAGCAGTCATGACTACAAGGGAACTCAAAGCACCAATTTTTAGTAAATAAAGTGATTGACAAGAAATCTAAAGAGTGGGTGTTTAATTAGCTTCCAAGGAGAAAGAATAAATGAAAACAATCTTAAATCAAAAGTATAGCATCACAGAATATATCAGAAAACTTTTGTAGAAACCAAACTGAGCATGATATCTGTATTCTTAAGTTCAATATCAAGGAGGTCTCAGCAAGATGTTCTCTCAAAAATCTTTACTAGAAAGGAAATAGAAAATAGATCAAAATACTGTGATTTGGAAGACTGTCTGTGCCAACAAAGGCATAACCGAATCTTAACTCTTTGCAAATCTCAGAATCTCAGAATAGGATTACAACCTATTACATTGTTGTAAACATGAACCTCAATGATATAAACAAACTTTGTGAACTTCCCCTATGAGCTGCTCATACAATTCCCAATTATGAATCCATGTTTAATCATATTTCCCCTTAATGATATATACTATGTTAGGTTTTTAAGCCAACAATGAGGGGGAATTTAATGTATGTAATTTAGAAGAGAAAGGAATGGGGAGGAAGGGAGGTTGGAAGTCAGGTAAAAAAAAAAGTGAGAAATAAAACAAAATTATGGCTCCGTGCAATAGCATGAAAAGAACAAGCAGCCAACAAGTATATCAAACTTCTATCCAAGGTTGAGATCAAAGAAGTGATGTGTAAATTCCAACTCAAATACCTTTGTAGCCAAACCTGCGAAGCATTTTTGATATGATAGTAAGGCAGGTTGAATCACCATCAACAAGCAAAACAGTAACACCTGCACATGCAGTGTTTACACTGGATTCAACTGGGATAGCCATCTCGCTGTTCATGTGTATGGGCAAGAATGATGCTTTTAAGTTCAACTTCACACAAACAGAAGCTTATTCTGTAAACATAATATATACTTCTTTACTACCTCCAGATGCTTATATATAGCAAATTGAACTTTTTAGGCATACTATTGTCACTTGCCAAAAAGAATATATGTAACGCACCTTTCTTTTTTTTTTGTCTATGCTTATGGTTACGTTAGCAATGACGTAAAACTATTCCCTTTCCTTTTTTTCTATAATAAAGTTTTTAGGCATACAGTTCAACCATCATATTTTGGCATGTTATTTATACCAATTAAACTTGCCATAGACACTGGATGCTCAGTTTCCATCTTAAGAAGATTGTAAAATCTATCACATAACAAAAAACAATTAAAGAAGTTGTCTTCCAATATTTATTCCACTTTTCGTTTCCACAATAAAAATTACTTTGACTCATTTGACTGCAAGGTAGTTGAGGTCATTAACGTGCTAACAATGTTTCCATACGATTTTCCTAAAGTTATTAGGATATTTAGATTTCATAACTAAATTATAGTATCAAAAATAATAGCAAAGCTAACAATAACAACAACGACAACAATAATAATGATGATGATGATGATGATAGACAGAAACATCAAATAAAACCTTATTACCTAATGGCAAGTAGTATTGAAGAGATCGCAAATCCAAAGCTCATGCACAGTATCTTGGTACCTGATTTCTCATTTATCATAGCAAGTCTAACAATATGGGTCAGATTTGTTCAACAACTGCAATAAATAGGGTTCTACCTTACACCATTGACAAATCAGCATAAAGATCCTAATATGCTCCAAAGTTTTCCTTAATCAAATACAAGCCAAAAGGAATTTGCCTTGGCTACATTACAACATGGTTAGGTCCAGCCATCCAGGTAAGAAAGGGATTGCTCACATGCAAATCAATGTTTAGGATCCAATAGAAGAGAAAACTAAACTAATGAATTTTGTGCTAGAAAAATATTCCAGAACATCTATATATACTGACAAATGAGCCATTAGCAGGTTAAGATATGCACAATAAAGATATGAATTTTTATTTATCAAACTGCTTTCTATCCCCACTCCGATGAGTAGGCAGCAAGGAAACTAATTAGCACTGCCAAAACTACTTTTTAAATAAACATTTTGGTATTTGGCTACGAGAATGGTTCACAGCAGGACTTCAAACAAAGTTTTATTGCAACAAGAAATGTGAAGTTAAATTCTGAGCTGAGGCATTTCAACAGCAATGACATAAATAGATCCGTAGGAGTAAATCACTAATGAATGGTGCAAGAAACTAAGAGAAAAAGAGGCATATATATTTATGCGGATAAGATGAACTAAAATCATTCAGCAATCTAGGCTAAAGTGAGTACCTAGATACTAACCAAAACGCTGCTGGTCATCCTAAGCTGAACAAAACGATAATTCTATGACCAGAAGCAAACATAACTTTACATCTTAAGGTGGAAATCATGTACATCAAAAGAGGCAAAAATTTCAGAAGCTACAAATTTCTTAACCAAACAAAAGGCGGCGTCTTACAGCCTTGGACAAGTTAGGACTTGAAACTTTCCTCTCTTGTTTTGATGAACCATCACCTGGATTACTTGAATACTTGGTTAAATCTTCCACTGGTTTTGCCTGAGAATATTTTTTGGTTGAGCAGTAAAATTCAGTAATACTTAGTTGAACACCTTGTGGCTTTGATAATTCTGACATCTCACTGGACCCTTCAGATCTTAATTTTGAAGTTTTTCTTCTTTTCATTTCTTTTAGTTCCTGTCAGAATTTAGGATAGGAAAGAGGAAATTTTCATGCAGCAGCTTTAAAGGCCTATTCATTTCCAATATCCTCATATAACAATAGGTGATGATAAGCACATATCGTTTTATTAGAAATTGAAATATATTTGTTGATCTATCAAATTGATTAAATCTGCAAGATAATAAAGTACTAAATGAAAAACTCAATGTTTTGAAAGGGGTCACCTCTATCATCAAATTAGGCCATACATGGCCTTGACAATAGTCTTATATTTCAAGCAAAATTAACATAATTCCCACAATGCAAGAATTGGAACTCAACCTTCCATATTAGCAGGCTTTGAAAATTCCCTTTTAAGGCAACAAAATCAACTCCCAACACCTGCATCTTAATCAAATTTCATTGGTCTGAAATTGCCATTAATTTGTTTCAATGTCAGATCGCCCTAATACATTAATTTAATCATCCTATCCTGTTCCTTAGTTATGTGCTATCAAATAGTCTCATAACAGCATATAGATTACAAATATAGCCAATTAAGCCTAAAAATTTTGATCTCAAATCCCATTTTCCAGTATATTTAATATATAATTTTCAAATCAATTATTTCAGAGTCTTTCAAGGAAAAAACAAGAACCTTACCTTTTCCTGTCTAAATTTGACAACTTCTTCTGGAAAAGCTGAATGAACTAACTCTGGAGTTTCATCAGTCAAAATCCAGCAGCCATCAACATGAATCTGGGGGTCAATGGACTCATCCAACTGATCAATGGGCACATCATCAACTTCTATAAATTCTTCTTCTAGCATGTTGGACTTCTCAACAGGGACTGCACAACTAAGTTCATCAGATATGGCTTTCTTCCACTTGACCACATAAGATTGATGCCCATATCTTATCTTCACTCGCTGAATGGAATGAAATTCATATTGCCCAACTAACAAAGTTTTATTTGGATTTCTAGCCATTTCTCTCAAATATATAGTGGACAGCATTGGAAGCATCCACTGCCGAACATAAGACGGCTGCCATGACTGATGATATGCTAGGAAATCAACCACCAGTTCAGTTTTTGGATCTCTCCATCGTAATAAAGGACCATCTTCTGCAACCGAAGGATGCAAATACCTTAATATAACACCAAGATCAACTCAAAATACATGTGTTAAAACAGGGAAAAGAAAGGATCTCACTTAGACCACAAAATAATATCAAATGAAGGGAATTAAAACTCATGCATACAAGGATATCTAATGCCTTTGACACCCCAACTAAACAACGTGGAGGTTGGTGGGAATCAGGGCCTTACTACCAAAGGTAACAAATAATGTAAGTGAATATGCAGGACAAACCAGTAAAAACTCCACGATTGTTGCACATGTACATTTCAATGATCTCATCATTTGGGAAATTTGGTTCTCTAGTAATCATGTTGCAAACTTTAATCCACCAATTCCCTTTCTTCTTCTTGTCCTTTTCTTTTCTAACCTGATGTTCATACACCATGAAAAGTACTTAGCAAAGAAATGATGAAATTCACACTGACCTAATTAAAAGCATAGAGAGTTCCAGCTTTTAAAGTCAAAGTACATGGTACAAGGTGCCCAAACATCAAATATAACAAAGAAGCAAATCAGGAAAGACAACTAAGAAAATGAACCTTATCACAGGATGAGCAGTTGCACTTATACCCTTGCAACTTTTTCAAGCAACCCTCATTATTATCCGTGACACAGTATTCACAAGAAAACTTAAAATGAGCTTTTTTGCTGCCTGGGTGCCCGCAGAAGGAGCAATGAGACTGCTTTGGCTTTGGTGAGCTCTCATCTAAACAGGGTATAACATCATCAGCACATCTAATTTCATCCTGAAATAGTGGTACATCCCCTTTGCTTATTTCATATAATCTACATAAAACATCATGTCCAATATTTATGGTAAGGACACCACCGAATACCCTTCAGACCTACAGAATGCAAAGAATTTGACAAGTTTACATGTAAAAGCATACTTATTAAATATCTCATCTTCACTAAACTGTTGTACAAAACGAAGTGCCTTATCAAGCCCAATCCCATGCACTCCATTTAGGTCATGGTCATTTCCAACCAAAAGAGAGATGGCTATCAAGTGTTTCCTCTTCAGTCCCAGGCCAGCTTCAATGTCTGACATATTGTAGCATTCAAATGGTTCCTGCATATGATAACAACCCCATGCTTGAAAATTCTTGAAATGAAAAGTAACGAATAGGTATATTAAATTTTGAATTGGGCCTGGTGAGGTTGGTACAACTTACTTTTGAATGGGGCCTAAGACATTTAATAACACAAGTAGCCCCAAAGAGGAATGCATCACTGTCAGCTGTAATACAAGCATCAACATGACCATCTCTATTTAACTGAGCACACAACGCTTCAGCCTCACCATTTGCTTTCAGCACAGGCATTCCCAATAGCCCAAGCAGCTCCTACAACAAATCACTCCTTCTCAACAACATAAAAAATTAACAAATTGCAAATAAAAGAACAAAAACTAACTCACCACACAGTCATTAACACATTTTGAAAACGCTGAGTTCCTCTCCTTGGAAATACGGACACCCTCTTTGGCCACATTCGAAGTTGAAGTATCAATGCCAGAAAAACGGAAAAATCGAGCCATCCTTGCCTGAGATTTCAACGGCGACGGTGTTCCATCCAAAACGAATACAGGAAAGACTCCAAACTATATAACAATTTAAAAAAAAAAATCAACATTATAAATTTCTCACTCTCATAAATGACAAAAAAATAAAAAGAAAAGAAAAGAAATTGGGTTTACCTTTGAGAAAAGGTTAATGGTACGGAAGAAAGTAAGTCGGAGATGAGGATTAGTAGCTTGATTCTTAAGCGCAGTCTCGTGCTGGACTATCCAAAAGGAGAGATCAATGGCGACCTTTTTGTCTCTCAAGAAATCGTATCCTTCGAGTCGAGCGTAGGGTTTTAGAAGTTCCCAGAATTTGCCTCCCACCCCCATTGTTAATTAGCCAAAAAAAAAAAAAAACCCAAAGAAGAGTCCAATTTACGAGCCAATATTTTCAAAGAAAAACAAGGAAGAGGAGATGACGATGGGAGAAGAAGCAATTGGCACCATGACGATTTGCATTCCGTATAAACATGTGAGATCCTCGGTTTTTTTTTACCGTTGGAAGATATCAGGGCCTCATTTAATGAAGCCCAAGTTTGATGTTAATTTAACTGTCCAGGTGAGGCCCGATTTAATTTGGACAGATATAGGCCCAATTTGTCCTTGGAGACAGCATTGGATGCTGTCTCGTGACGGGGTCAACGGATCGCAGTAACTAAGATATCGCACGTGTAAATGGGTGAAATCAGATGGCGACATGTCTGAAGAGTGACCTGGCAGACAAGGACCGTCAAAATCTGAATACAATCTTGTTTTTTTTTTTTTTTTTGAAGAAACCTACAAAATTTAAGGCGTGTAAATAGTAAGCCATTATTAAAACAAACAGGTTTGCTTGATGGAATATTGGCCTTTTCGAACCTGATTTGTTACATGATTTATGAACCATATATTTTTAAAGTGAAATAGTGAAACCCTAAAATAAATTCTTAATTTTAAATTTGAAATCTTATACGATAATAAGAATATATCTTTTTAATGAATCATATGAATAATTTGGTCTATAAACTTTTGACAAAATTAGCTTATCGTTTTTAAATTTCATTTGATTATTTGATGAAAATCTTTTCTATCTTATCATCACGTTATTTTAAATTTAATTCTTAAAAATTTTAAAAATAAAAAAATGTTATAATGTAGTGAAAATTCTTTTTTCTAACTAATGCTGGGTGACCCATCCTGTGAAAACTCTATAGGAGTATCAATTTCAGAGGTCCCACAGTGTTTCATATCATCGTATCATTAAATCAGCAACCAAGATTGATCAACACTGTGAACTTTGATACGGATCACGATATCATTGATTTGCTGTTACGTTTGTCCAATGGTTTGCATGTAATTACAATCGAAGTACTAGGCAAATGACTGTTAAGTTACTTTCACAAACTATAAACAGTCTGATGAGTCAAACATCGATCATGCTGATCTCACTTCTAATTTAATTGAATCTCTCTCAATTTCATATTTATTCATTAAAATACGGTACTAGATAGAAACATCCACGCTTCTGCGTCCTTTTGTCATTTTTCTCTGTTTATTTTAATCTTACTTTTTTATTTTACTACAAAACAATGGCTTCTTCACCCGGAGGTCTCCCCCGCCCCTAGAAGCTACCTCTCTCTTTCTTCTTCTGCTTCCCTTTATATGTTTATATTCTTCTCCTTTCAGTTACTTCTCACTTTCCTACTACTTCACTTCTGTGCTCTTTCGTATTGTTTCAAGTTCTTTCGTTTCTTTGTAATTTTACGTAAAATCTTGTTTTATTTTGCTGCAATGGCTTCTTCGACCATTTCCTGTTCCAACCCTAACTCTAGACAGGGAAAGCATTTTCCATTAGAACGAAGACCCCGAATGCTAAAAGATTTCCTCCTGGATGATTCCGACTCGTGTTCCTCAAATGGGTTCAAATCATTTCCAAGAAAAGACTGCCAGGATTCTAGCATGATTCGAAATCTCAGTCAAATCGATCTCAAGTCCGGCCGTGCAAAGCCGAACTATGCACAGAGACTTAGAAGAAGCCGATCAAAAGCTGCCTCAACAACAATCTCAGCATTCCAGGTAATGATCAACGCTGTCAAAAACATCATTTTCGCTTCAGTTAAATCTCCTTCAATCCTGCCCAGAAGCCTTTTCACGTAAACTGTCTAAAAGGAATTCACAGCTCGACGTTGAAAGCAAAGAAAGTGAAATCAAAATTACCGTTAGAGTTAAAGATATCATACGCTGGAAATCATTCTGTGATTTGTTGGAGGACAAATCTAGACCATCAGATTTTGCTTCTTCCCCTCATCATCGCACCACCACCATTATCACAAACACAACAACGGGGTCCACGTGTACTCCTTGCAGTAGCAATGGCTCAAGCTGGTGTGACAGTGACTTTACCTCAGAATATTTTCCTTCCGAGGAATACGGTGAAAATGAATTTGATGTCGGTAAAAAATTCTTACCATGTGTCGGCAAGGATCCGATGGAGACGACAGCAGCCAACACAACAGTGGGACCCAAAGTAAGTCATCAATTATTTAGTGCATCGCATCTCTTAATAAAATCTCATGTGTCTGCTGATGAGGGTCCTAGATGCTCTAGTTTACGTTATCAGCAGGTGATTGTGTTGTCGTTTAGTTAAATTTGGTTGACTTTGGCTCAGCCGAATTGTACTCCGTTTGGGTATATGCCAAGAGGCCAATCCCAAGCCACTTGCATTTATTTGTTTAATGCTTTGGATTTGTCTGTTTTTGAAGACAGAGTACATCATACTTAAAGCTACGTACGACAATTTGTCGTTCGAGTCGAGATTAAGTTAAACTAAGTTGGAACTTGGAAACTTCCACACTTGATTTTGATATGCTCCGATCTCATCATGAGGAAACCATAGACATTCTTCAATGCTTTGATGATTTAATATACTCCACTTGATCACATTCGACTGAAAACTTTAACTTTATACGTTGAATTTGATGACCTATTATCAATCAATTAACGAATCATTAATTAATCCAGTGAATGTTAGTTTTTGTTCTTGGAATTAATGTCATGACCATCAACAGCAGGGGAGGAAGTATGCAAGTGAAGAGAAAGAACAGCACAGCCCACTGTCGGTGCTTGATTTCGAATATGGAGAAAACTCATTCTCCTCTTTCAACCAAAGCCTTGCCATTATGGAGAGTATGTTCTGTCTATCAAGCATCACTTGTTGTTGATGCAGAGTATATAAAATGAAATTACTGATTAATGCCAACTACCATTGAATTGTTATCAGGGACAAAGCAAAAGCTTATGGAAAAGATCCAGCATTTAAAGAGTCTAGCAAAAGTGGAACCTGTCAATCTAGAAAAATGGATGTCCTTGGAAGGAACCGGAGAAGATGGCGAAGTTGATGATGATGATGATGATGAAGTTGAAGAAGAGGAAGAAACAAATGAAGTCGAAGAAAAGGCCCGGCAGTTGCTGAATCGTGTCAAAGGAACAAGTTCACTACGGATCTGTAAAAACATTTGTACTGACAAACTGCTTTTGGATCTATTTAGAGAAGAAATTGCTACAAAATGGAATCAAACAAGAAATGAAGAGCTTGAACGTGATATGGTTAGGCTAGCAAAAGCATGGATCGATGGAGAACAGAACGAGACAGAAAAATGGGGAGTAGGGGAAAAGAAAGAGGCCTGTGTTAGAGACATGGACAGGGAAGGAAGGTGGAGCAAGTTTCTGCAGGAAGAGCAAGAAGACTTGGCCTGGGAAGTTGAGAGTAGGGTGATGAATATTTTGGTGGATGAACTATTAGCTGATCTCCTATAGCTCGATCTCCTATAACTCTGACCACAAAATTAAGCCAAGGGTGAATTGACACGTTTTTCAGCCACCAATTAAGCCTGTGGAATACCAGATCGCCGGAGCACGGATCCTGCTCCTGTTGTTACCATCTGAGAAAGACCAGGCATCTGTTGTTTGACATTATATATGGGCAATGTCCATAACATCAAGAGATGAACAAACAGTGAAAATACGTGACAAGGCATGTCCCCCAGCAAAAGATCACTAGAGCTTGAGGTATTAATTGTAAGGATGGGGAGAAGAAAGAAAGAAACCCATAAAAAGGCAAATCTCATGCCCTCTTTAGTTGGGTCCTGTAGGCTCAGAAATCAGAATGTATGCTAAAATTTTGTAAAAAAAAAATAAAAAAAAATGTACTACTATATATTTCATTGAATATATATGGTTGATATTTGTATTTATAAAAGAATAATTAAAAGTTTTAAATTACACGATAGAAATATATAGATATATATATATATAGTTAATTTGTTTCTTTTGACATGTTAAAAGTTTAAACCACCTATTATTACTAGATATTAGGAGGAGGACTGTTTCTGGCGTATGACAAGCACAGAACATTAATACGGTTGTCATTAACCACATGTCACTGGGTTTCCATGCATGAGTACACGTACTAGCTTGCTCATTGTTACTCTTCCAAGAATCAAAGTTGAACCATCTACTTTTGACACAAAGGGGTGAAAAGATAAGCTACTGAACGGTAAAATTGGAAAGGAGGTCAAGGTGAAAGAAATAATAAAAAAGCCTCTAAATTTTTAATTTAGTAGTTAAAGACATTTAAAAAGATATTAAAGATTTGATTTTGAATCAATTTTTTTTTTTTACTTGTATTAAAATTTTCTCCTACTGATATAATAAAAAACAAAAAGAGAATAAAAAAATGAGTGAGTCTAATGAAATAACCGTTGACACCACCGGTCCACTACTTGAAGGATCAGAGGATCATGAAGATAAAGGAAGACCAAGGGAGCCTTGGAAAGGAGAGATTGTTAAGAGCATTGTTTATGCAGGCCTGCACGCCACTGTCACTTGCTTCACGATCATTTCTTCCGTATCTGCCAGCCAGCTCTCCTCGGGTAAGTGGTAAATTGGTATCAAATCCCTAATTTTACGAGATATTATTTATTTTGATCCAAATATTTTTATCAAGTTCAATCTAACCATAAGACTAAAATCACATTAAATTACCGTGTAACATTTAATGACTCTCATGACTATCAACGGATGATTGCTCTGATACTATTTGTAGATACTCGAATTTAATTTATAATATATTATTTGTTTTGATTTAAATATCTCACGATTTTATTTCATAAAAGTTACCTAATATATGTGAGTTTAGATCTCTAAATATATATAATTTTTTTTCATGTATTTTTTTAATGTGAGATTAAGAGCGTTACAATAAAATTTGTGAAAATTCGCACTGAACCTGCAAGGTATTATTTATTTTGACTCGAAGATCTCATAATTTTATCTCATAAAAAATAACTAATGACTTTAAGTTTAGATCTCCAAATATATATAATTTTTTATTTACACATTTTTTTTAATATGAGATTAAAGGTGTTAAGGTGTTACAATCTTTTCACTTTTAAAATTTGATGTTCTTGTCAACTCGAATTTAATAACAGGATCAATATCATACAAGATCACCATGTAGCAGTTAATAATTCTTATAATCGTCGACTGGTAATAGCTCTGATATTATTTACAGATATTCACATCCAACTTGTAAGATATTATTCATTTTAATATTAAAATCTCATGATTTTTTCTTATAAAAAATACATTACAAATTTAAATTTAAATCTTTACATATATATTATTTTTTATCTATATATTCTTTTAATGTAAAATTTGGAACGTGTCACTTTCTCTCTCTCTCTTCGAAATTAACGCAGTTATGTATACATACATTCAGAAAATGAGACAAAATAAGTAAATAGTCGAAGGATTTTTTTGCAGTCAATAATGACAAATGAAACAGCGCTCTACCGACTGAGCTCGATGGGCAACTATAACGTGCTACCTACATCCTTTTAACCCTACAATTATTTGCAGTGGACGTATTGGTGCTGGGCATTGCGAACCTGGTGGCAGACAGAATATCATTGGGCCTTGGAGACTTTGTCTACTAGCACAAAGAAAGACGTAGCTGTCAAGGAAAGGGCAGTGACTAAGTGGGATGTCGCTAACCATAGAGAGGATCAGTTGCAGCAACAGCTCCTTCAGAAGTACCAAAGCCTTGGCATGGACATCAACGACGCTGAAATGGTAAACTAGTTATGAAATCCGTATTATCATCATGCCTCATGCAAAAAAAAAAAAAAATTGTTGACAAACTGCTTGTTAATTGTTATCCAAGGTGAAGAACATATTCGCCAAGTATAAGGACATTCTGATAGACGAAAAAATGACAGCCCCGAATGCAATGCTGCCACCTAATCGAGGAGGAGAGAACCCATGGAAGAATGGTGTTGTAACCTTCGTGGCTTTCGTGGTTTTCGGCACTGCACCACTCCTGTCTTTCATCATTCTCAAGTCTTTTGCAGATAATGATTTGGTCATGTTTGTTGGAGCTTGCTTCATGTCTGCTCTTGCACTTGCTCTTCTTGGTATAGGCAGGGCCAAGATTGCCGGCAAAAACTACCCATCGTCAGTGGCGATTGTCATGTTAAATGCTGCTTTTGCTGCTTTTGCTGCTTATTCCCTTCGATGGATGCTTAGGAATGTAGCTGGTCTTGATGTACCAATCAAATGACCAAAGTAGAACAGAACTAACACTATGGAACAAAGCGAAGGGATATGGAATTTTGTAAAACGCACACCACATCTTGAATGTGGATAATTACTAGTAGTAGTGATTAACTTAATCGAAACCGTTTATTTTGAATGAGAAGAATTCGTAAAAATTACTCAACATTTACCAATATAGGGGGAAAAAAAATACAAATATTACACCAGTACTAGCACAAATATAACTACTCAATTTCCTTCACTTAGAGATAATTGCAAGGCGTGCTCTGCTTCCTTCAGGAATAAACGAGTCAGTTCCTTCTGCCCTCTCCGATACACTATACTAGACCACCTGTTCCTACTCATTAACTTGTGCCGGGCTAAGTCATTTGCCTCCATGCTACAAAATAGACCAAATAAGACAGCCCAACATTAAGAAAACGATCTTTATTTGCCAATATTAACAAAAGAGATGCTTTAACACAATTTTGGCAAATGAAACTGCAAAGGCTGGAAGTTCAAGATGGAACAAAATAGGTGAAGGAAAGGGAATTCTGTAAACAATCCGAATGATTTTGAATAGCCAGAACCAATGAAACTATAGATAGATGAGTGTCTTTTCAATGAAAGGGGGAAAATTTAAACTTCTCACATACCTTGTGTGCTGTTCTGGGCTTCCACTAATGCAGGCATTCTCAAGTAGTTCAGCATCACAATCCTCTGTTCCAGAACTCTCTTCAAGGTCCATCATCCTTGCACATAAAGAATTTGAGTAAATCATAAGACCTTTTGTTTAGTAGTCACATTTATACATGAAAACGGAGTGTCAGGTTTCAAACTCTTAAGATGATTCTGTAATAACTTACTTTTTCTGAAGAAGGTCAACAAGCAATTGAAGACCTCCAGAATCCCCACAGGTCTCCCATACTGCTGTTCTTATTTCTGTCTTGGATGGTTGCCTTTCTCCTTCAGACCCAACAAGCTTGGAGAAGAGAAACAGTTTCAGTTAGGGCTAAAACAACAGTTTAAGTCATTTGTCATTTTCAAGATGATACTGAAATTGCCTGTTAAGGAATATTACCAAGTACTTTAGAGTAACATGACTAACAGTAATTGCAACTATCCAGGAATCAACATGATGTAATGAAAGACAAATCACACCTCTTCCAGCAATGAGGAAACCTTAGAAACCTCATCTTCTTGCATTGCTATGGTCCTCAAGGCAGTCATAAAATCTTCAGGAAAAACCAGCTTATTCAAGTACGAAGGTGTTGTGCGGTAACCACTCCAACTAAAACCGCAAATTCTATCAGCTTCACAGGTATTATTTGCTTTATTATTTGAGGATCCTGTTGGAAAAAAGCCATGATCCAGCAAATTTTTAGGTAAAAGGCACCGCATTGCAGCATTCTGTGAACCAAAACAAGACTTATCAGTAATACAAATTTGCTTTCAGGAGAAATGGGAAAAAGGCCATAAGAATAACAAATCTAATGCTTACACAAATAATATGAAGAATGTATCTCAATTAAAATATTAACATAGCACATTTCACTCAGTGCGAATTTAGGATCATGGACCTGGGCTACAAGCAGTTGTCCTTTGAAGTCAGAAAAGGAAATATTCTGGATAGCCTCCCCAGGATAATGAACCTGTATGGTTGACAAATGTTAGTAAATAAGCACAGAAGAGCAAAATGAAAGAAGCAGTATATAGTTTGAATCACCTCCAACTGAGTTATACCTAAATAATAATGATTCCCTTAGAAGAAGATACAAGAACTGGACAAACTGCGAAATTTTCCATAAACATACCATGAGATAGTCATCTGGATTATTATCAACAACGAATCCATACAAGTACAGTAGTTCCTGTGTCAAACGCAAGGCAATCAACATGGCTTGACATGCATCAACAAGTATGTATGGCCAAGATAAGAGTGCCAATAGACATTGATTATAAGAGAAATTCGTTATCACTCAGGGTGAGAATGTTGTAAACCATGGCAAAGAGCTAAGATGAAACTACATCCTGTTACAAATATTGCACATGTCATGCTCGGAGATGAAAGCATATTTCTTTTCAGCCACCAGAAAATCATCAAATAAGGAAGATGAATCAATACCATTGGTAAAAACTTAATCATGTAATATTGCCATAATAGAAACCTATGCAATTTGCAGAGAATCAAGGAACATATTTTAAAAAATTTCTTTTTCTTCTTTTTCTAATTTGTAAAGCACATTAATTCAATTCAAAGAGATGATCAAATACAAGAATAATCTATGAACATTGAGATACTTCAAGAATATACAGAAATGCTGCCAGTCATTTTTACCTGGCAATAAATACGGAATATGCTCACAGACAAAAGGCCAGAGGAGGCTATCACTAACATATAAACCTTTCAAAAGTATAGAAGAAAAAACTCATTTCAGGAAATCTGTCCAGGACAAGGGGAAGTACCTCATTGCCTTTGTTGCCATAACTGATGGAAATCTCTTTCTCAACTGGCAATGGCGTTTGCAAAGCTTTACATTATGAGCAAAAAAAGAATCCCAGCAGCAGTTAGACTCCAGATATTTAAAGAAAAAAATGAAAAAAGACTACAAGTATCATAGATTTCATCAGAATATGTTACAAAAAGAAAAAATAGCAGGCAAGGAGGACACTACCAGAAATAAGGTACATGGATAAAGGAACTTCAGTTACTAATCCTGTTCCATCAACTTCCCATGTTGCCACAGCCTTCAAGTCTAAATGTAAAATTAACAAAGCAAAAACTTCAATGAGAATCAAGATTAAAAAACCAGGAATGGAGTAACAGATAGAACCAATTATAGACTAGAGAGTCACTGACTAATAAAAACTAGCATACCATGGTTGCAAAAGTCAATGCCAGGGAGAAGACCCTCCACCCAAACAGTTTCTCCTTGTTTTGATGTAGAAGTCATTCCATTGACTTCATTATCATTCCCATGAGCCTCAAATCCTGATATAAATAAATAAATTAATTAAATCACTAATCTCAGTTCAAAATTGATGCAGTAAATTGTTCAAATGTAAAATCAAATCAGAGGAAAGACCTATGCCACAAATAATTGGTAAGAAAGAAGCATAACCGCACTTTTTCTATCATTTTCATTAATTGGCTCTCCACTACAACTATGACTGGTTGACATCTCAGAATTTTTGTCAACTGGATAGGTGGTGTCCTGATCTTCTTGAATTTGGGGAAATACATAAGAATGTGGCAGAGGAAGGTTCAAAGCACGAGACCAAAATATAGAATTTGCCCTAGCATTATGTAAAGAATTCAAGATTAGCTGCCAAAGTTTGAGGTACTGGAAATGTCATCATATTGAAGCTCTTTCATTGTCCCCTTCCCCACTCTCCACTAAAACACCAAAAGAGAGAATTAAGAGTTCATTAAGGAGATTCTTACCAAAGGAAATCTTCAAAGCATACCTCACTGCAAAAGGAGCATTACAGAGTTTATGTTTGGGGAAAGAAAATAGCCAAATTATGCTTGACAAGACAAGAAAAAAATTTACTCACAACATTTGGAAGCAATTTTGTTTAATGTAATTAATACAGACCTTTCTGAATCTCCATCAAGAACCAAAAGTTTCTTCACCAAATCCTTAACTTTGTCTTTAAACACAGACAGCAAATCCTTTTTCTGTAAAACAATTATACCAACTTTCATCAAGGGTAGTAAAATTCCATCCATTTGATCTTCAAGAGAAACAGAGTTTAACCAAATACTAATATTTACCCGCAATTCAGTTGCTCTATACAAGGTTGTCCCTCTCAACTCCAGAAGCTCATCATCAGTAAACCAAAGCGGATTCCCAAAAGTAGTCGGAAGCATATCAAGATACCTGACCCAAGTTTTTAATCCACATAAATAAAATAAAAAAAAACTCAACAAAAAAAATCAATCAAATAAATTAAATACATACGGTTTCCACGAAGAATTGTTACGAAGACGTTCCACAGTAAGAAATAAAATCATTAAAAACCTATCATCAACTTCTCCTTCTTCGAACATTGCTCTACACTCTGCTCCAATTAAAGGATCTTGCAATACCCTCATCGGAGTTATTGCTAAATTCAATGGAACAACAAGAAGAACCCCTGCCCCGTTTCACATAAAATTAATGAAAACATTTTAAACAATCAAGTAGCGTTCTTTATTTACAACTTCTTTTTCTAGGGTTTTGGTTACTGACCGTCTTCAGGAGACTCATTGGAGGAATAAACACCGAAGCCTTTGTTGAAATCGCAGTACTTTATTTTGCAGCCGCGAAACTGAGCTCCATTTACCTGAATTAGAGTCGTTGTTCGTTGAACGAGATATATTAAAATGTTGAGTTAAAGCTTTAAGTAAAATTGAGTTTAGGGTTCTTGATAACTGAACCTGAAGCCATTGAAGGAATAGTTCGAGTTTTGCTTCCTCTGGACTCGACATTTTCGTTGGCGATCGTTACTTCGGCTAGCGCCCAAAGGCAAGGCAGTCGGCAACGCAGTGAGGTTTAAGGGGCTTTACGCTTTGTAATTAGTGAGCATCTCAACGACGTCGCTTTATAGTTGCCTCTTCGACATCTCAACTCTGGAACTCGATCGATGGGAATGGCAACGGGCCATGGGCCCGGTCCAAACCAACATAATAAATAATTTCTGGTAGTAATTTGTAATTTCGTATGAAGTACATTTAATTTTTTGTTTCCCAACGGGGATGAAATATATAATTATAAGTTTAAATAATTTTATTAATAGTAACGTATATTGATTAATTGATTCATGTTAACAATTTTTTTAATAAATTTAAAATTTAAATGTTTACATTTATAAATTTTTTATTTTTTATTTATTTTGTGAACATAAAATAAAAGTCATGAATTATTTTAAAGATTTAAACTAAACTACTACGTGATTCAATGGCACAAATTTTCGTTCATTTGTGCATAATTTAACAAAAAATTCACACGAAATTTGGAAATATAAGTGGCCAAAAAAAAAAATTTCATAATTTTTTATCCATTTGTTGATATTCAAAATCAAATCCTCTTTCACTTTTTTAACACCTAAAGCTTTTATTTTTAAAATTTTTAAATTTTTTAACATTAAAAATTAGAATAAAAAATTTAATTTAATATTAAATATATTAAAATTACTTTTTTAAATTTCATAAAAATAAAAAATAAATAATTTAAGATGGAAAGAGGATTAATTTTTGATATCTTAGTATTTTTTTTTTTCATCTAAAGTCTAAAATTTTTTCCTTTCTTTTTACGTGTGAAGTTCAGTGACACATGCTTGAGGGGATTGCGGCAGGAATACATCACCCACCACCGTCTGTCACGCTCGAAGTAACGGAGTAGACCTTGTTTTTGGTACATATTACCTAACTTACAAAATATCATGATTATTAAATAAGTGGGTAGTTCAATCGATTATAAATTTTTTTTAATAAAAAAATTTTTAAATTTAAATTTTATTAATAATTATTTATTAAAATTATTTTAAACATACTATATATAATTATTTATATTAAATTATCAAATATGATATATTTTATTTAAATTTATAAAATTAAAATATCTATCTATCTTTAAATTTTTCTTAATAAAAAAAATATACCGCAGTGGCCAAAAAAAAAAAAACTTGTAAAATACCGGTGGATTATAGGCTTATAGTAATAGCATAACGAGAAAATTAACAAACAAAAAAGAAAATTGCATATATTTTTTTCAATTAAAAAAAAAAAGAAGAAACCAACCGAAAAATGATAGAAAGCCAAGCAACAAGAGAGAAGGACCGACGGTAGCGATGAATTCTGCAACGGACAACGTGCTGAAGTGAAATGCGATACTCTGCATCTCTCAATTCCTCTTTTTCTCTTTCACTTCCTTTTCCAGATCTGCCAATACCGCGCATCAACGACGTCGTTCCGCGCCCAATACGGTAACCTTTCCTTTTTCCTTATCTTTCCGGATCTGATCATTAATTTCTCTCGCATTTTCATCTCAAACTCTTACTCGTTACTTGACCCTATTCTGATTCGTGTTAATCTTAAATTCATCGAATAGTTTTTGGCTTAGAAAATGAAACTGGAATTCACTTTTGCAGGATGTAATTAGAATCAATAAGATTCAGTCAAAGTCATGTTTGAAAGTCCTGCGGCAATCGCTTCTTCTCACAACCCTCATCTTCGGAAACCAGGCGGGAAACCTGTTGTTTCTGACCTAGGTAAAGGCAATTAACATTCCGTCTCTTTCAATAATGATTGACTTTTGATTTAAACTGGTCTAACAAAATTAGAATGTTTTTCATTATTTATTTATTTAATTATTGTTTAGGCGCTGGTGAACCTGGAAATAGTGTTCAAGAAGGTTACGTGTTTCCATTGATGATAGGTGAAATGAAGGGTGCAAATTCACCTATGCAAACTGCAGCAATAATGCCTTCTCCCGTCTTTCTATGGAGATTTAAGGTTTTTCTTTTTTGAAGTTGTTCGAATCAGAATTCATACTCTATTTGTTGTTTAAATTTTGATGAACTTCTAATGGGAGTGATTTTTCAGATCATATTGTTTCTGATATGGGGCTTCACTTGTTGCAAGGTCAGTATTTGTACAATTAGCTAGGATGCTAGTGAGAATTTGTCTTGAAAATTCATGATTGCCTTTTAAAGTTCTTAAAAGATTATAGGTCATTTTTTTTTTTGGAAATAGATTGGATGGGATTCGGTCATGAGAATGAGTGCAGACCTGCGAGACTTATTCTTGTATGAGGCATTCTTATATTATAACCCTCTACTTCTTGTGGTTAGTTAACGTCTCTTTGAGTTTGAATACAGATTGTTCTTTGATATTAGATGTTTTTTGAATCTTTTTTCTTGGTTCTGCAATTTTAGACAATGATGGTTTGGCTATGGGGAGTGTGTTTATGGGTCTTCTCACAGAGTACTGTTAATTATGCAAAAGTATTTGATCTTGATCAAAACCACCTTACTCACAGAGAAATTTGGAAGGTACTCATTCTAACTGCTATTCATGTTGTTTGGATTCTTTACACTTCATATGCATTATTGAGAATTTGGTCCTCTGATTGTGGTGCAACTATGACAAATATAATGTATTCCTTTTCTATTTTGCCATATGCAGTGTAGTATATGGATGACGATTATAGTCCCAACTAGCATGACAGCATACCTTTATCTTTACTCCCGTGGAGAAGTATCATTGGCAGCATCACAACCAGTGTAATATCTACCCTGTTTCCTGGCATTATCTTATTTCTGCCTCCCTTCAATTTTATCTGCATATATGCAAGACACTAGCCTTTCATTTTGTTTTAATCATTAGATTTATTGATTATACCTTTAGTACTTAATTATTGCTTGTTAATTTCTTGCAGTAAATATGAGATGCCTATAATGATTTTGGGCATATATGTATTAATGCATATTTTTATCACTTTATGCACAAACATGACTTATATTGATGGTTCTGAACTTTTTAAATACATATTGTAGGTGACCCTGTATGTTGCTGTTGCTTTGGTTTTGATATTCCCCTTTGATATTTTTTATTTGTCCACTCGTTACTTCTTGCTAAGAACACTCTGGCGGATAGCTCTCCCACTGCAGGCAAGTTTCTAGTATAGCTGTTTCTTCCTTTGCAATTGAGCTAGCAAGCTGCATTAATACAATGACTTTTCTTCCTATTGAATGTATTATTTTGAAGTTTCTCTTCAATCTCTCTTCGGATTTTCTTTTTATGTAGCAATTACTCAAGTTTCTCTGTGGCTGATATGCATTCTCACTTTTTACTTGTTTAAATCTTGCATAACAGCCAATCTCATTTCCTGACTTCTTCTTGGCCGACATTCTAACTTCTATGGCCAAGGTATGAGCTTATAACCTCATTTCTTCTTCTTAAGCAAGCTATTTGTTTCATTTCTATTAATTATTAGATTGTACCAATTAAAGGAAGAATCCTATGAAATGTTTTCTTATACTTTTTTACTCTTTTGGAGAAAGCTTCAGTTTCCTGCTATTTAGATGCAAATAGATTGCATGTCATATGGTAACTTCTTTCTTGATTTCTCACGTATTCTTATCCTACTGGTCCTACTCTGAGGTTATGGTATTTGATTATGGTAGAATAAGAGCAGCTGGATTTATTTTTCTAATCTCTTGTAATCGATTACTGTGTGAAGGTATTTTCAGATTTGGAGCGTTCAGTGTGTCGAATGGTTCATCGCCAGGTAATTCTAATAACTGAAGACTTTTTGAATAGGTTACTTATAAAAGGCTAAGAGCACTCAAAATCTCAAACTTACTGCCTTGGTAGGAATTTTTCTTTCATCTCAAATTGACTGAAGTAAAGACCATCAAGGACCTTAATTTTCAATGTCTGTAAGTTGTGTCGCCTACATAATTTTTTGGTCCTGCAATTCAATGGAAATCAGTTAATATTAAAATTTGACCCTTTTCAAGCATGGATGAAAAAGATCATAATGCTAAAGACCTGATGAATATCTGCAGCCATTAGTCTTGCTTCTCGTTTTTGAGGGAGTTAAAACTTTTGAACTTAAAGGCTTAATGTTGTGTCTTGTAATGCTTTAGAATAGAGCTGTGGAATTGCTTGGATGAGATCTAGTTAAACCAATGCTTGGCGTTATCTGCTATTATCTATCATTTACTGATGATATAAAGAAACAATGAGGGGTATACTGTGTCTTTTCTTATGAGTACCAAATATGATTATGCTTAGATTTGAATTTATTCAATTCATACCATAACTTTGAACTGCCAAAGCATTTTGTATGATGCAAGATTGATCTTCTTAGATGCATAAAATGAGGTTTCTCTTGGCATGTAGGTAGCAACAATTGCATGGTTTGAAGCTGACTCAGTTTGTGGTAGTCACTCAATTGCAATTCCACTAGTGCTTGTTATTCCTTATATTTGGCGGCTAATGCAGTGTCTGCGGCAGTACAAGGACACGAAAGAGAAGGCAACCCTTTTTAATGGTAATAATACATCTAGGTCCCTGGTGCTACTATTTTCTTATTAATTTACATTTAGTCGACCATGAGTGTGGAAGTATGAACTGATAAGGTGCACAAGGTTATGCCCCAAGAAATTTCTTAAATTTGTGGATCCTTAAACTTTGGCAATGCTTTGCTTTCCTAGTTAGTTCTTGCTTTATCTCATATGGGATATGTGACTATTGTACACTTTTTTATTCTTCTATCTATTTTCCCTTTAACTTTTTTTTTTTATTATTATTATTGTAACCCAATTTGCTTGTGATTTCAGCTTTAAAATATTCGACAGCAGTTCCCGTGATTTTTCTTTCAGCCCTTAAATATCATGTCTTACCTGATAGGTGGACATATGTGTATCGTCGCCTCTGGCTTTTCTCAAGTGTTGTTAACTCACTCTACTCATTTTACTGGGACGTAACTCGTGATTGGGACCTTAGGTATGTTGACGTTATCCCTTTTCCTGACAGAGACACTCTTATATGTAGCTTTTGTTTCTGAGGTCTCTTGGGCATTTCTTCCATCTTATGTTAACTTCTGCTAATAAATGCTGCTTTTGCTTGACTTCATACTACGTACTTGAACTCAATTTAGCTTACCTGAGCCAGACAATGCTTTACATCCTGTAATAATTGAACTTTCTATCATGACATGCATTCTAATGTTCTCTTTCCTACATCCTCTCAGCGTATTCACGAGAATTTTCAAGTTCAACAAACCAAGTTATTGTTCCAATCTATTATACGGGCGACAATGGGTAAGAATCTTAGGTGCTGTTAATTATTTCATTCTGCTAGTTAACACGCATAATTACATTTTTTTTGTTCACTTGGTAGGTTTATTTTTGGGTTATCGGAAGCAACTTGATTTTGCGTTGCACATGGACGTACAAACTGTCTGCTCATCTCCGCCACAACTACTTGACAGTGTTTATGGTTGCCACCTTAGAGATGCTCAGAAGGTTCCAATGGATATTCTTTCGAGTAGAAAATGAGTGGAATAAAGTTACCAAGTCGGGCTTCCAGCTTCCCATGGCCGACATCCCAAGAGAAGACGAAAAGTTACTTGGCTCAACCAATCATGATGTATAGATTACACCTGTCGGTGGCTTGGCTTCAAAGTAGCATCAAATTAAATTCATTCTTTTCGCTTATATCATCATAGTATTATTTCAAGCTAAGAGGCAGTTGCTGCATTTTTGGTTGCCCCTATTTGAGATAGATGATATTGATTGGATATCCATACCTTACAGTTTCCAATGTTGACACGTCCAAGTTTTTCATCTAGTGATGATGCTCGGTTCGGTTGCCATTTTACATCATTTTATTGCTGAAAGAAACAAAAATCGAGATCATAAGCTAGTGTAAACTAAAAGTTTCCAACGATTATTAAATTTAAACTAAAAGTACAAACAAACGTAAAATTCAATAGGAGAAAAAAAAATGGGCAATGAATTTTGCTTTTCAAAAAAGGAATAACCAATTTCTGTCTTTACAACGTTTCATAATTTTAAAAAATGCATTCATTGTATGAAATCATGAACATGAACAAATTGAGTTAAGTGATTCCGGTTTGAATCGAATTGGATTCGATATAGTATTTTTATTTAGATTAGACTAGGTGAATGGATAGATTGGATTAGATAATTACGATTCAAATCAAATTGAATTCGATATAATTTTTTTATTCAAATTAAGTTAGGTGATTATGATTTGAATCGAATTAGATTCGATATTTTTAAATAATATATAATATTATAAAATATTAAAATTTGATTTGAATTCGAATTTTTTTTTTTTGAATTTATTTGACCAATATTAAATTTTATCAGTTCAATTTATTGATTTTTAAATTTAAAATTTTTATAAATTATTTTAATAAGATTTTTAATATATTTAAATAGATTTATATATAAAATAATTATTTTCTTTCATAAAAATTTAAAAAATAGATAAAAACAAATAAAAATATATAATTTGATTTAGTTTTTTTTTTTATTTTTTACATCTTGATTTAAAATTTAATTCGAATTTGATCTAAATTAAATAAAAAATCAATTTCAACTATAATTTCAAATTACTTTTTACGAATTTTTTTTCTTTCCCTGGGTTGGGCCAGATTGACACGGTCCAGTATTGGGCTAATGTAAATATATAAAGTTCTTGAAAGCGCACGCTTGTCCTAAGAATCAACGAAACGTCGGTTGGACAGAGCTCCTATCCTGCGACTGCCTTCGATTTGCACTTTGTTCTATAAACTCGAAAAAAGAAAACCAAAAATAGAAAAGAGCAGCCCCCGACAAACTACTCCGGTTTTCTTCCAATATTTCTGGGTGCTACCAATTTTTTTTTGGTTCGGGGACACAAAAAGAAGAAGCAAAAGCTTTATACGACCAAAAGAGAAAGCTTTGTTAAAGAGATGGCAGACAATCAAGATTTACCTGAGGCAACTGTTCAAAACATACTGGATCAAGAGAGCCTAAAATGGGTTTTTGTTGGTGGCAAAGGAGGTGTGGGTAAGACCACTTGTAGCTCGATTCTTTCGATCCTCTTGGCTCGGGTCCGATCGTCTGTCTTGATTATTTCCACGGATCCTGCTCATAATCTCAGCGATGCTTTTCAACAAAGATTCACAAAGACTCCCACTTTGGTCAATGGCTTCAACAATTTATATGCCATGGTACCCTTTTTATTTGATTTTGGTTTCTGGGTATTGGGGGATTTGGCTTGTGGTTATTATTAATATTCTTTTTTAGATTTGGATGGGGTACTTTGTTGTGAATTCAGGGTTTTGAGATTTGGCCTCTGTTTTTATTTGGAAAAAAAATTAGGCAATTCTCTGTTACGTTTTGTATTTTGATTGTACTTTGTGGATAATTTGATACAGTTGCAAATACCCTGTCCTTAAATTCTCCATTTTCAACTTCTTTCATTTGAAACGAAGAACAATTATGTTAATATGATTTTAATTGTAATCTGCTAATAGATTCAGCATGGTTAATGCTTGGCTTCCGCATTAAGGATTAGTTTTTTGTTAGAACTTTTACAATATGATGTGTGGTGGTGATTGTTCATTTGTCAATATTTTTCCTCAATTTCTTTCTACTAATAGGAAGTGGATCCTAATGTGGAAAATGAAGATGTGGGTGGACCTGAAGGAATGGATAGTTTATTTTCTGAGTTGTCAAATGCAATTCCAGGAATTGATGAGGCAATGAGCTTTGCAGAGATGCTTAAGTAAGAATCCTGTTCTCTTTTGTTGATACCTTGATTGTGATAAATTATCTGGATGCATTGGCTGTCCATTTCTTCTTTTCAGTTTTTTATTTATTTTCTTGGAACGAGTTAAGAATCACTATGGTTGTTTTATTGAAAGCTTTAACTTTCCAAATATTTCCTCAATTTCTTTCAAATGAAAAATATCCATTCCTTTTCCAAATATTTAAGATTAATTATGATGGTTACTTTCTCTGTAAAATTTGTCTTCCATGCTCTTTTTCACCTTCTACTTGTGTTTTTTCAGCTACCTTTTGATCTATTGTTGTCTGAATGTAATCCTTTCGTGCAGATTGGTGCAAACAATGGATTATTCTTGCATTGTATTCGACACTGCTCCTACTGGACATACACTTAGGCTTTTACAGTTTCCAGCTACATTGGAGAAGGGACTTGCAAAAATGATGTCATTGAAAAGCAAATTTGGTGGCTTATTAAGTCAGGTATGTGTTTACCTTTTAGTATGCCTTGGCACCTGATATTGCTCAGCTGGTCTTCCAAGAATTTTCTGTCAACAATGGGCCCTTTAGATAATAAAATTTTGCATTAACCTTTAGCAGTATTTCCATTAAAACAACTATTCTTTCTTGAATATAGTATTTCAAGTGATCAATGCTTTCAATCCTATCTCCTAATTCTATCTTCAATACCATTCTAAAGGTTATATGGCATGACACTATTACATTCATTCTTTCCATAGCTTACATGTCAGCTCATAGGAGTTATCAATTGCTACTATTTGCTAGTTGGTTTTTGTAGCTACTGAACTCTGAAACTCATCATGGCAGATGAGCCGCCTTTTTGGGGTTGATGATGAATTTGGGGAAGATGCAATTTTGGGGAGGCTTGAAGGCATGAAAGAGGTGATTGAACAAGTTAATAAGCAATTCAAAGACCCAGTAAGATATACCATTCTCTAGTCTCTTTCTCATACAATTTTCTATTCTAGTTTTTGATTGGTCAGTAGATGATGAAATATAACTGGAAAATTGACAACAATCTGCTTGGAAGCCATCAGAGGTTGTACTTGCACTAAGCTTGGACCATCTGTTTTAGCATATTATGAGCTTTTATAACAATATAGTTGGTTGCCATTCTCTTTGATTAGTGAAGTTGAGTACTCTAGCAAAGTAAGTTTGGGCCGTCATGATATTCCACAAATTAAAGGCCTTATTATTCATAATAAGTTAATATAATGTGATAATATTTTTTTTCTCTTCTGTAAAAGGAGAGGAGAAAAGCAGCTGCAGCTATGTGTGGAGATCTACATGATACAATTCTCGTGCTTGGTTTTCTTTCTACTTATGATACATAATAGAAATATCTCTAAATTTCCAAATATTAAAGCGCTAGAACTTGTGAAGTGTGTTGAAAGCATTTTTTTTTATTCCTTTTTCATTTGAAGTTTCTTGGAAGTCTTATACAAATTACCAAAACTTTTATCATCTGGCTTTTGTTCTATCTCAATCGTAGTTTCTTGAGTTGTCCATGCTCATGGTATAATTCACTTTTCTTTTGGCAGGACTTGACAACCTTTGTCTGTGTTTGCATTCCAGAGTTCCTCTCTCTCTATGAAACAGAGAGACTGGTGCAGGAACTCACCAAGTTTGAGATCGATACACACAATATTATCATTAACCAAGTAATTTTTGAAGATGAAGGTATACTTTGTTACCATGTCTATCATTTTCCTTTCTCCCACATTACAATTGTTGCTTAAATAAAAAGCTTACCATCAATTGGCCTGTGTTTTACTTTAAGATGTTGAGTCCAAGTTATTAAAAGCAAGAATGCGGATGCAACAAAAGTACCTTGATCAGTTTTACATGTTATATGATGACTTTCACATCACTAAGCTGCCTCTGCTGCCAGAAGAGGTGAGTTCAAGTATACTTATGTGACCATTTTACTTTAACTATGCATAAATCGGTTAAAACATATAATTCCTGTGAGTTGATATTCTTATTATTTTGATTAATTCCCAAAAGTTTGAGATAGAAGCTCTTGCTATCTTCTTAGCAGCCACTACATCCACAATTAATTGTTAATTTTCCCTATATATTCTTTGATTTGATATGGGAGAATCTTTAATGTGTTTGTTTTCCCTAAATATTCACTGATTCAATTGTCCTTTTTGTTCTTACCTTGCTTCTTGTTTCTCTAAGAAGAATTTCTGCATTTCTAGAATAATCGTCAGGGATTAAACTGATTGTTAAATCTGAATATTGTATCTAGGCTTACGTTGGTAAGCATTTTCATTTCAATAGTTACAGCTCTTGATTATCCTTGTATGGTTATAACAGGTTACTGGGGTTGAAGCTCTCAAAGCATTTTCACATCATTTTCTTTCACCATATCAACCATCCAGCACTAGAGGAACAGTTGAAGAACTGGAGCAAAGAATATCCATGTTAAAGCAGCAGGTATCAGATGCTGAAGCAGAACTTGAGAAACTCCAAAAAGGAAAAGAAAAGGTCTGATTGCTGTATATGACTTCATATGGCCCTTTTCCTTTTGGCTATTCAATCGGCCACAAGATAATATCATGTGGCATCCTCCTCGCTAGGCCGAAAGAGAATTTAGCATTTTATTTTGTTGCTGGATAATGCTACTACATAGCATAATTTATTTTAGAAAAATTCTTTACAACACTTCATTACAATTGACATGCATATCACGTTTTTAAGGTATTCCTTTTTGCTGCTTGGCATAAGATGAGATTCAAGATTTGGTTGTAATACTTAAATACCTGGCTGGCATGGAATTTCTATGAATAACAGGTACTCATAAAGATCGTTATTCTTTTTTGAAATGGAAAAAGAGTATAACATGCAAAGAAAACTACAAGCAGTTGGAACTTAGAACATACAAATTAATCCAGAGACATTAGCGCATGATAATGATGACATAAACACGAGAGTTAAGCACTAAGAATTTCATTGCAATTCCATGTAACGTCTTCAATAATCAAGTTCAAAGGCAGAATCACTCTGTCAAACTCTGATATGCTCTTCATCATGATCGTCTATAAGACACCTAGATACTAGTACTATCCACCATGCAAAGTTGAAATAAAAACGACCACAACCTTCTCTTCCAAAGTTGTTTCAAGCTGGCCGCACAACTCCCAATCACAATCATTTACTAGGACAAGAACACCCGGTCTCCTGCAAAAACCAAAACCCCCAATCAGTTCAATGTGGATGCCTTTAAAATTGCAATCCTAATTCGATCCGTTGTTTCATTATAAATGAGTGTTAAAATCCTTAAAAACTTACACAGACTCCCCTTTCATGAACATTTCGGGTCTCTCCTTTATCAAATTGGTACGAACCCAAGACAGTAAATTTCTCATGGTTAACTGAGAAAGTACAAAACCAAACCCAATAACATATTACTATGAGTCAGCTTTAGAAATGCTGCATTAAAATCCTCATCAACATAAGCTGTTTAAAACATGCTAAGTTTAAAAAAGTAAAATGCTTACCTTATCTACTCCTTTTGGCAGATCAACATTCACATTATGAACTTTAACAGACTCACATAAAAGTTCTAAACCTCCACTGCATCAAGCAATGAATAACAGAAAGACATTAAAAGCAAGAGCAAGTGAAACAGGTTTGAATTATATGCTCAAGAAAAACTTGATTATAAAGAACTGCAATAGAAATGAGGTGCAAAAGAAGTAATTTTGAAGCAATCCCAAGATTGTTCCGATGTTTTCATTTCCGTTTTGATTAATTGTAGCAAAAACAAAGAATTAACAGTAACAGAAGCAGCATTTTTTTTTCTTTTCTCCAAAGGCAAAACCAAACCCTAAATAAGCACATAAGATTTTATGAGATAAAAAATTAGGCAGTTACAAGCAAACTAAAAATCGATAAATTTGATTAGAAATCTTACCCGAATTCAAGAGTCAATTGCATTTTGAAACAAAATTTGCAGAAATTCAAAGACCCTAATCGGGATTTTGCGTGGTGCCGCGTCGTATTCACCCAAATGATCAATTTTTACGGCGTCTATTCAGATATTGAATATTCTGCATTCTTTGGGCCGGAAATTTTGGGCCCAGAAGAATTGTTTATGGGCTTTGCCTAAGTCTCCACCACGGCAAAATGAGAACCTATTTTGGTCCTTTTATTTTTAGGCCTTTATAATTTTTTGGCCTTTTTATAATTAACTTTTTTTTTTTACAAAAAAAATTGAACAATTTGTCATTTAATTTATAAAATAATATAGTAAATTTAAAATTTAACTCGTTAATAAATTTAATCAGTTTTTTAAAAAATTATATTAATATATTTGAGATTTAAATTTTAATATATATAAATTTTTTATTTTTAAATTATATTTTTTGAAAAATAAATAAATAAAATAGTATTTACTTTTTTATTTGTTGGAATATGGAAATAATAAATAATTCACCACGTGGAATTTAAGATTCTCGTGACATTTAAAAATTAGGATGCTGCATGGATTGTGAGATTCAAAACCACCTTGGGAATTAGATATTTTCTTTTACTTTCTTTTTATAATAATAATTGAAGCAAGAAAAAAACACAGGTGTTAGTGCTATCAAATAAATAAATAAATAAAAATATATATCCTCTCCCGATTATTTTCTTTTCTTTTTTTTTTATTTCGTTATTATTAGCTTGGAATATTTTATAGGATATGGGATTAGAATCCTAGTCGTATTTTTTTTTTTTAAATAACATTAACAAAGCATTTTTCCTTGATTTTGTTAGTGTATTGTGGTATCTACGTGGACATTGACGAGATTGATGAATGGTGATTTTGCAAATTGCATAACAAATCCTTTTTATGTCGTTTTGACTTTCTCCTTTTAGCTTTGTGATTCTCTCCTCAAAAACCATTATCTCCACGCCGCTAAGATTCGTGATCTGCCGCCCACGTCGATTGGTTCCAGACGGATAGGAACCAGTGATCTAACATCATCCCAATAAACGGTCAAAGATCATAACCCCAATTTTGGCAAGGATCAAAGCGGCACACCTCATAGCGCTCACCCTCCATTCTTCACTTTTTTTCCTTTTTTCCTCGGCAGAATCGAAGTCTACGGTTAAATTACAAAGAAAGGGGTTTATTGTTTTGGTGTTTGCTAATCTGGGTTTCTTCCAAAATTCCAAATTTGACAAAGATTGAGCATGAATTGGCTTGGTAGTCACTCAACGAGCTAGGGTTTTGAAATCTCTGATTTTTTTTGTTGCTTGATAAAATTTGTGAATCAATGGAGGCTTATAAGACATGGGTTAGGAGGAACAAAGACTACGTGCACTCCTTGGAGTCACTTGCCAATGTAAGCCTTCATCGTTTTCTATTTAATATAATTACATAAAGTCAACTTTTTTTTTCTTGTTTCGGAAGGTTAATTTGATAGCTATTTATATGGTTCTTGGTAACAGAAAATTGTAATTTTTGTTTTTCAAATGTTTTAGGTGCATTAAATTTATTGTTACTGCTTGTGTTTTCAAATATTACATGTGTTTTTTGAGATATGCAACCAGAAAATTCATTCGATGGGAAAAGCAAAATAAAAAGGTTATATTATTAGGAAGAACAATGATTATCTGCAATTTTCGAGTCTCCATTTAGCTGCTCTGAGTAGATTGAATGTTTGTTACCGGGCTATGGACTATGATCTATGGTTTGACTATTTGGATTCGTTGTTGTTGTTGTTGTTGTTGTATTTATTTATTTTTTTTTTTTTAATGAATGAGCTTGGAAATGTATGCTAGATTTTGTGAATGACTTTTGATTGTGTTTAAAATTTTGAGTATTGCTTTCTTATGCTGTTATTGAAAATTGTTATGCAGGGATTAACGTGGCTTCTTCCTGAACGGTTTTCCACTTCAGAGATCGGGCCAGAAGCAGGTTTTGTGAAACTTTGGTAACATTGGCTACTTCTTGATAGCTTAGAAACTGATAAGAATTCCCCCACCCCTTCCCCTGCATGATTTAAAGTATCATCTAATTGGTTACTGCCAAAGTTGAGAAAGAAATGCATTAAGTGTGGCGTTTTCTGTACTTTTTTATTAGGCCCCGGTTAAATGTAGCCCCCCCCTCCCCTCCTGGTTTCTACATATCAGAGTAAAGAAGATTAAAAATTTTCCTCTCATTAGTTGTATTCTCTTTTTCATGGACTGTCAAAAGTTTGTCCCTATTGAACAATTCGGTAAACTTATTGCAGTAACTACAATTTTGGGCATACTCACTGCTATCAATGAGCATATAATCGACACTGCCCCGAACGAGAGGCATACTGGCTCTGCTAACCCTTCATCATTCCCTTATTGTTTGTGCATATCTGTACTAAAGGACTTGGAAACTTTGGTTGAAGTTGTTGCAGAGCAGTACCATGGTGATAAGAAATGGAATTTTATTGCTGTTACAGAAGCTATCAAGTAAGAAACATTCATTATGTGATGAATGACACTTTATATTTCACCTAGGCCTATCTTTCTAATATATTGGCATTAAGCCTTTGCCTAATAATTTGGTACTTGATGTACATCAGGGTGATAGTTAGATTAGCTTTATTCCGGAACAGTGGATATAAAATGCTTCTGCATGGAGGAGATATGCCAAATGTTGAAAAAGATTATGATGATACATGTACACAAGATAGGATTGGGGGTCTCCCAAAGCCTGGAGGCCATCATGGACCTGGTTGGTTACAAGACAATCACGGGCAAAACCCATGGAATCTTGAAGGAAGGGCATTGTCTGCTTTGAGCAGATTTGGAGAGAGCGCTAGGCCTAGGATGATATCTGACCCTGTATGGATGCAGAGAATTCAACAACAGCATGCAATTATGGAGCCTCCAAGTGATCACTTCTTTAAAATTTCATGATTTGTTACTACTTTTAGTGAATTGATGGGAAAGTCTGCTAATATTTGCAATTTTTCCTTTTACAGCTTCAATTATTAAAAGACCTACTCTTTCCATGATTTTGTCAGAGAAGGGTCTTAATGGAGCTCTATTTGTTCTGGGGGAGGTCCTCTTTATTACAAGGCCACTTATTTATGTTTTGTTCATTAGAAGATATGGAATTAGATCATGGATTCCTTGGTTTCTTTCTCTAGCTGTGGACTTTATTGGAATAGGCTGTCTATCACATGTAACAAGATCAGGGAAGCGTGGACGAGAGCAATGGTTCCATCTTTCTGCCTCTGAAAAGGATGAGGTTAGAGTCATCAGATATTTTCAAATCATATGTAACTCATCAACCTTTGACATGAATATCTGCAAACCTGTTTCGCCAAAACAATTTACTTGCTTAACATCTACAGCTGTGCTAATATCAAGTGGTTGATCCAGGTAAAAAGACGGAAACTTCTGTGGGCACTTTACCTCATGAGAGAACCATTCTTCTGCAAGTACACCAGGTAATTGATAAATTCATCACAGACTTACTTCCTAATTTATGCCCTTCTTTTGCTAATACCTTTCCCATTGATACAAATTCCAAATTTGTATATATCTGATCGTTAGGCAAAAACTTGAAAGCACTGAAAAGCTACTGGAGCCTGTTCCATTAATTGGGACTCTAGCAGGTGCATTGGACAGATTCTCTTCACTTTAACATTTTGAATCTATTGAAATCATGCCATGGTATATCATTCATCAAACTAATTTAACTAGAAATTAATATCTTTTGTTTATAACATTTGGCAGCAAAAATTGTTGAGCTTGTAATTGGAGCTCAGACAAGGTACACATACATGTCGGGATCGTAAGAGTGATGCTGCAAGAAATCAGGCAGTCGTTTTTTTTTTTTTTTTTTTTTCAAATACATGTTTTGGTTGCTGTTGTTTTTCTTTAACCAAGTTATAGATACAAGTATCAATACGTTCCATCTGTATCAATCATGCATTACAAATATAGTTGTTGTTGCTTGGTCATTTGCCAAACCAAATTTCAACACTTTTGTGGAATTTCTACAGTGTTTTGAAGGGAAATAATGTGATCCGAACTTCTCATCTCACATTCAAATGAGTTTAACTTTTTTTTCATCGAAAGGGCGCATATGTATTGGACCTTAAATTCTTCCCGAGTTGTAATTTTAGCTGAGTCGATAAATGAATCAATCTCGATTATATAATTAAAAAAATTTACATTGATAATATATTAAATATTAATTCATTATTGTAAATAATTATGGATAAACAATTGCCAAGGCAATTGCCATTCATGCATAAACTCACTCCAAACTTCTGTTCCATATATACTTTGTCAATACCCCAAAGCCATTCCATAATCTTTAATAAAAAATCGGTTGATTGCATTGATGCAACGAATATTCCAAAGCTGATTAAAATAATCTCCAAGGCTAGAGCCCACCTGTTAGTCTGAATCTCCTACAAGTCTGACCTCAACTGATTAAACCAAAGCATTTTAGCCAGGGCATAAAGAAAGGTATGGTCCAATATATTAAAGGGATGAGGTCCCATTGCCCCACCAGAAAGCTGAACCGTCATATTAAATATAATCACAACGGCGTGTCACAATGTCATTGGTGGATTGTGGTATGCAAACCCCCTCCCTTCTTGTTGCAGCCTAAAAAACATGTGGGCAATGGTTGGTGGGGTACATCATACATGTTTTTACACATCACGCATTCAGTCCACATAGAAGGTTAAATACTTGAAATTGAAAAGAAATAAAAATAACATATGGGAAATGGGGTCCCACCCAATAAGGGTCCCCCATCCAAGGGAAAAACCGAAAGGGGGCCACTTTTAAATGGCACACAACAAGTGGGACTGTGGCCATACCCCATTGTGGCCAACCCTTCTACCCCACCACCACGGAAGATGAGATCATGAGAATTGGGATGAGGCTGGGTTTAGTTAGGGCCCCATGGTTCATGGTGCTTGTTCCCTTCACGAGACCAGTGAAAATGGTGGGATCCTCATCCCACCACCTTCACTTTGTCCACCAGCAATTGCTTTGATAGGCCCTGCCTGTGGAAGAATCTACCACCTCCATCCTCCCCCCAGGACTGAAAGAAGCCTATGTGGTAGGGTCCACTATAAGGCCGGATTAATGGTGCGGCCGTCCGATCTTAAAGATCGGGCTTGGCCCCACCTTAGGTTACCATACACCACAGCTTGGGTGGGCAGCTTTACAGGCGACGACTTACAACAGAGTCGCTGGAGGTGTAAATCTTGGTCTGTTACAGAGACACTGTTACTTACCATATAATCATGATTCTTTACGATAAACTCAACTCCATCGCATTAAAATATGATAAAATCTAAACCTCCAGTTAATCCAAAAGGCCGTCATTTATTGTTATGTCCGTTCGCATCAGCAGTAACCAATGGGGCCACAATCTGGCATGCCAATTGCTGTGGCATGACCCATTAGCTTTGTCGTGGGACATATTCTACTTTGTTAAAACACATTTATCTTTGTTGCCGGCTTAATTTAACTTAACCAAAGTTGATTTTCAGGATTTCTTAAGCTACGTTAATTTTCTTTTGCTTTTTTTTTTTTTTTCCTAACTTCTAAGTACTACTATAACTTTTGCAAACGTGTGGTGTGGGTGTGGCTATGATGACAAAAAGAAAGGCAGGTGATGATGCGTTAGAGGGGGGCCATTTATGAGGAGTCATGGACTTCCGTTTGTTAAAGTTCAACCACCAAAGGTAGCTCTGGCATGCATGATGAATTGATGGTGGTGGCCTGGTGGGAACTCCTTTTTCTTATTGTTTTTTGAAAATAAATTGAAAATTTATTGATTATTAATAATCACGTAATTTGTTTTAAAAATATTAAAATTTTAATTTAAATTATTATAATTTAAATGTTAATTATCTCAAGTATCAATAAAGAAATTTTTACTAATTAAGTGACAAATTTTGCATTAGACTATTAACAGTAATAATTATGCTATTTGCAGTTATACACTATATTGGATTTCAATGCAGGAATAGTCTTTTATTTTTGGTTTTTCTTTTCAAGTTTTAAATGTGATAATGATATCTTTAAATTAAAAGTCTCTAGTTTTAACTTTTAATCATTAACCTTTCTTATTTTAGGATTTGATTGATACATTTATTTTTTTGCTTTCAATTAATTTTTTTTTTTTTTTTACATTTGACTTTTTATTAAAAAATAATAAATAAATAAATAAAGCACGAATCAAATGAAATTTTAATTATTATAGTTATTCATTTCAAAGACCATAGGATTGGATGTGACTACTGATTTTATTTTCTTTTATGAATAAACTCAATTTTCATACTTTTGTATACTTAAATATCATGCTCTTACTCAAATAATTTATACTAAAATGTTATTAGCTTTTTTTAGTTTATTAAAATTTTTCATACAATGATGTCTACATTTTCATCTGATCCCTTTGCCCTCAGTTTCAATTGGCAAGACAATAAATATCTACCAATTACACGTGATGTCTATTATCATCCTTTAATCAAAAAGGTTATGAAAGAAAATTTGAGGGTGAATGAAAATTTTAATGGTAGCTAATCTTAATTTTTTTTTTCAAAGTCTGTTCAGTTTGAATCTCTTCTTGACAATAAACTTAAAAAAATCGTTAATTATCATGGAACTTGTTAATAAAATATTAAAATTTTAATCATAATGATTAATATTTTAATTTTGATAAATTTAAATATAAATAAATAAAAATGATTAAAACTGCCAATAAAACATACACTGCTCATGTTTATATCTTCTTAGTTGCAAGTAGTTATATAATTCAATTTCCAACTGAAAATTCGATGCGAAAGGCTTTTGGTTTGCTTTTCATGCAATTTCGAATGACTCGATTTTCATGGTTTTGTTTTTCTAGAAGAAAAAAAAAAAAAAAAGCCGAAAGAATTTGTAATTTGGATCTATGGAGCCTTAGAGGCATCACCAACTTTGACCCAACCGATCAGATAATCTCATAATCCAGTGGGGATGGGAACCACCACTTGTAATCATCTGTTGGGTCCAACCCTTATTCAATGATCGGTAAATAAGCACCGTAGATTTTTCGCATCAAGATATCAAAAGAAACCAAAAATCTTCATTTTAAGTGGATTAGCAGCACAACACATTAACACTCCCTCCTTGTCCTTGTGTATATATAAAGCGAATTTCATATTCTTTTTGAACTTGTTCAAAAGGACCTTCCTCATGGAACCCACCTCTTCCTCCTTGTAAAATTCAAAGCTGTTCAGTTTTCTCTTTCTGTTTGTTTTTTCTTTTAAAGTGGTTTCCGATTCTTCTTAAAATAAGACACATGGCTGCAATTCTTAAGCAAGAAGTTGAAGAAGATGAAGACGCCAGAGCGGTTGATCTCGGCATCAACGGCGGTGGATACGCAGTTGCAGCGTCGAAGAATCCCAAAGAAGAGCCCGACACAGAGACAGCTATAGGCGTGATGCCCATGGAGGTGCACGTGCCGTCAGCTATTCCCATGCCGTTATTGCCGGCACCACCCGCCCCGCCAAAACGAGCGTCCACCAAGGATCGTCACACGAAAGTCGAGGGACGTGGTCGGAGGATCCGAATGCCTGCCACTTGTGCGGCTCGGATCTTTCAGCTAACCCGAGAATTAGGTCACAAGTCGGATGGAGAAACTATCCGCTGGTTATTAGAGCACGCGGAACCAGCGATAATAGCGGCAACAGGAACCGGCACCGTCCCCGCCATCGCTATGTCGGTTAATGGGACCCTTAAAATTCCAACTACCTCCAACGCTAACCCTGAACCCCGTGACCCAAGCAAAAAGAAGCGCAAACGACCCGCTAATAGCGAGTACGTTGATATAAACGACACCATGTCGGTTTCATCTGGTTTGGCCCCTGTAATTACTTCTCAACAACAACTGCAGCAACAACAACAAGCTGTTTTGCCGCAAGGGTTGGTTCCAGTTTGGGCTATACCTTCAAACGCTGTCGTTTCAGGGGCTTTTTTCATGGTTCCATCTATGTCATCCATGGCTGGGCCTTCCACCCAGCCTCATATATTGACATTTCCAGCCACCGCTACACCGTTAATTAACATTTCGGCTAGGCCGATATCGTCGTTTGTATCTACCATACAACATGGTGCAGGTTTAGCAGCAGCAACGCCTGGTCAAATTCAAAGTAACGTAGCAGTTGCGAGTTCTACTCTTCCGGTTTCAAAGACGGTTAAAACGACGTCGGTTATGGCACCGAGTTCGAGTTCTGCCGCTACTACTACGACAACGACTCAGATGCTGAGAGACTTCTCGTTGGAGATTTACGACAAACAAGAGCTTCAATTCATGACTCGATCTTCAAAGCATTGATTGAGAAACATAGTAAGAGTAAAAAAGAAGTTTTTATTACTATGTTTGGGCTCATGCACTTTCATTGGTGTTGGTCCATCCGCCATGTACGAGCAAAAGCAAAGCTAAAGGGGTCTCTCACCCAACCCAAGCGTATAAGGGGTAGAGCACGTGCTCACGTGACGGGAGTTTTAAAGGCGTGCACGTGTATGTGGGGTCGGATTATGCGGAGGTAGGGTCCACATTTGTGGTGGGTCAACACTCAACTAAATAGCAGAAGGAGAGGGCACTCCGTGGACTGTGCAATGCAAAGAGTGGGATTTTTCTTTTTATTTTTTTGAATCTTTTTTTAAAAGAGGGGCCATGGGCCAGCTCATCCCTCTGTCATGTGATGTGGGACGCGGGACCCAATGGGGTGGAGAAAAGTGGACCGCACGGGACCTTTTTGCATTGTTCCCAATATAGCCGCGTAGTGGTCCCGACGGGTTGGTTCGGTGGTCCGACCGAGACATGTGGGCCAAAAGCTTAGTCAGTCTGGCTTTGACACGTGTCGGTATTAGCCTTGCTATTACGGAGCTTCTTTTTACTCATGACACGTGGAAACTTTTTGGTAGGGTCTACGAGATGACTGAAAAATGAATAAATAATGATGATGAACGAAATTGATTCTGGCATCAGATGCTCTTCTCTTATTAGAAATTTCTATTTATTTCTTTTTACTAGTATTAGTTTTAAATGATCTGAAATTTACTTTCAATTATAATATATATATAAGTTTTGTACTTGAAGCATATTACTAGAGCAAGTTAAAGGGAAAAGGTTGAGTTGATTGTTGAATGTAGGTATTTATGGTGGATGAATGGGTAAGGGTATCATTTGCTATTATTATTATATAGTTGTGGATGGCAAGTGACATGTGCTCATCTCATATTTGTATTCTCGACAACCAAAATTTTCTGATGTAATTAATTATGCCCATTCCCATCAAAATCGTTGCCGCATTAGTCAGAAGAGAAAGAAATAATAATAAAAAAAAAGTAGAAAAAAAGATGAGATTCCCTTGCATAGAAATGGAAGTGTTATTATGCCCTAAACTCTTAACATAAAATATTTAGGCACTTTTTTATATAAATTATTTAGTCACATAATTTTCTTACCCATGATGTAAGTTGTTGCCACTAAAATTTAAACAAGTCATCAAAACTACTCAATTATGCCTCTTCCCTTTCATTTTTTTATTTTTTTATGTCTTAAAATTATATTTTTTAATATTTAAAACTTATTTTTATGATTTTTTTTAATTTTTGATATTAAAAATATAAAACTTTACTTTTATAAAAAAATTCAAAATTTTAATATTAAATATATTAAAAAAATTTTCTTAAATTTTTAAAAATTAACGAGACCAAATAATTTGAGAAGGAGGAGTATATAATATGCCTAAAAAACAAAAAACACAAAAGAAGAGGATTATAGATTTTATTTGGTCTTGATCAAGATGATCAACGGTGTAAAAGAATTAAGAAGAGGTGGGTCCCATGGGGATAAGATGTGGGAACAGGTATAGAAGATAACCCATTCCCTCTTCCAGCATATTGTGTCCCCAGTCCTCCACTATTTTGCTTTTTGTGTGCTACATTCCACCAAACACTATACGTCTGTATCCACACTAGAAAGACAGTCTGGATTCAGGTCAGGGATTGTCCACGTGTACGGTTATTTCGAAGTTCAATTAAGTTTCTCTGCGGTCCCACCCCATAGGATTCCTTACGTCATATTTATTCTCAAAAGCTAACCAATGGGCCACAGCCAATAGGCCCAACACCACCAAGTATAAACCAAAACCAACTTGTCAAAGCAAATTTAATGTGTATTATTAGGCATAAAAATAATTTCTCCAAAAAAAATAAAAAGAGCAATTTTTGTCTGAAAGAAGTACAGTGGAAATAGGAGTACGTACAAGTTGAAAGGATTGATTTGATAATGTAATGCCCATGGAAAAACTATACATTAAAATGGGCTTCGAAAAAACCGTATTTATAGTTTTAACTTTGAATAAAATATGGTCATATTGTAAGATTTTCCTGTATGGCAAGAAATGAGCCAACTATGTTTCCTCCTACATCTGGGAAACTTTCACATCCTGGAAGGGGCCTGACCTTACCCTTCCGATCAACTTCAACAGGGTACTTGAGCAAGTGTCCTCTCATCTCTGTCACTTGATCGGCTGCGAATTGTTTCCAGTTCATCTCACCCATTTGCTTAACCCGTCTTACGCATTCTATACTCTCTGGTTGTGTGAAGCAGTCCTCCACAACTCCAAGATGTTCCGCCCATAATGACATCCTATATCCATATATCTATAAACCAAATATTTGCACCGAAAAGAGCACAAAGTTAGGCACCGATGTACGCTGTACATCCGCTGATGCATGTTTGTGTTTCTATGATCTCATGGCTCCTTTAGCAAACAAAGAAATCCAACATTAATATTATGGAATGGAAGGTTACCTGTCCATGTGGATTAGAAAGTTTTCTTGCCCAAGTATGTTGCGGTTGGTAAGCTCCCATTGCAATCTCAGTGTCTCTGGTGCCCTCCATGGAACGTTGATTGATGTTTGCAGACCCCAATATTACATACTCGTCATCAACTATCATACCTTTTGAATGGACATAAATCATAAATCTTCGACTTCTCCGACTAAGAGCCTGGAATGCAATAACAGGGAATACATAGTCAAGAAAAGAACAAAATAAACTATGATTTTGGGAAACTTGAACATTTGATAAACAGAACCTATTTCTCAAATATAGGCAATAAGATGCAAAAATCTTAATGACATTTAACAACAGAGAAGAATACCTGAGGAGTATTTGCAGGACTAGGACTTTCAGGGGCTGAACTTTCAAATCCATCTACCTCACGATTGCCGAGACAGAAGAAATTCAAAAAGTCTTGTGGTGAGAAAGCACCCTCAAGTCCTGCCTCCACCAAAGCCGTGTAAATAGTCTCGTACATCATTTGCATAGTTTTGTGCTGCAACAACAGGAACAATTCAAGACCAATGGCCTTTGAATTTCTAATTCTAAGGTCATGATTCTCAGAGAACCACAACAAGTACAAGAAAAAAAAATGTCTTAATGTTAGAATTGGAGCAAGTTAAACATCAGTGTCCAGTCAAAGTTTGTGTTGAACTTCCTTCAAAGGGCACACTAAATCTTGCTGAACTCTCAATAATGCAAAGTTAATGGTCAAACCCTACCTGCCAAAATAGAATCCTTTGAGTCGCAGCGCCAGTTGGAACACCCTCTGGCCACATTGGAACAACAATATATGCAGCAAACCTCTCATTTGCTTTAATTTTACTGGCAATCTTAAGAGCAATTTCCATTGGAATTAAGTTGTCAGCACCTGCAGTAACAGTGTACGGTTATAATTTTGATTCAGACTATGAACAAATGCCAATTATTCTCATAAAAATTTCCAAAAAAAATCCAATACAAGAAATATCACACAAAGACATGAACAAATAGGACTAGCCAAATGCTCTTATTCTCTTTTATTTTATTTTATTTTTTTGCAAGGAAAACTTAGTTGTTTGGTATGTTATATCTTTGCCTGCTTCCCAATTGTGTTACAATGAGCTATCCACCTTAGCACATGAAGTCAGTGCAAAAGGTTTATAATCTGACTGATATATATGTATGTGTGTGTGTGTGTGTGTGTGTGTGTGTGTGTGTGTGTGTATAACCAGAAAGATTGGTTCTTGATCTTTTTACTATATCTGTTCTACATACGTCCAAGTCCCAGATTTTTACCCTTTCTTATTCAAACGGAAATTAACAATATTGGGGTAATTGTTTAGCCAATATTTACCGACCCAATCTGACTCCATTCATTAACCCTGTAGAACTGCAGAATTCATGCATTCACGCAGACCAAAATTGAAATCCCAAAGCAAGATGTACTAACCATTATTAACTTTCTTACATTAGTCACAAAAGATCATGGTCAGCAAAATGTAATGAATATCAAACTTAAGTGTCTTACCTAAGTCTTTATGAGAGTTCCAATTATGGGAGGATCCAATGAAATACTGATTTTCTATATAAATGAAATGCTGGGCTGCACGAATGGCCTTCACATATGCTGTATGTATGCTCATATCAATAAGTACATTTTTACCACACATCAAATTCTGTCAACAAAAAATGATCCATCAGCTTCTACACAGGAAATCAAAACAAGCTAATTAAGCCAAAAAAGGGAAATCAATAGCAACCTTTTCTTTACCTTGCTTGTGGCATCTTTTGGATCCTTTGGGAAGCCTTTAACAGAATTTGAATCAATTGAGCGAAAAATCTGCATGTTGAAACCCCAAAAAGAATAAATAAAAACATTCCATTTTTCAGAAAAATAAGTACATATGAAAGCTGCTTTTGAAAATCGCATTGGCCAAACAAGATATAGACCTATGACTTGAACGTACCCACCTGACCAACTCATTTATCACTAAAGCCAAGCTCAAGTAGCAAAATTACCTGAACATGCCAAGCTTCAGGATCGTTCTCATTAATGGGAAAATCAGAAACTCCAATAATGTCTGGAATTCTTTCTATCCTCAGCAAAGCATCATCATATGACATTTTTAGTTTTTTAATTCCATGAGGCTTTGCAGCCTTGTACCATCGTTCCTCAAAGTTGACCAGCACATCATATGCAGCTGGGCCATCAATTCTACAGTGTAAGTCATGCCATGGTTCTCTTGGACAACCAGCAACATTACCCTGCTCAAGTAATTAGCAATTAAATAATTAGCTTCTTTGTTGTGATGAAGTACTATTAAAATTGCAGCTACTCAAATATCAGAAAACAAAAGAAAAAGAAAGGTAAGTAGTTACTGTAAACGTTGGGTTATGATAGTCATCCTTGTGCAGTGTTTGTAGTGTCCTAAATATAGGATGATGTGGAGTATCATATCGCCCATCGCATAAGTCAAGGCCACCAAGAAAAGCAATAATTTTTCTTCTATTTCTCCCAGCATCAGCATCCACAATTACAGTTTTCTGATGGTGCGTATAAATTGTTCCAACTTCCTGATAATTGAATACATCAGAAAAAATATAGTGCTTTAGCCAAACATAAGGACAAGGATAACATATAATGAAAAGCTCAACAATCTAGGGATGGCTTAATGAATGGTACCCCTCCTCAGAAGAGTTAAGATCCAAGGTTCCAGTCCCCTTGGACTTCCTCATGTGTACCAACTACCAATAAAAAAACTGATAACTAGAGGTTTAGCTTACACAAAACTGATAGAGGGGGTTTGTTATTTCCATGGCCTATAAAGAAATTATGAATCCATCAAAAAAAAAAAAAAAAAAAGGAAACAAAAACTCTCGAAAGTTGTAGCAGCTTGTTCGCAAACCTTGAACTTCTGAAACAATTAAAATTATACTAGCATAATTAACAAGTAATATCTATAAATGTCATGCATATATTTACACATTCACATTTCACAAAAGCCAGCAACTATATGGTTCAAGTTCATTCACCATCAAATTTAAACAACAAACCCATCAAACTAACACCGAGGAAAATAAAACTCATATCTATATATTCTAACAATCTAGCACCAGCCACTGATGTCAAATAAAATCCAAATTGATGCGGAGAAATTTGTATTGTTAGGAATGCATTGCTTGGGGCAGAAAAAATAAAAAGAAACAGTCATTTACACCTAACCTTTTGTTTGATCCAACTATGTCGTTTTCCAGCAATACGTGGACAAAGTAACACTTGCACTGAGGAGTGTTTGAAAAAACGACGTGTTTCCTCATCATGGGTTTGCATTATTCCATCCTGTATTTGTCAATTTAAAGAGGTTAACATAAAAAACATAATAAGCAAAGCTTTTTAAAATTAAAATAGAAAAGTGATAAATTCTCAAAGATTTGTATGTGTCTTGCTATGGTAGATCAGGGTGCATGCAGAACAACATAGTCAAACTAACTGATATAGTTATTCTCATAGTTCTTTCAGTTAGATGCTCTCCACCATCAACAACAACCAAAGAGCCACTAAGACATGCACTCAAAGTGTGACAAAACACACACACACACACACATACACACACATAAAGAGGACTACATTTGCATACTCTCATTGTCATCATTCATGTTTGCAGATGTCATTTTCTACATAACTTGCCATGCACAATGATCACCATATACTTTTATTAACATTAGGTTTAAGCACTTCATTACATTGAACCTAATTAATTATAAATGAACTTCATATTCAGATAATAAGAAATAAAGTCTCAACTGTACATAGCTGACTGTTAACCCTGAAGCTATAATGTACAACAAATAACATAATCTGATATAAGTTACTCACCGTTTGGTATCCCAAGATGCTTCTTGAAGTAGGATCATCCCATATCAGAAGTAGCACTCTAACTCCTTCCTGGGACTTCGACCTAAGAATATCCCCCAAAGTGCTATCTGAAGCACGACCAGCATCCCGCACCAGCCTAACTTTGTGCCAAACTGACCACCCAGTAATGTAAATCAAGCGCCTAGCTTGACAAATAGCATCAAATATGTCACTCCAACACTTTCCGTGGACATAGGTCATCCCATGGTCAAGTGTCAAGTTTGGAAGGCACCCATCAGGGACATGTGCATCTTGATAAAGAGTCACAGTCCCCCCCTTCCTAAGAGGAAAATATGTGCCAGGAACACCCATATAATCAGGACCTGCTCCGACTCCATGATGATAGAAGCTCAATTTCTCCATTGGCGTGTACTGAATTGATAGTCTCAAGACAGCTCCAGGCTTACAGGGCTTTCCATTATTATTCAGAATTGGGTAGGTTCCCTCAATTTTTTCCCCGGAGTATATCTGCTCCACTGGAATTGGCACAACTCCTATCAACTGTGACCCCACAACATCACTGTCTTTAACAACAAAATGCACTTCAGCAGCGTAATGTGCAACAGGAACATAGAAATGTTGCATCCAGACAGGGTTTTCATTATTGCTAATCACATAAGTCCTTCCCACAACAGCAACTCCAATTGTAATTGTGACATAAGGATCACTTGTAATCTTGTGGTTCATGTGTCCTTCAATCTTGTTGGTAACATTTACAGGTAACCTCCCAAACATATCGCCTAAAGTCTTATGGAACATATCCATGTTGGGAAGATTCTTTGCATCACAAACCCAAATATCTAAATTTCCATGCAGGAGCAAAACTCTCAATGAACCTTTGTGGAAGGGCACAACCTGCGTACTCTGGTTATGTTGTGATCCATCGAATGAACCCGTATGGGAAAAAACAGAGTAATTAGACGAATCCATTCTGCCCAAATAAGGCCCCTCCCATTTACTAGAAAAAGAGTTATTAGGATATCCATAAAAGTCCCCTGGGGTAGCATGCCCATAGACTGGACTTTGTAGCTCAGTTGCTGAAGTAGAAGTGGGCAATAGAGGCCCTGAAGGTGCTGGGGGTGAAGGAGGAGCCGTCGGCCGACTTTCAGACAAATGCACATTACTCAAAAGATCATCCAAAGGCGGATAAGCTGAAGCATGAGATGGGATACTATCTGGATTTGCTCCTAAAGAACTCGTACTTTCATGCCTGTTATGACCAGAGAAGCTATTGTGTCTAGAGTGTAGCTGAGAATTACTTTCAGGAGGAAGGTATTCGGCAGGTTGTTGATAAGGGGAAGATACTTGTGAATTGCTTTCAGGAAGTGGGTAATGACCAGCCAAGGATTGCTGATAAGGGTAAGGAGATGAACCATAGTGAAAACTACCATGATGTTGAATAACAGGTGGAGACGAAGTATGAGGAATTGGATTTGGGGAAACTGGGTATGGATATTGATAAGGAATCGGTCTAGAATGAGAATGTGAATAATCTAAGGGAGCTGAATGAGAGGTTGGGGGTGGATATGGAGGTGATGGGTAAGGGTATTGGGGAGAATTATAAGGATATTGATATGGTGGAGTCGCATATGGATCTTGATTTGGAGATGGGTATCCATGGTGATAAGGGTATGAATATGGATTTTTGTATGAGTAATTATCCATCAACAACCAAATGAAACACTCTTGTATATCAAATTATGGTTCTCTATGATGGTAATCAAATCAAGTGAAAAAAAAGAGGAAACTTTATTTCTTCATACATATAACAAAAAGATGCAGAAGAAATCGAGTTGTGGTTCCCAGTTTCGATGGAAAATTCAACTGTAATAACTGGATTTGAATTATATATATAAAAAAAAAAACCCAAGAAGGAACAAAGAGAACAGAAACGAAAAGAAATGAAAGAATAGAGAAATATAACAAACGGTGTTCTCAGGGCAAAAGAAAAAGAAAGAAACTTTACCTATGGGGATGTTCTTATCATTTAAGAAGGTGAATGATATATCTCTCTCCTCCCGGGATTCTTCAAAGAGAAAAGAAAGGGAAAATGCAAAGAATCTCCTTTAGGTAAAGATCTCTTTCGCGTTGACAACGCTTCGGTGAAGGAAGAAACCAAACATTGTTACGCCCACATTGGACTTTTTCATGTTTCATACTGTTTCACAATGTCTGCGGTAGAAACCAATGACAGGCAATTTAGTTCGTTTTAACCGTGAACGTTAGCAACGTGGTGAGGATTTATTGGTTGGAAGTGATTTGCCGGTTTCACCACGATACGCCAAATTGCCCATAGCTTAAAGTACTGAGTAAGATTATTAATCTTAGAAAATGGGCCAAAATATTATAATAGAATTTGGCCTGTAGTTGATCTACAAATTTAATATAAGTATACATTTATCATATTTTCAATTTGCTTAGACAAAGTCAAGCCAATGACCAACAATTGAGTCGAGGAAGTTAAAACTTGAAAAAAGTAGTAGTTCTTTTAGGTTTGATTATATTGGCAGGATTATATTATAATCGGAGCTTTAATCTAATTAATGAAGTCATAGTATTGAAATAAAAAAAATTATAGGTAATAAAATTTAAATTTCATAATGATATTATTTTTTAAAAGTGATTATAAAAATAATTAAATTAAATTTTTTATTCTCTTTTTTATTTTGAGATAAGATTTATAGTATTTAAATGTTAAAAGTTTGAATTTTTTACATCCATAATTTTTTTAGTTAAAACTTAAGATACAAGCAAAAGTGTGCAAACAAATTATAAAAATGATTACTTTTTATTTTGAGATATAAGATTTATAGTCATTTAAATGATAAAAGTTTAGATTTTTGACATCCTTGAAAATTCTAAGTTGAAACTTAAGATACAAGCAAAAGTATGCAAACAAATTATAAAAAATTATTACAATATATAAGACTGCCTTTCCCTTTATTAATTGTTTTTACGCTTGCTTCTGCTGATTCTTTCACATAAATCATATGTACGATTAGTCTTGAAGACTGTAAATAACAATAGGACTTCTCACAATGTGGCGAGTGCTTTTCCATACAAGTGAAGCTGATAGCACCGTAAATGTAGTGCTTGCCACGGGTTTTGCCTTCACCACAACCTTAAAACTCCGCTTCTGCAAGTGACGAGTGAAGAAGAGACTTGTGGGCTTAACCGTGATTTGCACTCCTTTTGGAGCCTTAATGGTGGCATTGTACACAGATGGAGGACCTACATTGGTCACTCTTCTCCGGAAAACACCTACAGTTGGCTGTTGGCCATTTTCCATATTAAGCTGCATTGATGGGTAGTTAAGAGCATCATAGCCGAATCCAGGAAGAAATGAGGAGCAGTTTATGGATTTTGTACCAACTAAATGTGCTATAGATGATCCACTGTAGCCTTCATGGCATAGGAACTGTATATAAGACATCTCATCCATGTCATAGACAAGGCCAGGGTTTAGGGCTCTGGCAGGATTCAATTGACCAGCTCCGTAGGCAAATTCAGCATCCTTGTTCACCCTTCGGCTCATTGGTTTTGCTTCATAGATTATTAGTATATTGCAAAGAAATGTAAGCCATGATAACATTGAAGTACTGAATTAAGTTAAGAATGATTAACAGGTCCATGTTCTATCTTTACCTGTGGTCATGATTGCAGATTTGATCGCGGCTGGTGACCAAGTAGGGTGAAATGATTTTACATAGGCTGCAACACCGGCAGCATGTGGGCAGGCCATGGAAGTGCCAGACATGAGAGTGAACTTTGAATACTGGGTGTCACCTTTTTGCCCAGTGAGTGACTTCAGAAGGGTGTAGGCCGCCAAGATGTCAACGCCAGGGGCTGCAATATCAGGCTGTATCAGGGTACAGCAGAGACTATTGCTTTAGATATCAAGCTCGTAATGTTAAGTTTCTATGGTTTAAAGACAGAATTCAAAGCTTATACCTTGAGAAGATGCTGTGAGCCTGGATTTGGACCCCGAGATGAAAAGGAAGCAGCAAATGGAGCAGAAACTTTGACTTCCTGGGACCGGTATATGACTGCTGAAGGTGATCTGGCAATCGTCATTTGATACAGAACAGGATATAAGATTCAAGGCATTTAGTGGCAAAAAAGGGCAAGTAACTTTTCCATATGAACATTCTTTAAGGACGCATTTCAGCATTTGTCATTTTCAACAGGGAATCATTTAAGGACACTAATTTCCATACCTTGTAGAATGTATATATTTTTCTATAGTTTCTCCAAGTGTTACATTCACCATGGTCGCTGGAGCCATAAAAATTTGAGCAGTGTCAAGGAATTGCTCACTTCCAACAATAGTGCCTATTCCTCCAATTCCTTTAACAACAGAATCAGCACCCCATTGGCCTAGTCTGCAGTAAACAAGCCTTCCCTTCACCTTGCCGGGATCCAACGAGTTATCATAACAGAACCTGTAATTACAATTAAGCTGTCAGTTTTTTCCCCCTCATAGAAGATTTCTTAGCAAAATGCTTCAAAGAACAAGGTACTACTTTGCATTCTCCTTGCTTTCTGAGTTCATGGCAACATCAGCCCCGCTGACAATGGGGTAAAAGTTTTCCTTTGGCTTAAATGTATCAATCCCAATTCCCTGCTTATCAATACAGTATGAATTTCAAGACAGTATTCAGAAAGGAAAAAAAAAAAAATTAAGAACACATCTGTAATTGATAATAATTTGGCCATGGATATCAAGTATCATACATAAGCTATGGTTCAATTCTCAATTTTAGTTTCTATTTTGTAGTTTTTAATAAAAAATTTCCAAATTTGAAGTGCCATATAACAATTTTTTTTTTATTGATAATATTAGTAATGTCTTGACCAGATGCATATCCAACTTACCGAGAAACTTTCTCCATTACCCAACTTGACTATGCTCCTAAACTGTCGGTCAATCCCACTGGCTGCCACAGTAAGAAGCCATGGGGAATGGTTAGAAACAGAACCCAAGTTCGGACCTTCATTTCCAGCAGAAACCAAAGTAATAATTCCCTTCTTCAGGGCATGAAATGCACCAACTGATATGGAATCTGTCACATAATCCTGGGTCGCCCCACCAATAGATATTGATAAAACATCCACACCATCACTAGTAGCATCGTCCAATGCAGCAAGAATGTCCATATCGGCACATCCTGAGCTGACCCAGCACACTTTGTACACGGCTATCCTAGCTGATGGCACTGCACCACGAGCAGTGCCTTTGGCTAGCCCATAAAGACTTGCATTTCGAACTAGGTTACCTGCTAGTGTTGATGAGGTGTGGGTGCCATGACCATCCACATCTATTGGTGATAAAATGTCATCTGGGTCGGGGTTGCCATCAAGCTTGAAGTATTTAGCCCCAATAATCTTTCTTTAGAACCCAATCAAGGTGGTCCAAGAAAAAGAATAACAAACATTAAACCATGATAAATTTTTATTTCCAGAGAATTAAATTGCTAACGCCTAATGATATGTTTTCACAAAATTAGAAGGAAAAAAATCAAGCTGGCGACTTAAGAACGATCATTTCTATTTTTTTTTTTTTAATTTCTTCAAAAAACGCGTTTTATTAACTATTGAAACAGACTGGGAGCACTTTCACATTTAAACAGACATTACTTGGTATTCCAGAAATTAGTTTCAAATTTATTATGCCAATTCACTCATTTGTGCAATTGATTTGCAGCAAAAGAGGAAACCAAACTGCAGAATTATGCTGTTTTCAACTAATTCGTGACCAGTTATATTCAAAGAGGACATGGCTTTTACCTGTTGCATCCTGAGAAATTTGCAAAATGACCGCATGTTCCATTCCATTTGGAGGGTGGTGGACCAAGTCCGTCATCCTTAAAGCTCTCTGACTGAGGAGTGATACCTGTCAGTACAGCATATTTGAAGATTGTTTTGGGCCATCATGGTGTTAAAACATGGTGACTAACTGAATAAAAAAAGAAAAATTTTCTCAACCTGTATCAAGTAGACCCACAATAATGTTTCTCTCCAACTTCAAGTTTCTTCTAGCTGTTAGAGGAAGTCCAATGAAGTCCCATGATTTTGTTGTGTGTACCTTGTGATACCGATTTGGAAACACAGAAGCCACTTCATCCAGTTCTAAACATTTCAAAGGCAATTTAAGCAAATCTTATTGTCAAAAAAAGGGAAATTAAATGAACAAATATGAAAAAATTTTAGAACCCTTTAACATTTCGGCTTCATCTTTGGATAGCTTGGCTGCAAAGGCATTGAAGCTCTTTGTGTAGCTGTAAACAATGGACTCTTTGGCATCATGTTCACTGTTCAAAATAAATTTGAAAGATTCCCACATTAAAACCCATGGTGGTAGCTTGAATTTCAGAAATTTCTTGCTGACTGATATTAAGTTTCAAACCAGGAACATAAGGTTTAACCAAAAGATGTCTAAGAAAATTCTCTTTTCATATGTGATTCAGATGCATGCATGTTTCAGCAATTTTCAAATAGTGTAACTTACCTTCCCTTGACAGAGGAGAGAAGGCCTATGTGGGTTTGGACTGCAGAGTCGTTGCTCCCTGGACTATCTCCCAAGTAAACAATATAAAAATTCTGTCACATTAAACACTTATAATTACTGTCACAAACTAAACAATCGGTTAAACAAGACATAAACAAAAGGAGAATGCACCTTCGTTTCTTCTCCAGATGCAACAATGCTCAAAATTATCAAAATCAAAAGAAGAAGAAGATGATGATGATGATGATGATAGGTAAGAGCCGAACAAAGAAATCTCACTTTCGCCATGCTAACAGGTTTTCAGGATTTCCCCTGTTAGCTTCATCAAGCTCTAGCAATATGCTTTATATAAGAAAAACATTTAAGGCCATCGACGGGTTTAGCTGGAATGACAACAATAACAAAATGGCTAATGGGTGAGAACAACAAGAGTATATTGCACTTCTTAAGCTCAACAAAATTTTAGGAGGGCAATAGAATGGGGAGCCTTAAAAGAAAGACAACAAAATTCTGGTACAATATGTGGATTAGTCAATGTCACATTTAGCTTGCGATTGCTTCTTTTGTTGTGACAGGGATGAAACATGTTCCTGTTTTTATAATCTCACCACTAGTCACCACTCTCCATGATTTTGTAAAACTTCTATGACAAAAAATGAGCTCTATAATAAATAGGCCATGCTAGAATTTCTTATTTCATGATGAGAGGCAAGCTTAATTACAGTTTCAAATGATCCATTTTCAGTTTGTAATTGGCTTGATAATCTGCTTAAGGGCTATAGTATATATTAGGGGTGTAATCAAGTCAATACATTGCTAAGTTTGAGCTTGGCTCGATTCAAAACCTTGAAGCTGGAATGATACTTGTTGATCAAAATGTTGTCTTGGGCAAAGGCATAATTTGAGTTTGTGGACCACTTTCAGTTAATATCAAAGATTGACAGTTGCTTGAAAACAAAGGGCACATCGACATCGAGAACCCTTTTGCCTTAATTTCCAATTCAAGCAATTACAAGCTTTCAGAATCAAATAAAATGAGTATAATCGAGAGTAGCTTTAGGCTTCCTAAAGAGATTTTTTAACTCAAAATTACTCTGCTTTGCTTATCTTACAATGTTTACCCTCTCCTTTTTTGGCAAAAAAACCTCTCCTTTCAAAAAAAAAACCAAAACCCTGGTAATATGAAAACATGCAAAATTTGAAGATTTTATGAAATTACCAATTTACCCAAAGTAAAATCCGACCGGACAACCTTGAACCCTACTCCATAGTATCTTTATGTCTTCGAATATAATGAGCTTCCCATGCTATGGTGTACTGTATCTCATGTACATGTTTCGTATTGGCTATTGATTGACATAATATCACGTACTAGTTTTTTTTCTTATATATGAATTGATGTATTATATACGCAAATAACTATGAGATATTTACTCTTGTCAAGGATTTTGAATAACTATTGCAGGATAAAACATTTGGAAAGATCATCCAGAGGCATGGTGGTACACTTATATTGTACAGAGGCCAGAATTATAATCGCAAGAAAAGGCCTGTAATTCCCTTAATGTTGTGGAAACCTAAGGAACCTGTTTATCCCAGGTTGATTAAAACTACTATTGATGGTCCACATATTGAGGAAACAAAAGAAATGAGAAAGAGAGGACTGTCCGTTCCTGCTCTGATAAAACTTGGTACTATTTTTTTCTTTGGCTTCTGGTGTTTGGTATGTTTTTATTTGGTTATTTATTGCAAATTAAATTTGCAGCCAAGATTGGTTATCATGGTAGTCTGGTACCCGTGGTCATAGAAGCTTTTCTTGTTGGCGAGCTGATGCGTATAGACTGCACAGGACTTGAAAGAAGTGATCACAAGAAAATAGGCTGCAAACTCAGGGTAAATGCTATATTTCTTTTTAAAGATATATTTTAACTTTGTTTGCTGAAGGGACTGACAGTCTGATACTGTATCTGATCTGCTTACTACCATAAACATGCTTTCTTTCCCATTATATTCAAGAACCCCTGAGCTTTCAGTCTTAGTATACATATCTGCATTTTTAATAGCTTTGTGGGTTTTTTTATGTGGAGGGAGATAAACCTACCATTCGACATTGTCTGGTTAGCAAACCTTCCATAAAGAGATTTGCAAAGGAAAAGAAAGAACAAGTTAAGTTGCCCTTGGTTCCTTGCATTCACATATTAGCATTTTATTCTGGAAAAAATTATGGAGTTCGCACTGCTTCAATGACAATGCTATTGACAGGAACTGAAAATTGGAGAATATGAGATGTTTTTTTCTTCATCCTCTAAAAGGACCTTTCTGGTCCTGTGCACTTGTAATGCTTTTCAATGTTTAATTAATTAGCCAACTTTAATTTTCATACAGGACCTGGTTCCTTGTATCCCTGTGGCATTTGAAAAAGATCAGATTGTGGTATGGACGGGAAAACACGATAAGTGTCATGAGTCAACTTTGTTAAGGGTCATGACCAGGCTTAAGTTATCATGAGTCACCCATGTATAAGGTCATAATCGGGTAGAGGTGTCAAGGGGGAAGGGTAGATCTTTTGTGCTAAAAAAAATGTCCACATTTCAAACATTATAACGGTTAGTGGTAGCATAGCTCTAAAATCTCATTTGCTTTTTAAAAGGGGTGAGCAGTCGGTGTATTGTTGGATTGCCTCATTGGTTAAGGTATGTGCTAGGCCACCCGTTAAGGGCTGCCCCTCTGGCCCTGACGATGGTGAGAAGTCTTGATGTACTATTCTCGATATTAATAAAATAATTCTTTTATTCGAAAGTCCTAAGTGTTGCCTCGATGTGTTTTCTTTTCTCTTGATATGAATATGCTTACTTGTGTATGCTTGAGATTAACTTGTAGCTTGTTGTTGACTGTTCAGATATCGAGCTATCCTTGGCTAACTTGGGTGGAAGCGTCCATTCAAATGTCATACGGTCTATCACTTTATTGAGAGAGAGCTTAGCTCATGACACGTGGTATTAGAGCACGGTTGAGAAAGTGCTAGAGAATTGATGAAATGGTCATGAGTGGTGGACCCGATTATTAATAGAGACTTGAGAAGCTTGAAGCCACGGTGGCCGCTTTAAAAGCTTATGTGACGACCAATGATTGACTGAGGGAGATCGAGACAACCCAGCGGGAGTTGTCCGATACTTTACATAGCTTAAGCGAGGAGGCTAGAGATACCTTGAATGTTTTCCAAAAGGAGTTTGAGGAGCTCAGAGCACAAGTGAGCATCCTACAGATGGCTGTGGCCAGATCGAGTTCTAGCCCAACGAAAAGGAAAAAAAAAGCCAATATGTCGGAGCCTCGATGCTATGAAGGGGCGAGAGATGCAAATAGCTTGAAAACTTCCTGTTTGACATGGAGCAATACTTTCGAGCTGTACACATGAATTTAGAGGAAGATAAGGTACCAATGGCATCGATGTACCTTATAAAGGATGCCAAGCTATGGTCGTGTTCAAAGTTTGTCAACGATGAGTGCTTGATTAAAACTTGGGAGAATCTGAAACAAGATTTGAAAAACCAGTTCTTCCTTAAAAATGTGGAATATATGGCCGAAAGGAAACTTTGAGAATTGGTGCAAACGGAAACAATGCGAGAGTTTATAAAGAGTTTTTCTACCCTGATGTTGGATATTAGAGATATGTCCGAAAAGGATAAGATGTTCTATTTCTTTGAGGGCTTCAAGCCTTGGGCCAAGACAGAACTACAAAGATAAAAAGTACAAGATATGGCCATGGCCTGCAGTCAAACGTCTTCATGATTATAATGATGGCTCTTCAAAACGAAAAAATCTTTCATCACGTGGTAGTAACTTCAACTTTGGGAGTGAAAGAAAGATGATCAGAGTGGACCAACCCTTTAGTGGGGGACCAGATAGGAGGCCCTTTGGTTGAGACAACACCCAACCCAAGATAAATAATGCAGTGATTTTCAAACCCAAGCAACTGTTAGCTTGCTTTTTATGCAAGAGGTCGCATCGGGTGGCTGAATGCCCACACAGAGAAGCCCTTAATGCCTTAAGAGCCTAATCTTAAAAGTCCACAAAAGCACTAGAGATAGTCAAAGAAGTTAAAAAGGAGCCAGCTGAGATGGGTTCAATAAGGTTCCTCAATACCCTCCCCACCCAACTCTACATGATAAAAAAAAAGCAGGGTAGAGGCCTAAGTTATGTGGACCTAATACTCAACGAGAAGACCATAAGGGCCATGATAGACATGGGTGCAACTGACACTTTCATCACACCAAAGGAAGCAAAAAGGTGTGGTTTCAAGGTCAATAAGGAATGTGGGCAAATAAAAGTGATTAATTTGCCAGCCTTTACGATCAGTGAAAGCTTCAAAAGTGTGATGACCAAGTTAGGGCCATGAAAAGGAAATGTAAACTTTACAGTTACCCCAATGGATGACTTTGATGTTGTCCTCGGATTGGACTTTATGATGTTGGCTCAGGTGATCCCAATCCCCACCACTAGTTGTCTATTGTTTTTAAGGAAACATCCATGTGTGGTGTCGACCACTATCTTGTCGAAGAATGGGAAGAAAATGATTTCAACTTTACAATTCAAAAAAGGGGTAAAGAGAGGAGAACCCTCATTTGTGACCATATTGATTTACAAAGAAGGGATGGAGTCGAAACCGATACCTGATGGGATGAACAAGGTGTTGGAAGAGTTCAAAGGTGTGATGCCAAGAAAATTGCCTAAGGTCTTACCCCTTCAAAGATCGGTGGACCATGAAATTAAGCTCCTCTTAAGAGTCAAACCTTCTGCTAGAGCCCTTTACTTCATGGCCCCGTTAGAGTTGGCTGAACTAAGGAAACAGTTAGACGAGCTTGTACAAACCGAGTTTATTAGGCCATCGAAGGTACCTTTTGAAGCACCCGTGCTATTTTAGATGAAGCATGATAAAAACTTACGATTATGTGTAAACTACAGGGCCCTAAACAAAGTCACCGTGAAAAAAAATATCCCATCCCTCTTATTACAGATTTGTTTGATCAACTAAGTCGGGTCAAGTACTTTTCCAAATTAGACTTGAGATCTGACTATCATCAGGTCAAAATTACAGAGGGAGATAAGCCAAAAATCACTTGTGTAACGTAATATGATGCATTTGAATTTCTTATTATGCCTTTTGGACTGACTAATGCTCCTGTCACATTTTGTACATTGATGAATCAAGTATTCCATGAGTATCTTGACAAATTTGTAGTTATCTATTTAGATGACATAATGGTATATAGCTTTACTTTGGAAGAACACCAAGAACACTTGCGTATCATGCTTCGAAGATTACAAGATTATCAGTTGTATGTGAAAAAAGAAAAATGTGCATTTGCCCAAACCCAAATTCACTTTTTAGGTCACATGGCCATAAAAAATGTTAAAGCTATCAAGGAGTGGACTACATCGAAAAATGTTAGTGAACTCTGCTCATTTTTAAGATTAACCAATTATTATAGAAGATTTATAGAGTGATACTCTCGCAAGACTATAGCCCTCATAGAACTATTGAAAAATGAGCATAAATGATGTTGGACAAGCGAGTGTGAAGAGGCTTTTGAAGAATTGAAAGAAGTATTATGAAAGACCCTGTTTTAGCTCTTTCGAACCTCGAAAAGCCTTTCAAAATTCAAACGGATGCATCTGATTTTGCTATTAGGGGAGTGCTTTTACAAGAACTTCACCCAATAGCATTTGAAAGTAGAAAGCTAAGCAAAGCTGAAAGGAAATATACGGTTTAGAAAAAAGAACTATTGACGGTAATTCATTGTCTAAGGACTTGACGACATTATTTGTTGGGTTCACACTTTGTCGTGAAGATGAACAATGCGGCATCTAGCCATTTTTTCACCCAACCAAGGCTCATAGCGAAGTAAACTAGATGGCAAAAATTTTTAGCTGAGCTTGACTTTTGTTTTGAGCACACCGCTAGAAAGATTAATCAAGTGATCGATGCATTGAGCAAACGAGTAGAGTTAGCAGCCCTTAAGAGAATTACCCCAATGACAGCTAGTAAAGTTACGACAGACGTTCGCAAGCTAGTTGAAGATAATTTAGGAAATGACCCACAGGCTAGTGTCATCCTGAGTTAGTTGAAAGGGAAGTTTAAGTTCTTCTAACGGGAGAACGAGGTCTTGTGGACAAAGGGCTCTCGATTGTTTGTGCCAATGGCAGGAGGTCTGAGATAGATATTGATGAGGGAATGCCATGACAGTAGGACACTCGGGTTGATAACGCACTTTGACTTTATTAAAATAAAGATACTATTGGCCTTACATGCAGTAAGATGTGATGGACTATACAAAGACTTACCTCATTTGCCAACAAGATAAAGTTAAAAAAAAAAACTTACAGGCATGCTTGAACCACTATCGGTGCTCGCTAGACCGTGGAAAAGTATCGTTTTTGACTTCATCTCGAGTCTACCCAAAGTTGGTGATCTTGAGGCTATTTTGGTGGTGATCGACCGTTTCTCAAAGTATGCCACATTCATCTCCACCCAAAAGTATTGTACTGTAAAAGACACAGCTTGGTTACTGTTTAAACATGTGATCAAATATTGGAGCCTTCCTCAAACCATTGTAAGCGACAGGGATCCAAGATTCATGAGGTCCTTATGGAGAGAACTTTTCAAGATATTGGGGTCTCAACTCAACATCTCTTTAAGCTACCACCCTCAAACCGACAACTAAACTGAACAGTTCAATGGGTTACTGGAAGAATACTTAAGGCACTTCGTTCAAGCCAATTAGAAAGACTGGCCTTCATTATTAAACGTCGTTCAGCTTTCTTTTAATTTCAACAAGAGCTCTTCCACTAACAAGAGTCCGTTGGAGGTGGTCACTGGACAACTACAAAGGCTACGCTATTCGTCCCTGGAGCAATATGGAAAGAAGAATCTACGAGCCTCTAACCTCGACAAAGAATGGAAACAAAACACAGAGATTACATAAGCTTACTTGGAGAAAGCATTGAAGCGAATGAAGAAATGGGCAGACAAGGGTCACAGGGTGCTACGATTCCAAGTTGGTGATTTGATTCTTGTCCGACTAATCCTAGAACAAACCAGGTTCTTGAGAAAGTGAGATCGTAGATTAGTGTACAAATATGAAAGTCCAGTGAAGATCCTTTCCAAGGTAGGAAACACTTTTACAAAATCGACCCACCAAAGTGGATGAAGGTGCACTCAGTATTTTATGTGAAGACGCTAGCCGTAGGGAGTCAACCAGGGCCGTCATCACCATGAAGCTGCCATCACCATGTCGGGTTGAAGAGATCCTAGCTGACAGGAAAATCAGAGTATATCAAAGACTAGTACATGAATACTTAGTGAAGTGAGAGGGATTAAGACTAGAAGAAACTAGTTGGGAAAGAGACCATGGCCTCCGGGCATTCAAGAGGAAGATTGAAGAATTTCAAGCCAACAAGTCAATGAGAACGTCGATAGAATTGGTGGGAGAAGATGTTATGAGCCAACCTTGTATAGGGCCATGACAGGGCTTAGGTTGTCATGAGCCACCCATGTATAGGGCCATGATCGGGTAAAGGTGCTAAAGGGGAAGGGTAGATCTTTTGTGCTAGAAAAAAATCTCCATTTCAAACATTGTAACGGTTAGTGATAACATAGCTCTAAAATCTCATTTGTTCTTTAGAAGGGGTGAGCAGTCGGCATATTGTTGAGTTACCTCACTGGTTAAGGTATGTGCTAGGCCACCCGTCAAAGACTGCCCCTCTGGCCTCGACGATGGTGGAAAGTTTCGATGTACTATTCTTGATAGTAATAAAATATTTTTTTTATTCAAAAGTTTCGAGTGTTGTCTCGATGTATTTTTTTTTCTCTCGATATGAATGTGTCTATTTGTGTATGCTTGAAATTAACTTGTGACTTATTATTACCTGTTCAGATATCGAGTTATCTTTGATTGATTTTGGTGAAAACGTTTATTCAAGTACCACATGATCTATCATTTTATTGAGAGAGAGCTTAGCCCATGACAATAAGCCTCCATGGGATGGGCATTTCTTCACCAATCGAGCATTGTTTGATGGCCCAAGTTGTGATGTGCAGAGATATGGTAGCTCCGATGAGAGTAATGATCAATAGGTCTTCATCTGTATTGTATGTTTTCCCCGAATTTAATTACTTATGTCTTCTCACTTATCTGAGAAATGAAAAGGTGGAAATTATCCAATCAAGACCTTGCAAATGCACATAGACTCTTTAGGATTCTCACAACTTCAAAGCAGATTGTAAATCGTTGCACATGCTCTGTATTTTTCAGAGTTTAGATCTGGAATATAATGCCATCAAGCAAGATTGCGTCTTGTTTTTTCATGTTTAATGGCATTTTGTCTTAACTTTCACTCTTTCCCCTTGCATTCAGTAGTTATTTATTTTCTCTAAATAATTTGTTAAAAAAAATCCAACTGCTAGGAGATTAGTGCTAAATGCCAACTCACTGTACAAGCTATGCCCGTTTTGTGCAAAAAGTTTCCTGTGAAGTTCATGTGGTTGAGATTTGCATCGACAATGGTTCAGGGTCTAATAATCCTGTTTGAACATTATTGAACTAGTTTTGGTTCTAACTTGTTTGTCTGTTCTCTAAGGCATAAGTTTATGCTTTTTTATGCAAAAACCAGATAATGGAAGCCACAAGAAATCTCAATTAAAGTTATTGGAATGTCAAAATAATTCCCCTAGTCCGTTCATATTGGCATGTCGGCGACAAAGGAAATGGACTTCATTTTGTTTGTCATTTTAGCATTTGGAGCTTAGGAAAGAAGAAAAGATTGTGTGGTCTGTCATTTTAGCCTATCTCAGGTCCCCCTTAAATATCATGGAACAGATTGCAAAACAAGTGCCACCTCATTGGGCAGAGGTTGAACACGTTTCCCCCTCTTCCCAATCTATTAGTGGTTGATCCCAGATCAGGAGTCACTTTGCCATTGGTTGGAAGTTGGACCCCGCAGGCAACAACGTAAATGTATGTCAGGATTGCTGTTCTGTTCTTGAATTTACTCCTTGTCTTGAAAAAAAGGGTTAGCCTTAACAATACTCTCCTTGACTTTACTCCTTGTCTCGAAAAAAAGGGTTAGCCTTAACAATTCTCTCCACTCTTCTCGGGTAATGGAGTAATAGTACTGAATCCTGCTGGGTATTGCAATTAATATTAAAAAAAAAAAGACACGTGCAAATCACATGGCCAATAATATAAAAACTACACCTTTTTATTTTTTATTTATTTATTTATTTATTTTTAACTTATTTTAGTCGGAACCAAACAAATTCAACTCCACCACGTAAACCCCAATTCCACTGTCCGTCGCTCTCCGCTTAATCTTCTTCCAAGCTCACACCTGCAAAACCCTTCAAAGAAAACCAAAGATAGGTTTTTTTTTTTTCTTAAGAAAGTAATTTCCACTGGTTATCTTCTTTGATTCAGTGGAATGGCGGAGCATGATCTAACATCACCGCTTCTCTCTCCTCGATCGTCCGATCAACCCCAAACTGTTCTCACCATCCACGACGACGAAAACTTCGAACCCTCGGAACCGTCATCTAATCAACAATCTTCCACCGGAACCCGCTTTCCTCATCACAGCCAAATCAACAACGAGAACGGCCAAGTCAACTCTCCGAATCCCTACGAGTTTCTCGGGTCTGACGGGTTCTCGGTTCCGGCACCGACCACCGTTGATCCGTTTCGAAACGGGACGCCGTTTATTTCCGGGGCTTACGAAGTAATAAAGATCGTGCTGTGTTTGCCAATTGCTTTAGCGAGATTGGTCCTGTTTGGGGCATGTTTGGCTGTAGGTTATATCGCGACCAGGATAGCGTTGGAAGGGTGGAAGGATAAGCAAAATTCACTGCCCAAATGGAGGTCTAGAATCATGTGGGTCACCAGGATTTGCGCTCGCTTTATTCTATTCTCTTTCGGGTAAGTTACGAAAAATCAAAACCACTTACTCCTGAGTTGAAAATTTCTATTTAGTTTACTATGGTTGAATCTTGCAGCTATCAGTGGATTAGAAGAAAAGGAAAACCAGCTCCTAGGGAGATTGCCCCAATTGCTGTATCCAATCATGTATCGTATATTGAACCCATTTTTTATTTCTATGAATTATTTCCGACAATCGTTGCGTCAGAGTCCCATGACTCCATACCCTTTGTTGGAACTATTATTAGAGCAATGCAGGTAATCTAAAATCTTAATTTTGATAATCTATTTATATAGTTGGTACTTGCTTCATGCCTGTATTGAGCTCCTCTTTTGCGTTCGTAGGTGATATATGTTAATAGATTCTCACCAGCATCAAGAAAGAATGCTGTAAATGAAATAAAGGTAGAAAGTTTCAATGAAATTTGTGTTTTGGCTTGGTTGGCATTGTTGTTTGGAAACTTGTTAAAGTTGAGGAATGAAAACTATAGAAATGTTTAATCATATATGAATTTAAGTTAATTCTAATGACGTAAATTTACATGATTTTTATCAATTTATAAGCTATTTGATACAGAAATGTGCTTTCAAGGATCTGAATACAGAGAAGGGCTTCATGTGATACATTTCCTAGACTGCTACTATTTCCTGAGGGAACCACGACTAATGGGAGGGTCCTTATTTCATTTCAACTTGGTGCATTCATTCCTGGTTACCCAATTCAACCCGTAATTGTTCGTTATCCCCATGTACACTTTGATCAATCTTGGTAGGATTTGATTTTTATTGTGAAAACTTCCTTTCTTTTTTTGTTCTTTTTTTTTCTCCATGCACTTTCTAAATACTTTTGGTGTTCGCTTGTTTAGGGGGTTTATTTCTTTGGCTAGGCTTATGTTTAGAATGTTTACTCAGTTTCATAATTTTATGGAGGTATGTCATCAGCTTATTTAATTCAAATTTTCAGTGATATGTTCCACAGTTCAGCAAATTTATGCTCTATCTAAATCTAGTTCACAAATTTCTTAATTGACAGGTAGAATATCTCCCTACCATTATGCCCCCTGATCATCAAAAACAAAATGCTGTCCGCTTTGCTGAGAGGGTGAGTCTCTGCTTGTTATCGATCTACTTTTGTTACATTTTCTGCCCTTTAATGTGTTTATTTTTAGTTTTTAAACAGCAAACACCAGTGTACGTACTATTGAAATTTGCTGGAAATTTTGTATTTTGATAGCTAAGAAACTTTAGTCTCAATATATCCCGGTTCTTGTGTATCTTTACATATATGTTTAAGTAGTCTGTATTTTTTTGTTTTTCCTTGTGATGTTGGATTTTGTAGATTATTGATTAGTTTATATGTGTCTGTGGGCAGACTGGTCAAGCTATGGCAAGTGCTCTCAATGTTATACAAACATCTCATTCCTATGGGGATTTAATGCTCCTCATGAAAGCCGCTCAGCTACAACGGGTGTGTGCTCTTCTCAGTGATTGTTTTTGAACTTTTAAATAGATGAAAACTGAGTTAACTTTGTGAGAAATTTCCATGATATGTGATTCATCTTGAAGTGCAATGGTGAGACAATTTGCTTCTTTTGTAATAAAGTAATTGGAAATGAAGCCTGTAGAAACTTGGTACTTGTGGAAAATAAAGATTTTTAGTTAAGATATAACATCAAGAAGATTTTCAATTGTGATTTAGTAAATTACATATGCTAGAAGAGTCATTATTAAGCCTTCTTTTACATTTCTTAAGTGCAGAAATTTGCTTTTTTTTTTTTTTTTTTAACTAATGTATTCCTTATCTTGAAGAGCAAATGGTCTTCACTAATTTTGGATTTGCTATATTTACTAAGAGTATTGTAGCTGTAGCATACTTAGGCATACGTCCATGTTTTCATAAAATTTATATGGAGATTGGCGGTATAGAATAAAAAACAAGATGGAGAAGATACTACGTTTAGTTTAGCATTATTATTTAAATTAATCAGCATTACTCCTTGTCAGTGGATTATCAATGTAGGAGCAAGTATATTGACTAGTCAATTAATTCCTAGTACATTTTCTGACAATATTGGCTACACCTCCTTTCTGGAAAAATTGCTGGTAATGAACAGCCTGGAATCCGAATATTTTGTGTTAATTTTATGCAGAGATTTGAACCTGATTGTCCTTTTATATTTTTTGCTAATAGTTGTTTTAACATAAATTTTGCAGGAAAAGCCCTGGAGTTATATGGTTGAAATGGCTAGGATTGAATCAGTGAGTTAGGCGTTGAAATTCTTCACGTTTGAAACATATTCGTATTCTTGTCTTCCATGGAAATACATTTGTATTTTGAAGTTGATTTAACCTTGTCTACATTGATTTCTAAAATGATGCTTACTCCTGTGTTTTTCTCCATTCTCTTTCTTAATAAACCATTTTATCTCATGTTGCAGTTATATCATATGAGCAGCTTGGAGACTGTGGACTTTCTGGATAAGTTTCTTTCCATGAATCCAGACACCAGGTATTGCTAAAGCATTTATGATGAGATAAAATATTCTTTTCTTGTTATTGAGTAAACCGAGAGTAGCTGATGCTAGACTTGTAGAACCAGACCTCTAATTCAGAAACACTGAAGGGTATTTGTTCCTTTATTTTTCTATGAATTTTTTATGTTTTGTACCACACCTCCTTTTGCAGCGGTTCTGTTAAACTTCATGATTTTTTGAGGGTTCTGCAACTAAAGGCTTGTACACTTTCTGAAGAGGTCAGTTGCCCTTACCCTGTCTGTTGATGTTTGAATATGGTTTGCTTTTATGTATTTTCTTAATATTTGCTTGTTGTCATGACATTTTTTACTTTCTCTTGTATTGTGATTATCTTCTTAAATACAGATTTTTGGGTTCCTTGATGTGGAGAAGAATGGATCAATTACATTTAAGCAGGTAGCTCAACTGCCCATTATTACCTGAGGACGGATTTTCTAATTCTGTTTGTGTCTTCATGTTAGCATCATGCTTTAGTGTTTTGCTACCTGACCAAGAGCATGGCAGCATATTTTTGTGGACTCACTGCTTTTCCTATTCAAGAAATGATTCATGAATTGTTGGACTTGTCACCTCCTCTTCCACTTCCTCTTCAGTGTTGCCACTACTGCTAATGCTGCACTATATTGCATTTAGTTATCAAATTTTAGTGGTCTGCTGATGTCCCAGTACTAATGTAAAATTTAGGAGCAGATACACAGATAATAACTCTTGGAGGCATACTTTTCTTGCTGATAATCCTTGCATAGTCTTTTCCATTCATTTTTTGGATTTCTCTTGCAGATGAATCTCACTACATCTTTTAGTATTTGGTTGCCTTACAAAACAGAATGTAAACAAAAAAACTATTCCTTGTCATTTTAAATCTTGTTCTATGTTTTATATATTCACTGCTCGCTAGGTTTTCTAAGCATCTGAATTCTCTTTGATGTTCGTGCCTGATTTCCATATGGAAATTTTACCTGAATTTTGGTCCAAATACACCTTAAGCAAATTTTGCTTCCATAGATGGCTCACGATAGAGTTTTCCGTTCTTCCTGGCAGTTCTTATTTGGATCAGCTCATGTTATGAAGCAGCCACTATTCAGGCAAGCCTGTGAACTAGCCTTTTTTGAATGTGATGCAGAGGGAGATAACTACTGTATGGAGAAAGAAGTACGTTGTTCTTTCTTTCCTTTCCATTAGTTTGTACTTGCTCATTTTCATCATTTTTGACCTTTGTGCATTTATGCTCAGAACATTAACTCTTTTTTTCATTTCTGCTTTTGGATCAGTTGGCAGATATTCTCAGACACGCAATTCCAGATTTGAACGAAGATGAGGTAAAAAAACAAAACAATAAAGATTGTTTGTGAAATTAGTACGTTTTTGGTTATCATTTCGGACTTTGATGCAACCTATGTGACACTGGCTATTTGTAGGTCCATGGGCTGTTCAAATTATTTGACACTGACAATGATGGGAGAATCAGCAGAGATGATTTCTGTTCCTGCCTGAGGAAGAATCCTTTGCTGATAGCATTGTTCTCACCCAGATTTCTGCATAAAGACATATCAAAAGCTGGTGATAGGACGGTGGAGGAGATTGTATGATTGGTGGTTGGGCCGTGCCGTGCCGTTTTCCATGACAATAGATAGATTTTTGTTACTCTGCTTGTTGGGTTTTCTTGAGATGGAAGAGGGGGAAGGGATTTTCAGCTTATTATAGTCAGAAATATATGGGCCTAATTTTTCTTTTAATCTTTGCCCATTATGTTTCTCACATTACATGAACCAATACTTCTGTCTCTTAAATGTATGGGTTTGTACTTATATTTGTTTCACTCTTTTTGTGCCATTAATTTAAAACTAAATCTTAGTAAAGTAATTAAGAATACTACTTTACTTTGAATTAATATTTATCATCATAGATTAATTGGTATGTACGTTTGTATAATGAAGTTAGAACAATGGTTTTATTATCTTATTCAAAGTGTGGATGTAACAGGGGTGTGAATTAATTACAGTTGGCGTGGATTGGATATCACATATTGGGAAAGGATCTTTTTCCAATACATGACATCGGAATAAAAATAAATATAATAATAAAATCAAAATAAATGATGAGAATTTTCCTTTTTCTCCTATCTTTTAACCGGCAGAGAAGATTGTTGTTAACTATTGCCTTATTCTTGGTAAAGTATTAATTTTTTTAATTTAAGTGATAAGATTTAATTTTAATAATTTTAAATATGAAAAAAATAAACAACTCCAAAACATTTAATTAAATTTAAAGAAATTATCATATTTATTTACAATAAAATTTTTAGATTTCATATGTGTCTTTAAGATTTTGTGGATACCGAACCTACCATAATAAAAATTTTCCATGACTTTTTGTGCTTTGGAGTTACATTTGTTTGCTCGATTTGATTATCTTTGAAAATTAGTTAATTTCGTTATTTCTTCTTAAACCTTTTTTTTTCCAGAACTTTGTTTCACAAATACTACAATTTTGAAGCCAGATTTTTAAGGTTTATTGGCACCCAATCTTCCCACTTCGGGAGCAATCTGCAAAAGAATCTATGTTGTAAACTTTTCATTGCATTTGCACCCACCAAATTATCATTTCATTTCTTCAAAACAAACAAAAGTTGAGAGGTGAAAATTCTGTTTTCAAATTCAGAGAGAAAATCCCAACTTTGATATCCCTTTTCCTTCCTTGTCTCTTTAAGCACACAGTTCCCCCATTCTTGCTTCCGGTATAAATGTCACATCTAACTTTGTTTTTCGTACAGGGACCACCCAGGACCCTATTTATCATGTCGGTTAATACATTACAGTAGAGCAAATATGAACAGTGTCACCATTTATAAAGGAATCAGCATTTCAATATTATTGGAGGATCACCGATCATTAAAACCAGACATTTGAGAATTGTGATACTCACAAGTTTGTTAGAAATTAGGGTCGTTAAGGTTCTCTTTTACAGAACCCATAACTTTTTCTTTTTCCTTCATTGAACAACATTGCATTGTTGCTGTAATAGAAAATTTCATTGAACCCCGATGCTGATGGGATTAAAAATATGAAAGGAAGCCGAAGCATGGCACGCTTTGTGTGTGGTACCCTAGTAGCAGACAGCCTTGTGTTGTCGAGTTCTGAAGTGAAATAGAGAGGAAATGCCACCCAATTCTGGGCCAATTCCCACAAACGGCAAAAAAAATATAAAAGAAAGAAGACCCATTAAAAACTTGAAAAAAGTTTTCAATTAAAGAAAGAGGGAAACTATATATGGTGAAATATACCTCCTTGGAACAGATTCTTACCTAAAAATGAAAAAACAAAAGAAGTTTCAAAGGAGAAAAATCCTGGTACTAAAATCCCAAGGCCAATAATCTCTGACTAGCTCGCCCCACAAAAGAAGAGGCCAAAATTCAATGGGGTCTCACCTCAAATTTATTTATGAAGTAACATGAAGGTTGAGGGGGGTGTCATGAGCTTCAATTCTTTTGTCTGTTTCTTTTGGGGGGGGGGGGGTTTGGCAAGAAAAGTGATTATCAGCACTTTCTGAGTTTTCGAAACCTGATTGGTAGGATGTGTCCGGAATTGTACGGAAGATGTTGACGTCTTTCTAACATTGTACCAATTTAAACTTGGAACTGTTTCCTTTTTCTGTTTTTAACGTCAACTGCAAAATAAAGGAGAAAAAAAAAGCTCCTCTAATCTTGTCCACCGAGTTGGTTTCTCTTTCTCTCTCTTTTTTAGAAAATTTTTTTTTCCTTTTTCATGTAAGTTCTGCATTTTGGGTTTTGTATTATTAGTTTACCAAAACAAGCAAAGGATGAGGTTTCAAACAAAAGTCTTTTAATTTTATTTTATACAAATATGTTCTCCGTTTTTTCACCTATGTTGTAGATGGAGTATTTTGTTTTTTCTTTACATGGGTGTGGGGTTTGAGGAAGCAAGAGAAAGCTAAAGGAAAGATGAATAAGGAAAGGCCGATGTGTATGGGTTTGGGTTTTTTTTCTTCTTTTTTTTTTTGCTTTAGTGGTTACTAAAAAAGGGACTGCCGAAATATATCAATCACAATAAAAAATTCTAATCTTGGGTCTTCTGGGTGTTCTTCACGACAATCAGATTTTCTTAATTTTCTTCCTTTTTTTGGTTTCCTTCTTTTTTAAGCTTTCTGGGTTTTTTCGTAAGTAAGGCGAAGTTTGATGATCTCCTTTTTCACGTTTACTTTTTTAAAGCTGTGTTTTAAATGTTTATTGGATTCTTGGTGTAATCAGAACAGTTTACAGTTTATACAAAAGAACATTTTGCCTTGTTTTGTCTTGTTTTCATTGAAGCAATCAAACCAAACCACAGCATATCCCTCAGTTTACTCATCTTGGCTTACAACTCTCTATTATTTCTCAGTTTTCTTGGCTTCTTTGTCCTCTAACATCGTTAAAAAGAAAACAAAAAAGGGCTCTCTGGGTTTTACTCGGTTGGGTTTCTTGTTTACGTTGAAGTATTGCTCATTTACACTCTTAATTTGCTTCCTTTAGCTTCTGGGGAACTGCTTTTTCTTTTCGTGGGGAAGTGAACTTTCTTGCTATGTGTTATGTTTTCTTAGTGTTTTTGCTGCTTTGAATTGATGATAGCTTCAGTTTTTTTGCTTGAAGGTGCGGAGATGGTGAGAGGAAAGACTCAAATGAGGCGCATAGAGAACGCCACAAGCAGGCAAGTGACCTTCTCTAAGCGGCGAAGTGGGTTGCTAAAGAAGGCTTTTGAGCTATCAGTCCTTTGTGACGCTGAGGTTGCTCTTATAATTTTCTCCCCGAGAGGCAAGCTCTATGAATTTGCAAGTTCTAGGTACATGATCAGTTTTGCGTTTTTAATACCACTCACTATAGCACTAACACCGGTCCTGGTAATTTTTGCCTCCCACCTTCTCTAACTCTAAATGAATATAACAATTTTCTTGTATGCAATCAAGCCACTTCTTTTTTTCTTTTCAAATTTCATATTTTTTCAGTATATATCTAGGGTTGTTTAATCTGACAAAAACTCTCTCGGTTAAAACCCATCCATAGTAAGTTAGATTTTAGTGAGGAGATGTTTTCATTTTTTTAGTGACAATATTAGGTAAACATCTTAAATTTACCTTGTGATTATGCTCGAAATGAAAGTATTACTAAGATTTAAAATGTCTATGATTTTATTTCATTATATTTTATCCAAAACCGTTAATGTTTCTTTTTATTTTTTTTATTTTTTTCATTTGAAGTCATACTCTCTTTCTAAAAATTTATTTTCTCTTTCTAAAACTAAATCAATTCTCTCTCTAAATCCACAAACGCCAGTCTTTAAATCACCGTAAAATATCTATTTTACTGACAACAAACAAGAAGCTGCCAAGAATTGAATCAATCCAAAAAGCCAAATTCCACAACACAAGTAATAAAGAATTCACCAACAAAGCCTCAACAGAACAACTCAGAAACAAAAGCAGAATTCTAACAAACAGCCTTAGAGAAAAATCTACAATAAAGAGTTCAATCACAGAAATAAAAAATTATCACTTAGACAAGAGCACAGAAAATTGCAACAACAAAATATATTAAATTATGAGATTGAGGGTTCAGTCTCTTGGGATTTATATTTATAAACAGAGGAAAGAAACATTGGTGATGTAAAGGAGTAGAAAAAGAAATCCTTATTAGTCTCAGTAAGATAATAGACAGTGGTGGAGGTAGCGGGTTGTTACTAGTTTTTGGATTTTTTAGTTCTACTGGTTTAGTGTTGTTTTTGAGAGTTTGAAGGTGATGAAGAAGTTTAGAAAATGATAGCAATTTTTATTTAATGCTTTGATCTAGGCTTGTACTGGAGACTTAAGAAATTCTAAAGGAGACTTAAGAAATTCTAAAGGAAGAAGAAAGGGAAAAGAGAAAAAGAGGATTTGTTTGGAGTTTTTCAAGACTGCTAAATAGCGCATAGTGAGTGGATGGTGAGAGGCAAGGTGAATCAACACCAATTTCTGGGTTGTGAATTTTTTTGTTTAAGGTTTGAAAATTTAAAAAGATGGGAGTGTGAAGAGTTTTTTGGTGGTTTAAAGGTTGTTGTAGATTGGTTTGGATTTAGAGAGAGAAAATAAATTTAGAGAGAGAGAGTATGAATTCAGGTAAAAAAATAAAAATAAATAAAAAGAAACAAAAAAAGTAATGATTTTGGATAAAAAATAATAAAACAAATCATAGGATAATTAAGTATTACATTTTTAACCTCAAGGGTACTTTCATTTCGGCTTTAACCATAGGATATATTTCTAAATTTATCCTCTTTTTAATGAATGATCACAGAGAAAAAAAGTGACAAGATGAATTTTTCTTGGACTCGGATAAAGTGCCATTCAATGTTTCATAGAATTGAGGTTGTCTTATGGGATAAAACTTATTGAAATCTTTTAAGTGAATTTATGAAATTTTTTTAAAAAATGATTTAATAAAAAATTTAATAAAATATTCAAATCAATAAATTAATGGAGTTCATTGTGAAGATGAATAATAAAGAAAGAAATTATTAAAAATATTATTTATAATTTGAATTTATTGATACTTATTCCTAGATAAAAATTGTCAACATTTTTACTAAAAATGTTTATCTAAATATATATACATATAAATTTATTAATTTTTTTTCAAAATTTACATACTTAATTTATATAACGAGACCTTTCAATTTATCAGTTTTGATTTTTTATTTTAATTTTATTTAATCGTTTCTAATAAATAACTTCATGAACTTCACATAAACAACTTCATAATCTTTCCTTTCCTTACTTCTACTTCATTCTTCATGTGAGGTGTCCGAGAATCAGATTAAACAAAAAAATAAATAAATAAAGAACTTGGGTATTAATTTTATGCAAGAAATAACAGCATAGTGACAAAAATACAGGCTTATTACTAACAAAATGAAAGTGAAAACCAACCTTTATCTTCTCAAAAAAGATAACTCTTTCTTTCTTCTGCCATATCCATAAAAAAAGGTACAATCTCTGGTAACCTATTTTGTGAGAAGGTATTATTTGTTTTCATCAGGTGCTGTTATTAACTTTGGTTATATAGAAACATTCTTGAATGTAAATGGCACTATTTTCACTTTCAAGAGTGTTACTATTGTTTCTTGCCAAAGTAGGTTAGCACAATAGATTTGAAACTTGGTCAATTTCCTGAAGTAGAAGGGTGCCTTGAAGTGATGTGGGAATCCATGTGCTATTATATTGGAGTCACATCTTCGTCCCCATCCAAACCCACTGATGTTCTAGAAGTTGAAAAGAAAAAAAGTTAATCATACCAACTATCTAAAGTTAAGCTAATTTGTCTCCTATAGTATTGATTGATTCAACTGCAATCACCACCACATTTTGATAATATCATACCATTTTGATCTTATGATATAAATCCTGCTAACCTGTTATTTTAAATGAACTGATTTTGATAATATCTAAGATGATCATATGATGTAACATGAATAAAGAAAATTATAGCCTAATGTAATTCATGTAGGATGAGACACTTGATGGATAATAGTTATATCCTAATATCCCAATTCCCATCATTTTTCAGACAAGACAGCCAGTGTTATTTTACATCAGAATAAACCTTTTCATCTAATTTCTTGAAGATCAATGCATTTATACAACTATATATGATTATTGTTGAAAATGCTTATGGTATGCTTTATGGCTAGATAATTTCTTTTCTTTTTCTTTTTGAAATTTACGGCAAAGGTAAAATACTTCCCTTGGAAAATTTTTTCTCTTTTATTATTTTGCAGAAATGCTTAAAGATTTTTAATAAAAGGCATGAAGATGTTTGGGTGACTCTACTAGAATCTTGTGGCCTCTACTACATAACATGGATGTTATTTCTTTAATTTGGTTCCATAGTTGAAAGCACATTTGATTTGAGGAAAATTTTGAAGCAAAACATTTTTAGTTTTTCCTAATGAAACTTTGCTTACTAATTGTATGGTTTCTAGCTAGTTGTAAGCTTTCAATACTTGGAGTAGTACTTTTTACTATGAAAGAAGAGATGAATTGATTTTATTGCTATTGGATTTCATTCTTTAGCATGCAGGAGACGATAGAACGTTACATGAGGCATACGAAGGATAATCGAACCACACCAACTGAACAAAACATGCAGGTTAGGATTTCTCTAGCTTTGATGAATCCTTTTTTCTTTTCATATCAAATTTTCATGGATATATTTGATGTCCTAATGGTGGTTTTTTCTCTAATTATGAGGCGGGAAAATTTTGTATTCCGTACCCCAACCCGTTAGGAAACAAATGTTGTAACATCTTCCTTACCCATTTCCCTCCTCCACATTTTTCAAGATGGACTGATATTGATAGCTTGAAACATACCAACATAACAATAAATAAATTTAAAAACCAAAATCATTTCACCAATTAGCATGGAATTGTATGCATCTCTCGTTCTCTTTTTGTGTATATATTAGCTGGTTGGTACCCTTTATTGCGACAATATGAGCCATAGCACAAGCAGTTTGGATTGGCTATGATCTGTTTTTATCTGTTACTACACAGCATAGCATCATATTGATTAGGAGTCTTGTTTCTTGTTTTTCTCGTGCACATTGACTGAAACGACAGCATCTGAAGACTGAATCAGCAAACATGGTGAAGAAAATAGAGCTTCTTCAAGTTTCAAGACGGTATTAGGCCTAGTTTAAGATTCATTTTCCCCCAAATTTTGCTGCTAGTCGTTTCTTTTACATTGAAATACTGAACTGAGATTTTGAAACTTGAGTCTGAAATGCCTCAGGAAACTACTAGGAGAGTGTTTGGGTTCTTGCACGCTAGAAGAACTACAACAGATAGAACAACAGTTGGAAAGGAGCGTGAGCCGCGTAAGAGCTAGAAAGGTTGACTATGGGAACTATTAATATGGAGTTTTCTCAACCTTTTATACAAAGAAAACTAAACATGTTAATTCTTGTCTACTTTTCAGACACAAGTTTTCAAGGAACAGATAGAGCAATTGAAAGAAAAGGTAAGCCTTGAGGCTGGGCAATCTCAATAACATGTTGAGACCTCAAACATGAATCAGAAAAATTAGCGTATCTAAATAAAGTTATCGAGTCTTCCGGCAATGGACAGGGAATCAGTAGCATACGGTGACTAGCTGATTGCTAACAACTGTCTTACTTTTTTTGGCCAAAATTCAGGAGAAAGTCCTAGCTGCGGAAAATGCAAGGCTTTGTGAGAAGGTAAGCCTTTGCTATCCGTAACACTTAAAGAGTCAGACAGGAAAATGAGAGGGATTTGGATAGATTACAAGCTTCCTTTTGAATATCTTTTGATACAACTGTCTGCATAATTGTTCATCTCAGTGTGGTACACAGCCATGGAAAGGATCAAACGAGAAGAAAGAGAATGTACCATATGATGAAAGCAATCCATGTTCGAACGTGGAGACTGAATTGTTCATTGGACTACCAGAAGGGAGAACAAAACGCACCCTGCAACACAACTGATTGATGACAACTCATTCCACCCTTTGCAAATATGAATACAAGGCAGAAAGTTCACATATTAAGCATCCAGTTTGTTTGCATTAGATTCAAATAAAATTCATATCAGCAGATGTATGGTAATTGTAAAACTAGTTGTTGGAAAAATATCCTAGAGCATGACTCGTTATATGAATATATCCTTATTTTTTACCTGTTATTGAATGCTCTAAGATTAAAAATCAATTTAATGTCTGTTAAGTTTTTATTAAAAAAAAAAAAAAGATTTGTTCATTTGAAGTATTCAAAATAATATTTATTTATTAATAATTTGAGTTAATTGAATTATTATTATTTTTTGGTTTTTAAGGGAGGTAGAGTTCTAAGAACGAGGGAGAGAAGCTGGGTTCGAATTTTAGCTTTGATGTCTTCTTGAAAGCTTTCTCGGCGGTATTCCAAGAAGCTGAAGACGAGGTAATTGATTTATGTCAAAGTCTTGTAATAATTGTTAAGAAACTGAGTCCGTGGGTCAGAACTAGGTGGTGGATTAGATGGGCCCAAATGTGATAAGGGCCATGATCTTGCCTCGTCAGCACATGCCACGGCCCACGAGAGAGCCTATAAGTAATATCTTCAAAATCTTCAGCTCAATTGCTCAGAAGTGTTGGGCTATAATGAATGAAGAGTTACAGTACAACGCCTGAAACCGATATAAATGGTAAAATTAGATTTTTGTTTTTGCCTTCTTTAAATCCATTTTAAATGGAGACTATGCGTTGGAATAAACATTTTATTATTACTATTAAACCAAATATTAAAAAAATGAAGAGTTTATTTGCAAGTCCAATTAAGGGTCCAATCATAACATATATATTGATACGGTGAGATTTTTTTAATTAAATTTCTAAATGATCGTAAATTTATTTTGAAAATAAGATATAACTTTTTTTCTTATATTGGAAAAAAGGAATTTGAGATTGGATTTTTTTTTTCTACAATGTTTGTGTTTGTCATCAACACTTTTCATTTTCAAATTAACATTATTAATAGAAGCGATCTCTAAAAGAAGAACACGAATCCAAGTAAAAATTGCTACCTAACAAATCTTTCAAATAAATCAAGACTGAAATATGTAAAACAAAGAAGATTTTAAGTAAATGAAGTAAAAATATACTTATATATATATATAATTATGTACCAAATTCACTGAGAGATTTACAAGACCAAAAATCATATATATATATATATATATAGTAAGTTTAAGGCTACTGCTCCATAATCAAATTAAATAACCTATATATATATATATATATATATATAGAGAGAGAGAGAGAGAGAGAGAGAGAGAGAGAGGAGAGTTACAGTTAGCCTACAAAACAATCGTGAAGGCTCAAATGTTTTAGTACTTGAAATATAACAGTAACAAGCTATATATATATATATATATATATATATATCCCAGTTAGAGGAGGAATGCTCCTTTAAATTTCAAGCATTCTGATGTTGTACATTTCATAATGCTCTATACAGAAATCCTAATACAAAAACAAGAGACAAAATCACAATATATATATGTATATATTTATAGTTATGTTTTGAATTGGAGAGGGCTCAAATGACCCATCCGTGGAAGAAGTTGGTCTCACCAGTCATGCTTTTGGGGACTGACGATCCTTCAGCCTGAACGTAGTCATGGTACCTGATAAAACAGAAGTCACTCAGAAGCTTTCTTCTTCCAGATTTCATTTTACTTCAAACCAACTTCTTAAACAAAGAGTAACATGAAAAAGCATTTCTGATGAGCTTTAACATTGAATCGCTTGCAATGTGATGGTTTTCTTTCTCATGGTCAAATTTATCATAAGATCTAGTCCCATTAGTTGGTATCAAGAAACAACCAACTATTGTCATATATATTCAAGTTTAATCACTTAAAGGTACCTATGAAAGCATTGAAGAAGTGATGCCACCTTGATTACCTATAAATTTGGGTGAAGGTTCCTGTTTAAACACTAAATTTATACCTTCAACTTTGCTAAATAGACTGTATTTGTTGTGGAATTTAGAAATATCTTGATGGTGTTCCAGAAGCAGACAATAATCAATATGAACTTATGGATCCATATATTTGGGGGGAAAAAAGTGCAAGAGATCCAAATATATTCATTGTACCCTATCTGTAAAACTGGCTCATGGTCACATTCCACAGGATGGTTTGAGAGGATGCCAGAGGAAAGTTGCTATTTTCTGCTGCTACAGCAGAACTCCAAAGCCTTGGATTGTTTTGAAGTTCTGTCCTTCTGCCTCAAATTGAAAAGGCAAAATACAGAGAAATATTAGGACGGTACAACCGTAGAATAACATTGCACATGGAGAAGAATAGATGAAGTTCAAAAGTGCAAACAGATGTTTGCTAATCAAGGTTAACCTTGATTTTGAGCTGTTTGTTAAGGTCTCCAAGATGACGCTCCTACCAAAAGATGAAAAACAGCTGTTAAACATGAGTTCTGAAACCAAAACTTTGTTGTAAACTCAGCATTAAGGAGAAATATTTGAGGTGGCAATTGCAATAACCAAAAGAGTAGGGGAGGATACTCTAGACATCAAGAAAGAAAAAGAATTTCAGAGATAAACTAAAGAAATTAAGCATGATCCAGGTTTGCAAGGAATAGGATAATTCAGATGAAAGGTCATATAGGTACATTCATGACAATGGGTATCATATCTTGGTAAAATTTCACCATTAATAATTTCTTTAGTTCGCTGATATCATGTGTTTAGAAGGTTGAATTAATGATACCTGGTTGGTGAATTCTAAGAAACTTCATCATAATTCAAAGAAATTGATATGTAATTTAAGAAAAAGGAAATTGCCAAGCATATTTGAAGAAACTGCATCCTAAGTCTCAACAACACGAAAATTAAGTCTTCTCACTCGCTTAAGTACCTTTTTGCGGAGGTCTTCCATTTGTTCTATCATAATCTGTGTCTGCAGTTATAAGAACAAAAAGAAGCACCATATATCATACATTTATAACATTTCAGAGGTTAAAAAAAAAAAACAATACATTTGTTTTCCATTTCTTAGAAGAGGTAAATTTAGAAGATTGAGAATCTGATTTTTTTCAGAACATTGGTTCAAAGAAATAGGACACAGCTTAAAAATTTTTAATTTCAACTATTCCACAATGTAAGAAACCTTGTGAAACAAACTTAGTAGGGCTTCTTTCTTTGAGAATCACTCATCAAAAAAGTTTATTGCAGACTAAAGTTCTAAACAAAAGACGTGGAGATGAAGGTGCCTTCCTTTGTCTAGCCAGTGCAAGAGCTCCTTCAAGCTGCTTCTCAAGGTTTTGCAGCTCTTTCACATTCAATGGTCCAAGATCTTCTCCAAGCAAATGCCTGATATAATTAAACATATAATGAATTATGAATGAATGTTAGTATGGCTGATAATTACTTTTCATCTAGTCAATAAAACATATCGAAACCACCTAGAATGCAACTAAGTAATTAATAATTTCATGGTTTGAACTAAGAAAGGACACAAATAATTTTAATTTAAGTGATAAGATTTAATTTTAATAATTTTAAATATGAAAAAAATTTTAAAGAAATTATCATATTTATTTACAATAAAATTTTAGATTTCATATGTGTCTTTGAGATTTTGTGTATGCCAGTCTACCATAATAAAAATTTTCCATGACATTTTATGCTTTGGAGTTGCATTTGTTTGCTCGATCTGATTATCTTTGAAAATTAGTTAATTTCGTTATTTCTTCTTAAACCTTTTTTTTTCCAGAACTTTGTTTCACAAATACTACAATTTTGAAGCCAGATTTTTAATGTTTATTTGCACCCAATCTTCCCACTTTGGGAGCAATCTGCAAAAGAATCATGCTGTAAACTCTTCATTGCATTTGCACCCACCAAATTATCATTTCATTTCTTCAAAACAAACAAAAGTTGAGAGGTGAAAATTCTGTTTTAAAATCCAGAGAGAAAATCCCAACTTTGATACCCCTTTCCCTTCCTTGTCTCTTTAAGCACACAGTTCCCCCATTCTTGCTTCCGGTATAAATGTCACGTCTAACTTTGTTTTTCGTACAGGGACCACCCAGGACCCTATTTATCATGTTGGTTAATACATTACAGTAGGGCAAATATGAACAGCGTCGCCATTTATAAAGGAGTCAACATTTCAATATTATTGGAGGATCACCGATCATTAAAACTAGACATTTGAGAATTGTGAAACTCACAAGTTTCTTAGAAATTAGGGTCGTTAAGGTTCTCTTCTACAGAACCCACAACTTTTTCTTTTTTCTTCATTGAACAACATTGCATTGTTGCTGTAATAGAAAATTTCATTGAACCCCGATGCTGATGGGATTAAAAAAATGAAAGGAAGCCGAAGCATGGCACGCTTTGTGTGTGTGGTACCCTAATAGCAGACCTCAGCCTTGTTTGTCGAGTTCTGAAGTGAAATGGAGAGGAAATGCCACCCAATTCTAGGCCAATTCCCACAAACGGCAAAAAATATATAAAAGAAAGAAAACCCATTAAAAACTTGAAGAAAGTTTTCAATTAAAGAAAGAGGGAAACTATATATGGAGAAATATACCTCCTTGGAACCGATTCTTACCTAAAAATGAAAAAACAAAAGAAGTTTCAAAGGAGAAAAAACCTGGTACTAAAATCCCAAGGCCAATAATCTCTGACTAGCCCGCCCCACAAAAGCAGACGCCAAAATTCAATGTGGTCTTACCTCAAATTTATTTATGAAGTAACATGAAGGTTGAGGAGGGGTGCTATGAGCTTCTATAGTTTTGTCTGTTTCTTTTGGGGGGGTTTTTGACAAGAAAAGTGATTATCAGCTCTTTCTGAGTTTTCGAAACCTGATTGGTTTGATGTGTACGGAATTGTACGGAAGATGTTGACGTCTTTCTAACATTTTACCAATTTAAACTTGGAACTGTTTTCTTTTGCTCTTTTTAACTTCAACTGCAAAATAAAGGAGAAAAAAAAAATGATTCTCTAAACTTTTCCACCGAGTTGGTTTCTCTTTCTCTCTCTTTTTTAGTAATTTTCTTTTTCCTTTTTCATGTGAGTTCTGCTTTTTGGGTTTTGTATTATTAGTTTACCAAAACAAGCAAAAGATGAGGTTTCAAACAAAAGTCTTTTAATTTTATTTTATACAAATATGTTCTCCGTTTTTTCACCTATGTTGTAGATGGAGTATTTTGTTTTTTCTTTACATGGGTGTGCGGTTTGAGGAAGCAAGAGAAAGCTAAAGGAAAGATGAATAAGGAAAGGCTGATGTGTGTGCGTTTGGGTTTTTTTTTTTTTTTTTCCTTCTTTAGTGGTTACTAAAAAAAGGACTACCGAAATATATCAATCACAATAAAAATTTCTAATCTTGGGTCTTCTGGTGTTCTTCACAACCATCAGATTTTCTTAGTTTTCTTCCTTTTTTTGGTTTCCTTCTTCTTTAAGCTTTCTGGGTTTTTTGTTAAGTAAGGCGAAGTTTGATGATCTCCTTTTTCACGTTTACTTTTTTAAAGCTGTGTTTTAAATGTTTATTGGATTTTTGGTGTAATCAGAACAGTTTACAGTTTATACAAAAGAACATTTTGTCTTGTTGTGTCTTGTTTTCATTGAAGCAATCAAACCAAACCACAGCATATCCCTCAGTTTACTCATCTTGGCTTACAAATCTCTATTATTTCTCAGTTTTCTTGGCTTCTTTGTCCTCTAACATCGTTAAAAAAAAAAAAAAAAGGGCTCCCTCGGTTTTACTCGGTTTGGGTTTCTTGTTTACGTTGAAGTATTGCTCATTTACACTCTTAATTTGCTTCCTTTAGCTTCTGGGGAACTGCTTTTTCTTTTCGTGGGGAAGTGAACTTTCTTGCTATGTGTTATGTTTTCTTAGTGTTTTTGCTGCTTTGAATTGATGATAGCTTCAGTTTTTTTGCTTGAAGGTGCGGAGATGGTGAGAGGAAAGACTCAAATGAGGCGCATAGAGAACGCCGCAAGCAGGCAAGTGACCTTCTTTAAGCGGCGAAATGGGTTGCTAAAGAAGGCTTTTGAGCTATCAGTTCTTTGTGACGCTGAGGTTGCTCTTATAATTTTCTCCCCGAGAGGCAAGCTCTATGAATTTGCAAGTTCTAGGTACATGATCAGTTTTGCATTTTTAATACCACTCACTTTAGCACTAGCACCGGTCTAATTCTAAATGAATATTACAAATTTCTTGTATGCGATCAAACCACTTCTTTTCTTGTTTTCAAATTTCATATTTTTTCGTTATATACCTAGGGTTGTTTAATCTGATAGAAACTCTCTCGGTTAAAACCCTCCCATAGTAAGTTAGATTTTAGCGAGGAGATGTTTTCATTTTTTTAGTGAAAATATTAGGTAAACTTCTCAAATATATCTTGTGATTATGCTCGAAATGAAAGTATTATTAAGATTTAAAATATGATACTTAAGTACCTATGATTTATTTCATTGTATTTTTATCCAAAACCGTTACATTTTGTTGTTTTTTTTTTTAATTTTTTTATCTGAATTCATATTATCTTTCTAAAAATTTATTTTCTCTCTTTAAAACTAAATCAATTCTCTCTCTAAATCCACAAACAACAACCTTTAAACCACCATAAAATATCTATTTTACTGTCAAGAATTGAATCAATCCAAAAAGCCAATTCAACAACACAAGTAGTAAAGAATTCACCAACAAAGCCTTAACAGAACAACAAAGCCTCAACAGAACAACTCAAAAACAAAACCAGAATTCCAACAAACAGCCTTAGAGAAAAATCCACAATAAAAAATTCAATCACAGCAATAAAAAATTATCACCTAGACAATAATACAAAAAATTGCAACAACAAAATATATAAAATTATGAGATTTAGGGTTCAGTCTCTTGGGATTTATACTTATAAACAGAGGAAAGAAACATTGCTGATGTAAAGGAGTAGAAAAAGAAGTCCTAAGTGGTCTTAGTAAGGTAATAGACAACGATGGAGGTAGTGGGTTGTTACTAGTTTTTGGGTTTTTTAGTTCTGTTGGTTTGGTGTTGTTTTTGAGAGTTTGAAAGTGATGGAGAAGTTTAGAAAGTGATAGCAATTTTTATTTAGTGCTTTGATCTAAACTTTTGTTAGAGACTTAAGAAATTCTAAAAGAAGAAGAAAAGGAAGAGAGAAGAAGAGGATTTGTTTGGAGTTTTTGAAAACTGCTAAATAGCGCACTGTGAGTGGATGGCCAGAGGCAAGGTGAATCAACACCAATTTTTGGGTTATGAAATTTTTGGTTTAAGGTTTGGAAATTTAAAAATATGAGAATGTGAAGAGTTTTATGGTGTTTGAAGGTGGCTGTAGATTGGTTTAGATTTAGAGAGAGAAAATAAATTTTTAGAGAGAGAAAAAGAATGAATTTAGGTGAAAAAAATAAAAATAAATAAATAAAAGAGAAAAAATAACGATTTTGGGTAAAAAATAATAAAACAAATCATAAGGTAGTTAAGTATTATATTTTTAACCTTAAGGGGTGCTTTCTTTTCGGCTTTAACTATAGGGTATATTTTTAAATTTTTCCTATTTTTATTGAATGATCACAAAGAAAGAAAGTGACAAGATGAATGTTTCTTGGACTTGGTTAAAGTGTCATTCAATGTTTCATACAATAGAGGTTGTCTTATGGGATAAAACTTATAGAAATCTTTTAAGTGAATTTATCAAGTTCTTTTTTAAAAATGATTTAATAAAAATTTTAATAAAAAATTCAAATCGATAAATTGATCGAGTTTAATGTGAAGATGAATAATATGGAAAGAAATTATTAAAAATATTATTTATAATTTGAATTTGATTGATACTTATTTCTAGATAAAAATTTTGTCAATATTTTTACTAAAAATGTTTATCCAAAAATATATATATATAAATTTATTAATTTTTTTTCAATTTTTACATACTTGATTTATATAATGAGACCTTTCAATTTATCAGTTTCAATTTTTTATTTTAATTTTATTTAATCGTTTCTAATAAATAACTTCATGAACTTCACCTAAACAACTTCATAGTCTTTCGTTGCTTTACTTCTACTTCATTCTTCATGTGGGGTGTCGAGAGTCAGATTAAACAAAAAAATAAATAAATAAAGAGCTTGGGTATTAAATTTATGCAAGAAATAACAGCATAGTGACTAAAATGAAGGCTTATTACTAACAAAATGAAAGTGAAAACCAACATCTATCTTCTCAAAAAAAGATAACTCTTTCTCTCTTCTGCCATATCCATAAAAAAAGGTACAATCTCTGGTAACCTATTTTGTGAGGGGTATTATCTGTTTTCATCAGGTGCTGTTATTAACTTTGGTTATATAGAGACATTCTTGAATGTAAATGGCACTATTTTCACTTTCAAGAGTGTTACTATTGTTTCTTACCAAGGCAGGTTGGCACCATAGATTTGTAACTTGGGTAATTTCCTGAAGTAGAAGGGTGCCTTGAAGTGATTTGGGAATCCATGTGCTATTATATTGGAGTCACATCCTCGTCCCCATCCAAACCCACTGTTGTTCTAAGAAGTTGGAAAGAAAAAGTGTTAATCATACCAACTATCTAAAGTTAAGTTAATTTGTCTCCTATAGTACTGATTGATTACCACCACATTTTGATAATATCATACCATTTTGATCTTATGATATAAATCCTGCTAACCTGTTATTGTAAATGAACTGATTTTGATAATATCTAAGATGATCATATGATGTAACATGGATAAAGAAAATTATATCCTAATGTAATTCACGTAGGATGAGACACTTGATGGATAGTAGTTATATCCTAATATCCCAATTCCCATCATTCTTCAGACAAGACAGTCAGTGTTATTTTACATCAGAATCAACTTATTCATCTAATTTCTTGAAGATCGATGCATTTATACAACTATATATGATTATTGTTGAAAATGCTTATGACATGCTTTATGGCTAGATAATTTCTTTTCTTTTTCTTTTTTAAATTTAGGGCAAAGTTAAAATACTTTCCTTGGAATATTTTTTTCCCTTTTATTATTTTGCAGAAATGCTTAAAGATTGTTTAATAAAAGGCATGAAGATATTTGGGTGACTCTACTAGAATTTTGTGGCCTCTACTACAGCACATGGATGTTATTTCTTTAATTTGGTTCCATAGTAGAAAGCACATTTGATTTGAGGAAAATTTTGAAGCAAAACATTTTTAGTTTTTCCTAATGAAACTTTGCTTACTAATTGTATGGTTTCTAGCTAGTTGTAAGCTTTCAATACTTGGAGTAGTACTTTTACTATGAAAGAAGAGATGAATTGATTTTATTGCTATTGGATTTCATTCTTTAGCATGCAGGAGACGATAGAACGTTACATGAGGCATACGAAGGATAATCGAACCACACCAACTGAACAAAACATGCAGGTTAGGATTTCTCTAGCTTTGATGAATCCTTTTTTCTTTTCATATCAAATTTTCATGGATATATTTGATGCCCTAACGGTGGTTTTTCTCTAATTATGAGGCGGGAAAATTTTGTATTCCGTACCCCAACCCCTTAGGAAACAAATGTTGTAACATCTTCCTTACAGATTTCCCTTCTCCACATTTTTCAAGTGGACTGATATTGATAGCTTGAAACATACCAACATACCAATACTAAATTTGAAAACCGAAATCTTTTCACCAATTAGCATGAAATTGTATGCATCTCTCGTTCTCTTTATGTGTAAATATTAGCTGGTTGGTACCCTCTATTGCAACAACGTAAGCCATAGCACATACAGTTTGGATTTGCTATGATCTGTATTTATCTGTTACAACACAGCATAGCATCATATTGATTAGGAGTTTCGTTTCTTGTTTTTCTCGTGCACATTGACTGAAACGACAGCATCTGAGGACTGAATCAGCAAACATGGTGAAGAAAATAGAGCTTCTTCAAGTTTCAAGACGGTATTAGGCCTAGTTTAAGATTCATTTTCCCCCAAATTTTGCTGCTAGTCATTTCTTTTACATTGAAATACTGAACTGAGATTTTGAAACTTGAGTCCGAAATGCCTCAGGAAACTACTAGGAGAGTGTTTGGGTTCTTGCACAGTAGAAGAATTACAACAGATACAACAACAGTTGGAAAGGAGCGTGAGCCGCGTAAGAGCAAGAAAGGTTGACTATGGGAACAATTAATATCGAGTTTTCTCAACATTTTGTGCAAAGAAAACAAAACATGTTAATTCTTGTCTACTTTTCAGACACAAGTTTTCAAGGAACAGATAGAGCAATTGAAAGAAAAGGTAAGCCTTGAGGCTGAGCAATCTCAATAACATGGTGAGACCTCAAAAATGAATCAGAAAAATTAGTGTTTCTAAATAAAGTTATCGAGTCTTCTGGCAATGGACAGAGAATCAGCATACGGTGACTAGCTGATTGCTAACAACTGTCTCACTTTTTTTGGCCAAAATTCAGGAGAAAGTCCTAGCTGCGGAAAATGCAAGGCTTTGTGAGAAGGTAAGCCTTTGCTATCAGTAACACTTAAAGAGTCAGACAGGAAAATGAGAGAGATTTGGATAGATTACAAGCTTCCTTTTGAATATCTTTTGATACAACTGTCTGCATAATTGTTCATCTCAGAGTGGTACACAGCCATGGAAAGAATCAAACGAGCAGAAAGAGAATGTACCATATGATGAAAGCAATCCATGCTCGAACGTGGAGACTGAACTGTTCATTGGACTACCTGAAGGGAGAACAAAACGCACCCTGCAACACAACTGATTGATGACAACTCATTCCACCCTTTGCAAATATGAATTCAAGGCTGAAAATTCACATATTAAGCATCCAGTTTGTTTGCATTAGTTTCAAATAAAATTCATACCAGCAGATGTATGGTAATTGTAAAACTGCTTGTTGAAAAAATTACCAAGAGCATGACTCGTTTTATGAATATATCCTTATTTTGGACCTGTCATTGAAATGCTTTAAGATTAAAAATCAATTTAATGTCTGTTAAATTTTTATTAAAAAAAAAATCAGATTTGTTCATTTGAAGTATTCAAAATAATTTTTTTTATTATAATTTGTGGTAATTGAATTATGTCAAAGTCTTGTAATAATTATTAAGAAACCGAGTCCGTGGGTCAGAACAAGGTAGTGAAGTAGAGGGGCCGTAAGGTGATAGGGGCCCAGAACTTGCCACGTCAGCACAACCCACGGCCCACGAGTGAGCCTATAAGTTATACCTACAAAATCTTCAGCTCAATTGCTCAAAAGTGTTGGGCTGTAATGAAAGGTAGCATACAACGCGTGAATCCACATGTCAATTTGGGCAACTGTCTGTTCAGCCCACTGTTGAGACCAGACCTGAAATCCAGGCTTGCAAAACATGGTGAAGCCTGTTTGTTACTTAAGCCCCTTTACTTTTTCTGAAAAGGTAAATTAGATTTTTTTTTCCCTTCTTTAAATCCATTTTAAATGGAGACTTAGGAGTTGGAATAAACATTTTATTATTATTATTAAGCCAAATATTCAAAAATTAAGAGTTTATTTTCAAGTCCGATCAAGGGTCCAATCATAAAATATATATTGATACGGTGAGATTTTTTAATTGAATTTTCAATTGAATGTAAATCTTTTTTGAAAATAAGATATACATTTTTTTTCTTTTATTGGAGAAAAGGAATTTGAGATTGGATTTTTTTTTTTCTACAATGTTTGTGTTTGTCATCAACACTTTTCATTTTCAAATTAACATTATTAATAGAAGCTAACATGAAACCATGTAAAAATTGTTACCTAACAAATCTCTCAGATAAATCATGATTCAAATAGGTAAAACAAAAAAGATTTTAAGTAAAAGAAGTAAAAATGTGCATATATATGCGTGTTTGTATATATATATATATATAAATTGCTAATTAACAAATCTCTCAAATAAATCAAGACTCAAATAGATAAAATAAAGAAGATTTTAAGTAAAAAAAAAAAAAAATGTACATATATATATATATATAGAGAGAGAGAGAGAGAGGAGGCTACAATTAGCCTACAAAACAATCTTGAAGGCTCAAATGGTTTAGTGCCCGAAATATATCAGTAACAAGCTATACATATCCCAATTAGAGGAGAAATGCTCCTTTAAATTCCAAGCATTTTTATGTTGTACACTAGATCATGCTCTATATATTTTTTGGCAACATAAGAAATCCCAATACAAAAACAAGAGACCAAATCACAATATATATATATATATATATAGTTATGTTTTGAATTGGAGAGGGCTCAAATGACCCATCCGTGGAAGAAGTTGGTCTCACTAGCCATGCTTTTGGGGACTGACGATCCTTCAGCCTGAACATAGTCGTGGTACCTGATAAAACAGAAGTCACTAAGAAGGTTGCTTCTTCCAGATTTCATTTTACTTCAAACCAACATCTTAAACAAAGAGTAACATGAAAAAGCATTTCTGATGAGCTTTAACATTGAATCACTTGCAATGTGATGGTTTTCTTTCTCATGGTCAAATTTATCATAAGATCTAGTCCCATTAGTTGGTATCAATAAACAACCAACTATTGTCATATATATTCAAGTTTAATCACTTAAAGGTACCTATGAAAGCATTGAAGAAGGGATGCCACCTTGATTTCCTATAAATTTGGGTGAAGGTTCCTGTCTAAACACTAAATTCATACCTTCAACTTTGCTAAATAGACTGTATTTGTTATGGAATTTTGAAGTATCTTGATAGTGTTCCAGAAGCAGACAATAATCAATATGAACTTATGGATCCATATACTTGGGAAAAAAAAGTGCAAGAGATCCAAATATATTCATTGTACCCTATCTGTAAAACTGGTTCATGGTCACATTCCACAGGATGGGTTTGAGAAGGATGCAGAGGAAAGTTGCTATTTTCTGCTGCTACAGCAGAACTCCAAAAGCCTTGGATTGTTTTGAAGTTCTGTCCTTCTGCCTCAAATTGAAAAGGCAAAATACAGAGAAATATTAGGACCGGTACAACAGTAGAAATAACATTGCCATGGAGAAGAATAGATGAAAGTTCAAAGTGCAAAACAGATGTTTGCTAATCAAGGTTAACCTTGATTTTGAGCTGTTTGTTAAGGTCTCCAAGATGACGCTCCTACCAAAAGATGAAAAACAGCTGTTAAACATGAGTTCTGAAACCAAAACTTTGTTGTAAACTCAGCATTAAGGAGAAATATTTGAGGTGGCAATTGCAATAACCAAAAGAGTAGGTGAGGATACTCTAGTCATCAAGAAAGAAAAAGAATTTCAGAGATAAACTAAAGAAATTAAGCATGATCCAGGTTTGTAAGGAATAGGATAATTCAGATGAAAGGTCATATAGGTACATTCATGACCATGGGATCTTGGTAAAATTTCACTATTAATAATTTCTTTAGTTCGCTGATATCATGTGTTTAGAAGGTTGAATTAATGATACTTGGTTGGTGAATTCTAAGAAACTTCATCATAATTCAAAGAAATTGATATGTAATTTAAGAAAAAGGACATTGCCAAGCATATTTGAAGAAACTGCATCCTAAGTCTCAACAACACGAAAATTAAGTCTTCTCACTCGCTTAAGTACCTTTTTGCGGAGGTCTTCCATTTATTCTATCATAATCTGTGTCTGCAGTTATAAGAACAAAAAGAAGCACCATATATCATACATTTATAACATTTCAGAGGTTAAAAAAAAAAACAATACGTTTGTTTTCCATTTCTTAGAAGAGGTAAATTTAGAAGATTGAGAATCTGATTTTTTTCAGACATTGGTTCAGAGAAATAGGACACAGCTTAAAAATTTTTAATTTCAACTATTCCACAAATGTAAGAAACCTTGTGAAACAAACAAACTTAGTAGGGCTTCTTTCTTTGAGAATCACACATCAAAAAAGTTTATTGCAGACTAAAGTTCTAAACAAAAGAAGTGGAGATGGAGGTACCTTCCTTTGTCTGGCCAGTGCAAGAGCTCCTTCAAGCTGCTTCTCAAGGTTTTGCAGCTCTTTCACATTCAATGGTCCAAGATCTTCTCCAAGCAAATGCCTGATATAATTAAACATATAATGAATTATGAATGAATGTTAGTATGGGTGATAATTACTTTTCATCTACTCAATAAAACATATCGAAACCACCTCGAATGCAACTAAGTAATTAACAATTGCATGGTTTGAACTACGAAACGACACATAACCTTTGAGTGCGTTGCAGTGCTTGGTATTTTGTCTTTAACTTGGTTACCTCTTGGTACCAATTCTGTATTGATAAGCAAAGACAACTTAAAAAAGAAAGTCAAGCTCACTAATACCGATTCCCAGAAGATAAATAAGGATCTAGGATAAGAGTAAAAGAACTTGAAAATTTGATGGTAATTGTCCAAAATATATATAACCTGATTATCACATATATTGGAATCACTACAAGCTTATATATTGCCTATTCCTGCGTGCCTAGAGAATTAAGATTCAACAGCAAATCCACCATAGCATAGTAGTTGTCCAGATGAAGCACTTCGGAATGTGAGATAGGATTAGATATCTAATAGAAATTAGATGGATGAACATTTGACATGCCAAAAATCAATAAGATGGCATAGTTACGGCCACACTTTTTATGATACATGAAAGGCTAACAATCAAGACGACAATATTTATCCAACATGTAATGCTGCGGAACCAAGCCAGAACTTTGTAAATGAAAATTTGTTGACCAAAACCTGAGTTTCACGTTCAAGGCTGTTGTCTTGAGGAGTCAAGCAGCAACGTTGGTATCGCTCAAGGGTCTTGGTCATACTGCAAAAACAAAATAAAAGTGACTATCAAACTATTAACACACAGTAATTTGTGAATGCAACTACTCTAAGGTTTTGATGCAAATTTTACATTACACCTTGTAAAATCCCTCGAAGGAAAACAAAAAATCATTTTTTGTCACTATTTCTCCCTTAGGCCATGCTTTTTGAGGAGTAATGTTTTTATCTTCTACTATATATCTACATGAATCTGCAGCGTGGCCTAAATAGAAGAACCGTGGAAGTTTAAATACAAAATCATCAGAAAATGCATTCTGCAATGTTTCTGGGGAACAAGAGAGAGATGAAAGGAAGCACTCTACAACAATTAACAAAGCAATAATTCGTACTCAGGCCTTGTACTGATGCACGGAGAGCAAAAAGGAAAGAAGAAAAGAAAAGCTTTGCACCCTCTCAGCTTAACATGTGAGCCTCTGGAGAAGACTACAGAAAGCGCAAACTAATATTCCCAAGAAAACCCCAAGAATCAACCGAAAAAAGAATGTTCATGGACAAGGGGTGTGCTTGGTTTTATTAGCCCCAACAACCTCTACAACATTAATATTATTGCTGTTTGAATAGACAGGAAAATAAGAAACAATGATAAAACCAGGAGATCAAAGGATTACAAGACATGAAGATAAAGAATCAGTCTGATTGTCCCACTGGCTAGTCACTAGTTGATGTTTTTCTCTGGAGAAGAAAAGGAACAGGAAAGAGAGCGTAAGGGAAAAGAAAAGGGAAACCCTAGATCTTGCACAGAGGTCATAAGGCGAAAACCTAGTCTTTTGATTGGATTCTGAGCAAAGCCATCATAATCCCTATTGGTTTTTTTTTTTTTTTTTTTGGTATCAGTTTTCAGGTGAAAGAAAAGAGTTCCAACACTGATCAGTGAAAACATTAACAAACCCAAGATCCTGAGTGCAAGACCCAGTTAATGGAGATAAGGATTTTTTTTTTTTTGCTTTTGCAAACGGTATGAAACGTGTCTATCTTTCATTAGAAAAGAAGCTGGTAAAACTCAAGTTTCCCAAAACATGAATCCAAAAGCTAAGGAAAATCATGAGAAGTCACCCCAAAGAACCATAAAAAATAGAGATTTCAGAGAGAGAGAGAGAGAGATGTCAGATGTTTGTGGAAGAGAATTCTTTTACAGACAAGTTAGAGATAAAAACTAAAGAGAGAGAAGGAAACACAGATTTTGATGGAGTTTGAATGACAGAAATAAAAATACCAGGATGACAAGAAACGACATGCATAATCAATAATCAAAGGACATGTATATGATCCAGAAAAATTTATAAAAAACCAAAACAGAAAAATGACATAGCCAAAATCAACTATAAAAAATTAATCAGAAAGAAGCATACTGTAAAATTGAGTATATGTTAATATATTGTTATATATACCCTGAGCTGCCAAACTCGTAGAGCTTGCCACGACTAGAGAAGATGATAAGGGCAACCTCAGCATCACAAAGTACAGAAAGCTCATAAGCTTTCTTGAGCAAACCATTTCTCCTCTTAGAGAAGGTCACCTGTCTGTTGATCTTGTTTTCTATCCTCTTCAGCTCCACTCTTCCTCTCCCCATATCTCTTTCTTTTTTCTTTTTCTTTTTTTGAACAATGACCTGACGATATATAGTAAACACTTAGTATTATCTGTCTGAGTTCTTTGGAGAGGTGTGGGGTTTTAGTGTTATACAAAAATGGAGGTGAAGAAGATAAATTAATGGGCACAAAATAATTGCTTGGTCTGAGAAAAGTGAAAGTTTAAAAGGCTATATAAATGTAAATAGATATATGCAGCAGGGAAGGGTCACCGGATCTTCTTTTGCAATAAAATGGAAACCCCATAGAATTTTTTTCCTTTCTTTATTCTCTTAATTAGTAAATTTCTATCTCTTCCCTTTTTGCTTTCTCTTTTTTTTTTTCACTCTCTCTTTCTCTCTCTCTCTCTCTCTCTTGTTTGTATGCTCAGTTTGCCCTCGGTTACTTCCATGGTTGGTGGAGAGAGTTTTTTGTCTCTACTCGCCATACACGCTCTTCTAAGGATTAGCTATGGAAAATTGAAATACAAAAAATAAATTAAGCAAAATCAATTGAAAAAAACCAATGAACATAACCAAAAGAGTTAATATTGTAATAAATCTCATAATATTCATGCATTTAGGATGTATAAAACAGTCTACAATTTAGACATATATAGTCTTGGAATATTGTATGTTGGGTTAGTTATATATTAGTCAGCCTCTTAAAAGAAAAAAATGCTTTATAATCCTCTAGAATGGAAAATATGGTCTGTTCTCAGTCCATTTTTTCTCCCTAATTCCTCTTTTTGAGTTCAAAATCACACTGTTAATACAGACCTATTAATATCTTTTGCGCTTGATGAAAATTAGGAAGTCGACTAATTAGGAAACTAATTGAACTTGAAGAGTTTAACACTTTCTTTCCAGGAAAAAGCTATACCATTTTTTTTAAATGGGTTGAATACTAAATACTAAAATGGATCAAATAAAAAACAAAGAAAAAATCAAATCAATTTGCTAATGTTTCATTTGAATAGGCGATCTCGTTGTTTTGACACTAAACCCGTAATAGATTATCCAAATGAAACATTGAAAGAGATTTTGATGTGATGATCAACTAATAAAATTTCCACCATGATCTCATAAATGAAACCCATTTAGCAGTTCCTATAATATGGTAAAAATCTCTAGCCTTTCCCCTGATTGGGAAATTATAGCTAAAGAGGTTTAAAATAATCAATTAGCCTATATTTAACCATATGGCGTAGTTTCCCCTGTCATCCTTCCATTTTTGCTTCTCCCCCCTCTCTAAGTTTTCTGTTGCACCCTCTCCTCCGAATGAGTTTCAAAATAGAAGTACAGAAAATGACAGACTGAGAGAACCCAGATTCCTTTTGTGTTGTAATGTAGCTGTTAATTCTATACTATTCTTTCCCTCCCTCCCCCCCCCCCCCCCCCCCACCAAAAGCAAAAGAAATTGCCATAGATATTTTCTTAAGTAGTACAAATTTGTGGTCCAACTTTGCTTCTTCCATCACTTCTCCCTTTTTTTCCTTTACCATCCACACCTAATATTTTCCACCCATATAAATAAGACAATTGCTTTTTACACAAGCCTACAAGAAGTATTTGATGGAGTTGTTGGGTCCAACAATAGAGATAAAATCTCTATGCATTTATTGTTATTTATCCCCCTTCATTTTGGTTTTCATTAACTTGGGAATACTGAAAATTTCAGGTTTTATACAAAATCGATCCCAATGTTGAAAAAATTTTGCATTCGATATCATATCTTAAAAATAATTATATTAACAAATTAAATTAAATTCGACTTCTAATATTGCATTGGATTTAAGAACATATCACAATAATTTCATATATTATCTGAGATAGAATATCATTTTAAAAAACAAATTGTATACACTAAATCTTCAAAATTTTTACATTATCATTAATTCTTTGAGGCTAACTTTGGTTGGGTTCTTCATGTTTTTCACTAAACTTGATGAGATGACTTATATGCAAAGATTTGGATTCCTTCTCACTGTATAGATTCTCAATTGTACAAATGGCTGTTGTTATTCAAGGTTAGGTGATGAGGTTTTCATGTTTCAATTTTTGTCCTAAAAGGCTGCTAAAATGCGCCAATCAGGAAATCACAATGATTCCTATGTATTAATAACTCATACAAAATTAATAATACGTACATATCCATAAAGTTTGCAGATGAAACCCCTTTATATCACGCACAAAGCATCACCTTGACCATCAACACGAAATTAAGATTATTAATATTCTCCTACCTTTACACATTTTTTTTGTTTAAAAAATATTAAAATGATCGACAAATTCGACTATTCGAATATGTACTACATTTATATTTGTTGGTAAAGTTGGAGAAAAGAACAATTAAACAAAGCATAGGAAATGTAAATATTCTCCCACTAGTTTTTACCAAATCTAAAGCTTCAAAGTGAAAAAGCAGAATGGTGAGAGTAAAGAATGGGTTGTGTGGTAAAAGCAGACGAGAAAGAGTAGATGGGTAGAGTCAAGTGTCGAGACACGTGTCAAAATTGGGATGCTATAGTTTTTCCATTGTCAAATGATCCATCGATCCAGCATTCACTTGCAAGCTTATTAATTTCTCGTGGGATCCTCGTATTGTGTTTTATGTCAAATATAATGTAAGATGCGAGTAATTAAAAATTGAATACAACATAAATTATTAAATGTATTAAATATTGAACACAATATATTTATTTTATATGTTATATGTATATGATATGATTAATAACTTTTTAAATTTATATATAATTTTTTTTATATCAAATGATTGTTGTGAGGATAGATTTTATCATTTTAAGTTCAAAATAGATCATAGATTTCAAAAGGATTTACATTATTTTTATTATAAATTATTAATTAAAAAAAAAAAACTATTGATACCGAGATTTAAACTTAAGCCTTTGCAAATGAAATATTCAAAACTTATTAGTAGAATCAGGTTGTTGTTGCGTTGCATGTCAAAATGCTTTTCGGAGTTTGAAACAATTGTTGGAAGGTTAATTAGCAAAAATTATATCAGTGCCTCAAGTTTGACACAAAAGCATGATCATGGCTCAAGTGTAATTGGGTAAACATGCTAGATATGGAAAACAATTCATGATATGCAAAAAGCCTTGTAATTAGGAACATAATTGGAACAAATAAACTAGTGATTAACATTAAAAATATAAAATCAATATTCAAATTTGAATGAACTCGAATCCATAATAATTTAAATTAAAAACAAAGTTAAATTCATAATTATTTGAATTTGATTAATTCAAAAAAAAATTCAATTTAGGTTATTCAAACCTATTAATCGTTCATTTATCATCTCTAATTAGTTTTCATTCCAAACTCCATGAAAGTATAAAAAATTGTAAAAGAACTTAGCTGTATTTCGAATTGTTACTTCCATATATGTAATTTTATGAAGTTTAGTACAGCTTTGGCCTTAATGAAGAAAGTGACAATTATGGAACAGCTTATGACTTTAGCAGTATGACCCGTCACACAAATTGATGTGAATCAATCACAAGAAAACGTACCCACTTGGCCCTGCCTACCCTTTCTTTAATTTTGGTCTATTCATGCAATGGTGCTTTGTTGTGGGATTTAGATTTTGCTTGGAGCGTTAATATTCATTAATGCCACAACAAATTCTATTAGCCAATTAATGACTTTTACAGCTATATCCACCGAAGAGAAGAAGTTCTTAACGATTTTAATTATAAGCTCATTGCCAATTTATTTTTTAAAAAAATTCCTTCTTTAGCAAAAGGAAATTGCATAACTTCTTTACATTACGTGTGATAGAAGAAAAAAGGAAAACGAAGAGAAGAACACAAGTAGGAAAGAAAAAAAAAAAGAAAGAAAGAAAGGAAAATATTGTTATGGCCAAGTTTAGGTTCAACCAAATGGCATAATATGGGTTTAAACCCGTAACAAATGGATTAAATGCAAAGAGGCTTGGTAATTTAGTTCAAAACTCTTAGTTGTCATCAGTTCCATTAATCCGAATTAGCATCCTAAACCTTCCTTTTATACAAATTTTTTTTGTACTTTATGAAGTGTCACAGAGTCGGACAAAACTTGCCAAAGTACTTTTAACAAAATTGGTATGGCCATGAACATAGCTCTGTTCCATCATATGAAACCCTAATAAAGAAACTCCTTCCATCAACAACATATTACTACAAAGAGGAGCAAATAGGAGAAGAGTTGAAAAAGAAAAATGGGTAAAGCAAATTGAACAGTATAGTTGAGGACAATTTTCCTTTTGGTGGGTCCAACTTCCCCAAAGACAGTGGCAAACCACAGTACTATTGTCCTTGGGCACTAATGCAAGAATAAGACGGTGATGGTAGTGGTTCGAACTTACCATTTCTAGAAAGCTTTGATGGTTGGGCAAGGACTTTTAATGCACATTTTCCATTTCTTGCCATGGCCTTCACCATCAGCGAGCTTTCTGCTCTTAGCACTAAAGCATGCTGTGTCTCCTCCTTTGCGGTGAAGAGGGAACAACCAGTACACGGTCAAATAGGGACTATGTTTGAATTATCCTTTGTCTCTTTTTAAAAATTTACTAATTGCCTTTGAAATTGCCCTTTTTTTTTCTTACTTAACAAGTACTCCACATAGTTGCACATAAGTTATTGGACAATTTTTTTTTTCTCGAATAGATCGAATAATTTGAAAACCATATAATAATATAATATAAATATAATATGAATGAAAGATATAAAAATTATACGATTTAAAATTTTAATTATAATTATATATGAATTTAATAAAATTTAAAAAAATATTTTATATTTTTATATCGATATAAATTTGATACATAATTTTATATAAAATATAATATATAAATATATAAATTTTAAATTTTATATAATACAAATATATTAATCGTCGAATCTATTTATGAGTTATTAAAATTTCCAATTCTTAGAGAAGAAAAATTGCAATTCACCAAATGTCCACGGCTAGCTTGACTGTGGGCATTAATGTAGTTCTTACTCGGAAATGGGCCGAAAATGGGCTATGAAGGCAGAGCCTGGTTGGGGCAAACAGTGGACCGAAATCATAGCGGATTGAAATGTGGGTTAGGGACTAAAACCTTCTCCCAAATGGGCCCAATTGATTAATATATTTCATCGGCTGACAAAAGGTGAGATGACCGCTGCGGTGTTTTCGATAACCAGGGCAGGAAATAGGAAGTGCAAATTGCGAATAGAAACTTCTGGAGAGAGAGAAAGATGGCGGGAGCAGCAGAGGCACAAAAACGCCAGAGCGGGAGACCACTCCCACCTTCAGCGCGAGGTCCTCCTCCTCCCCCTCGCCCTCGCTTTGAGCCTGTTGATCGCGAAAAGGTAGCCGCGTCTCTCTTCCTGTCTCTATCTCCCTAAACATTTCAAATTCTAGGGTTTCAAAGCGCATAAACTACGTATTTTTAGAAAATTTCCACATTTTCCATATTTGGAATCGCGAATCTGTAATTGTTGATTAGGGTTTCAGAACTTAATTGTCTCTTAATGCTATAGTTTTTCTCCTTGACTGATTTTATCATTTGTGGTTTTAATTATGTTATTTAAGCCCATATTTTGGTTTATGATCTGCTAATATTTCTTTTTTCTTTTTGTCCTTACCTGTTTCAATGCAGACCTGTCCTCTGTTGCTTCGAGTTTTCACCAAGGTATGTTCATTGCCCAGAGCTTTGACTTCATTTTCCTGGCTTAATATGAGGATGCCATGTTCAAGCTGCTCTGTTCTGGGGATGCTTTTGATCCATGTATTGTTGATATGGCCTTTGCTATCCTGGGTAGAGCCTGCTAACCAACTCAACCTTCGGTGTGAGCCTTAGAAACCTTCATTGTTGGTGAAGATCTATGGTTTATGTAGTATATTTAGAATCTTTGCTTAGGAATTTTAACATCACATTTACAAAGTCAATAACGTCGCTTTATAGTCCATGGTACATACTTTCTTTATATAGTACTGTTACAGTATCTTGTATTAATAACTATGCAAACTACACTATCACATGCTTACATCACATAGTGGAAGTTTCACATTTCCAACTATTAGCAACTGCTAATGGTTTTTAGGTATACTTTCAAGGAAAGACCACAATAACTCGTTTTAGATGTAGAATATTAACTTTTTCCTGATGCCTTGTTTGTATGTTACATGTAGAAAGTTCTTCAAGCTTATGACTTCATCTTTGAAAAATCTGCAGATTGGTGGTCTTCATTCTAAAGAAGATTTTGCAGTTAGAGGCAAGGAGCCCAAGGATGAGGTTCAGATTTATACATGGAAGGATGCTACACTTCGTGAGTTAACTGATCTGGTATGTTAATATGTTAAAATAGTTTGTTAAATTGTCTTTATTATTATCAACTTTATTGGTAGTTTTGTCTGCAACATTCTTTTCTTTCTTCCTCCGTCTTTTGACTCTGTTGATTTTACTTCTTGTACAGGTGAAGGAGGTAGCTCCGGCAGCCAGGAGAAGAGATGCAAGACTTTCCTTTGCATTTGTATATCCTGACAAGAATGGACGTTTTGTGGTGAGGGAGGTTAGTCTTTTTCTCTCTTCTCCTTAGCTTTCCGCTTTCTTCCATCTTTCCATATCCATGTAACTCAAAGATGTTGCACTGTTGTTTGTGATGAGGTTATATACATATATTCAACTAATTGTCGTGTGTTTTAAAAAAAAATGATTGCAGTGTGTATTTGTTCCTATGATGACTTATTTAGGTTAATTTGTACCTTGGCTTTACACACATTGTGGGGCCAAGCTTTGTCGTATTGATAATGTATGAGTGTTGAATTGTTTGTATTACCTAGTAAAATTTATAATGAGATTGAATAGAATTTCTACATAGAGAGATGTCTTTATGAATATGGTGTATGCAGTTGATACATCAATTGTTCCTATGAGAGTTTGTATTGTGATATGTTTTGTTGCTTCATCAGGTCGGGAAGACCTTTTCTTATGGTAATGGGAGGCGATTGGATGACAGCAAAACCTTAGGTGAACTTAGCTTTGAGGTAGGCAGAATATCACTTGTATTGACATCAGTCAGTCTCTTACCATGCTCAAGCTTTGTCATTAACCTTTTCTTTGACATGTGCAGATTGGAGATTACTTAGACGTGGCTATTATGTGAGAGGAGCTTTCTTAGGTCCGACATGTATAAGACAGTTCAGATAATTTAGTAACATGGGAATGGGAAGTGCTGCATGCATTTCCCTCCGAATGTGTGGGAGATCACCAAGAAGATGCAAGTGTCATGTGATTGAAGTCTGTAGAACTGTTAGAGAGGGACTCGTCCCTGGTAGGAAACCTTTTATGGTATATGATTGATGCTCCAATCTTGAACTGTTAATCCTTTGTTAAATTTGGTAATGTAGCTTGAGATTTTTGGGTAAAATTTTGTAATCTTTAATGAAGTATTGAGATGTCAAAATTTGTTGCTAGTATTTAAGCTTTATAGTGTTTAAGAAAGGCCTTTCAAACATGAATTTGTCAAAGATCTTAGTGGTTGCTCTTGAGTGTTGTTTAGGATAAGGCTTCAATATGTCAACTTGCCGCAATTTGATTATATTTGGTGCTTAAGCTGTTAGACTCTTATTAGAAAATAAGTTCGATTATAATTGAAATTAGACAGATTATAAAAATTTTACCAATTACCCACCATGGGGTTATCAGCATTATCAACAAAAATGCAAAGAAACATAAAAAAGCAAGAAAAGAAGCCTTCTCTCCGTTTCCTTGCTGCAATCAAATTTCCATTAAAAGGAAAAAATCTATTGCTGTGATTGTTTTTTTTTGTCAGGGGAGGGCATACCCGAAAAAAAAGAAGAAATCCTGACTCGAAAGTAAAACTTTTTATAGTTTTATAAAGCTGACTAGATCACTGGATCAAAATGCGGAAGACTTATTGTCATGATTTTAAGTTATAACAAAGTCCACCTTTTCAACTCAAAATCATTTTGGTAGATATCTTATTTTATTTTTTTTATGGAAGTGGGATTCGTAACTAAGATTTTGAGCATATATTAGTTTGTCAGAATAGGGTGGGCTCGCCCAGAGTAGAGATAAAAACGACATCGTTTTAATTTTATCCCCATCTCTCTTTCTTTCTCAAAGAGATAAAATATCATGAAAGCGAAAAACGTAAGAAGAATTATCTTACAATAGAAAAAGATAAAGCATGTGATTGACACTTTATCAGATGCTTGCTTTCCTATGGTGACAGATCTGCTGCTCTCAGTTTCACGAGATCTCCTTACTGTTAACTCGTAATTCTCCTTTTCCACATTTTAATTCCTCACTTTTTCTTTTTCTGAGTGATTTTGTTGTTGTTGTTGTTGTTGTTAGGCTTTCATAGCTAATGGCGTTGAAGCGGGGACTGTCCAGTGTGGGAATCCACAGGAACAAAAGTTCTGGATTTCGATTGCCTTTCGTGACTCTTGTTGTCTTCTCAGTTCTCGCTCCACTTGTTTTCTTCGTCGGTAGAGGGCTTTATATATCTGGTTCGTTTTTTTTCTCTTCATTTTCCCCCACATTTTTAATTACTAATTACCAGATCTCACTTTGATTTTAAGATTCATTTGCCTTTTGCATTTCGGATAATTAATTTCGAAAATGTTGATCAATTAATTCGTTGTTTGGTTGATTGATAAATCTGTTATTTCGCTCTCATAATTTTTTTTTTTTTTTAAAAGCCTTATTTTTTAGTAATTGATTCTGAGCTTTGGTTGGCATTTTTTTTTTAGTTTGAATGTATAATAGAACTTTTAACCTAGAAATTCATCAGATTTTTAGTTGAAACAAAGACTTCATCTGATGAGCCCAGCAAAATTTTGTTGAATTGCTTTGTGAATCTAATTTTGAGATATGAATTTGTTGTTATCCATGTTGAGTTTCTTGCCTTTTTAATGTTTGAACATTTTCGTGTTTTCCACATGATTGCATCTGATCTTTGTACCGATTATTGTTTCTTGTGCAGATGAAAATGGTGTTCAAAGTGGTTTTACCAAACAGGTTGCTTCTTTAAAAGCTTTTCCATTTTCATTGCATATATAATGAATGACAGACGCTTGTGGCTTCTTTATACTCACTTTGTAAGATTTTTAAATGGTTGACTTTTGCAGAATGTTGATTGGAGGGAAAAGCTGGCATTGCAATCTATCAAAAACCTTTTCACTAAAGAGGTAGATGCATATAGGAGAATATGCAATATGAGTTAATCATGTTTCTTGCTCTGATGAGTGATAGATTTTAATTGTCAATTATATTTATCATCTGATGCCACATTTAAATCAATTCTAGGTTATTGATGTTGTAACTACAAGCACGGTTGATTTGGGGCCACTAAGTCTTGATTCTTTCAGAAAAGGCAATTTGTCTGCGTCATGGAAAGTTACTAGGGTAGAGATATCAGTTGAGGATAATGGTACTTCTCAGGTTGGGGTCATAGTTATGCTTTACCTCACAATTCACATCTATTGGACACTTTTCTATTTTCTACAGCCTTTTGCTGGAACTTTTTTTCTGATATTAGTTGCTGATTGTTTGATGTTTATTGGATTCTCACATGTTCAAAGTCAAACCAAAAGACTACAGACTTGAAACAAGAAATATCTCAAGTTAAAGAGGGAAAGCTTTTAGATGGTAATGTCTCACAATAAACATAACGTTCTTGGTAAATTTTTCTTTCATGCTGACCTGCCTATTTCATGCAGATGATCATTCACATGATACACCTGCTAAAACACTTCGAAGGGTAATTAACATCTTTTGATTTACTGTATGCTTTAGTATTATAAAGAAGTATATTATAAATAGGCATTTTACTTACCTTTCAGCAACTTAGAGATAATAGACGCAAGAAGCGGGCAGCTGAATTGGTGCAACAAGATGATGAAGCTACTGTGAAACTTGAAAATGCAGCCATTGAACGATCCAAAGCTGTGGACTCTGCAGTTCTGGGCAAATACAATATATGGAGGAAAGAAAATGAGAATGATAACTCTGATTCCACAGTACGCTTAATGAGGGATCAAATTATAATGGCAAAGGTTTATGTAGGTATAGCAAAGTTGAAAAATAAGCTTGACTTCCTACAAGAACTGCAGATCAGGCTCAAAGAGAGTCAGCGTGCCTTAGGAGAGTCAACAGCTGATGCTGATCTACCTCACAGGTAAAAGGATGTTGAATCTTTAATCTCATTGGCAATGTGTAGTCTATGTTTCCTCCTGTTTTTGATCTTGGTGATTCTGGCAGTTTCTTATTTTGTGTTCCCATACAACTTTGTTTAGTGCCCCTGTGAAAATTAAAGCAATGGGCGCGGTTTTATCGAAAGCAAGAGAGCAATTGTATGATTGCAAGTTGGTCACCGGAAAGCTCAGAGCAATTCTTCAGATATCAGAAGAACAAGTTAGGAGCTTGAAAAAACAGAGCACGTTCCTTAGTCAATTAGCTGCCAAAACAATTCCCAATGCGATCCATTGCTTGTCGATGCGTTTGACCATAGAATACTATCTCCTTCCCCTAGAGAAGAGAAAGTTCCCTAGAAGTGAGAATTTGGAAAAACCATATTTCTACCATTATGCCCTCTTCTCTGATAATGTCTTGGCTGCATCAGTTGTTGTCAACTCAACTATCATGAATGCTAAGGTGATATAAGCTGCCTTATCTTGCGTAACTGTCTAAGTTGCTCTTCCTTTTTGCACTTCTAGAATAGAAATTGATTGTTAGATTTTTAAGAATTGAGACTCTGCTGCAGTCTACTAAATTTTCTTCTTGGTGGTGTTGCAGGATCCTTCAAAACATGTTTTCCATCTTGTTACCGATAAACTTAATTTTGGAGCAATGAACATGTGGTTTCTGTTAAATCCCCCGGGAAAAGCCACCATTCATGTTGAAAATGTTGATGAATTCAAGTGGCTTAATTCATCCTATTGCCCTGTCCTACGGCAGCTTGAGACTGCTGCAATGAAGGAATATTATTTCAAGGCAGATCATCCAACCACATATGGATCTTCAAACTTGAAGTATCGAAACCCAAAGTATCTCTCAATGCTTAACCACTTGCGGTTCTATCTGCCACAGGTATACCCTAAGTTAGATAATATCCTCTTTCTTGATGATGACATTGTTGTCCAGAAAGACTTGACTGGATTATGGTCTGTGGATCTCCATGGAAAAGTAAATGGTGCAGTAGAAACTTGTGGTGAAAGCTTTCATCGTTTCGATAAGTATCTAAACTTCTCAAATCCTCATATTTCACGAAACTTTAATCCTAATGCTTGTGGATGGGCATATGGAATGAATATGTTTGATCTCAAGGAGTGGAAAAAGAAGGATATAACTGGCATATACCACAAGTGGCAAAATATGGTGAGTCTATGAAAAGGCCATATATCTGATTTTATGTTATTTATTTTCTCCGTCACATACATACACACACACACACACACACACACACCCACCTTCATGCATGCATACAGATAAATCATTTAGGTGTTGAGGGGTCAAATCCACAAGTTCGCAATCATCATATATCATTTGCTGACATGTTGCTTAAGTTATATATGCAAAGTGATTGTATTTGTATTATAGTTAATTAATGCTTTGGTATAATTGAATTCTGCTGAGATGCATGAAGAAAACTTGTTTGGATCACTCTGAGTTTTAACATTAAAAAGACCAAGGATAATCGTTGTATGTTCTGATTTTTTTTTTTTTCTTTTACATTGTTTAAATGTTTATCAGAATGAAGATAGAGTGTTGTGGAAGCTTGGGACACTCCCTGCAGGGCTGATTACATTTTATGGTCTGACACATCCACTTGAGAAGTCATGGCATGTACTTGGTCTGGGCTATAATCCAAGTGTAGACAAGAGAGAAATTGAACGTGCAGCAGTTATCCACTACAATGGAAACATGAAACCGTGGCTGGAGTTGGCTATGACAAAATATCGACCATACTGGACCAAGTACATCAAGTATGATCATCCCTACCTTCGCAGCTGCAACCTTAGTGAATGAACCTGATTAATCATAACATTTTTTTTTTTTGCTTTGCTTCTCTCTCTATCCCACATTGTTTATTTTTCTTTGTAATTCATTAAATTCATTCCCTCAAGCACTCACCCATTGGAACGAGTTAAGAAATTGTATGCAATGTTAACCTGTGAAAACACCCCATGAATTTTTACCCCCTCCATTTTGGAGATAAGTTAATTTTAGACAGAATAGTGAACCTCATATGAACCTGAGTCCACCGTATTTTTCGAACAATGGATCGTTTTGCAGGATTTAATATGTATGAGTTTTTATATCTCAAATATACTAAATTTCTATGTTTTCTTAAGCAATTTTCATTTTGAATCACTGCTTGAAGCAGTATCACCTGATGGAGTCCTAAATGTATGCAAAAATAAGCAGTTGTTACTGGTGAGAATTACAGGTGCAAACGATTGAAGTTACTCTTAAATTATTCTTTGAGTTTAATTTTAAAAAAAAAAAATCCTTGAGGGCATATTCATTATCAAGTTGAGCTTAAGTAATAAGTCAAGTTAGAATTTGAATAATTTGAAGTGGCTTAATAGGTTTTAAGTAAATTTTTATTTTTTAATAAATTTAATAATATATATCTATATTTTATTTTCTAATAAATTTAATAATGTATATATATATACAGATATATAAAAAAGTATAGTATTTAATATCAATATTTATATGTAAATAAAAAAATAGTATATATACGTAAATAAAATATAGTATATATGAATTTTTTTATAATATATATTTTTATTAAAAATACCTTTAAAGAGAGAATAAATATCTTAATTGGATTCCACAATTAGCACTAATAATTAATTATATTTAGTGGTCTAATCATCCAATGATTGCTTCGTAATTAAAGTGTACTCTTTTCACAATTGTCTCAAAGAAAATTAAAGAAGCTCTGTACCATTCAATGATTTACAGTAAATGATACTTATGTTTGCACTAAAATTTAACCTTTTCGAAAATGTACTTGATGATTGAAACACAGCTTATCATGTTCAGCCACTTGTATAGTTGCATGATTTTGCAATCTAAATTATCAATATGATTGTTATTTCGTCTTTACAAGGTCATATTGAGTAAATCCATTAAGAAATTATATAGTATAAAAACTAAATATTACTATTTTTGATTATATAGTATAAGAAAATATGCTTTCGTCATCGGAGGAAAATTATTGTACTTCCATTTTTTTCCTCGTAGAAGTCAAAAAAAAAAAAAAAAAAAAAAAAAAACCACCATAGTTATAGAGCTTGTAACGTTTTTGCTCTGCCAATAATAACGATATATAATGAATACATGTCTGAGCACACAAAAGCATGATTATTAAAAAAATTGGAATTAATTTGTTGGGTTTATAAGAAAAACCAATAATCTGCATTATTCTGTAATTTTATTTATAATATTTTTAAATATTTTTATTAACTGAATATTGACTTAAATAATCCAACCGATAAAACCATTTGACCCTAAAGCTCAAAGCAGAAATTCTCATCCAATAAAGCAAATATTGTATTTTTCTGTTTTGAAAGAGATTGTTGGGTTTAGTGCAGCTAAATATAAGCAATAGCAAATAAATAATCGTAGGACTTAATTAATTGATTTAAGCAACTCGGTTACAATCATGAATTAATTATGTTTGGTTTAGAATAGGCATATGAAGATAAGTAACCATATACTAATATGTGCACATTATAAAACCAAATAGCATTAACCATGGTTAAATTTTTACACACTTGGACAAGGTTTTGTTAACTAGGAACATAAGGTTCAAAGAGTGTAACACTAGGATTTGGATCATACTGCATAATATCAGCGGCGCGTTCAAACTCTTCTCTTACAACTCTAATGCTGAACTTGTCCACCACTCGGCCAAGGTCATGAGATGTCTCAAAAGGATCCTCTATGCAGATTAAGTGACGATCATTGCCAATTCTCCTCGTCCAGTCTTTTTCTTGCTTACTGTACCAATGGAGGTCATCAATGAGAAACATTTTTTTGTTTATCGTGAGATTTGCCTAGACAAAAGAATGGCATTTATCTTATCCCTACTATTCCCCATCCCTACATCTAATGTAGTATTGCTTAATTAAAGAAAAACAAAATTTATTTAAGTAGAGTTCCTGCAAAATATAAGAGTTTGCATCTCTCACCTGATTATGCTTCCTGTGCGAACAGATATTACTGAATTTGGCATAATCATGACCATATGCCCAACAATTAAAGAATGCCCACACCAGTTGAGCAAAGTCCTTGTTACAAGATCCAAAATTACCAAGTTTTTCAACCTGATCAAAGTAAGCACACTCGACATCATCCACGGTGACAGAGTAGGTTGTCTCCATCCCCTGAAAGATAATTAGCAAAAGCATAATCCAAATGAATAACTCAACAACATTTACGGTCATGGTATTTGGTAAGAGAGAAACAAACAGAACCAAAGCTTCTCATGAAATGTTTCATGCACAGGAATAAAGGCTGTGAATAGATGTGACACGAAACTAACCCAATGCTTATTACGGACCATATGGATTTGTCATAGGAAACAAAACCAACAATCATTCATGAGCAAGACCGGTAAAATTATGACTGCAACACCTAACCGATGAAAAATCAAAACTCATTATAAAAAGTCCACTTGTTTCTGTGACAGGTTTTTCCATTCATTAAATCATATAACTCTCTTTGTTGTGTCTGCCCCCCTTTCATTATATTATGCACTTCTCTCTACCATTCCTTTCCATACCAGGGCAATACAAGGCAAGGGCAAACATTTAAGATACACTGTTAATTTACTCCTTTATCCTTAAACACTGTTAATATGTGAGCTGACTAAACAAGACATGTCAAAAACAGTATTAATAGGTGGCATTTTATTTTAAACAATCGATGAATAAAAATGAAAATGGTAAAGAGGCAAATACAATATTATGTTGCCTTTACTATTTAGGAGAAGAAAATTACGACCAATAATAAAGTAGAAAAGGTATGACAAAATCCAAATTATTAAGTTCCATAAGGTTTTGCACCATAGAAACAAAATAATAGAGCATACTGAATTAGCAGATATAGGAATAACATTTTAGTCTTAAATTCTTTCTTTCCTGATACAGATGAGAAGCAAAAAAGCACACACCTGCAAGCATGGAAGGATAGGAGGTCTACGCTGCTGTAAGAAATGAATACACATTAAAACATACCTGCAAAGAAAATACAAATTAAAAACAAAAGTTAAGAACACACAAACATTAGCATATGTAGGCGACTTTACAGCTGCAAATTAAATTAAGCCATCCATGGATGTGTCCTCCGTTTTTTTTAGGTGTATAAATCCTACCTAAATTGGCCATCATTAGCTTGTACTTTTATCTATGCTTTTATTCATTCCAAAGCAAGCCAAACATAATTGGATTATACTTGATGCAGGACAGCGTGAGGGGCTAGAGTTTTAAGTTAAAGTATAATCTGACATTCATAAGGACATAGGAAAATTGAATGTGATTTGAGTCAAGATTTAGAGTGGGTTCAGTTGGTATGCCAGAGGGCATCCAACAAGATGTAATCAATTGATGTTGATATTAATGGAAGTTTATTTATTCTAAAAACAAAAAGAATACATTGGTAATTATGGGAATAGAATTATAGTTGCAAATAACTCACGCATAGCTAGATAGTGTTCCTTGGTAAGTTTCACTGACTCCTCTGGATTTGGCCCAGTGTTTGACAATAAAAGCTAACTGCCGTAGTCTAGCGTCTATCTTTGCATAATTTTGCAGAAGCTTAGTATTCACTACAGCCCAAACATTGTTTATGCATATATTACAGGAAATTCCAGTTGCTGAATCCATAAGCTTTACTATGGGTACCCTAGCACGAGTCAGTGCCTGTACACGAGGCAATTAGCAAGTTATACTTGATTTTTTTTTTTTTTAAGTTTAACAATAAACAATCTACACTTCGAGTGTGATATTCTATAAACACGTTAAGGAAGTATATCATCTGGAAATGATAACAAAATGTTCAATGAAAATATAAAACAAAGATCAGAAGAAAAAAAAAGAGCATTCAGAATCAAATCATCACACACTAATGTAAATCAGACAATGAATCTTACAGGATGTAAAATAAAGATTTCTTTGGGGGGCATGTACTAATTGAACTTGGGCACAATATTTTCTCATCTTGAATTATCAACCACCTACAAAAAACAAAAAAGCATGTACTAATTGCCACTAGGGATTTAGGGGTAATCAACTAATCAAGTTTACAAAAATGCAAAGTGCACAAATTGTCATCATAGCTCATTAACATAGCATTACTTTGAAAAAAAAAAAAAGGTCCTAAGAAGCAGCTATTAATAAATAGAAAACAAATCAGTTAAAGAAAGCCAAATCAGCAAATTGCCATCTAACATAAAACATATGAAAATCTAGGCAACCACTTGAACACCAAATTAAAAGAAAGAAAAATGATGGTGAGCCCAAATCTAGCCTTCTCAAGTCATCCATTAAGGCTCCTTGATTACCAGCGAATCGGTTAGCCGGTGAAGACCAAGGGTTTTGGGGAAAAACTAGAAAATTAGGAGCGAAAGGCGCAGAGAATGTATGGGGCCAGGGACTCGGGAGATCGCGTTCGTTCAATTGCCACGATGGGAGGAAAGGGACTGTGGGTCCCACCGCTGCAACGGCCGGATCGATGGCGAGGGGTAGCTGCTGTTGCGGTTGCGATTGTGGTGGAGGTATGGTCATGGGAGTCACGCTAGAGAGTAATGGAGATTGTTTTTGTTGTTGATGATCTGGTTGGGCCTTTTGGAGTAAAGAGAGAAGAAATTCGCCACCGTTGGCAGAGGGGCTTCCCCTCCACCGCCTGTCATCGCAGCGGGTTTCTATGACGTTTTACCCTTCAAAGAGAAAAGCGAATGATAGAAGCACCGCAAGGAGAAGTAATGGATCGCCAAAAGTAGACCTGAAATATCTATCTGATTCCCAAAAAGTAAAAATCTAGAGTATTCAATATCGTATCTAAAACCTCGAGAAGTTGCAGTTCAATCTACGTTCCAAAACCGTAGGATCTGGATTAGAGGGTGTCGAACGGTGCGGTTTTTCTGTTCCTTTTGGTCGTGTCTGTAGTAACATGTTCACTGCATGACTTCGAGTCTTTGACTAGCTCCACCTGAGCCGGGTTGCTGTTGTTTTGGACTCCGGGCGTACATTGACAGTCAATGTGGACTCTCGCTTATAGCCACCAATCGGACACGATTCCCCAATTAAAAGAAAACAAGTGTCAATCAAATAAATGTCTACAGATAAAAATATATGTAAGTTAAATTATTTATTTAAGTTTTTTTTTAAAAAAAAAAAAATTTTAAAAGTATTTTATTGATCCTATTTTGTTCACTTCATATTAATTGAAAACACGTGCAGATTATGAAAAAAAGTTTATTTAAAAATTTTTTATTATGTTTAAGGTATGGAGAGTGTTTTGAAATTGTTTTGGATAATTTTAAAATTTTAAGTTTATTTTAGAGATTTTTTTGAGTATTTCATAATGATTTTTGGAGGTAGTTTTGATAATTAAAAAACTTTTGAAAATAAAAAAAAAGAATAAAAAGATAGATGGCCATTGACGACGAAATATAAGCGAATTGACTCTTCACCATCGGTTAGACTTCACAAAGGTTAATTTTATTTTTTAAAAAATAGTAAAAGTGTTAAAAAAATTTCTGAACTAAAATTTTATTTATTTATTTTTTCACAATTAATTAAATCTTCAATCATTTGTTTTCATTAATTAAATTTTTATTAAATAAAAATTGTTAATTGTTTTCATCCGGATTAATTAGATAAAAATATATATTTAAAAATTTAATTAAATAAAAAATAAATATTTAAGAATTCATTTAATTTAAAATATAAAATTCAGAACTTAATTTTATTGAAAAGTTAACAACTTAAATAATTATTAAATTTTTATTTAAAATTATTTTAAACTCTTTTACTTCTCTACATAAAAAATATGTCGAATTGCTAGCACGTGTTGTTAACTAACATTTAACGTTAGAAACGACAAATCAAGTGACAGAATCAACATTTTTTTTTTTTTACTTATTCTAAAAGATGAGCAAATTTTTTTAAATTTAAAAACAAAAATAATATCCATTTAAAAATTTAAAAATTTAAAAATAAATTGTGTAATTTATTCTAAAAAGTACAATGTTAAACTCTCCTTTTGGTTTCATCTATTCCATGGTAGCTGTTTTTTTTTTTTTTAATTATTATACAAAATAAAAATCAGTTTATCAGTATTTTAGAGTTATAAGATTATGGAAACTTACTTTTAATAAGAATTATCAATAGTCAACACTCATTTTTTTAAATATAGTGTCAAAATATATTATCACGGAACTCTCTTTGTTTTTTTTTTTTTTTTTTTTAAGATTTCATAAAAAAACTATTTTTTTTTATTTTTTCTTTTAAGTAATGCCAAAGCTCAAAATACATTTAGGAATGTATGATTATATATAATAAATCAATAAAAATTTGCATATTCTTTTATTAAAGTAATATAAAAAAATAAACTTAATAAATTTTTTTTTGAAATTATAAAAAATAATACAAAAATTCTGTGATGGCACTGGTTAAAATGCTAGTTTTCTACAAAATTAAGTATACGATTTGATGTTTATTAAAAAAAATTTGTTCAAAGGGATTTGAAATAAAAAACCATAGAAAAAGTCAAACAATTCTAAGATGGCGTCAAAGAGGCCTAATCTTAAGGCTCCAAAGCCGTTCCACGCATCCGACAATCCAGGTGTTTCAGGAAATCTGTTATCTCAAATTTCCAACGACCTTGGAATTGGTCACATGTCATGTAAAACCATCGCACTTTAACTATCTTCTTCTTATAATCTACACGCCAAATCTCACCATAAACATGTCCAAATTCGACCCATACCAGCATCTCGGTATACGCCTCAACCCTGATGGTACGATTACTCGCCTCAACAACTTCCCCAACACCGACGCCAACCCCGGGATAATTCCAGGTCTCCCTACTGTCTCCAAAGATGTCACCGTCAACGACGAAACAAAGGTCTGGGCACGCATTTTCCGCCCCACCAAACTGCCCTCTAACGACAACACTGTGGCACGACTCCCCATAATATTCTACTTCCACGGTGGCGGCTTCGTCCTCTATAGCGCTGCCAATATCACAACTCATCAACTTTGCTCTGCCCTTGCCAGCGAAATAACTGCCATTGTCATAGCAGTCGACCATCGCCTCGCTCCCGAGCACAGGCTTCCAGCACAGTATGAAGATGCCGTTGACACGATCCTCTGGGTGAAGAAACAGGCTTTGGACCCAGACGGAGAAAAATGGCTAAGAGATTTTGGAGATTTTACAAGATGTTACCTTGGTGGGCGTGGCAGCGGTGGCAATATTGCGTTTCATGCTGCTTTAAAAGCTCTGAATAACGATATAAAGCCTTTGAATGTTATTGGTATCTTTTTGAACCAACCCATGTTCGGTGGGCAACAAAGATTGCTATCAGAGTTGACATATGCGACGGATCAGTTGACACCATTACCTGTACTTGATCTGTTGTGGGAGTTAGCATTGCCTAAGGGAACTGATCGTGACCATCGATTTTGTAATCCATTGGAGGATGAACCGTACATGAGTAAGGCCAGTTCGATAGGGAGGTGTTTGGTGATTTCGTTCAATATGGACCCAATGTTTGATAGGGTGCAAGAATTCGTGGATATGATGGTGAGGCAAGGGGTTCACGTTGAAGCACGGTGCGATCTTGTGGGGTTCCATAATATCGATCTCGTGGATAAGCAAAGATGTCAGGCCATTTTGAATATTATTAAGGAATTTATCATTTGAAACTAGAAGTTGATGTTTTCCTACAAGTCTTCCGAAATTGGCGATTGATCGAACGTTTAATTCTGGTTCAGATGCTTGAGGAACATGGTATGATAGTAGGAGGGTACAAATTAACATGGTAATAACGTGCAGCTAATATAATAGAGATTGGAGCTTTGGAAGGTAACTGTAATTTAATCACAGTTTTTATGGTTTCCATTACAGCAACTTCATTACAGAACATCCATCATGGTCTCATCGACTGTTTATTGCCCGATTTCCTGAAATTTGACGAGTCACTCGTCCTCTCGTTTTTTATGATGAGTAGAGTCATGTTTGTCGACTCATAGCAGCTACTTCATTTTCTTTTTAGTTCCGAATAATTTCTTTAATCAATAATCATGTTTAATAATTGTCTATGATGATCCTAGCAAACCGTTTATTCACTGTTTCTTTCATGCTAACTTCGACTGTCTTTCTGGGTTGTGTTGCAATTGCATATCTATTCAGCCGAAGGTGACAGTGTGTGTAGTCATAATGCAAAATCAAAGACTGGGACCAAAAGTTGTCCCCTGCTACTGAATTTCATGATACTTGGAATAAAAGTCAGCTACTTTCTGAAAGGTATAAGATAAACGAAAAAGATCTATTCTCTGGGCCCTATAGTTGCAAAAGTCAGGAAAAAGAACAATGCAATGCTTGCCTGAACCCACAGGACACCAAAAATCAGGTAATTAAGCTTTTAAGCGACAGGCTCTCTATTAAACCCCCAGGAACAAAGCAAATTTATATATATACTTAAATCTAATCAAGGTCACGTCTCCGTCCAAAAAGCAAAATGCAATATATTTGTCGCTTTACATTACTGTTAATCCTGGGATTCCTAACACTCAACAGTAGTGGACTACTGGTAGCAAAGGTCAAGCAGAGTGAGGCTGATCCGAAAATTCTTAAGTCATAGCTGTTAATAATAAGTGTCAAAGGAGGATTTGTGGACTCAAGCAAACACCTAAAAAAAGGGAAAAAAAATTAAAAAGCAAAGCAAGCAAAAAGAGACGCATTTATGAGATAATGTAAGCAACTTTTTTCCCCATTTTTGCAACTATTTGTACATAAGCCAGTAGTGATCAAATGACCTGCAACTAGGTACATACTTTATGGTTAATCAAAATGCTAGTATAAAAGATCTAACACTCACCGAGCCTTCTTCCGGAGTTAAACAGGAAATTGGATGGCGGGGAAGGCGAAAATTCGAAAGGCAAATTTGGTGGCTCAGCCTCACCAGAAAGCATCTCCACAATCTCTTTCATGGTAGGCCGCTTGCTTGGTGATCTTTGCAGACAAAGCAATGCAATGGTAATACAAAGCAATGCTTGATCCTTATCCAGTGAATGAATGGAGGGATCAACAAGTTCCAAAAGCCTCCCATTGTAAGCCAGTTGTCTTGCCCAAGAAATCAAATTTGCCCTCTCAAATTCAGACATTGGCGAGGCCGTCACTTGGAGAGGCCTACGGCCAGAGATTACAACCAAAACCAGAACCCCAAAGCTATAAACATCACATTTCTCTGAAAGTAAGCCACCACAACCATACTCAGGCGCAATATAACAAACCGTTCCTCTCATACTAGGCGTACTACTGATCCCACCGCTCTTTGGTATATCCCAACTTGCACAATCTTGGCTATTTCTTCTTCCAATTTTGAATTCACCACTAAATCCATCTAACCACCAATCAATGCTGCCTCTACTACGCTTCTTCTTCTTCTTTTTCCTTTCTACTATTTCTTCATCTCTTTGCCACCAGAATTCTCCATTATTACTCGAACTAAGTCCTCTTTTTTCTTTTTTTTCTTCTTCTTAGTTAATTCTTCACAAAATTCTTCTTTCCACCACTCTCTCGGCTTCCTATTCCTCTCCTTCTTCCGAATCTTTTCCTTCTTTTGCTCAAAATTCGAACTGGAAACCTTACTGTCATTAATATAGTCAACTGAGCTTGGAGAAGCAAGCCATTCATTTTTGGGTCTTTCTTTTTTAATTTCATTGCCAATCCATTCCATTACATAGTCTTTCACTCTCCCTGATTCAGACCCACCTCCAGTATCCTGCTTCCACCACCAATCTCTTATTGAACCACCCTTTTTATTACCAACCAAATCTCTCCCACTTTCCACACTAACCCTATCAAAGAAACCTTCAGACAAAACACTCCCTTTCTCCACCCCCATCTCCGGTGACACAGCCGGCGACGCCTCCGAATCTAAGACTCTAAGAACGCAGCTGTCTGGTGACCTATCAGCAACCGTCAAACTCGCCCCTTCTTCAAACCCAGTCAAAACACTCTCTGCTTCTTCTAAAATTGATCCGTTATCTTCTCCAAAGAGATCTTTTTTCCTCAAGACTTCGCCTTCTTCAAGCCCTTCAATTAGATCCTCCGTTTTCAATCTAGCAAGCCCAAAATCACCAATCTTGGCCTTGAATTCTCCATCCAAAAGAACATTACTTGGCTTAATATCTCCGTGAATAATTGGCGGATCGCAGAAATGATGAAGATACTCCAGCCCTCTAGCCACATCATTTATAACACAGAATCTTCTATTCCACCCCATCAGCTCTTCGCATTTTCTATCCAACAGCGCATCTTGCACGCTCCGATTTTCCATCAATTCGTAAACCAAAACGAACCTTCTTCTTCTGGAATCTGAAGAGAACCCAATGAGAGGAACAATGTGGGGAGAACCCAAGGCGCGTGATACAGAGAGTTCGTTGTGGAACTCACGCTCTCCTTGCAATGAATCTTTTGAGTTCATAACTTTAATTGCGAGTGGTTGAGGTGATGAAGGGAGACTTCCTTTATAAACTGAGCTGAATCCGCCGTGGCCTAACCGGTTGGAAGGAGAGAACGAGGATGTGGCGCGGCGGAGGAGGGAATATGAGAATTGGCGGCAGTGACGGTGACGTGGAGATTCCGATGGAGCGGTGCGGTTGCGAGAGAGCTTCCGGTAGATGAAGATGGTCAAGACGGTTAAAAGGATTATAGTTACAGTTATGGTTCCAGCGAGTAGTGGGGGGAGGAGGTGGAGGTGCCGATGGTGCTGCGGTGGCGCCTCCACCATAATTTCTGGTGGCGAAAAGCGTGATGGCATGATTGAAAATAAAGAATCAACCAAAGCAAGTTATGATTTCATTTGCTTTCTTTTTCTTCTCCGTGTACCGTTTAGAAGAAGATTTTCCTGCTATTGAGTACTTGAAATTTTGTTTTAGTTCTAATTTTACCTTTTTTTTTTTGGATAAAAGAGGGAGGAGTGTTGAGTGACAGAACGAGTGTGGAGTTTTTATGATGGTGATTGTTATGTTGACGTGTCAGAATGTGGTTGGAGGGTCATGAATTTAATTGTGAACGTTGAGTCTGTTGGGTTTAATTGTCAATTAAGTGATAACTAATGAGATGGTGATTGGGTTAGGTTCTGATTGCACATTGAGCTGTTGGGGAATGTGAAGAACACGCCCCAATGTGATGAACATAGGACTAGTGAGGGGTCACGTGGGATCGAGATCTACAAAAGTTGTTGTCTTCTGTGAAGCCATGGATGGCGCATTAAGGAAGTGGGAATGGACAACGCGCATTGGATGTCGCGTGAAGTGAATACGACTTGCGTCTTGTTTGTCTTGTTAGTATTTGTTTTGTTTTCTTCGAATTTTCAACTCTTTAATTTGTTTTGTGTGTCATTTTGTAGTGAACAACTGTGTGCAGTAGACGTTAGCACAGCCAAACTGGCTTAACTGGGTTTAACCTATTGGATACTGCTCATATCAAATAGCAGGCAACTAAGTTACAGGTACTGAGTTGTGTCAGACACTATTAGAACGCGCATTGCAAGCTCAAGGAACCTTGTTGCAGATACCGTCATCTTAATCTCTGTCATTCATGGGGCTTGAATAATTTGTTTTGGTACATGTTAATTATATTGGTTGGGACTCGTGAGCGATATTTCCAGGCCACTATGAATGTGATGATGATATTCATACAATGCGCTTACTTAAATTAAATAATCTTGGTCTTACCCAAAAGAACTATTGATTTATTCACAATTAGCACTGATAAATTTGTGTTCCAACGTGATAATTTTTCCTGAGAGATTGTCTAGGAATTTTTTTTTTTTTGGCCAGTGATTGTCTAGGATAGGACAGCCAGTTGATTATAACAACATCAAATTTTGTTTTAGTGAAGTTGGGGTCAAGTTGGATTCAGATCTTTGAGACACCAAAACGAGGCTGTTTGTCTTCAAGGATTTGATTCCGTTGGATGGACCGGAATATTTTCTTGGATTGGAAAAACTGAGATTAGTCGACATTGCAAATTTCTCAGGATAAAACTGAGATCAGTCGACAGATTAGTTAGGAGTCAGTCGGGATGCGAGGAACTTTAAATGATCTTCAAACGATTGTTACACATTTTAGTTACAAACAGAAAATTGAGATACAGGATAACACAACTAACACCGAGCTGGAAAATGGACAATATTTATGCAATCTAATTCCAGACTACCAGGAAGAACAGAAGCAGAGAATAATGAAGAAGCGGACTGTTTTTTGTTTAATAACTAAATGCTACAAACTGAAGGCCAAATTCACTTGCTTCAGCATTGGAGTTTAAAGTGGTTTTGCGCCACCATTTTCTTGGATGCTATTCACTGGAGTCGAGGTTCCACTTCTTTTGCTGGAATGCCCCCCGGTTATGGTCCTGCCCATGAACCTTCCTGCTTTGCTCAGTCCACTGCCAACAGCTCCAAGGCCACTCCCGACGATCCCAACTCCAGCACCAACTCCACTTCCCACAAGCCCAACTCCAGCACCAATACCGGTACCCACCATACCAACACCAGATCCAACCAGCGACGCTGCTCCATCAAGTGCATCCATTGTGCTTCCAATAACTCCTGCTTCTTTCAATCTCTTTCTTTCTTCTAGGATTGTCTTCTCTTCTTCCAAAGCAATCAATTGTTCCTCCTTGCTAAACTGATGGTACAAAAGCTGAAATTATAGAATAGACACTATGTGAATCAGAAAAAAATCAATACTAGACTGAAAATAGAAGATAAGGAAATCCCCATTCACCAGAGTATCAACAAAAAAATAATAATAATAATAATTAGATGCGATTATAAGGAGAAAACACTCATTTCTGGCATTCCAATGGTATCATTGAGGTCATAAAATAGATGAAGCTTGAAACAAAATGTCTACCTTAAGTGTACAGCTTCCTCTGTCCTTCTTATCTTTTACTTTAAGTGTATCGAGCGAGGATAGAAGGCTGAGATTAACCTCCTTTGGTGTTTCTGGTTCCAGTTCGATCAAACGGAATTTTGCAATTCCTAGTCTCTTGTCTTGCCCAATGTCCTCATCGAAAACCTGTTTGAAGCCATAATGAACATTAGCAAATGTAATGGTTTTATATATCATAACATTAGCAAATAATATGTAAAAGAAAACAAACAAAAATAAATTCTCATTTGTGATCACATGAGGAAGATAGAGGAAACTTCAAACATGACCACACTATAGAAATGTACAGGAATCCAAGGTATATTATTATTCAGTCAATAGAACTAAAAAATTTTGAAATTTCAAGTTTAAGCACGATATTCAGTAGAAAGGTAAGTATGATAGCATAAGAAAAAAGAGGAATAGAGAAACTGGTTCAGAACCTCTACGGTTATTGCCTGTGTCTCTCTGTCTTCTGCAATCAACTCAAATGTTTGATTCCAAACAGGGTTCAGGTTGTTATCAATGACTTTTGTTTTAACCTTGAAGAGAGGTCGAATGTGCACAACCACATAAGGATCTGACTTTCCAATCATTTCCATGTTCTTTAAATCATTAGCTTTGACTACTGTAACTGTCAGCTTTCCTTCTGGTTTAAGCTCTAATTCACTGCATAGCAAACGGAGAAATAATATTCATCCAACATACCAAGAAATTCTTGACATTCAAACTGAAACCATACCAGAAAATTCTAGACATTTAAACTGAAACCAATTCAAAAACTTGAGTTTTTTTCTTAAAAAATTGCAGTTTACGACCCAAAATGGCAAAATACCACAAAACCAAAAGATTCAGAATTACCTTGTATCGGCCGGTATACCACCAATTGGAACAACGATTCTATGCGGCCACTGAAGCATGTCTGTGACAATTGTATTCACAGTATCCTACAGAATATGATAATCTAGAACATTAATGAGTGTATCTAAGAGTACCAAATCATTAAAGCATGTGAACATATTAAAGAAGTAAAAAACCAAATCCAAGAAAACTTACATCAATCATATCTGAAATTCCAGGAATTGCTGTTAAGCTTCCACCAACAGCCTTCAGAGTGTAATCAATTCTAGGCTTTGGCTGATTGAATTTTGAAAAGAAATCAGTCATTTTAACAAAACTATAAAAAGGTAGATTCATTCATGCTGCTTCACATTCTTTGGAATTTTGATTAAGGCCACTTATAAATAGCATTTAATAGCAAAAGTTGAATGAAACTAAAGAAAAATTTTGGGACAAAGAAAAGAGGACACCATAAAGGTTGGAAACAATATTCTTGTGGCATCATATAACCAAAGCATCATATAAACCCCTGTACACTTGCAGCAATTCAGAAACTACTCTAATGGTACCTCGGAAAGCAGAGCGACAACTACAGCAGAAATACAAGGGATCTCTTCAGCAAGTTGGAAGATGACACGAATAACAGTGAAAACTTGAAGATCCTTCAACTGCATCACAGAGCAACACACTAATACTAAACCAATAATCTCATGTCATAAGATTCAAACTCTAAAGACGGCAAAAGAAATATACCACTGTACAGTGTTCAAATATAATTAATTTAAATTTAATATACATGAAAAATTTGAAAGGTTGTTGACGCACACCTGAATTGGTATTGAAGCAACAAGGGCTGCTTCAACACCTAAAATTATACTTGGATCACCGCCCCACCGGAAATCAATATCCATTGTGATTTGACCCTTCTTAAGGCTCTGAACACGAATACCTGCAGTCCATAGATAATCATGCAGGTAGAGATACCGGCAGTCCATAAGTAATCAAGCAGGTAGAAATGCTTAAAAGGAGGAGCTCACAATAGTTTACAGAGAATTTTAAAAAATCATATTGAGCAGTAAAATGGTCACTGGTAACAAACAACCAATGATCTATTGCATACATTGAGTCTCATGGCCTAACATCTTGCAAATAACCAAGTTTAAGTGCCCCTTCGTGAAAAATGGTTGCAACAAAAAACTAGGCACCGGACTATCTCCACAAAAATTTAGATCAATAACTTTGGAAAAAAAGGGAAATGTGACTTGAATGAGCTAAAACTGCAGAGAAAACAAACCGCAAGAGAGATGGTAAGAAAGATAATTGAACAACCATGGCCTCAGGAAGCTTGATTATCCTTTCAGAAGATAAAAAGCTTCTTTAAGTAAATGATTCACAGAACTAGGAAGACATATAGATATGTATACATTTATGTAACATGTATATGGACTCCTTAGGACTTAAGAACATGAAAAACACCACTGGCTGGAAGAAGCCCATAACAATTGCCTTGCTAAAGATAAAGCGGTTATACCAAGTAAAAGAAAGCAAAACGAGGTTGCATTTTCCATTGGGTCATACCTTCAATCTTGGGAGCCACTGTGCCAAGAGTCAATTTGCTAAACTTAAGTGAAGTTATTCCTGGAGGTCGGTATTCTTCCAAGAGTGGTTCAACAGATTCTTTAATCACCGCTGATGCTGCCTGAAAATAACACATTAAACAACCTTTGGCTTGATACTTTATAAATAGAATACTCATTATGGGAAGCCATTTAAAGTTATTACAGATTTTCACTCCCTCATGTGTTTCCCATTCCAAAAAAGTCTATAAACAGGAAAACTCAATTTGGTTCCATTACAATATAAGATGTAGAATTATCAACAACCAAAAATATTTAAATACATATTGCATATAGAACAAATGAAATTTTTGCCACTTAACAAAACATCAAAAGAGCTGAATAAGCTGCTTAAATCTAATCCATTCTAGACTTCTAGTGCATAACCTCAGTTACACAAAAGCCACACTGCTAAGTTTTTTTAGCTTTACTAGCATAATCTCTCTCAGCCTTCTTCAAATAAATAGATAGCAACTATCATGAATCTTATTGCAAAGAACAAGTAGCTTACCTCTGCAACAGAAGGCCATAATTTGCTCAATTGCTTGTTTAGCCATTTCACCTAAAAGGGCCAACATAGTATAATATGGTAAACAACTACAAAGCATGAGATCTTAATAGCAAAATTGTAAGTACATTTTTTCTGTACCTCACACATGCTGATGTATCTAGTCTTTAAAGATGCATATTTTAGACACTAAAAGCCAATGTTGAATAATGAATATGAATTTAAACCTCAAACAAATTGGTATAAAATAAAATTGCCTTTCAAGAAAAAAGAAATCATAAGCTAATTGTACATGCTAATTCAGAAAAGGAATGGATTTTTTTTTTTTTCAATTATAAGGTATACAACCAAAACAGATCATATTTCAAACATTCTGTGAGGAAAGAATTTCCGCTATTACAAGTGAACCAAGTGTACCAAACTTTGCAAATATTATATATAGTACATACTAACAATCACTGCAGTCTATGAGAACGTTAACAGGAGTACAAATTAAAGGCACCATTACACCAACCTGTTCATAGACAGGGAAAGATATCCATTCAGGATAATTATCACCACAAATTTTCTTCAGATCATCTCTGTTAAGAGACCCAAGAACTTTTATATCAGCTGCCTGTCAAAGAACACAAATATAAAGATTAATAAGAAACCAAAAAGTTGAATGCATCTAAAAGTTTAAAAGTTGACTAAGTCACAAGATCTAAATTACCCTAGTGAAAGGTTAAGTGATATAAAGATGAACTAAAATTTAGTTTATTACCTTAGTGACAAAGCAAGGGACATGTGCTTCTCCCACATTTTTGCATCAAACACTCAAATATATAATGAACTTAAACACAACCCATGAGAACCTTGTACAGTAAGCATAGAAGAAGATACTGTAAAACCACCTCAAAATGCTAATTTAATTTCTTACTACGGCACAACCACGTATAATCAGATTTTAAATGAGAATGATAAATAGTAAAATAAAAATCCTTCTTCTCCTAGGGGATGCTTCAGCTGACACATCACTTGTTCAAGGACATCCAAAATTAATATTCAACAACTAACTCATCCACTGATAACACGTGCAAGGTTGTTTAACGAGTTGATTCCTTCACTAACCTATAAAGCTATTGCTTAAACTCAATTCAAAACACAACAATATCTGGCCAGGTTGGTCTTGGTTTGAATCAAATATGATGTTCACTGCCTTGATCGATAACATAACAACTGCCTTAATGTTCTGCACAAAATTTACTATATCTCTTCAAGGGATTCTCAGGTTTCAAATTCCTACACTACAACTTTTAAGTCCACTCTCTAAAACCCGAAATATTGATAGTTAAAACTTAAAACCAAAAATTAAGGCAAAAAGTTGAAACAACTTCAGAATTCTCTTTAACTCATTTCATCGGACAATGCAAATAGCCAAATTAACAGGAAGTTTAAGGAGTTGCGATCAATTCAACGAAGGAATAAGAAATTGAACTAATCAAAGAAATCAAAGCAGATGAAGAACTTTGAAAAAAGTTAAGGAAATAAAGATACCTTTGCGATTCGCTTAGTGCTTCGGTACCTCATCATATGACGCCAGCCCGCCATCAATGAAATCCCGAAGATCATCCCCATCAACATCCCGGAAATCAGCCCCATTCTCCTGGAAGCCAAACAGAAATACCTTGAAAAGAAATAAATAACGAACAAAACGAATTCCAAGAAGTGTAAATAAAGAAGCCACCGTAGAGCGAAGGAAAAGAGAAAGAAAGAGTTACAACGAAATTGAAAATTGTAAAATTATGGATCGGATAGAGAGAAAAAGAAATTTACGTTTAAAACACTTTGATTTCTCTTTCCAAATTATTCAGTGATTTAATTGCTTCAAATAAAAACGTCTCTATCAAACAAGTTGGATGTGGGCGTTGGGACTGCAAAGAAGAAATGACGATGAAAAGAAGAATTCAAGAAATGTAGGCCAGCGCCATGAGGAAGAGAAGAGAAGAGAGAGCCTCCTCTACCTTGCCTTTGAATCTTCCGCACTGAATTTTCTCTTGTTTTCTTTTAATTACACACGTCTCTCCGCTTTGCTTCTATTAGAGATTAATCAAGAAAGAAATTAAATAAAATTCTTTTTCAGTAAGCTTGAGTTCCGCAGAAGGAAATTTTGTAATTTACTCTGTTTTTTCGGTTCTTAGATCTGAAAAGGCCGACAGAGGTTTTTTTTATACGCCTAAGGACGGGGAGAGTTTGGACTTGGGATCGAGGGATCGAAGGATCGGACCCCTTTTATGGGTCCATGTTTTGAACCGGAATGTAGTTCAAATTGGGCTTTACAATTAAAATTTATTTAACATAAGAAAATTTTGATTGATATTTTTTATGCTTATTTTTTACAACTAGCATTTATCTTTTTTCATTTGAAAGATCAAGATTTCATTTTTATACATTATTAATATAATTTTTAATTACACATACGAAAAAAAAATTAACATATAGTTTTAATTAATTTTTATGTTTTAATATATTATAAAAAAACATTAATTATCAGGCTAATTTCGTTTATAAAATTTAAAAAAATTTAAAAAAATAATTTTTAATAAATTAAAACTAAAATGTAAAAAGTAAGAAAATAATTAATTAAAAAGTGAATTAACATTAATTATAGTAAAACACATTTTATATTTAAATTTTTAAATATTGTTTATCTTATATTCAAAATGCCAAACACATTTTTCACTCTTTTTCTTTCAAAAGCAAAATATAACTAACAAAAGAATCGACATAAAGAAGTGAAATTCATTTATTTCAATGATCTTTAAATAGAAAATTTTCCTCCTATGTTTGGAACAAAAGAAAACCAGAGAGAAAAAAAAATTAACAGCTCTCATGATGATTTGCATAGTATATCTCAATTTATAAATGCTGTATTCTTTCCATAATAAATGTCTTCCGTTTTTTTCGCTTAGAATAGAAGCGAATATTAAAACGAAGACTTTTTTATTTTATTTTAAATTTTTTATAAAATCATTCAAGCAACGACTTTTACTAATTAGTAAAACAAGAAGTAACGGAAGGAATAAAAAAAAAAAAGGCATTTGGAGGTATCATTTAACCACCTATCTTCCTTTATTTTTGACTGGGCAACCAGAAGCAGGGCCTCCGGGCTATTGCTAATTACATGCTAAATCACATTGTCTCTCGCGCCCATTTAGCCCTCTCTCTCTCGTCTTCTCCGATTCTCATTTTCTGAATTTTTTTCTTCACTTTGTTTATTTCTTTATTATTCTTACTTTTAATCGATATCTCAAACGAGAAACCTCAAACTTGAACCGAGCTGATCTATTTTTTCTCAGTTAAGTTCATTATCTTCTCCATTATAAAAAATTTTATATTTTTTTATAATTATTAAAATCAATGACCGTTAAACTCTGATCCGTGCATTTATTGCCATTCGTTATACTTCAATTGGGTTGGATTGGTCTTTTCTTGTTTCCCTATATCTAATTGATATTAATAATGTTAATTTCAATGCCAATTGATCGATTCGTCAATGTGAGAGGAGATCATTTTTTTTTTTTTTGGTTATAATTCGGGGAAGTTATATCCATGTTTGTATTTTTGAATGTATTCGCGCTTCATGACCTATATCCGGGACTTCTTATTTTATCTCACTCTTTGATTCAAATTTGAATCTGCGCAATATGAGTTAGTTGGACTCTGCGGGGAAATTGTGTTGTGATTTTAATTAATAGGGAATGAATTTTATGTTCTATATTTAATTTTATTATTAAGAATTAAGGTTGAAAGTGAAACATACGGTTCTGTTTGGCTTAGTTCATGAAGAATTTTATCATTATTCTTTGTTTTGTGCTAAAAGAGTAATTTCTCTTGGTTGTTGGTTCTGCATCTTTACTGCGAGATTTGTAGTGTTTTAAGATTTGACTGGAGTGGTAGTTAGTTCCCATCTTTTTGATTTTTTGCTTTGCAGGCGGATTTAAGTGTAAATAATGCAAATGGATATTTGCTAGGTCTTTAAAGTAATAATACAATGGAAGAGGAAGAAGAAAGGAAGTTTGGTGAAACTTCTGTAAGGGGTTTTGGTACTCCTGAAGTAGCTTCTGTTGTGGAGGATAGGATAGGAGGATCTCACCAGGATGGTGTTAATGTTACTGGTGGCAAGGAAGCTATAGTAAGAAATGACAATGCAGTTTCAGATGGGGTTCATTCTGCAACTCTAGTTGGGGATGGGGACCAATTTGAGCCTGTATCTTTAGAAAATCAAGATAAAGCTGCTGGAGAGTCTCATGGTGGTCAGTTGGACTCAAATCGATCCTCAAATTCAGACTATGAGAGATGCTCATCTGGAGGGCTTGAGGAATACTCTCAACATCTAACAAGGACGTATGGGATGGAGTATAATTCTTCCTCAATGCCTGAACCACGGCATGATAGTTCTTCTTCAAGCCCTGGACCTGAAAGACAAACAGATTATACAATTAAGCAGTCAAGCTCGGTAGCTAGCCTTGATTCTGTTTTTTACGCAGATTCTGGCTACTCTCTCCTTGATTCACCAATAAAGCCTAAGCCAAAAGCTGCTATGCCAAATGTGTCTCCCGAGTTGTTGCATTTAGTTGATTCTGCCATTATGGGGAAGCCTGAAGGCTTGGACAAGCTGAAGAATATTGTAAGTGGGTCTGAGACTTTTGGAAGTGGGGAAGATATGGAGAGCATTCCTTTCTTGGTTGTTGATTCACTTATTGCCACAATGGGTGGAGTTGAAAGTTTTGAAGAGGATGAGGACAACAATCCTCCAAGTGTAATGCTAAACTCTCGGGCTGCAATTGTAGCAGGCGAGCTAATTCCTTGGCTTCCCTGGGAAGGAGATAGTGGCATTCTTATGTCTGCCAGGACGCGGATGGTTAGAGGCTTGCTGGTTATATTGCGGGCTTGTACGAGAAACAGGGCAATGTGCTCTATGGCTGGTCTATTAGGAGTTCTTTTGAGGTCAGCTGAGAATATTTTTGCTCAGGATGTTGGTTCAATAGAGAAGATGAAATGGGATGGAACTCCCTTATGCTATTGCATCCAACATTTGGCGGGGCATTCACTAAGTGTTATTGATTTGCACAGATGGTTTCAGGTCATTACAAGAATAATGACTACTGTTTGGGCACCTTGCTTAATGCTTGCATTAGAGAAGGCAGTGAGTGGGAAAGAGTCTAGAGGACCAGCATGCACTTTTGAATTTGATGGTGAGGGCTCTGGTTTGCTTGGTCCTGGCGAAAGTCGTTGGCCATTTACCAATGGATATGCATTTGCAACGTGGATCTACATTGAATCATTTGCAGATACCTTAAACACAGCAACTGCTGCTGCGGCTATTGCTGCTGCTGCTGCAGCCAAGTCAGGAAAATCATCAGCTATGTCTGCTGCTGCAGCTGCAAGTGCGCTTGCTGGTGAAGGCACAGCACACATGCCTCGTTTATTTAGTTTCTTATCTGCTGATAATCAGGGAATAGAGGCATACTTTCATGCACGGTTTTTAGTGGTTGAAAGTGGAAGTGGAAAAGGAAAGAAGGCTTCTTTGCATTTTACTCATGCATTCAAGCCTCAATGTTGGTTTTTTATTGGATTGGAGCATGTATGCAGGCAGGGACTTATTGGAAAAGGAGAGAGTGAATTGAGACTATATATTGATGGATCCTTGTATGAAAGTCATCCGTTTGAATTTCCTCGCATCTCCAAGCCGCTTGCATTTTGTTGCATTGGGACAAACCCCCCTCCTACAATGGCTGGCTTACAGCACCGTCATTGTCAGTGCCCTTTATTTGCTGAAATGGGCCCAGTATATATCTTTAAGGAACCAATTGGGCCAGAAAGAATGGCACGTATGGCGTCTAGGGGAGGGGATATGCTGCCTTCTTTTGGTAATGCTGCAGGACTTCCTTGGCTAGCGACAAATGATCACGTGCAAAGAATGGCAGAGGAAAGTTCTCTATTGGATGCTGAAATTGGAGGTTGCCTTCACCTACTCTACCACCCCTGTCTTCTTAGTGGCCGATTCTGCACAGATGCTTCTCCTTCTGGTACTGCAGGTGAATAAATTCATCTTTTTTATTGAAGAATGAATATATTCATCTTTAGTTTCAGTATTTACATGACTTTTTAGCGTATGGTTTTTGTTTAATAGACTCCAGTAAAATGTCTGTGAATATAAGCTTCTTCTCCTTGTGCGGGAAAACTTGGTTCTTATCCTATTTATTCATGTCTGTGAATAATGCTCCAATAGAATCTGAGTATGGTTTACATGATTGAGGAGAGAAGAGTGATTTTTATTATCTTAATCTTATTTTCCTTTCTCTCCCTCTGTCTGTGTGCTGTTTTAAAATGGTATGAGCATGCAGAATGCTTCTGCTTTTATGGTTTGCTTGTTTTGTTTTCCTATAACTTTTTACCCTTCTCTCAATGCATGATTAAATCACCTATCTATGGTGATTCAGGTATGCTGCGCAGACCTGCTGAGGTTCTTGGGCAAGTCCATGTTGCAACACGGATGAGAGCTGTGGAGGCTCTCTGGGCTTTAGCTTATGGAGGTCCCATGTCTTTACTTCCTCTGGCAGTCACCAATGTGCGTAAAGATAGCTTGGAACCAGAACAAGGTACTCTTCCATTGTCTTTGGCTACAGCTACCCTTGCTGCACCAATATTCAGAATTATTTCTGTAGCTATCCATCACCCTGGGAACAACGAAGAGCTAAGTCGTATGAGGGGACCTGAGATTCTGTCAAGAATCCTAAACTATCTTTTACAAACTTTGTCTTCTCTTGGTGCCGGAAAGCATAATGGTGTGGGAGATGAGGAGCTTGTTGCTGCTGTTGTTTCCATATGTCAATATCAGAAGCATAATCATGCCCTTAAAGTGCAGCTCTTCAGTACACTGCTTTTGGATCTTAAAATTTGGAGTTTGTGCAGCTATGGGCTTCAAAAGAAACTCCTATCATCACTTGCTGATATGGTCTTCACAGAGTCATCGGTCATGCGAGATGGCAATGCTATGCAGATGCTTCTTGATGGCTGCAGAAGGTGCTATTGGACAATTCGTGAAAAGGACTCCCTGGATACTTTTTCCCTAAATGGTGATACACGCCCAATGGGTGAAGTGAATGCCTTGGTTGATGAGCTCTTAGTTGTCATTGAACTTCTAATAGGAGCAGCACCTCCTTCATTGGCTGCAGATGATGTCCGTTGTTTACTTGGATTCATGGTTGACTGCCCACAACCTAACCAGGTGAGTTCT